CCCTAAAAGCAGCTACAAAAAAACCTAAGAGTACCTCAAAAATTAATTTTATTAAATTTTAGTAAGTTTAGGTACCTAAAGGTACCTAAAAATACCCAAGGCACCTATCATTCCCTAAAGGTAGCTAAAAATACCTAAGAGTACCTGAAAAATTTTATTTTTATAATTTTAGTAATTTTAGGTACCCAAAAATACCCAAGGGACCTAAAATTCCCTAAAAGTAGCTAAAAATACCTAAGAGTACCTGAAAAATTTTATTTTATTAAATTTTAGTAAATTTAGGCACCTAAAATTCCCTAAAAGCAGCTAAAAATACCTAAGAGTACCTCAAAAATTAATTTTATTAAATTTTAGTAAGTTTAGGTACCTAAAGGTACCTAAAAATACCCAAGGCACCTATCATTCCCTAAAGGTAGCTAAAAATACCTAAGAGTACCTGAAAAATTTTATTTTATTAAATTTTAGTAATTTTAGGTACCCAAAGGTACCTAAAAATACCCAAGGCACCTAGAATTAAAAATACCTAAGACTACCTGAAAAATTGTATTTTATTAAATTTTAGTACGTTTAGGTACCAAAAGGTACCTAAAAATACCAAAGAGACCTAAAATTCCCTAAAGGTAGCTAAAAATACCTAAGAGTACCTGAAAAATTTTATTTTATTAAATTTTAGTAATTTTAGGTACCCAAAAATACCCAAGGGACCTAAAATTCCCTAAAAGCAGCTACAAAAAAACCTAAGAGTACCTGCAAAATTTTATTTTATTAAATTTTAGTAAATTTAGGTACCAAAAGGTACCTAAAAATACCCAAGGCACCTAAAATTCCGTAAAGGTAGCTAAAAATACCTAAGACTACCTGAAAAATTGTATTTTATTAAATTTTAGTAATTTTAGGTACCCAAAAATACCCAGGGGACCTAAAATTCCCTAAAGGTAGCTAAAAATAACTAAGACTACCTGAAAAATTTTATTTTATTAAATTTTAGTGAATTTAGGTACCAAAAGGTACCTAAAAATACCCAAGGCACCTAAAATCCCCTAAAAGCAGCTAAAAATACCTAAGAGTACCTGAAAAATTTTATTTTATTAAATTTTAGTAAGTTTAGGTACCTAAAGGTACCTAACAATACCCAAGGCACCTATCATTCCCTAAAGGTAGCTAAAAATACCTAAGAGTACCTGAAAAATTGTATTTTATTAAATTTTAGTAATTTTAGGTACCCAAAAATACCCAAGGGACCTAAAATTCCCTAAAAGTAGCTAAAAATACCTAAGAGTACCTGCAAAATTTTATTTTATTAAATTTTAGTACGTTTAGGTACCAAAAGGTACCTAAAAATACCAAAGAGACCTAAAATTCCCTAAAGGTAGCTAAAAATACCTAAGAGTACCTGAAAAATTTTATTTTATTAAATTTTATAGTTACAAAAATACCTAAATTTTAATAAAGAAAGAAGTTTTATTGTTTCTCAGCAGTTAAACATTACTCACGCTATCGCTAATCGGCTCTGTAAAATTTCTTACTCGAAATTCTCGTTTATCACGCGCACAATTATATTAAAAAGAAAAGATTTATCTCAATGACTCTAATTTTCTTTATAAGAATAAGATTCATACCCTAACTTATAATAGTTAAGAAATAGAAATATACTTTAATTGTTGGAAAAATAGTTTTCTCTCTCTCTCTCTCTCTCTCTCTCTCTCTCTCTGATTCTCTCCTGTTCAAAGTCAATTATACGGTACATCGCTCGAAATTATCGCAGCGTGACTGGCGTGCGAACTGCGAAAAATCTTCTTTATTAAATATATATAATACAATTCACATAAACACCATATATACGAGACTTTTCCTTATTGTATGAAGATTATTATCATCATTAAATTAAATGTAATATATGCCTGTGTAGTCGATCATTAAAAAAAGAATATTATTTCTCCCTCTCTCTCTCTCTCTTTCGCTTTTTCAGCTGTAATTAATTTCAACTACTCTAAATGCTCATTAGGTGTTTATTAGACATTCTTTTCTAAACCATTACACACCTCAAAAAAAAAAAAAAAATTTTCTTATTTTTCTATATAAAATATAATTAAATAAATATAAAATTTTTTTCTATAGCCTTAAATCTATTCTAATGAAATTAATATTTAAATCTATTCTATTACTCCGAACACTTTTCTATTTCTAATACAAATAATATAATTTAATATAATATAATTATATTTTTATATATATTTATTTATTTAAATTATATATTTATATTTATTTCTTTACATAAAAACAAATTTTAAATTCATAAAATATAATTATATAATATGTTGTCGATAGCCGAAGTCGTTAAGGCGCGTACAGTTAATCATTCAAGAGAGACTATTTCAGGGTCAAGGGTTCGATTCCCCCCAGGTTTTCAATTTTATTGCAAATTTTATTTTTAATAGAATTAAATAGAAAGAATAATAAACAAATTTTTAGTTAATTATATAAAAATTGAATGTATCTAAATGTATTATTTATTTATATTACATCTTTATTATAAATATAAATAAATAATAACATAATTAAAAATGTAAATAAATGTATATGCTATATAAATAAATGAAGAATGGAAAAATATTTTTTTTTTTGTAAATAATTTGTAAATAATTGAATTCTTCCAAAGAATTTGAAAAATACATTTTTTTAAAATAATTAATTTTTTCCAGGAATTGAAATTAATATTTTAAGGGGATTTGAAACTTGATGACGTCACAGTTTGTGCAAAGCATTAGTTTTAAATCTGTGACGTCATCATGGTTCAAATGCCCTTAAGAATAATTACATTTTTTGAACAATTCCTGTAAAATTGTATTAAAAATAATTGAAATCCTGCAATGAATTTTATTAATTTATGAAAATAATTGAATTTTTTAAAAATAATTTTATTATTTATGAAAATAATGGAATTTTTTAAAAATAATTTTATTATTTATGAAAATAATTGAATTATTCCTAAAAATTTGATTAAAATGTTTAAAAAGAATTCTATTTCAGTGAAAATTTTTTTTTGTTTTTAAAAATAATTGAATTCTTCATTTAAGAATTTTATAAATATTGTTTCAAATAAATAATTTTTTCGAAATATAATAAATACAGATAAATATTAGGAAAATTTTATTTTAAATAATTAAATTCTTGTGGAAAACTTTATTTGTAAAAATAATTGAATTTTTCGATTAATTAATTAAAAATAGTTTAAATAATAATTGAAATTCTTCAAAGAGTTTTATTATTTTATTAGAATAATTGAATTCTTGCAGTCTTGCTTAAGAATTTTATTTAATAATGTTTTAAATAATTAAATTTCAATGAAAAATGTTATTATTAGTATGATAGTAATTTAATTATTGTTAATAATTGTATACAAATTTTTGTTAAATAATTGATCTTTTCGAATTATTATTATTATTTTTATTATTATTTTTATTATTATTATTATTATTATAATTATTATTATTTTTATTATTATTATTATTTATTATTATTATTATTATTATTATTATTATTATTATTATTATTATTATTATTGCTTTTTTGTTATTGTATAAAAATAAATCTAAACGGGAAATAATAAATTATATGTTAGTGTAAATAAAAAAAATGAAAAATATAAATATATTTATAAAATTAATTTAAAAAAAAAATTTATATATATTATATATTTTTTTATTTGTATATAAATATAAACTTGACCTAACTTTTTGTTCGTTCATTGAGTAGTTTTTAGAGGTCATCAGGTGAATGCGCGCGTATACAATGAAGAAGCGAGTGCAACTTAGGAATCTCAATGGTCATTCTTAGATGCCCATTAGATAACGCTATGAGAAACAGGTTTTCTCTCTCAATGTATTAAAAAACCAAAAAAAAATAAAATAAAAATAAAAAATGAAAATGAAAAGCAATACATTGATAAACACAACACTTTTTTATTATTATACCTTCGCGCATCTTTCTCTTATCTCTCACCATTCATATACAATATTATATTATATACAAGAGTCTACATCTTTATTAAAAAAAAAAAAAAAAAATTAAGAGAAACATAATCGAAAATTGAAGGCACGCCTTTGCAAATAAATTTCTCAATTTATATTCTGTCTAGAGGGTAAGAAATTGAAGAAGAGGAGGAGAGAAAATGTTTCTAACAGATCTCTAAATTCATATACAATCATTTATATTGTATTGATAGCTTTTTTTATTTTTTTATTTTGTTTTTATTTTTTTTTAAATAAACGTCGATTTATAGAAACACAAAATGCCAAATCAATCAGATAGGGAATTTTTTATACTGATTTACAAGTATAAACAAAGTTATTTTAATTGTTATATAATAATTTAAAAAATAATAATAATAATATTAATAATAATAATAATAATAATAATAATAATAATAATAGCATTACCCGAAAGTATTTTATAAACAAATATAAAAAAACCTAATGATAATAATTAATAAAAATAAATTAGTTTACTAAAAACAAAAGAAAGCTAGTTTTAATTTCAAAAAGCCCGCCTTAGAATTAAATTGACAGCGCTGCTGACTTTCTCGCAAGTGGTAAAACTTTATGTTAAAATATTAAATTAAAGAGAAAAGATTTTTATAATCTACAAATTTAAACAAAATAATTAATAATTATAATAATAATAATAATAATAATAATAATAATATAATAATTTTAATAATTTTAATTATTATGCAATAATAATAATTATTATTATTATTCGTAAAACAAAAAAAAAATAATAATAATTTAACAATAATAATAATAATAATAATAATTACATTATTAAAATGTAGAAATAAATACCTAATAAAAATAACAATAATTCATACAGTTGAATTAATTTACTAAAAAAAAAACAAGTTTTAATTTCAAAAAGCCCGCCTTAGAATTAAATTGACAGCGCTGCTGACTCTCTCGCAAGTGGTGAAACGTTATTTTAAAAATACTGCTTTCTTTCAGATGGCTGATTATTTTGGAGTAATTCTACTATTAATAGGAGCCAATCACGTATTAGGAGCAAAAAAATGCGAGGGCAATGGACTGAAGTACGTTTGGGGTGACGCACTCACCGATTCAATTGACTGTATAGGACCAAATAATATGCAATATCCTTCGTGAGTATTTTGTCCAATATAATTAGCAATTAATTACTAGAATTAATTAAAATATTAATTAATTAATAAATTAATATTAATGATTTTTTATTTATTTTGTTTATTATTTTTTTATTAATTTATTAATTAATAGAATTAAAATTAAAATGTTAGTTAATTCATTAATTAATTACTAGAATTAATTAAAATGTTAATTTATTAATAAATTCATATTGATGATTTTTTATTTATTTTGTTTATTATTTTTTATTTAATTTTTTAATTACTAGAATTAAAATTAAAATGTTAGTTAATTCATTAATTAATTACTAGAAGTAATGAAAATATTAATTAATTAATTACTAGAATTAATTGAAATGTTAATTAATTAATTATTTTATAATTAAAATGTTAATTAATTAATTATTTAATAATTAAAACGTTAATTAATTAATTATTTAATAATTTAAACGTTAATTAATTAATTATTTAATAATTAAAATGTTAATTAATTAATTATTTAATAATTAAAATGTTAATTAATTAATTATTTAATAATTAAAATGTTAATTAATTAATTATTTAATAATTAAAATGTTAATTAATTAATTATTTAATAATTAATTTATTTACATTTTCAATAATTGTAGTAATTATAATGAATTAAACAAAAAAATAATGAACAAAATAAATAAAAAAAATCATAAAAACAATAAATCAATAACTACCTATAATTAAAAAAAAAAATAAAAATAGCAAAAGGAATAAAAAAAATTTCTTCGTCCACTTGTGTCAAGGGGTTAAAAAAAATTGCAATTATTTTAGGGCGGCAATAACGCGAAACTTTAAAAGTCTTTGGACAGGAAATAGCCGAGTGGGAAGATCGCATCAGCCAAGAACAATCGACCCTGAATTAACGAGACAAGCGCTTCTCAGAAATTATAAAATCGCTCAGGGAGATTATAGCATTGCTGCCAACTCCAGATCCGGTGAGTGGTAAATTTTACACAAAAAGATTTCCTACTATTCTTTTTTTTTCGTTTTTTTTATTATTAAAATTTTTATCAAAAAAAAAGAAAAAAAAATTAAACAATTTAATTTATATAAACAAATAATATTAAATTCTCCATTTTCGGCTGAGTAATTCATTTTTCACTGATTGCACTAAATAATTTTTAATTGGACCAAATAATTATTAATTCGACCAAATAATTATTAATTGGACTAAATAATTATTTATCAGACTAAATAATTACTAATTAGACAAATTTTTACTAATTACATTAATTGCTAATTAGACAAATTATTACTAATTACATTAATTGCTAATTAGACAAATTATTACTAACTATTACTCATTAGATTCATTACTAATTAGACTAATTATTGCTAATTATTACTAATTCGACTAATTACTAATTATTACTAATTACTTAATGCTTAATAAATTATTTTGTTAATTAATTACATAACCTAATTAACTATTTTCATAATTAATTATTTTAATATTGAATTATCCAACCTAATTAATTATTTTGTTAATTAATTACATAACCTAATTAACTATTTTCATAATTAATTATTTTAATATTGAATTATCCAACCTAATTAATTATTTTGTTAATTAATTACGTGGCCCAATTAATTATGTTTATAATTAATTATCTTAATTAATTATTTTGTTAATTAATTATCTTAATTGATTATTTTGTTAATTAATTATCCTAATTAATTATTTTGTTAATTAATTATCTTAATAATAAATTATTTTGTTAATTAATTATCTTAATAATTAATTATTTTGTTAATTAATCATTTTGTTAATTAATTATCCAACCAATTGAATTATGTTTTTAATTAATTACGTAACCTAATTAATTATTTTGTTAATTTATTATCCACCATAATTAATCATTTTGTTAATCAATTACGTCACCCAATTAATTATGTTTATTAATTAATTTTTTTAATAATTAATTATGTTTATTATTTAATTATTTTAATAATTATTTATGTTTATTAATTAATTATCTTAATAATTAATTATTTTGGTAATTAATTATCTTAATAATTAATTATTTTGTTAATTAATTATCTAATCTAATTAATTATTTTGATAATTAATTATCCAACTTAATTAATCATTTTGTTAATTAATTTCGTAAATTAATTAATTTTGTTGTTAATTAATAACGTGACATTATATTAATTATTTTCATAATTAATTACGTAACCTAATTAATTATTTTCATAATTAATTATATCCAACCTAATTAATTATTTTGTTAATTAATTACATAACCTAATTAAATTAATTATCGAATTATTATTAACAATTTAAATTAATTTAAAATTTCTCTTCTGGTGGGAAAAATGAATTTAATGTCACATTATGTATAAATAAATCATATGCTGATAATATTATATTGATGATTAATTTAAATGATTTATTCATTACGTATAGAGAAATGAGTGCTTTTGACGAGATTGAATATTTAATGATTTGCTGAAATTTGTGTCCATTAAAATTTACAAAGCATTTCACATTTAATATGTATGTATATAGTTATTTATTAGCGACATTCCTTTACCTCATAGTAATGTCCTCACATATGCAAGTTGACCTTATGACACGAAAACCTGGTTCGACTCTATCCTCCTCTACATATATTTATATATATATATATATACAAAACACAGAATTCTATTTGTCTTCGTATCTATTTTATTCGGTCAAAAAATAAAATATATTTAGGAAGTTGAATTGAAATTTGAATTTTTTAATTTATTTATAAATTTAGGACAAAAAAAAATTATTAAATAGATTTTTTTGCAAACAAATTTTTTTAGAAACGTAAATCGTAACTGTTTCTCGAATTACAAAATTGTTTATTTTCTATTTAATTATTTTGTTTTATTTATTTGTTATTTTGTTTTTTTTTAATATTTTGTTTATTTTTTATTTATTTATTAAATTCTTTTGTTTACTTTTTATTTTCTTTTTTTATAATTTTGTTTCGCTACTTATTGTTTTGTTTCTTTAAATAACTTTTTTTGTTTATTTATTTTATTGATTCATTATTTATTTTGTTTACTTATTTTTTATTTATTTTAATTTTCATTATTTTTATCTAATTTGCTTTGTTTTATTTTTATTTATTTATTCAATATTCTTTATTTACTTTTTATTTGTTTATTTATTTTGTTTTATTGCTTCATTTTATTTGTTTACTTATTTTTTGTTTATTTAAATTTTTATTATTTTTTTCTAATTTTCTTTGTTTTATTTTTATTTATTTATTAAATTCTTTGTTTACTTTTTATTTATTTATTAAATTCTTTGTTTACTTTTTATTTATTTATTAAATTTTTTTGTTTACTTTTTATTTATTTATTACATTATTTTGTTTACTTTTTATTTATCTATTGGTTTGATCAATTGTTTCATTATTTCGTTAATTTTAAATATTTAAATTATAAGATATAATCTAATTTTAAAGTTTAGTTTAATTTCAATTTGAAATTTTTAATGTTAAAGTTCAGTTTAATTAAAATTTTAATATTTTTACTTGTGCGCAATTGTCTAATGCGCAGAAGTTCACTGCGCAATTGTACAATGCGCAGAAGCTCACTGCGCAATTGCCAAATGCGCAGAAGTTCAATGCGCACTCATAGACACGCCCCAGAAAGATACCAGAAAATTTTGTTTCCTTATTTGTTTAGTTATTTTTTGTTCATTTCTTATTTATTTATTTACAGTTTTATTCTATTGTTTCATTATTTTGTTTATTTACTTTTTTTTTATTTGTTTCTTAATTTTTATTCTTCATTATATTATTTATTTTTTATTTTCAATTTTGTTTAATATTTTACTAAATAAAAAAATTGAAAATAAACAAAATAAAATGAGAGACAAAATAAATATATTTATTTTGTTTGTTTTTCTTTTTTATCTTTTTAATTTTAAACATTTTAAAAATAAAATTAAAAAAATAAGTTTTTTTTAAATTTAAAAAAAATTGAAAATAAACAAAATAAAATGAAAAACGAACAAAATAAATATTTATTTTGTTTGTTTTTCATTTTATTTTGTTTATTTTCAATTTTTTTTTTATTTTTTTTTATTTTATTAATTTTTTTTCGTTTTACTTATTTATTTATTTTTTATTTATTTTTTTTTTGTAAAAATTACATTTTTTAAACCCTTGGAAATAATTATAATAAAACAAATTGTAACGACACAAAATAATAGAAATAAATTTTTCTACCTTTTTTTTTTTATTGAATAATTTTCTATCTTTTTTTTTTTTTTTTTTATTATTTAGAGGATAATTTAGTTATTCTTTCGCAAAATTTCAAGAACGCAAGGAATTTTTATTGTCAAAATAAAAAAAAAAAAAAAAGAAATGAAATCCGATCCTGCTAGTTACATTTACTAAACGGCACCGTTTTACTTCAGACAAACAGTCAATACAGTTATGTATCGTCTCCTGTAAACTCAGTAACGGAATGAAATACCCACGATATTCAATTCATTCAAGTAGAAATTTCTCATTTTCTCAAAAAAAAAAAAGTAAAAAAGAAATTATTTATTACTAAAAAAAAACCTTTAAAAAAATTGCTAAAAAAATTTACAAGAAAATTTTTCTTAAATACAATATTCTTTTGCAAAGAAACAAAAAATTTCGAAATGAAAAAAAAATAGAAAATTTTGTTTTAGAATTAGAAGTTTTTTTTTATGAGTTTTTGATGAAAAAAAGAAATAAATTTTATGAAAATGACTTTTTTCAGCACGTGCTTACTCAACGAAGGAAACGTGTGGTTCACCGGCACGATTATGTAAGACGAGGTACAATACCACAGCGCCAATGTACGGCGTGAGTTTGACGAGTGGACAGCCAGTCACGATTGTCCAAAAATTTCCCGATTTATTGCAACAAGTTGTATTTGAGGTTTGCGAGTAAGTGTCAAATTTTTTTATTTTTCGAAATTTTATTATTACTTTTTTATTATTTTATCTTTTATTTATTTATTATTACCTATTTATTTTGTTAATAAATTCGCTTATCAATTTTTTATTATGTTTTGTATTTAATTAATTTTTTTTTATTATTATTATAATAATAAATTATTATTAGTTATTTATTTATTTTCGTTCGTATTTTATTTCTCATTTGTTTTTGTTCTTTCTTTGTATTTATTAGTTATTTATTTATTTTTGTTCGTATTTGACTTCTTTCTCTTGTTTTTGTTCTTTTCTTTTTTGCTTCTTTTGTTTCGTATTTATTTTGATTCTTTGTTTATTTTTGTTCGTTTTATTTTTTATTTACAATTGTTTTAGATTTTGTTTATTTCTCATTTATTTTGTTAACTGTTTATTTATTTCTTATTTACTTTTTTTTAAATATTTTACTTATTTATCATTTTCTTTTGTTAATTTTTATTTACTTTGTTTCTTCATTTATTTTGTTTTAATTTTCGTTTATTTATATTATTTTTTATTTATTCTTTGTTTGTTTTATTGTTTATTTACTTTATTTTAGGTTTGAATTGTTTTGTTTATTGCTTATTTATTTATTTTACATTTGCTTATTTTGTTTATTTTTTATTTATTTATTTTACTTTTTATTTATTTATTTATGTTTATTTTCTTATTTATTTTACTTATTTGTTTATTTGTTTCTGTTTATTTCTTATTTATTTTACTTATTTGTTTATTTCTTATTTATTTTACTTATTTGTTTATTTATATTATTTTTTACATATTTGTTTATTTTTTATTTACTTTATTTTACTTTTTATTATTTCTGTTTTCTTCTAATTTTGCTTTGTTTTTTTGTTTTTTTTTTTGCTTTTTTTTAATTTGTTTAAATTTTTACTCATTTAGTTGAACTTTTTACTTATTTTATATATTTTTTATTTATTTCAACTTTTTATTGTTTATTTTAACATTTTATTGTTTAATTTAACTTTTTATTGTTTAATTAACTTCTTATTGTTTATTTCAACTTTTTATTGTTTATTTCAACTTTTTATTATTTTTGTTTGAATATTTTATCTGAAAAATTAACTCTTATTCCCCAACGGTCACCCATCCAAACTCTAACCGCGCTCAACGCTGCTTAACTTCTATGATCGGACGCACAGTACTACTTGCATCTTAATACTTCGACTCTTCGTTCTTTTTCTCATTTACTTCTCATACTTGTTTACTCATTTTCTTTATTTCTTTCCTATTTTGTTCAATCTTTTACCTATTTTCTTTATTTTTCATTTTTACATTCTTTTATTTATTTATTTCTTTATAAATAAAATATTTAATAAATAAAATATTTAATAAATAAAATATTTAATAAATAAAATAATTTAAAAAATAAATAAAATTTAATTGTCAAAAATCATAAAAAGAAATAAAAAAAAAGAAAGAGAAAAAAAATTTTAACTCTATTATCCGCACGTCATGAAATATCATGATGCATTCAAGGATCAAAGAAGTCAAGACCTAAAAACGGTAAAATTATTAGTAGATAAAATAAAAGTTGTTGCTTTCTGACGTTGCGAAGGAGTCGTGCAAAATTAAGTAGTTCAGTGGAACAAATGAAGAATTTGATATTAAGGGTCTCGTCCCATTCCCTGGCCTAAATTTTCAATAATAATCATTCTCACAATAACTAGCAATAATAATAAAAATAATAACGCAATTTATTTATTCCTCTTTTATAATTTTAGAAAAAAAAACTATATGCTTCCTGTTGAGTTCCCAAAAAAAAAGAAAATTCTCTTATAGACGAAAATAATTGAAAGAAAAATATTTTCACACATTTCTTAAAGAATAAAAAATCCAGAAAAGTCGAATTTTTAGCAAATTCTTTTTTAGAAAAAAAATTTTTTTTTTTAAATAAAATAAAAAAATAAACAAAAATGTAATAATTATTTATAAAATATTATTAATAGCAATAGTTCTTATTATTCCGGGGAAGTAGAAAATAAAATTTTTTTAAGTAACATTAAAAATATAAATAATATAATTTAATTCTTAATTTTAAATAACAATAATAATAATTAAAAATAATAATAATAATAATAATAATAATAATAATAATAATTAAAAATAATAATAATAATTAGTAATATAAAATATTTTACAAAAATAAAATATTTCTATGAACTAACATAATAATATTTTTGTTATTTTTTTATTATTATTCATTATAATTTATTATAATAAAACTGTGGGATATTATTATAAATAAACAAAATAAATATTATTATTATTATTATTATTATTATTATTATTATTATTATTATTATTATTATTAATATTATAGATTAAAAAATTTATTTCTTGTTATTTTTTATTATTATTTTTATTTGTTATGTTATTTCATAAAAATATTTTAAATGTTATTAAAAATTTAAAAATAAAAATAATTAGTAATATGTTCAAGAAATTAAAGAAAGATAATTTTTATTATTTTTTATTATTATAAATAATAATAAAAAATTTTTTTTTTTAGATTTTCAATTGTTTTTCTATTTTTAAAATAAAAAAATAAAAAAAAAATCTCTTAAATATCTTTTGAAAGAAAACAAAATTAATAAAAATTGTTCTTTTTTGCAGATCGAAGGAATGCGAACTAATCCGTGGGGAGTGCACGCAAACGTACGTGCCCTATCTTTTTTTGGTGATCCCCCTTGGTCCTGTTACACTCACTGGTCAGGATTACGTACTCGTTGAAAGTGGCTGTGTTTGTAAACCGAAAAATTCTGCCAACGCCGTCAATAATCCTCCCGTGGTGCCCAATTTTCAATAATAATTCAATTTAAATGAACAATTTTTCATTTTTCCTTTTTTTTCACTCGACAACGAATTTTTTGAATATAAAAAATTTAAAATTTTTAAATTTTAGACATAAAAGTTTAAATATTTAAATTATAAATTTAAAAATTTTAATTTAAAAAAAAAAAAAGTTTAAATATATTAATTTTAAAAAAAAAAGTTTAAATATATTAATTTAAAAAAAAGTTTAAATATATTAATTTAAAAAAAAAGTTTTAATATATTAATTTAAAAAAAAAAGTTTAAATATATTAATTTAAAAAAAGAAAGTTTAAATATATTAATTTTAAAATTAAATATTTAAATAATAAGATTCAATATTATTTTAACGTTCAGTTTTTAATTTCAATATCGAAATTATAATTCTAACGTTCAATTTAATGTTAATTTTAACATTCCAACTTCTGCGCAGGCGTACAATGCGCAGAAGCTCACCGCGCAACTGCATAGTGCGCAGAAGTTCGCTGCGCATTTGCAGAATGCGCGGAAGTTCTCTGCGCACTCGTAGACACGCCTCCGAAAGGTACTAGAAAATTTCGACTATTAAAAAAGTATTTCTACACTATTTCATCGCCTTTCTAATACTATTTACTTTTTTATTTTAATAAAAAAAAAGGGAAAAGAGAATTAAAAGAAAAATTGAAAGAGAATTTAATTTATTTTGTCAAGTGGGTTGAAAAACAAAGAAAAAATGAAAAATTGTCGTCGCGAGAGAATTTTTCGGCTGGGAGGATGATTCTGAGAATAAAGTCGGTGGAATTTCGATCGAAGACTCGTTTTCTTGAACGAGAATTCAGATCGACGATTCAACAACAACAACAACGACGACGACGACGACGACAAGCAAACAGCAGAAGGAGCCGGTTTCGAGCAAAAGTGCGAGGCACCTTCGAGATGTTTAATGTTTATCTCGTAGGTGAGGTGTTCCTCGTTAATCCGTTTGATGGCTCTTCGTTTTATATAGTATATATAGGTATATATATATATATATATATATATATATATATATATATATATAAAATGTCAGTGTCAGGTTATAAAAAAAATGACTCATGTGTACAAGCAGGTGTTGAGTTTCTTGACTCTTTGACTGCGAGAGCTGCTTTGCTCATCTCTCCTCTCTTAATATTGTACAAGTTCACAATCGAGTGAGTCATTTCGACTCGATTCTTTCAATTTATTTTTTGCCGTCTTTCCATTTTTCAATTTCGCTGGAAAAATTATTTCAAAACACACAATGAGAGAAAATAAAATCATAAATTTTAACCTCTCTTATTTTTTTAAAATTTAATTTTCAATTCTTTTTTAAAATTTAAAAATGTCACTTATTATATTCTTTGAATTGGAATTTCAAATTTTCGAAGTAGAATTTAGAATTTAAATAAAACAAAATGAATTGTTTTTGTTTATGAATTAAAAAAGAAATTATAAAAGTAATTACAAAAAGTAAATTAAAAAAGAAATTATAAAAGTAAAAGTAAAATGAAAAAAGAAAATTAAAAAAAGAATTGAAAAGAATAAATAGAAAAAATTCAAGAAAGTAAAGTAGAAGAAGAATTATTGAAAAAGAAATATAAAAGTAATGTAGAATATCTGCGCATGCGTGAGTTGCGCGTGGCACTTGTGCGCAATTGTCCAATGCGCAGAAGTTCACTGCGCACCTACGGCCACGCCTCTCGAAGTTACTGGAAAAATTTCACTTTTAAAAATGTTTCTGCGACTTTTTAGTAAATTCTTCTTATTACTATTCATTTATTTTAATAAAAATGGAATTAAAAAAATTAAATTCAAAAAATAAATTAAAATAATAAATTTAAAAAGAATATTGAAGAAACGATTTAAAAAGTATTGAAAAGGGAAAATTAAAAAAGAATTGAAAAAGTAAATTAAAATAGAATTGAAAAAGTAAATTAGAAAATAATTGAAAAGACTAAATTAATATAGAATTGAAAAAGTAAATTAGAAAAAGAATTGAAAAGTAAATTAAAATAGAATTGAAAAAGTAAATTAAAAAATAATTGAAAAGACAAAATTAAAATAGAATTGAAAAAGTAAATTAGAAAATAATTGAAAAGTAAATTAAAATAGAATTGAAAATCTAAATTAAAAAAGAATTGAAAAGTAAATTAAAATAGAATTGAAAAAGTAAATTAGGAAATAATTGAAAAGACTAAATTAATATAGAATTGAAAAAGTAAATTAGAAAAAGAATTGAAAAGTAAATTAAAATAGAATTGAAAAGAGAAAATTAAAATAGAATTGAAAAAGTAAATTAGAAAAAGAATTGAAAAGTAAATTAAAATAGAATTGAAAAGAGAAAATTAAAATAGAATTGAAAAAGTAAATTAGGAAAAGAATTGAAAAGAGAAAATTAAAATAAAATTGAAAAAGTAAAGTAAAATAGAATTGAAAAGAGAAAATTAAAATAGAATTGAAAAAGTAAATTAGAAAAAGAATTGAAAAGTAAATTAAAATAGAATTGAAAAGTAAATTAAAATAGAATTGAAAAAGTAAATTAGGAAAAGAATTGAAAAGAGAAAAGTAAAATAGAATTGAAAAAGTAAATTAAAATAGAATTGAAAAAGTAAATTAGGAAAAGAATTGAAAAGAGAAAATTAAAATAGAATTGAAAAAGTAAATTAGGAAAAGAATTGAAAAGAGAAAATTAAAATAGAATTGAAAAAGTAAATTAAAATAGAATTGAAAAAGTAAATTAGAAAAAGAATTGAAAAGTAAATTAAGAAAGAAAATTTAAAAATAAGTGAAAAACTCAAGTTAGAAAAAAATAAAACATAAAAGAGTAAATAAAAAAGAAAGTTAAAAAGAAAATCGAAAATAAAACCAAAAAATGAATTGAAAGCACTCTTTTGTAATCTTGTACATGTGTAGATAAAATGTGTATAGGGGAAAAAAGGGGGGGCAGGATATAAATCTTTAATCCTGATTTAGAAAAATACAATTAAAAAGAAAAATATCTATCGTGATTAATTAAGATAATAACTAATTCTCATTAAAATTTACATAGTTGCAATTATATTTTTTCTCCACCATTATTATTATTTAGAAAATTCATCTGTAGATACAGGAAACAGTAGAATAGAATTTTTTTTACATTTCATAAATAAAAAAAACAAATTCTTTTTAATATTTCACCGAATGTTAAAAAGATTTACAAAAAAAAAAAATTCAATGTAAGAACAAAATTTTCGAACAAACTTCTTTAATAGATATATAAAAACTGTTTTCTAATTTTTTGTTTTGTTTTTTTTTTCTCAAAAATCGAAAGACAAAATTTTTATTATTGTCTTGTGGTGTGTATTTTATCTTGTATATAGAACTGATATATATGTTTTTACAAATATTATATTATTAATAATAATAAAAAAAAATATATTATACAATTTCAAAAAAAGATTTTTTATTTTTTCCTGTTCTAGTTTTTTTAAAATAAGATATAATTTTTAATTAAAATATTTTTTTTTACTATTTAAAGATAAAAATAATTTAAAATTATAATTTTTATTCCGTATTTTCTTTAATTTGAATTTAGATTAAAAAAATAATAATTTAAACATCTAAAGCTTTAGGAAATATTTATAAAATTATTTTTAAGAATAAAGAATAGGAGAATTTGAATAATTCGAATAGTAAAAAACGCTATGATTAAAATAGTAACAAATGCGATAACTGAAAAAGTGAGAAATACAATAATTTACATAGTAAAAAAATAGTATAATTAAAAATTAAAATAGTAGAAGAAAAATATTAATTAAAATAGTAAAAATACTATAATTAAAATAGTACAAAAAAATATTAATTTAAATAGTAAAAAATACTATTTACAGTATATTTTTTTACTATTTTAATACTATTTATAGTATTTTTTTAACTATTTTAATTATTATTTTTTGTACTATTTTAATTATAGTATTTTTTACTATTTAAATTATTTTACTTCTCACTTCTTCAATTCCCACATTGTGTACTATTTTAATTATAGTATTTTTTACTATTTACTATTTTAATTATTATTTTTTTGTACTATTTTAATAATTAAAATTAAAATAGTACAAAAAATGTTAGTAAAATAGTAAAAAATTTTATTTACAGTATTTTTTACTATTTATAGTATTTCTGTACTATTTTAATTATAGAATTTTTTAATATTTAAATTATTTTATTTTTCACTTCTTCTAATAGTAAAAAATACTATTCACAGTATTTTTTATTATTTTAATACTATTTTTAGTATTTTTTTACTATTTGAATTATAGTATCTTTTAACTATTTTAATTGTAGAATTTTTTTATTAAAAATTAGAGTATTTTTTACTATTTACTATTTTAATTATTATTTATTTTTTACTATTTTAATAATTAAAATTAAAATAGTACAAAAATGTTAGTAAAATAGTAGAAAATGTTATTTACAGTATTTTTTACTATTTATAGTATTTTTTTACTATTTTAATTATAGAATTTTTTAATATTTAAATTCTTTTATTTTTCACTTCTTCCAATAGTAAAAAATACTATTTACAGTATTTTTTACTATTTAAATACTATTCATAGTATTTTTTACTATTTTAATTATTATTTTTTGTACTATTTTAATTTTAATTAAAATAGTACAAAAAATTATCATTAAAATGGTAAAAAATACTAAAAAATAAAAAAAATATTAATTAAAATAGTAGAAAATACTATTTACAGTATTTTTTACTATTTCAATACTATTTATAGTAATTTTGTACTATTTTAATTAAAATTAAAATATTAAAATATTTTAATTATAGAATTTTTTAATATTTAAATTATTTTATTTTTCACTTCTTCTAATAGTAAAAAATACTATTTACAGTATTTTTTATTATTTTAATACTATTTATAGTATTTTTTAACTATTTTAATTGTAGAATTTTTTATTAAAAATTATAGTATTTTTTACTATTTACTATTTTAATTATTATTTTTTTGTACTAATTTTAATAATTAAAATTAAAATAGTACAAAAAATGTTAGTAAAATAGTAAACAAATTTATTTACAGTATTTTTTATTATTTTAATACTATTTATTGTATTTTTTTCTATTTTAACTATAGCATTCTTTACTATTTACTATTTTAATTATTTTAATTTTAAGTAATATAGTAAAAAATACTATTTACAGTATTTTTCACTATTTTAATACTATTTTCAGTATTTTTCTACTTTTTTAATTATTATTTTTTGTACTATTTTAATTACAGTATTTTTTACTATTTAAATTATTTCATTTCTCACTTTTTCAATTTTTAAAAAACCAATCAAAAAAGTGAAAAACAAAATACGTAATTTAACTAGCAAGAAAATGTTATAATTAAAATAGTACAAAAAAATAATAATTAAAATAGTAAAAAATACTATTTACAGTATTTTTTACTATTTAAATACTATTCATAGTATTTTTTTACTATTTTAATTATTATTTTTTGTACTATTTTAATTTTAATTAAAATAGTACAAAAAATTATCATGAAAATAGTAAAAAATACTAAAAAATACAAAAAATATTAATTAAAATAGTAGAAAATACTATTTACAGTATTTTTTACTATTTCAATACTATTTACAGTAATTTTGTACTATTTTAATTAAAATTAAAATTGTACAAAAAATTATTTAAAATAGTAAAAAATACTATAATTAAAATAGTAAAAAATGTGACATTTTAAAGAAATGAGAAATAAAATAATTAAAATAGTAAATATATAAAATAAAAAAGTATAAAATATAATTACCGAAAAAATGTGACAATGGAAAAAGTGAGAAATAAAATAATTTGCATAGTACAAAAATACTATAATTACAATACTAACAAATACTATAATTAAAATATTAAAAAATGTGACAATTAAAAAAGTGAGAAATAAAATAATTTAAATAGTAAAAAATACTGTAACTAAAATAATAGAAAATATAATAATTAAAATAGTAAAAATATATAATAACCGAAATAATAAAAAATTTATTAATTGAAAAAGAAAAAAATCTATTAATTTGAATAGTAAAAAAATAAAATAATTTAAATCAGCAAATAATTTCCTACATTAATTTAAATAGTAAAAAGTAAAATACTTTAAATAGTAAAAATATAAAAATTTAAATATTCAAAAAAATGTAATAATTCAAACTATAATATAAAATTAAAAAATTTCTATCACGGTGTTAAAAAAAAACATAATGAAAAAGCAAAATTCCTGGAGAATAGAATTTCAGATGCTATTGAACCTAAATCCCGTTAATTGGTTTCAAAGGAGTCGATAAACGAGAATCACGAGGTTGGATTACTTCCGTCTCGTGAGCTTATGCAAAATAAGGAGACAGTCGTGAAGGCCCTTGACCCAGAAAGCAGTTTCAAATGCAGAATACAGGATTATCAGGGACTCGAGCCACTTCCCACGATAATTCCTCGGCCCACGACTATTAATATTTTATTAACGGTATTCAATTTTAAATAAATCAAAAAAAAAAAAAAATTTCCTGGTAATTTATTATTGTTTAAATATAGCGTCAAAATGTTAAAAAACAAATTAAAAAAAGGGACCAAAAAAATTGACGCTATTATTTTTTAAATTGAACAAAAAATTATTCGAACGAAATTTAAAAAAGGGGCAAAGAAAATCGTGGTTATTTTTAAATTGAAATTATTTATTTACATTTATTAATTAAATTTAAATATTAACTTTTTCAGTTCCAATTATAAATGAAAATATCAAATTTGTAAATTTTATTAACTAAATTATTATTTTACAATTTTTTTTTTTTTTTTTTTTTTTTTTTTTTTTTTTTTTTTTTTTTTTTTTTTTTTTTTTTTTTTTATAATTAAATTTAAAAATTTATGTTATGTCTCATTTAAATTTTCCTTGAAAGCTTTCCAAGAATAGTCCATCGCAAATAAATTAAATATTTAACAATTGATATGAAAATAAAAAAAAATTCTGTCATACAATCAAAATGATAAAAATGAATTTATAAAATATTTTACATAATAAAACTGTATAAATTTTATTCTCAAAACACTACTTTTATTTTTTAATCACCAAAAGTAGAATTATTTTTTAAAAATAAAAAGAATTCTTTGTTCATTTTTTAAATAAAAAATTGAAAAAAATTTATTTTATTTTAAAATAAAATGAATTATTTTTTCAATAACAGAATTTTTTTTTATATAAAGTACAAAGATTTTTTTTTTTAAACAGTGTCAAATTTACAAGCGAGAGAATATGAAAATGAATTTGTTTTTATTATTCAATTTTTACAATTTTTTCCTCTTAATAAACTGTCAAAATTTTTTTGAAAAAAATCAGGGAAAAATGTTTCTTACTCTAGATGATCAACAAAGTAATAAGAATAATAATTATGATTTACGTGTTAATGAAAAAGATTTGAACGAGGCACAAAATTTATCAGCTATAATTCAGTCAAATTCAATTCCAAAGCAGGTAAAATTTTTTTAATAATAATAATATTAATAAAAATAATAATAATATCAATTAAAAAATATTAATTAATTATTTTATTTAAGTACTTTTATAATTATAAAAATATATTATTTTATAATAATAAAATTAATTTTATTTATAATAATAATAAACATTGTTGTTAATAATATTTAAATAAATAATAAAAATTATTTATTGTTTAAATAATTTTACGTCCGTTTATTAAATATTTTGTCAAACAAATTATTTAATTTAATTATTAATTAATTATTATTAATTTAATTATTTTATTATTTAATTTATTTTTATTAATGATTAACAGTAAACTTTCACTTATTTATTAATTAAATAAATAATAATTTTTTCATTAAATAATTAACAAAACAATTTTAACGCGATTGCAGATGAGTGAGGACGAAAAACAATTTGAAAAAATACTAAAAATCGACAAAATTACCAAAGATACTTTGAGAATTATTGATGAAATTTTAAACAACTATTTTCCTAACACAATTTGCGAACAATTAAAAAATGAGAAAAAATTTATCAACAAGGATGAAATTTTTCATGTAATTCGAAATTTCACCGAATGTATTCAATATTTATCGAATTCAATAAATAACAATTCTAATGACGATGATGAATTAAGAAATTTAACAATAAGTACTGTCAATTTAATAAAAAATCTCATTTCACTGATTGTTGATAATTGCAAAAATGATACAACTTCAAAAAGTGAGGAAATAAATTCAAAATGTTATATGTCCGAAATTTTAAGGTCAATCGTCCAAACTTTGGATGATTTTAATCAACTGGAAGAACAAAATTCTTTCTATGAGGAAATTTTGACTGTATTTGAAGAGGTAAGTGTTTCCTATTTCTTGTATTTTGCAATTATTTTATGTTTTTTTACGCTTTTATTTCATTTTTTCGAATTAAAAATGATAAATTTAACTATTGTGGATATAATATTGTTGTAAAAACTCGTCTGAATGGGTTTTATACAACTGCGCATGCGTGAGTTGCGCGTGGCACTTGTGCGCAATTGTCCAATGCGCAGAAGTCCACTGCGCATGTGAGAGTTGCGCGTGGGACTTCTGCGCAATTGTCCAATGCGCAGAAGTTCTCTGCGCACTCACAGCCACGCCTCTGGAAGTTACCGGAAAAATTTCACTCTTAAAAAAAGTGCTACCACAGCGTTTAATATAAATCCTCATTTTTCTGTTGTATTTTTACTTTTTCTACTTTATTTTTACATTTATTTTCTTTATCTATTTGTTCTATTTTTCTCTTTTCAATCTTATTATTAATTTTTTTCCAGGAAAACCACTCGACCCAAGAATTTATCGATCTCCTTTGCAATATATCGAAAATATTTGATAATTTAGGAAAAATTGCTAACGACTACGAAATAGAAATGGTCATCGAAAGCAGTAATTTAGGAGTAGAATTCGAAGAGGAAATGGAAAAGATTCTGGAAGGCATCAGTAATAATACGACATGGAAGGAAATACAATCCTTCCTCTATGAGGAAGCAAAAATTATAGGAACAGAAAGTAGATCATCGTCTTTGTGGCAAGAACCAAGTTCCACTGTATCTGCTACCGGAGAACTGTTTTCAAATCCAATGATTCGAACTTTGAATTTAACGGAGTCTAGTACAGGAAAACTGTTTTTAAATCCAATTATTCGAACAATAGACTTAACGGAGTCTACTACGAGAAAACTGTTTTTGAATCCGACAGAATTTACGACAACTGAAACTACAACCGCAGAATTTACAACTGAATCTACAACCGCAGAATTTACAACTGAATCTACAACCGCAGAATTTACAACTGAATCTACAACCAGTGAATCTACAACCACTAAACTAACAATCACTGAATTTGTCCATACAATTAGTGCACCACCGATAAATATTTGGATAACTGCCAATTTCTCCAATTCCACAAAAGAATCAGCGACGACTCCCATTCAAAATAGTGTTACAAGGGCGGAATTGGATGAAGCTAGTTTTATCGAAACTAGTACAAAAGAAATTGTAACGGAAAATACAGCAAACGGTGGACCCAAACTAACAAAATCGGATATGGTTGTCACTAACAATTTGGAAGATAAAGGAAAACTGTCACTTGCAAAGTCCCCTACCAAAAGTGTATTAGAATCTAATGATAAAACATTGGATCAAAAAGCGTCTGTAACAGAATCTAATGACAGAACGTATTCATTGGATCAAAAAGCGTCTGTAACGGAATCTAATCACAAAACCTACCCAATGGATCGAAAAGCGTCTGTAACGGAATCTAATCACAAAACGTACTTAATGGGCCAAAAAGCGTCTGTAACGGAATCTAATCACAAAACCTACCCAATGGATAAAAAAGCGTCTGTAACGGAATCTAATCACAAAACATACCCAATCCAACATACTAATCCGTTAACAACGGAGCCAACTACAACTGCCAAAAGTGATCTAATTGTTAATTTTAAAATTCGGGATCATCCGAACTCAACAAAAGACGTACTTTCTTCTGCTACATCAAATTTTCAAGGTGGAATTACCACTCCAAGAGAAATACAAACTATAACCCCTGTTCCAAAAACGGAACCATTAGCAATTACTAGAACAAAAGCAACAACTGGAATCATTCCAAAGAAATCAATTTCTAACGTTTTGTCAATAACAACTAGCAAGTTGGAAGAATCATCTACGAGAGGGAACCCTACAGAAAAAATGACAAAGCATTTGGATCAAAAAGCGTCCGTAACGGAATCTAATGACAAAACATACCCAATGGATCGAAAAGCGTCTGTAACGGAATCTAATGACAAAACACAACCAATTGATCGAATGGCGTCTGTAACGGAATCTAATCACAAAACGTACCCAATGGACCAAAAAGCGTCTGTAACGGAATCTAATCACAAAACGTACTTAATGGGCCAAAAAGCGTCTGTAACGGAATCTAATGACAAAACATACCCAATGGATCGAAAAGCGTCTGTAACGGAATCTAATGACAAAACACAACCAATTGATCGAATGGCGTCTGTAACGGAATCTAATCACAAAACACAACCAATGGATCGAAAAGCGTCTGTAACGGAATCTAATCACAAAACGTACCCAATGGACCAAAAAGCGTCTGTAACGGAATCTAATCACAAAACGTACTTAATGGGCCAAAAAGCGTCTGTAACGGAATCTAATCACAAAACCTACCTAATGGATAAAAAAGCGTCTGTAACGGAATCTAATCACAAAACATACCCAATGGATCGAAAAGCGTCTACTAGAAATAAAGTAGAGAAGGGGTCAACAATACTGGAGTCATCATCACCAACATTTACCAATCCATTAACAACCGTCGAGCCAACTACAACTACCGAAAGTGATCTAATTGTTCATTTTAGAATTCGAGATCATCCGGACTCGAAAAAAGGCGTCCTTCCTACTGCTAGATCAAATATTCAAGGTGGAATCACCACTCCAAGAGAAATACAAACTATAACCCCTGTTCAAAAAAGGGTACCATCAGCAATTACTAGAAGAACAGCAACAACTGGAATCATTCCAAAGAAATCAATTTCGAACATTTTGTCAATAACGGCTAGCAAGTCGAAAGAATCATTTCTGAAAGGGAACCCTAGAAAAAAAGTAACAAAGCAACCAGTGAATACTTTACTCTGCTTCTTTGCAAAACTGTTTACCTGTGTTGGTAAAGTTTTCAAAAAATTCTACAATTGTGTGTTTAATTAAAACTCTTTTCTCCATCCGAAACATTATGCCCATAAAAACATTCTGTTAGATCTAACCGAAAATAGCCATTAATCTGGAATTAACCCTGCGGCGAGTGCCGACAAACCGCCATATCTCCTTCAAGGTGATAATCCCTCAAAATGGTAAATTATTCAAACACCAAATTAATAAAACTCTAATGAATAAAATTCTACACTTGAACAAAGAAATAGGTTTGCGATAAAAATTAAGAAAGAGTTGATGTACACTAAAATAGATAAATATTTTATATATGTAAACAGTGACAAGGTTCTAGATAATTCAGAAAACACGTGCACTAAAATTACAAACTGTAATATTGAATACCATTATTCAGTTGTAACACACGTGTATCAATAAAATAAAACAGGGAAGAAGAGGGCGCAATTTTAAACTGAAGAACGCAAATGTTTTTTCTGTAGAAAAAATTATTTACATTGTTGAAATATTATTTAAATATTATAACAATTATTAAACACTTTAAAAAATTATTATAATTTATTATCATGTGTATATAAAAAAGGCATAAATTAATATCGTCACTTAAGAATCATGTTAGTTAATAAAAACGAAAAATCATTATTATTCTTCGACTATTAAACATTGTAGTACAATAGAGTTTTCTATCCTACACAATTAGTCAATTGAGAATTAAGATATAGAATTAAAAAAACAAAAACTAATTAAAATATTAACTCAGATATAATGAAAGGACTTTTAAGTATATTTTTATTACCGATCCTTTTAGGGGGCAAATGTTTTGGTCAATTCTCCACTTCGGACAGTGACGTAAGTAATAATTACTATGTGAGATGGAGTACTAAAGGTAACTTTGCGTCCTTTTCGAGATCAGGGTTAGGACACTAAGGGTCAGTTTCACCGACTCCGATTAAAAAGTTAATCAATGATTAAATCATTAACCGACCAATCATGGCCTTCACTGACTTTAATCATTAACTTTTTATATCGAAGTTGGTGAAACTGGCCCTAAAGACCTAAAGAAATTGACCCCAATGAGAATTTTAAAACGATAAAGAGAAACTTTACAATTTCAGGTGAACGGTGAGGGAAAAAGTAGAAATGTTACGATAAAGTGTGAACTATTGGAAGACCATGAATTACTGGTGCAAGAGAGTATAAAGAGAAATTCGTTTCTGTATAAATTGGAAATCTATGGACCAATCGTTTCACTTTCTGATATACCGGATGATGCTGGACACTGCAGTGGACATATTGTTATCATTGAACTGTTTGCAACTGATAAAATTATCTTCGACAATGATTATAATTCATTGGGTACGGATATAACGTTCGTTGTAGCTGCTCCAACAGTGGAGATTGTCGGTAAGAGAAGAATTGATCTGAGAGGACGCGATGGTGGTATGCCTGAAAGACCAGCAGCCAAAAATGGTAATCGTGGCGGTAGTATACATGGCGAAAATGGCGTAGCCGGACTACCAGGTGAGACTACGAAAGATATTTTAAAAAAAATACAATTTGCTTTGAATTTAGAAAAACAGAAAAGGGGGTAATGATCATTATACTACTGAAGATATTTTAAGAACTGAAATTTAGTTTAAATTTTCTAAATTCGAGATAGGGATACTCAAAATTATATTAAGACATACTTAAAACTAGAATTAAAATCTATTATGTAATGTCTCAATCAATCTGACTTTGTTTCGCTGATCGTTTTCTGTTGCCTTTTTAGTCCATTGTTTTTTTTCCTTTCTTGGGATTAATATCCAATAACATTCTGAAAAGTTGTTAGAAGATTTATTAAATAAAGAATCTATGCTTTCCATTTCGCTAATTATCATTAAGGTAGCGTGAGATACTTTATGTCATTAAATTATTATTTAATATTATTCATCTGTCTAATACGTATTCTTGAAAGATAATCCAGGAATTTTTCACAACTTTAAAACTTTACAAAACAGAAGATAAAGTTCGCTAAAATAAATTTTTCATCTTCTGGTGATAATCGCATGTGGTTACTTTTTATGAATTGTGAATTAAATTAATTTTGATGACCCAGATATTAATTGGAATTGTTCTAGCAATAGTTTAGGACCAGTAAATAATGTTTTGACTAACAATTGTTAGTAAACAGAAGATAAAGTTCGCTAAAACAAGTTTTTCATCTTCTGGTGATTATCGCCTGTGGTTACTTTTTATGAATTGTGAATTAAATTAATTTTGATGACCCAAATATTAATTGGAATTGTTCTAGCAATAGTTTAGGACCAGTAAAAAATGTTTTGACTAACAATTGTGAGTAAACAGAAGATAATGCTCCCTAATAATAATTTTTCATCTTCTGCTGATTATCGGCTGTGGTTACTTTTTATGAATTGTGAATTAAATTAATTTTGATGACCCATATATTAATTGGAATTGTTCTAGCAATAGTTTAGGACCAGTAAAAAATGTTTTGACTAACAATTGTAAGAAAACAGAAGATCTCTGTCTGAATAAATAATTTTTCATCTTCTGGTGATTATCGCCTGGGGTTACTTTTTATGAATTGTGAATTAAATTAATTTTGATGACCCAGATATTAATTGGAATTGTTCTAGCAATAGTTTAGGACCAGTAAAAAATGTTTTGACTAACAATTATTAGTGACCCAAAGATAAAGTTCGCTCTAAAATAATTTTTCATCTTCTGCTGATTATTGGCTATGGTTACTTTTTGTGAATTGTGAATTAAATTAATTTTGATGACCCAGATATTAATTGGAATTGTTCTAGCAATAGTTTAGGACCAGTAAAAAATGTTTTGACTAGCAATTGTGAGTAAACAGAAGATAAAGTTCGCTAAAACAAGTTTTTCATCTTCTGGTGATTATCGCCTGTAGTTACTTTTTGTGAATCGTGAATTAAATTAATTTTCATGACCCAGATGTTAATTCTAATTGTTCTAGTAATAAGTTAGGACCGGTAAACAATTTTTAGATTAACAATTGTTAGTAAACAGAAGATAAAGTTCGGTCATAAATAATTTTTCATCTTCTGCTGATTATCAGCTGTGGTTACTTTTTATGAATTGTGAATTAAATTAATTTTGAAGACTGAAGACATTTTTAAATCTGCAATTAAGTTTAAACTAGAACATATTATAATGCTTATATCCGTAATGCTGAGCAATCAATTATAAATGATCCTAAAAACTTTTGGAAGTATGTAGCATAAAATCGGAGTAATCAATGTATTCTAAATTGTATGTCATTGGATGATTGTACTGGATGTAAACGTCGAGGAGATAACTAAACTTTTTGCTACTTATTTTAAGACTGTATACGAGCCAATTGATAATGTTTATCTTAATGTTTATGACATTTGTGACATAGTTGATTTAAATTTTTTTTAAAATTGAAAAATCTTGTTTGGCTATTAAAATTAAAAATCTTGATGTGAATGTTCGTGTGTGGCCTGATGGTATTCCGCCGGCCTTGATAAAGTCGTGTTGCTCTTCTTTAATTGAACCTCTGGATATTTTATTTAACAGATCATTGGTAGAAGGTATTTTTCCCAGTCAATGGAAGTTGGGAATTATTGCTCCTATTTTCAAGGATAATTTAATTAATGACGTTGGAAATTATAGGCCAATTACTATTCTCAGTTGCATTTCGAAAATCTTTAAAACTATGGTCTTTGATCAAATGTATTGCGCTGTTTTAAATATAACAATTGATGGCAAGATAAATTCCCACTTTAGCAAATCTTTCTTTACAATTTCCACAGGTGGTCCCGGCGGGCATTTTTACGGAATAGCCAACGAGATAATAAATTTCGACAAACTCACTGTCAGAGTTCAAGGTGGAAATGGAGGACCAGGACAAAATGGCGGCAATGGAGTGTCGGGTGATAATGGAAAATATTTAAATTTAAACGAGGAGAAAATTAACAACTTCAAAGATACAGAAGGTTTTAATGTGATTTTACAAAGACATGTCCCTGTATCGGCGGAAAATTTCCTTGTTATTGCTGAAGTACAGGAAGTGGTACTTGGTGAGAAGGGTACAAATGGGGGTAATGGTGGTAATGGTGGCGTTGGAGGTGAAGGTGGTATTCCCGGTGTTTATGCATTTATCAATTTGGAAAATAGAAATTGTGATCGAAAACAAATATTCAAAGATATTCAGCGTGGTAATAGTGGCCGCAATGGGAAAGGTGGTAGGGGAGGTGCTGCTGGATTTTCGGGAAAAGATGTTTTCATCGAATACCAAGTTGCCTATGATACAAAGATTACGGTGAAAAATTTCGAATACTATGATCATGATGAACCACTTGATGGCGATAATGGAGAAAATGGCGTATCAACAAAGGGCGAAAGAAATCCACATCAGCATCCAATTTGGCAGCAACTTCTATTTACATTAAAGCGATATCATGATTTTCTATTGAATAATATGGATATGAGTCTCAATGTTGAAACAATGCATAAAGTTATTCCGAATGTTAATCGAATTTTAAATAATGTTCGATGTATTTTGACACTTGTTGAATGATAATAAAATAATTTTCCACTGATATATATCCTTAATAGAAAAACAGGTATTTTTTTTGGCTTGAGTTTGAGAGTGACGGTCGTGATTGGTTGTGAAAATGACATGATGACGGTCGCGATTGGTTGAAAGACGATGATGACGGTCGCTATTGGCTGAAAACCGATGATGACGGTCGCTATTGGTCAGAAATCCTAGCGGAGACGCTTGCTATTGGTGTATTTTCTTTGTTTACAAGAGCTTCAACAGTAGTTACAGTTTACAGTAGTTACAGTTTATTAACAGATTTTTACAGTATATAATACAGAAAAATAAAAGTGCAAAGTTAAGAACACGTTTTTTTCTCTCTTCAAAATTAAAAAAAATAAGAAAAAAAAATTTTGTAATTAAAAATAAGGATAAGGAGGTCAGTTTTAAAATATTGTGTACAATACTACTTTTTAATTATATAAAATAATTTTTCTTTTTTGTAATTAAGAATTGCAATTAATAAATTAACATCTTTCTTGTCTGAGTCACTAACATTATCTACTTTTTCAACAATTAAACTTGTAAAGAAATTTAAATAACTTTCTAGAATCAGTTAAAAAATCCTTGAGCTCATCCTTGAGTTTGCCTTGTTTTATTAAAAAACTTAATATAATTTTAGAATAATACTTTACATGGTTTAATATTTTTTAAATGAATCTTAAACAAGTACCCAGTTTTTTATTATAAAAGAATTTATGTTGTCTTAAAAAAAAAGAATATTTTTTATTTCAGTTCAAAATTAGAGTCTTGAAGGTAATAAACAGGTGCCATAATAATAAGGTGCCAGTTTCAGAATCATGTTTTTGACTTATTTTAGAAGTAATTTTGATTACTGATTTTTAACTTTAAATTCTTAAAAATTGGTAAAAAATTAAAGCTTAAAGTGACCATCTGTACTGTTCATTTTAAAGTATTTTTATAATAGTATTTAATGTTGAACGATGTTGAAATACTCAAATAAAACTAAAAACTACTTAACTGACTAAAATTTAAATTTCTTTTAATTTATAAAAATTTTGTACTTTCTTATAAATATAAAAATAAATTAATATAAATAATATAATAATAAAATAATAATGAAATAATATAATTTTTTAAGTTCTAAATTTTTGAACTTTATTATAAAAATGTTTTTTGTTTTAAAAAAATTAGGTAGGATAGTGTTGTATTACTATGATTACTATGAGTTAAAATGAGAAATTAAAAAAATTTTATATTGTAAATGTTTTAAAAAAGGCACAATTTTTGTTTTAGCTTGATATTTTTTTAACCAGAAATGGCCAAGCATAGAAGTTAGGTTTCTACATAAAGTTCTGTCTTGTTCGGCTTTTTTATTTACATATTTACTTGTAAATTTTAATGTTAAATACTATCTTTAAAAAACATTATTTGTATTAAAATAAACTGAATGCATATTTTAGCTTTATCCAAAGAACATACACACGTGTAAAATATTTCTAAAATTATATTAATTTTATTAATACAAGACAAACTCAAGTATCTTTTTAATGATTTTAGAAAGTTAGTTAAATTTTACTTTTAAGTTTAATTTTTAAATAATTATATTGAGTTTTAGTGCCTTAGACGGGAAAAATGTTAATTAATACCTACATTTTGCAAAATGAAAAAATTATTTATAGCACTAACATGTAGTATTTACACAATTTTCTCAGATAGTGTACAATTAATTAAAATTGATTTAATAAATGGTAATAAATCATTTATCAGAGAATAATTTATTCCCAACAAAAACATCTTTGATGTTTTAATATAATGGATCAAAATAAGTGAAACAATTTCAAAAAAAATTTTATTATTAAAGTAATTTGGTGTTGAAGTTCTGGATCATTTTATTTTCATGTTATTATTACTTTGAAACAAATAATGATAATAAAGTAATTTCTTTTAAATAAAGCTTAAATGTCTATACTTTAATGATAAAATAAAAAGATTGTTAAAAAATTAAAATTTAAAATTGTTATTAACAATTCTTATAAAGAATTGCAAATTTAAGAATGTTCTTAATATTTTGGGAAAATTAAATTACCATGTATTGATGTGCAAAACTCCAAGTATTAATTTAAAAAAATTTTCGCCTGTATTTTGGCAGAAAAATCTACACAATTTCTATAATATTAGAGACCATACCCATTTTTAGGAGAATGAAAAACATTTTAAAACGTATCATGTACGGAAACTAAAATTTTTGTATCTTTTAAGTTTCAAAAGATGTTTAAATTTTGAATAGATCAAGATCTTTTAGAAGTCATTTGATCAATATTTTATTTAGACATTTTTAAAAAATGACAATTTTCAATGTTTTACAAAAATTTTAATAACTTCTAAAATACTGAATGCTTTTAAATGATGTTATGCTTATTTTAAAGGTGATTTTCTTCAGAATAAGAATTTTTTATAGGCATTAACGTGTAATTTTTTTTTTAGAAAATTCAATTTGTCAAACTTACATTTAAAAAATTAAAAAACTTTTAAACAATCTTATTAACAGAGAAATAATTTTTAAAATATAAACATATGTTTTTATTTAATTAGGATTTAATTTAAGGTTATATTAAGGTTTTGGTTGTGGGAAAGGACCAGAAGTGGGCGCGCAACGCGCGCCCTTTGGATTGTAGTTCATAATAATTATAATAACTTAAATACCACGTTCAGCTCGTTAGCTCGCGTAACATTTGCTGGTGGAATATAAAATATATAAATATAAACGTATAATTTTTTTTTTGATCTTAATTCCTTTATTAGGTAAACAAATTCTATTCATGCATATATAATGATATTTAAAAGTAAAAAAATTTTGATTACTCAAGAATTAGGAACGTTAAAGTTTTTCGATAAAGCATTTAAAGAAGTATTTATCAACTTCAATACATATTAATTATCATAGACCAATTGAATCAATAATATTCAAATGCCCTTTATATATATAGATGAAAATACGTTATATTCTTTATATTTTAAAAAATATTTTTCACGAAATAACTTTTAGTTATTCGTCAAACGATATTAGAAAATATGAGAAATATGAATATAAATTATCCAATTGTAATTTTATTCTTACTGTTAATTTCCTATTGCTTTTCGTACAATCAGAATGTACTTTTAAACAAATTGGTAAGTATATATTCTATTATCTAATTCTAACATTATTATTGTAATTATTATGATTATTATCATTCAAAATTTTACATTAAAATCTATTATGTAATTTATCAATCGGTCTGACTTTGTTTCGCTTATCTTTTTCTGTTGCCTTTTTAGTCCATTGTTTTTTTTTCCTTTCTTGGGATTAATATCCAATAACATTCTGAAAAGTTGTTAGAAGATTGATTAAATGAAGAATCTATGCTTCCAATTTTTCTAATTATCATTAAGGGAGCGTGAGATATTTTGTCATTAAATTATTATTTAATATTATTCATCTGTCTAATACGTATTCTTGAAAGATAATCCAGGAATTTTTCACAATTTTAAAACTTTACAAAACTATTGTTAACACAAACGGTTTAGATTCGACTCCAGCAAATGTTTAAGAGCAACTGACGCTGTAAATGCTGACATTCGGGAAAAATATTTATAAGTTCTAAATATTTCTTCTACACTTTTAAATCCTAAAACTTTCTATCTCTATGAAACTAAACGAAAAAACAGGCACCGAAAAATATATAAAATAGACCCTTTTGCAACAAGAAACCAGTATAGACTAACAATTGTGAATAAACCGAAGATAAAGTTCGCTCAATAATAATTTTTCATCTTCTGCTGATTATCGGCTGTGGTTATATACTTTTTGTAAATTGTGAATTAAATTAATTTTCATGGCTTACATGTTAATTCTAATTGTTCTAGTAATAAGTTAGGATCAGTAAAAAGGTTTTTTTCTAACAATTGTTAGTAAACAGAAGATAAAGTTTGTCCAATACTAATTTTTCATCTTCTGCTGATTATCGGCTGTGGTTACTTTTTATGAATTGTGAATTAAATTAATTTTGATGACCCAGCTGTTAATTCTAATTGTTCTAGTAATAAGTTAGGACCAGTAAAAAAGTTTCTGACTAACAATCGTTAGTAAACAAAAGATAAAGTTCGCAAAAAATAATTTTTCATCTTCTGCTGATTATCGGCTGTGGTTACTTTTTATGAATTGTGAATTAAATTAATTTTGATGACCCAGATATTAATTGTAATTGTTCTAGCAATAGTTTAGGACAAGTAAAAAATGTTTTGACTAACAATTGTGAGTAAACAGAAGATAAAGTTCGCTAAAACAAATTTTTCCTCTTTTGGTGATTATCGCCTGTGGTTACTTTTTATGAATTGTGAATTAAATTAATTTTGATGACTCAGATGTTAATTCTAATTGTTCTAGTAATAAGTTAGGACCAGTAAAAAATGTTTTGACTAACAATTGTGAGTAAAAATTAGATAAAGTTCGCTATAACTAATTTTTTATCTTCTGCTGATTATCGGATGTGGTTACTTTTTATGAATTGTGAATTAAATTAATTTTCATGACCCAGTGATGTTAATTCTAATTGTTCTAGTAATAAGTTAGGACCAGTAAAAAATGTTTTTACTAACAATTGTGAGTAAACAGTAGATAAAGTTCGCTATAACTAATTTTTTATCTTCTGCTCATTATCGAATGTGGTTAATTTTTATGAATTGTGAATTAAATTAATTTTGATGACCCAGATATTTATTCTAATTGTTCTAGCAATAGTTTAGGACCAGTAAAAAAGTTTTTGCCTAACAATTGTGAGTAAGCAGAAGATAAAGTTCCCTAATAATAATTTTTCATCTTCTGCTGATTATCGGCTGTGGTTACTTTTTATGAATTGTGAATTAAATTAATTTTGATGACCTAGATAATAATAGTAATAGTAAATGTTACAACGTGCCAATCTACAACTAAAGATGTTTTTTTCTTTTTTCAGAAGCGACTAAAGCGGGAAGAAACAAATTTCAATGAATCGCCAAACATTACAAAACCACTAGAATACACATGTACACTTTTATTTCGTAACAAAGAAGAGATATACGAAAGCATAAGGAGAGGTTATTTCATGAGTAGATTAACAATCGCAGGTAGAAATGTGAAATTTAGTAACATACCGAAAAATGAATTTTGTAAGGGGCGCACATTGGTTATTGAATTAATAGCAACTGAGAGCGTGATATTCGATGAGGATTTTAATTCACGTGGTTTAGATTTAACACTCGTTGTTGCTGCACCACTATGGTTAATTGGTCTGAATCGAAAGATAATTCTTAATGGTGCAAATGGAGAATCACATGCATCACCGAAAAAAGTTCCAAACTCAATTCACGGTGCAGACGGTAAGGAGGGATTCCCAGGTGGTCCCGGTGGTTATTTCTACGGTATAGGCGATGAATACAATTGGCAAACTGCCAATGGCGAAATAATTAATAACACAGAAACAAAAACATATCCTCTCTGTTATTACAGCACTGACGAATTTATCGAATATTTCGTATGTCCGTACAGAATAGCCAAACCAATAGCCGGCGTTGGTGCTCTTAATGAACCAATCGACACCGATTCGAAGCTTCGAATCTACGTCAACGGTGGTAATGGCGGAAGGGGACAAAATGGCGGCGATGGTGAGAAAGGCACTGACGGCACAACCTTCGATCTCGATCCGCAAAAAATAGAACGAAATGGATTTGTCGACGGTTTTGATACAATTCTACACGAGGATGTTGAACCACTGGCTAATGAGACATATTTGGGAAAGGGAATATCAGAGGTTATTGTCGGTGCAATGCCGGAAATTGGTGGACGTGGTGGTAAAGCGGGTCCTGGTGGATTGGCTGGTCAACCAGGAGGTGTTGCCATGATCTGCGTATCCAATCTTTATCCATTTTTTCGACAAGAACAATCACCTGATGATATTATAGTTTATGGTAATGAAGGTGCAGAGGGGAAGCAAGGCGCCAGTGGATTGGCGGGATATTCAGACAGTACAGGTTATGATGTACAATTAAGTGTATATTATACACCGAGTACAAAAATTCAACTGAGAAACATTGAATTTTATCCACACGTTAATCCCTACACTTCTAGAAGTCTTCAAAATTTGGGTGTTTCAAAACGTCAGAATAAGCAAAGAATTTATAGAAAATTCTACACGGTTTACGAAGCGGTTGAAAAATATACGAATTTCACTTTCTTTAATCTTGCCAATACACCAAATGGAAGATGGCAAAGAAATATTTTTTCAGCTCTACAGGACACTTATCATTCATCATGGCGTCTACAAAGTTATGCTTAATTTGAATTATTATAAATGAAAATTAATGAATCATTTCTAACTATACTGGTTAAGGTTCGCCTATATGCCAGATCGTTTACCCTTCATCCTTATTACACATAAATAAACATTATTTTATTCACCTCGTGTTTGTCACTTTTTATTTTTAATATACTTCTCTACTTTTTGAGACTCTTGACATATGAACGCAGAAAATGAACCAATAGCAAGCGTCATCGCTATGATTTCTGTTCAATAGCGACCATCATCATGGTACTTCAACCAATCACAAAGTAATTGTTTACAAACGAAAATTAAAGAACCATCACCAACTACACACCTTTTCTTCTAAAAATCCTAATCACTTGGGGGCCATTCACAAAATAGGAAAAACACTTTTTGTTTGAAATTTTAACCACCCTTGCCATAATAAGAAATGCTACTTACATTAGCTCCATTTTTTTCTATATTGACCGTAAGAAATAGTTGGACGTCCCCCTCTAGTCCTCTTAAAGCCTTACTTAGTTTATGAATGTCCCCCTTATTGGTATTCTGAAACATATTAGAATTAGTGAATTAAAATACTAAAATAAAATACAAATTTAAAATTAAATACTGCTTTTAAGTTAATTTCCGTTTTAAAATTAATTAAAATTAATTTCTCACGTTAATTACTCAGAGGTCGTTTACAAACAGTGGAACATAGAAAAATTTTGTAGAAAATAATAATTTATCATTATTTTATAAAGAAAAATGATGATTTATAATTATTTTATAAAGAAAAATGATGATTTATAATTATTTTTTGCAAAAGTTTTTAAGGTCCACATTTTGAATTTGATTAATTTTACTTATCAGTATATTGAAATAAAAAAAAAATATTTTCAAAAATGTCAAAATTTTGAAACTCCGTAAGGGGTCGTCCATAAACCACGTAGTCCCATTTTTTTGAAATTTTGACCCCCCCCTCCATCATGTAGTACGCTGTTACATATATTAGAGCCATTTTTTCCTCTTGTCGTAGTCAATTGCTTGACCCCTCCTCCCCCTCAAGAGATTACATGGTTTATGGATGGCCCCTAAGTTTAGTTAGTATCTAAGTTAGTTAGTTAGTTTGTTAGTTAGTAAAGTTAGTTAGTTTGTTAGTTAGTAGAGTAAGTAAGTTAAATATTAAGTAAGTACGTTAATAAATTAGTTAGAAACTAAGTAAGTTAATTTGTTAGTGACTAAGTTAGTTAGTTTATTAGTCAATTAGTAACTTAGTAGGTTAGTTAGTTTGTTAGTAACTTAGCTACTAAGTTGTTAAGTTAGTAATTTAGTTAGTTGATTAATGACAAAGTTAGTTATTGGCTAAGTTAGTAGGTTAGTTGATTAATGACAAAGTTAGTTATTGGCTAAGTTAGTAGGTTAGTTGATTAATGACAAAGTTAGTTATTGACTAAGTTAGTAGGTTAGTTAGTAACTAAGTTAATTAGTTACTAAGTTGGTAAGTTATTTGGTAGTAAGTAAAGTATTAACTTTACTTAAGTAAAGTAAGTAAGTAAGTTAATAAATTAGTTAGAAACTAAGTACGTAAATTTGTTAGTGACTAAGTTAGTTAGTTATTTTATTAGTTAATTAGTAACTAAGTAGGTTAGTTTGTTAGTTAGTTAGTAAAATAGTAATTTAGTTAGTTTATTTGTTAGTAAGTTAGTTAATTAGTAACTTAGTTACTAAGTTGGTAAGTTAGTAATTTAGTTAGTTGGTTAATGACAAATTTAGTTATTGACTAAGTTAGTAGGTTAGTTAGTAACGAAATTAATTAGTTACTAAGTTGGTAAGTTATTTGATAGCTAGTGATTAAGTGAGTTATTTAGTAAGTTAGTAAATTAGTTAGTAAGTTTGTAAATTTGTTAGTAAGTTAGTAAATTAGTTAGTAAGTTAGTTAGTTTATAAGTGACTAGGTAGGTAAGTTAGTAATTTAGTTAGTAAGTCAGTTAGTTTGTAAGTGACTAAGTAGGTAAGTTAGTAATATAGTTAGTAAGTTTGTTAGTTTGTAAGTGACTAAGTAGGTAAGTTAGTAATATAGTCAGGAAATTAGTTAGTTTGTTAGTGACTAAGTTAGTTATTTAGTAACTTAATTAGTAACTAAGTTAGTTAGTAGCTAAGTTAGTTAGTAGCTAAAATAGTTAGTAGCTAAGTTAGTAAGTTAGTTAGTATATAAGTTATTTAACTGGTTTGTTTTTTAGTAAGTTAGTTAGTTTATCAGTTAATTAGTAAGTTAGTAGGATAGTTTGTTAGTTAGTTTGTTTGCAAGATGGTAAGTAATAGTAATTTAGTTCGTTACTATGTTAGTTAGTGACTAAGTAAGTAAGTTAATTAGTTTAACAGTTCGTAAGTTAGTTAGTGATTAAGTTAGTAAGGTAGTAAATTAGTTAGTAAGTCAGTTAGTTTGTAAGTGACTAAGTAGGTAAGTTAGTAATTTAGTTAATTAGTAACTAAGTCAGTTATTTAGTAAGTTAGTTTGTTAGTGACTGATTGGGTAATTTAGTAAGTTAGTTAGTAAATTAGTTAGTAACTAAGATAGTAAGTTAGTTAGTGACTAAGTAGGTAAGTTAGTAATATAGTTAGAAAATTAGTTAGTTTGTTAGTGACTAAGTTAGTTATTTAGTAACTTAGTTAGTAACTAAGTTAGTTGTTTAGTAACTTAGTTAGTAACTAAGTTACTTAGTAACTTAGTTAGTTAGTAACTAAGTTAGTTAGTTAGTAACTTAGTAACTAAGTTAGTTAGTAAGTTTGTTTGTTAGTTAGTATATAAGTTATTTAGCTGGTTTGTTTGTTAGTTAGTAAGTTAGTTAGTTACGAAGTTAGTAAGTTAGTTCGTAAGTTAATTAGTGACTAAGTTATTAAGTAAGTTAATTAGTTAATTAGTGACTAAGTTATTAAGTAAGTTAATTAGTTAATTAGTGACTAAGTTAGTTAGTAAGTTAATTAATTTGTTAGTTATTCAGCTGTTTTGTTTGTTAGTAAGTTAGTTTGTTTATTAGTTAATTAGTAGGTTAGTTTGTTAGTTAGTTAGTATATAAGTTATATAGTTAGTTTGTTTGTTAGTAAGTTAGTTAATAAGTAACTTAGCTACTAAGTTATTAAGTTAGTAATTTAGTTCGTTACTATGTTAGTTAGTTTGTAAGTTAATGTAAGTTAATTAGTTTGTTAGTTCGTAAGTTAGTTAGTGATTAAGTTAGTATGTTATAGTAATTTAGTTAGTTGGTGAATAAGTCAGTTATTTAGTAAATTAGTTAGTAACTAAGTTAGTAAGTTAGTTTGTTAGTTGATTACTGACTTAGTGAGTTATTTTGTAAGTTAGTTTGTAAATTAGTTAGTTAGTGAATATTGACTAAGTTAGTAAGTTATTTTGTAAGTTAGTTAGTAAGTTACTTAGTTAGAAAATTAGTCAGTTAATAAGTAGTACTTTATTCAACTGCAGGCGTTGGGTAAATTGTAATTACAAACTTACCCGTCACTTTTGGCAAATGCCGACAGTAAAGAAATTTTTTCCCAATTTCGATGTATTTTGGTCAATTATTTTCGATTGTTGAATGAATGTAATTTCTCTCATTAAAACCTCAACTGTATTTTGATTTTCTCGCTTTAAACATTATTTTAATTCAATAAACTAACTAATAAGTATTTAATAATATTTTTCACAATTCACTGTGACAAAAAACGCTTTGCGACTCTCAAAGTGTCAATGACTATACAGAAGAATTAAAGGTTATGTATACTGAATCTTGTCCAAATAATGGCCTACGCACAATAGTTTACAACTTTTTAGCCATAAGCCCTTTCCACAATATATTCGCGAGTCGTATGTTTTAGGCAATGTCCACAATACGCTCCTTTTAAGAATAAAAAAAATCTATTGTATTTTTATGCCCAAAATCCGGTCAAACGTCAAAACGAAAGCAAATAGAAACGTAAGTTTCTATTCGCTTTGGTTTTTACGTTTGACCTTGTGAGATAGAAAAGAAAAGAGATACCCTCGCAATAAAGCCTCGTTCACACTGTCTTTCGAGCATACACGTCACACGCACCTTCCCCTCTCTGTTCAAAGCTCTCGAAGCGTGTGAATAAAACCTAATGACGCGCATCAAAACCTAACCTCACTTTTCGGCAGCCCTGCGCAATTTTGCGTCTGCCATGTTGGCTTTTAGCGTGCGCGTCCTACGATTAAGTTCTTTATATATATTCAATGAAATATATATTTAAAAGAAAATTATTCTCCTCAATAGAGAACACCAATTATCAGTGAATTTTAAACAAAAAAAAAAGAATTTTTCTCCTCTCCTAAAATCCCTATTTTTTGAGGGGTTTTTTCTACAAGTTCGCCTCTCTTCTGCTTTGGATTTTTTTTTTACACAACTATACTACTACTAAATAGTGTTTAGGGGGAAAACGAAAGAAAAACGCTTCTTGTTTACGCTACAAAGTGAAACTCCCGCAGTGTTTCTTTTTTTTTAAAATATATACCTAGGATTTCCAACGAATATATTTCAAAAATGATGTACACCGTAAGTTTTTGTTTTATTGATTTGATAATATGATAATATTAAATTTATTTACCCTTTCGTTGAGTTTCGTTTTTATTATATTTTACTCTTAAATTCTGTTTTTCTCATTTCCTTTTCGTCTCTTGTATCGATTTTTTGATTGAATGGGTACATATTTTAATTTCTAATTTTATTTGCTTTTTTTCTTTGTTATTTCAAGTGAAAGTTTATTTTTAGAAAATAAAAACTCAATATTCATTTTATTTTTTTTTCGCAAGCACGAAAAAATAAATAGATTCTGATATTTTAAAAATAAATTTCGATCTGTATTTTTATTTATGTAATTTTTAATTAATTTGAATTAATTTATAATTAATAAATTAATTAAATTGATTTTGAAGGCAAATGACAATAAATAGAGAATAAAAGTTTTCTTACATTTTTCGAAATTATTTTTGCAAACATTACACGATTTTTGTTTTTTATTGGCATTTTTATTATTTTATTAGTTAATCGTTGTTATTATTATTATTATTATTATTATTTTTTTTTTTATTTATTGTTATTATTATTAAACTAGTATTTTTATTTATTTTTATTATTTTTATTTTATTGTTTTCATTGTTATTTTTGCCCTTATTATTTTTTTTTGCATTATTTTCTTTATTATTATTTATAAAAATTAAAAATTTGTCCAAATGTAAATAATTGCGAATTAATTGTTTTTTGAATTGTCGTAGGAGGAATTAGGAATTTAAGAAGAAATAGGAATATTCAGTGTAAAATAATTTTCCCTCCCATTCACCAAAAAAGGCGACTATTGCTGTAACTGTTTTAGGGAACAACGACAATGCAGGACACGAGATTCAGCGACAAGGAGAAGAAGCTTTTGAAGCAAATGAAATTCGGAGATTCATTAGCGCAAAAGGTTGTTACAAATTTTTTTTTAATCTTAGTTTTTGTTTCTTTCTTTTTTTAAATTTCATCACGAAGATTATTTATTATTCTTTATAAAAGAATTCAAAATATTTTCTTTTATTTAAAAAACAAAATATTTTGACAAAGTGAGAAGAAGTTTTTGATATAAAATTCTTTAGAAGAATTATATAATATAATATAATATAATATTTTCAAAATAAAATTCTTTGAAAGAATTACAAAATTTTCAAGAATCTTGATTTAAATTTCTATAGAAATTCAAATATTTTCACAACTTTTGATAATTATTCTTAAACATTTTTTTTTAAATTTCATTAATTTCATAAATGATAATACAATTTTTCCCATGAATTTAATTATTTTACAAAAAAAAAAATTTCAATAAAATTCTTTGCAGTAAATTGAGTTTTTTTTCAAAAATTAAATTATTTCTATAAAAACTACAATTTCAATTCTTCCAAAATTCAACTATATTTTTTAAAATAAAATTATTCAAAACTTTAATAATTTTTATAGAAAAAGTAAATTAATAATTTTTTTAAACATAAACAATTAAATATTTTTAAATACTTTAATAACAATTAAATTTTTGAAAGAATTTAATTTAAAAATCTTTTAAAATTTAATTATACAAAAAAAAAACTTTTAATACAATTCTTTGTGAGAATTCAAATATTTTCAAAATTTCTTTAATAAATTTCTTTGCAAGAATTTCATTATTTTCAAGAATTCAATTATTTTCATAAATAAATAAAAATTCTCCCCAGAAATTCAATTACTTACAGAATTCTTGATGAAATTCATTATAAAAAATACAATTTATTGTAAAAACAATCAAATTCTTTGTCTGTAATTCAATTATTTGCAAAAATTTATAAACATTCTCGTCAAAATTTCAATTATTTTTATAAATAATACAATTCTTCTTCGAAATTCAATTATTTTCAAAAAATTTAATAAAATTCTTGGCAAAATTTCAATTATTTTCAAAAATTTTCCTCATTTCAATTATTTTTAATATCTACTATTTTAATAAAATTTTCCACAAGAATTCAATTATTTAAACGAAATTTTAATAAATATTACACAGAAATTCAATTACTTTCCAATTTTTTATAAATTTCTTCGCACCAATTCAATTATTTTTAATTTTTTAATGAAGTTTATCGAAAGAATTCAAATATATTCAAAGAATAGAAAAAAATAGTTCTGAGAAATTCAATTATTCCGAAAAATTTAAATAAAATTCTTTTAAAAATTCTATTATTTAAAAAAATTTTGACAAAATTCTTTACAAGATTTAGTTAATAAAATTCCAATTTTAATAAAATTTTCCTATTTAATTCAATTATTTTCAATACAAATCTTCTTTAGAATTCAATTATTTTCACAAATAATACATTTTTTTATGAGAATTCAATTATTTGAAGAAAATTTGAATAAAATTCTTCGTAAGAAATCAATTATTTTCATAAATAATAAAATTTTTCTCGTGAATTCAATTATTTCAAAAATTTTGATAAAATGCTTTATAAATTTGAAAAATTATAATAAAATTGACTATAGAATACAATTATTTTCGTAAAATATAACATTCCTCATAGGAATTACAATTTTACTGTCAAAAATGTTTGTAAAAATCTTCGAAACAATTCAATTATTTTCTTAAAAAATAAAATTCTTCGAAGCAATTCAATTATTTAAGAAATTTTAATTAAATTCTTCCCAAGAATTCAATTTTATTCAAAAATAAAACTTTTCACAAGAATTCAATTATTTAAAGAAAAATTTAATAAAATTCTTCGTCAGATTTCAATTATTTTCAATTTTTTAATGAAATTTTGTCGATGGAATTTAATTATTTCCGAAATGTTATAAAAAATTCTGAGAAATTCACTTATTAAAAAAATTTGAATAAAATTCTTCACAAGAAATTAATTTAATATCATAAATAATAATATTTTTCTCCGGAATTCAATTATTTTCAAAAATGAAATTCTTTACAGGAATTCAATTCTTTAAAAAATTTTTTAATAAAATTCGTTGCAAGAATTAAATTACTTTTATGAATAACAATATTTATAGCAGAGTTTCAATTATTTTTTATGTACAATTTTACATAAACTGATAGAAAATTGCAATTATTCTTTATAATTTTTTTTTTAAATTCGCCGAAAGAATTCAATTATTTATAGAATTTTTTATAAATTTCTTTAAAAAAATTCAATTTTAAGAAATATTTAATTATTTAATACATTATTTATCTTTGCTTTTAAATAATTGAATTCTCGAACAATTTTCTAATAAAAATTGATTAAAAATGAATTTCACTTAAAATTTGAAATTATAATTGAATATTAAAAGCATCATAGCGTGAATTTTTATAAATAAGTGAATTTTGAAAAGGGTTCAAAAATGAAAATCTTTGAAAATTTAAATTTTGTAGTTGCAATATTCTTATAATATAAAATAATGATTTTATCACTCTTTCATTTTAAATTTTATTATAAAACCCTGTTTTGCTTATTTTTCAATTTTCTTTTTTCATATTAACAAAAATGTGTTAAAAATTCATTTATTTATTTGAATAATGAATTTATTTGCTAGTTTAAATTAATTAAATTTAATTTTAAATTTAATTTTTTGAATTTACTTATTTATTTGCTTATTTATTTATAAAAAGCCGACAAAATATTCTGAGAATTAGAAGAATATTTAACTTTTTTAAATTACAAAGAAGTAAATACAGAGTGAAGAAAATATTTACTTTTCGAAAAGAAATAGAAACAATTTTTCTTTATTTTCAATTTAAAAGTTGTAAAGAAAAATTCTTTTCTTTTAAGTTTTTTTCAAAGTTTCTTTTTTAAAGAAGAAATCTAAAAAAAATTTCTACTTTTTTTTTTAGGTCGACATGAGTAAAGTGAAATTGGACGTGATAAAACCTTGGATAACGACAAAAATAACGCAACTCCTGGGAATGGAAGACGACGTTGTGGTAGAATTTGTTTATAACCAATTGGAGGAGAAGGTAAGAAAAGAGTAACATTTTTATTATTTTCTTTTTTAAATTAAAAAAAAAGATAATTATTTCTGTGTATTTTTTTTTGTTTTCTCCTTTCGCAAAATGGAGAAATTTTGCTATTTTTCATTTTTTTACATTTCTAATTTTCTAAACACTATTTTCTTTCGTTCTTTTTTTTCTCTCTTCTTTTATTTTTTTTCGTTTATATCTCTTTTTTTATTTTTCTACCTTATTTTTTTTTTTGTCTTTTGGAAAAGAATTAAATTTAGTTTTTTTTTGGTTGATAAAATCTAGAATTTTTTTGGTTGATAAAATCTAGTGTTCATTATTTTTTTTCTTTTCTATTTTAATCATTTAAAAAAGAAAGAAATCGCAGATTAATACGATTTGATCGATGGCTTTTTCCCCTCATATTAATAAAAAGCAAAAAAAAAAAAAAAAAAAAAACCTTACAATCATTTTCAGCGCAATATACAAATAAACAGAAAATGTGGTTTTTTTGGTTTAAATTTTCAAACGGAGGGGATTTTTTCCTTCGGCGACAAATTCCTTTTTGTTACCAAATTAATTTTATTTGCAAAATTTTCTCTTCTTTTCACAAATTACCGAAATAATTGAATTCCTTAAAAGAATTTTATTTCTTATGAAAATAATTGAATTTCGGAGAAGAATTTTATTATTTCTAAAGATAATTGAAATTTTGCCAAATTTTCTTTCTTGTCGGAAAGTTTCTTCTTTTTTGTCAGAAAATCCATTTTTCTTTTGCCAAAAATTTCCTTCTTTTCGTCAAATTTCGTTTTCCTTCCTGAAAACTAAAATCCTCTCCATTTTTTAGGAAAAATTCTAAACCAAAAAAAAAAAAAATATTAGAATAGAAAAAGAATAGTGGAAATCAAACTCCGAGGAGAAATTTTTTCCCTCTCTTTTTCTATTGTCTCATTATCATTGTCTTATTTTCTTTTTCATTTTTTTTCTTGTCTTTGGAAAAAGAAAATCCAAACTTTACACAAATTTGTTTCTAACAAAAAAAAAAAAATTGTAAATCAAGATATTCTTTTATCTCTTTGTCTTTGAATTCTCCGTTAGTATAAGTAGAGACCGTTGATGTGGCGCAACAGAATTTTGTCGCAAAAATGGGGGCAACCACTCGGGTCACACATCGCATCCGAGAGTTTCCCGCCAACAACTTTTACCTTCCCTGGACATCACACTCTTTTTTTAATGCCGAAGATGACAGGAAAACTTCATCGTCTCATCATCATCATCGGGGGACGGAAAACGACATCAGCAACAACGACAACAACAACAACTTTCTTTTCTGATGAATTCCAAAAAAAAGGATTTTTTTGGAATTCGATCGGAAATTCCTTTTTTTCCAGTCAACGAGGAGAGAGAGAGAGAGATAATTGCCGACTGTAGGAGAGAGAGTTTCTGCAAATTGGGTCATTTCCGATTGTCAGCATCATTGGGAGACAACTTCGAAGCTGAGTTCAAAGTCAACTTCAGTGTCAACTTCAGGGTCAACTTCAAAGTCTGCTTCGGAATCAACTTTAGAGTCGACTTCGGAGGCAACTTCAAGGCCGACTTCAGGGTCAACTTCAGAATCGACTTCAGAGGCAACTTCAAAGTCGACTTCAGGGTCAACTTCAGAATCAACTTTAGAGTCAACTTCGCAGTCAGCTGCAGAGGCAACTTCAGTGTCAGCTTCAACTTTTGGACGACTTCCTTTTGCCCGGACAGTCAACACTGGATTTTTCCTCCACGAAGGTGGAATTTCGCCTCCTCCTTGATGACGACGTCGTCGTCAATTCCTCCCACGGAATTTACTCTCTCCTTGGATCAACAAATCCCCCCGAGGGCGAGGTACCGTTCAATGACCGTGCTTGCAATTCTCGAGCAACGGCGTCAGATTCTGATTCAATTCGATCTGGCAGGTTGGTGACACTTGGTCCTAAAATTCTACTTTTTTATTACAAAAAAAAAAAAAAAAACAATTTCACCAAATTCTCTTCTTTTTTTTTTTTAATCACTTTTTTCACAGGTTTTCAGCTTTTTTGTATTGTCAATTTTGGAAAATTCGTTTTTTTCTCTACAGAAAGAAAAATAGCAAATGCCTTTTTTATTCTTTAGCAAAAAAGAAAAAAATAACATTTGCCTTTTTTCTCTTTAACAAAAAGAAAAAAAAGCAAAAGCGTTTTTTTCTCTTTAACAAAAGAGAAAAAATAGCAAATGCCTTTTTTATTCTTTAGCAAAAAAGAAAAATAGCAAAAGCGTTTTTTTCTCTCTAGGAAAAAAGAAAAATAGCATTTGCCCTTTTTTTCTCTCTCTAAAGAAAAAAACAGCAAATGCCTTTTTTCTCTAAAAGAAAAATAGCGAATGCCGTTTTTTTTTTAATTAATCTTTTGACCCATTTTTAGCTTGACCGATTTAAAAAAAAACATAATAATAATAATAATAATTAACAGTAAAAACAGGAGGAACGACAAATTAAGGAGTGTGGTAAGAAAATTTATAGAAAATTACAAAAAAAAAATCTGCTTTTTCGAGGGGGAAAAGCAGCCATGGAAAAATTGTTGTTTTTTTTTTAATTCTTGTTTCAGGTTTTTTTTTGTCTGAATTTTTTTATTTTAATTTTGATTTTTGAAAATGAGAGTGTTGTTGTATAAATTATTCTTTAGTTTTTAATGTATTTTTCTGAAAACTATTTTTATTAATGTGAATTTTTTTTCTCTTTTTTTTCTTTTTTTTTTTGGTTCGGTGGTGAATTGTAGTTTCCGGATCCAAGGAAAATGCAGATCAATCTGACGGGTTTTCTCAATGGAAAGAATGCACGTTCGTTTATGGGCGAACTTTGGGATTTATTGGTGTCGGCGCAGGAGAGTGTCACGGGAATTCCTGATTGTTTTCTACAACAGAAAAAGGATCAAATAAAGAAACGTTTGGTAAGTGTTTAGAATTGTTTTTTTTTTTTATTCTTTTTTAATTTTTTTTTTTTATTTACTTTCTTTTCATTTTCTTTTTTGACTTATTTACATTTTTCTAATTTCTTTAAAATTCTTTTTCTATTTTATTTATATTTTTATATATTTTTCACATTTCTTTTGATTTTATTTTCATTTCTTTTCTGTTATTTTCTTATTTTTTCCATTTGTTTGAATTATTTCCTACTTTTTTCAATTTTTTTATTTTTTCCATTTGTTTCAATTATTTTCTACTTTTTTTCAATTTTTTTTATTTTTTCCATTATTTGTTTCAATTATTTCCTACTTTTTTCAATTCTTTTTAATTTCTTTTTATAATTTTTGTTGTTATTTTCATTTGTTTCAATTATTTCCTACTTTTTTCAATTCTTTTTAATTTCTTTTTATAATTTTTGTTGTTATTTTCATTTGTTTCAATTATTTCCTACTTTTTTCAAATTATTTTTCATTTTTTGTTAACTTTTTCGTTATTTATCAAACTGTTTCTATTTCTTCTAGTTTTTTTTATCTATTTCTAATTATTTCCATTCATTTCCATTTTTTAAATTTTTTAAAAATTTTGTTTAATATTTTTTCCTTATTTTCCACTTTTTGTCTATTTTTCCATTATTTGTCGAATTTTTCCTATTTTTTCTAATTTTTTTTTTATTTATTTCTAATTTTTTCTATTTTTTCAATTTTTTTTGCTATTTTTTATTTTTCCCATTTGTTTCAATTATTTCCTTCTTTTTTCAAATTATTTTTCATTTTTTGTAAATTTTTCCTACTTTTTCCGTTATTTGTCAAACTGTTTCTATTTCTTCTAGTTTCTTTTAATCAATTTCTAATTTTTTCCATTCATTTCCATTTTTTTAATTTTTTAAAAATTTTGTTAATTATTTTTCCCTTATTTTCCACTTTTTGTTTATTTTCTCCATTATTTGTCGAATTGTTTCTATTTCTTCTAATTTTTTTTTTATTTATTTCTAATTTTTTTCAATTTTTTTGTTTTTGTTTTATTTAATTTTTTCCCATATTTTCAATTTTCTGGATCTTTTTTTCTATTTCACTTATTTTAATTTGTTTTAATTTTTTTCAATTCCTTTACTTTTACTATTTTTTTTCTCCATTTTCTCGACTATTTTTCTCATTTATTTTCATGTATTCTAATTTATTTTCATTTATTCTGTATTTTTTTCAACTTTCTTTTCATTGTTTTATATTTTTCCTCCTTTTTTCATTTTTTCTAATTTTTTCCACTTTCTCTTCTATTATTTAAAATTTTTTTTTTACTTTTTTCCATTTCTATCTATTTTAGTTTCGAGTTTACTGTTTTTTTTCAATATTTTCCTGTTTTCATTTTTTGAATTTTTTTCTGTTTTCCTTCCATTTTTTTCTATTTTTTTTTTCATGAGTTACCTAATTGTTTACCTATTTATCTATATTTTTCCTCACTTTTCCATTTTTTTTATTTTATTTTTATTTTATTTCATAATTTTTAATGTTTTCTTGCCATTTTTAAAATTTTTATTTTCATTTTTTATAAATTTTTTCCATTTATTTACAGTTTTCTTCGATTTTATTTTCATTCATTTCTATTTTCTTTCAAACTTTTTACCTATTTTTCACATTTCTTTCAAATTTAACTTACATTATTTTCTTTTTCTTTTCCACTTTTTATTCAAACTCTATTTTCAATTTTTTATCTATTTTTTTGTAAGTTTTTCATTTTTTCGATTTTTTTAATTCTTTTCTTTTTAAATTTTTTTTTTTTCGTTTTTAAACATATTTACCATTTGTTTCCATTTTTTTAATTTTCATTTTCAAATTGTGTGTTTTTTCAGTTTATGTCAATTTTTTTTTATTTTTTAGTTTTGGTCGAAAATTGATTTTTTTCTGTATTTTTTCTTCTTTATTTTAATTTTTTTCTATTTTTCCATTTATTTCTATTTTATTTCCATTTTTTTCTGTTTTCTTTTCATATTTTAAATTTTATTTTCATTTTTCTTTCTAGTTTTAAAATTTTATTTTTTATACTATTTTTTCCATTGTTTTCTATTTTTTTTTTGGTTTTATTCCTTTTATTTTTTCACTTTAAAATTTATTCCGATTTTTTCCTTTTTTTCAAATTTATTTTAATGTTTCGTGTTTTTTTCTATTTTTCTCTTTTATTTCAATTGTTTCCTATTTTTAAAATTGTTTTTCATTTTTTTACATTTTGTCTTCATTTTCTTCATTCTGTTTTTCTTACTTTTTTTACCTTTTTAAAAAAAAATATTTCCATTTTTTCTATTCTTTTTCTTTTTGTTATTTTTCGATTGTTTTTCATTTTTTTTTCGGTTTTTGTGTTATTTTTTTCTTTTTTTAAACTGTTTTTTCTTTCTTTTTTGATTTTCCTGTCTTTTTTACGTATTTTTCAAAATTTTTTCTTTTCCTTAATTGTTTTCCTTCATTTATTTATTTCTCTGAAATTTATTTTACTATAAAAAATTAATTTACCTTTTTTTATTCAATTAAACAGGAGGAGCAGGAGAAGTTGCAAGCCTCAATTTCGGAGAAAGAAAAAGAAAAAGAGCGCGAGAAGGAAAAGGACGAGGCTGAGGCGAAAGTCAAGAAAGAAGAGAAGGACACGACCACGAAGGATCATCGACGAGAAAGAAGTCGCGATCGTGAAAGGGACAGGTGAATATATCTTATTTTCAATTGTATTCAAAAAGATAAAAAAAATAACTTTATAATAATAAGAATTTTGTTATTTTACCTAGAAAAAAAATTATGCAAAATAAAATGATTTTTTATTGTTTTAAATAAATAAATCTTTTTCTTGTTTTCATTTTTTTAATTTTCTTTCCCCCGTTTTTCATAGAAGCAAGCGAAGCAGATCGAGAGATCGTCACAGAGATCGGGACAGATCGGGACGAAAGAAACGATCCTCATCTCGATCGCCCGGCAAAACGGGATCAAAGGACAATGGCAAGGATTCAACGGAGACGAAAGTTGAACGCGAAAACTCACCGGCAACTGACATTCGCGACAATCCCATTCCCATGCTGCCAATGAAACCAAAACCGTAAATATTACCAAAATTCAATACAAATTCTACTGAAAATAATTACATTTTTCTAGTAGAATTTTATAAAAACTGAAAATTTATAAATAATCCAAATCAAACGTAATTAAGTAATTGAAAAATAATCAAATTTTATGATTTCTTTTGTAGGGTAGAGTGGGGTAAAAAAGCCACATTTTTACTTTTGATGCTGTAAAATCTGTATTTAAAATTTTTTTCTCAAATTTCCAATTGTTATTGAAAGTTTAGTTATTAAGCTTGAAAATTCTTGACGGAAATATTTTTTATCTCATGAAAGGACTAAGTTATAAGAGTTTTACGAAAGCACTGTAAGTGGCTTTTTTGCACCACCTGGTGGGGTGAAAAAGCCACCCTACGATTTTAGCAAAACATGTTATCAATTTAGGTATTTTTATAGTTTTCCTTTATTTATATGACAAATAGTCTTATTTGAAAAATATTCTAATAATTATGAAAGAGTTTTTAGCAAGCAAAATTGAAAATTATATTAAGTTTACCTGTTTTTCATTTGCACTGCCAATTTTTCGTACCTTTTTTAGAAGTTCTCTTTAAGTTTCACCACAGATATCATATTTCGTTGCAACCGTTTATTCATTGTTTATTTTTTTAATGCACTGTGAACTACTTTTTCGTCGTATTTAATTAATTTTATTAAATAAACACGAGAAATTTTGTAAAATAAGAAGGTTAGTTTAAATAGAAAACAAGTGAATTTCACAAAATATTCAATGGATTTTTTGCCCTGGCTTTTTTACACCCAAGACCAGTTATTAAAAAAGCAAAAATAAATTGTTAATTCAGTTCAATTTCCAAAAATTAACATTGTATACGTTTTCGGTATACTTTTCTCCTTATGTACAAACATTTATTTTTATTATTCGTTCACTTAATCAGACTGTAATATGTTTGAAAAGTTCACCAAAATGTTTTCAAAAAAGCAACAAAAAATTAAAATTACAATAAAAACAATATTAATCTAGGTACAACATTCAAACTAGATTCAAAAGTTGCGTATTACCTAATAGTATTTATATTCTAAACAGCTGATAAATCGGCTTAATAGTTTTTAAATAAAACTCAAATGGCTTTTTTACACCATGGCTTTTTTACCCCACTCTACCCTAGATAAAAAAAAATTAATTTAATAAACACCAAATTTAGTAAAAATAATAAATTAAACAAAGAAAAAAAAATCTTGTTAAAAAACAAGAAATTTAATGAAAAAAAAATATTCAGTAAAAGAAAAAATATAATGAAATAAATTTTCCATTCGATTAAAAATTAATTTGTCCAATTTTCAATTTTCTAGGGAAGCTGCCGTGGCGATATCTCGTCTTCAGGCGAAATTAATGAGCATTGCCGATGGTAAAAAAAAATTAAATCGCTCCGCATCGCCTGAAAATCAGGAAAAAACCGCTCAACGTAAATCACGTTCAAAATCACCGACAAATAATCGTTTAGGAAAAAAATCTAAATCAAAATCACCACAACTACAACAACAAAAGTCATCATCACGTCGTTCACGTTCACCACCAACAACAACAGCAATAACTACAACAACAGCAACCTCAAAATCACGCAAATCACGTTCAAAATCACGATCACGTCGCACACGTTCAAAATCAAAAAGCCGACGTTCACGTTCAAAGTCACGTCGTCGTTCGAAATCATCGCGCTCATCATTGGATCGACAACGTAACAATAGTCGTAAATCAAAATCACCAAAATCGAAGAATGAAAGTTCGACACGTTCGCGAACTAGGAAGTCGCGTTCGAAGACGAACGATCGGGATAAACAGCGTAAATCACGATCGGCGTCGAGTGACTCAAGATCGACGAAGTCACGTTCGAAGTCGAGATCGAAATCGATTGATGACAAGAGAAAGGATAATAATGACAGTGGACGGAAGAGGAATGCGAGCAGTAGTTCGAGCAGTGGCAGCGATGACGACAAGGGGAAGGATAAGAATGATTTTGAGATTCGAAGGAAGAAGGACGGCGTGCAGGCGAAGAGGTCGTATCGAAAGACTAATAAGGACGACAGTGGCAGTGACAGTGACTCGAGTCGGGAGAGGAAGACTGGCGGCAAACGGCGGAGTCAATCGCCGAGGAAGGATCGGGATAGGTCCAAGGATCGGGATCGATCTAGGGATAGATCTAGGGACAGGAATCGAAGGTATATTCCTTTTATTATTAATTTTTTTCTATTTCTTTCCCTTTTTTAATTTTAATCAAATTTTATCGATTTTTCCGGATTTTTTTCATCACTTATTTACATTTTTTCAATTCTTCTACCTTCAGGGTTGCCACAAGTCAGGGAATTCAGGGAAGAGCCAGGGAAATTAGAATTGCTCAGGGAAATCAGGGAAAAGTCAGGGATTTTTATTAAAAGTACTGGAAAAAATTTAAATTTAAGAATTTATAAGAAAATTCTGAATTTTTGTGTATTTTTCTTTTTTGTTTGCCTCACAAACTATGAAATTGACAAGAATTTTAATAACCAAACTTTCAATCTTTTCTGTTTCTGACAATAATTTCTTTTTAAATAACTTCATTCTTCAACAACTATCATCAAATTATTACTCAAAAATTATTTAATAAATAATTTTACCTCAAAATTTTCAAAATTAATTAGATTTCAAAAGATTTGCGTTTAAAATCTGCATAAATCGATGAACTTCAAAGGCTTCAATATGAAATTTTTAAAAATTTCAATTTTCAATGGATTTAAATAGAAATTTTAAGAACAACTGATTACAGAAATTCAGTTATTTTCAAAAATTTATAAACATTCTCGTCAAAATTTCAATTATTTTTATAAATAAATACAATTCTTCTCCGAAATTCAATTATTTTCAAAAAAATTTCATAAAATTCTTGGCAAAATTTCAATTATTTTCAAAAATTTTCCTCATTTCAATTATTTTTAATATCTATTTTAATAAAATTTTCCAAAAGAATTCAATTATTTAAACGAAATTTTAATAAAAATTTCACAGGAATTCAATTACTTTCCAATTTTTTATAAATTTCTTCGCACCAATTCAATTATTTTTAATTTTTGAATTAAGTTTATCGAAAGAATTCAAATATATTCAAAGAATTGAAAAAAAAAATTTTAAATAGTTCTGAGAAATTCAATTATTTCGAAAAATTTAAATAAAATTCTTTAAAAAATTCTATTATTTAAAAAAATTTTGACAAAATTCTTTACAAGATTTAGTTAATAAAATTAAAATTTTAATAAAATTTTCCTATTCAATTCAATTATTTTCAATACAATTCTTCTTTTGAATTCAATTATTTTCACAAATAATACTTTTTTTTATGGGAATTCAATTATTTGAAAAAAATTTAAATAAAATTCTTCGTAAGAAATCAATTATTTTCATAAATAATAAAATTTTTCTCGAGAATTCAATTATTTTAAAAATTTTGATAAAATGCTTTATAAATTTGAAAAATTATAATAAAATTGACTATAGAATACAATTAATTTCGTAAAATATAACATTCCTTATAGGAATTACAATTTTACTGTCAAAAATGTTTGTAAAAATCTTCGAAACAATTCAATTATTTTCTTAAAAAATAAAATTCTTCGAAGCAATTTAATTATATAAGAAATTTTAATTAAATTCTTCCCAAGAATTCAATTTTTTTCAAAAATAAAACTTTTCACAAGAATTCAATTATTTAAAAAAAAAATTTAATAAAATTCTTCGTCAGATTTCCATTATTTTCAATTTTTTAATGAACTTTTGTCGATGGATTTCAATTATTTTCAAAAAATTTAATAAAATTCTTGGCAAAATTTCAATTATTTTCAAAAATTTTCCTCATTTCAATTATTTTTAATATCTACTATGTTAATAAAAATTTTTCTAAAGAATTCAATTATTTAAACGAAATTTTAATAAAAATTTCACAGGAATTCAATTATTTTCCAATTTTTTTTTATAAATTTCTTCGCACAAATTCAATTATTTTTAATTTTTTAATGAAGTTTGTAGAAAGAATTGAAATATATTCAAAGAATAGAAAAAAATAGTTCTGAGAAATTGAATTTTTTCGCAAAATTAAAAAAAAATTCTTTTAAAAATTCTATTATTTAAAATAATTTTGACAAAATTCTTTACAAGATTTAGTTAATAATATTACAATTTTAATAAAATTTTCCTATTCAATTCAATTATTTTCAATTATTTTCACGAATAATTCAATTTTTCTCGAGAATTCAATTATTTCAAAAATTTTGATAAAATGCTTTATAAATTTGAAAAATTATAATAAAATTGACTATAGAATACAATTATTTTTGTAAAATATAACATTCCTTATAGGAATTTTACAATTTTACTGTCAAAAATCTTTGTAAAAATCTTCGAAACAATTCAATTATTTTCTTCAAAAATAAAATTCTTCGAAGCAATTCAATTATTTAAGAAATTTTAATTAAATTCTTCCCAAGAATTCAATTTTTTTCAAAAATAAAACTTTTCACAAGAATTTAATTATTTTTAAAAAATTTAATAAAATTCTTCGTCAGATTTCAATCATTTTCAATTTTTTTAATGAAATTTTATTGATGGAATTTAATTATTTTCAAAATGTTATAAAAAATTCTGAGAAATTCAATTATTTAAAAAATTTAAATAAAATTCTTCACAAGAAATTAATTTAATATCATAAATAATATTTTTCTCCAGAATTCAATTATTTTCAGAAATAAAATTCTTCACAGGAATTCAATTCTTTAAAAAATTTTTTAATAAAATTCGTTGCAAGAATTAAATTACTTTTATGAATAACAATATTTATAGCAGAGTTTCAATTATTTTTTATGTACAATTTTACATAAACTGATAAAAAATTGCATTTATTCTTTAATTTTTAATTTTTTTAATTAATTTTTTTTAATTTTTTTTTTCTTTAATTTTTTTTAACATTCGCCGAAAGAATTCAATTATTTTTAGAATTTTTTATTTCTTTAAAAAAATTCAATTTTAAGAAATATTCAATTATTTAATACATTATTTATCTTTGCATTTAAATAATTGAATTCTCGAAAAATTTTCTAATAAAAATTGATTAAAAATGAGTTTCACTTAAAATTTGAAATTATAATTGAATATTAAAAGCATCATAGCGTGAATTTTTATAAATAAGTGAATTTTGAAAAGGGTTCAAAAATGAAAATCTTTGAAAATTAAAATTTATAGTTGCAATATTCTTATAATAATATAAAATAATGATTTTATCACTCTGTCATTTTAAATTTTATTATAAAACGTGAAGAAATCGATTGCTCCGAATCGAAGACTCGGAGTGATCGATTTCTTCATTTCTCTTTTTTCTCTTTAGTTTTTTTTTTACTATTTTCTGTTTTCTCTTTACTTTTTATGAATTTTTTTCTTTTTGTTTTCTTTTTGTTTTTTCTGTTTTTACTTTCTTTTTGCTGTAAGTATTTTTTCATATTTCTTTTTCTTTTTTTTTTGTAGATTGTTTCTTTTTTCGTTTTAGTTTTTTTTTTCTTTTTCTTGGTGTATTTTTTTCTCTTTCTTATTTCGATTTAGATTTTTTTAAAAAGAAAAAGTACAGCAAAAAGAAAATAAAAAGAGAAAAACTGTCTTTTTTAAAAAATATTTAAACTTTTCTAAACACATCAAAAAGAAAGTAAAAGCAGAAAAACAATCTTTTGTTTTTGAAATAATTTTGCAATAATAAAAAAATATTTTTTTTAGACGCTCATCGTTGGACAGAGACCGCGAGAGGGACAGAAGGAGGGACAGGGACAGGGACCGTGATCGTGACCGTTTGGACAGGTACAGCGGAAGTCGAGGAATGCGTCCACCATCCGTTCGAAGGGCTCCAAGCAGAAGAAGGTAATTTCTATTCTTTTCTTTTTTTTCACTTTTTCTACGAAAGTGATTTTTTTTTTAAATAATTAAATTTTTGTACCATTTTCTAAGTTTTAAATAGAAAATAATTGAATGTTTAAAACAATTTTTTGTAGAAAAATTTAGAAATAATTTAATTTTTAAAATAAAAATACAAAAATAGAAATACAAAAATTAAAAAAGAAAAAAAAAGTTTATTTGTCTAATAAACGAAAATTGTTTCTGCTTTAAAGCAGAAGTCCGCCGAGGAGAAGTCCAGTGCGCTATCGGCGACGATCGCCGAGTCCAGGTGACCGCCGACGTGGACGACGTTCACCGGACCGACGACGAAGATCATCGGAGCGACGTGATCGGCGTCGTTCGCCGGAACGTCGCGATAGTCGACGACGCTCCTCCGACAATCGTGATCGTTCACACAGATACGACAGATCACTGTCACGTGATCGTTCAAGTAAACGCGATCGTTCACGGGATCGTCGCGATCGCGACAGAGATCGCCGTTCAAAGTCCAAGGATCGCAAGGGCTCGTCGACCGAGAGAATTAAGGACACGAAACGTGCGCCGTCACAAGAGCGAATCGCCAAGGATTCTTCGTCAGCGACAAACGCTGCCACTGCTTCTTCGGCCGCTAATTCTTCTACTGCTGCTGCTGCTTCAGCCACCGCCGTCGCTGCTAATTCCAACACTTCTTCTTCAACGCTCAAGGATGCGAAAAATAAATCGTCACGCGAACGTAAAATATCCACCGATGAGAAGAGTAATAAAAAATCGACTGATTCTGTGGTGAAAAAGGATTTGAGGAATGGACGCTCGAAGTCGAGTAGTTCGCAGAGTAGCGACAGTAGTTCGTCTAGCGATGAGGAACAATCGAGGTGAGATTTCCTATTTTTTTAAAAATTTTGTTTCAATAAACAGGGTTGCGACAGGTCAGGGAATTCAGGGAAAAGTCAGGGATTTTTAGTAAAAGTACTGGAAAAAATTGAATTTTAAAAATTCATGAAAAAACTCTGAATTTTGATGTTTTTTTTGTTTGCCTCGTAAACTATGAAATTACCACGAATTTTAATACAAAACCTTGAATTTTTTCTATTTCAGACAATAATTTCTTTTTAAATAACTTAATTTCACAAGAACTATCATAAAATTATGACTTATAAATTATTTAATAAATCATTTTTACAATTTTCATAAAAACTAGATTGATAAAAGACTTTTAGTTAAAAATACTAAAAGAAAAATTGAATTCTAGAAAAGTTACAATAAATAATTCCAGAAATTCATTTATTTTCAAAAGTAATAAAATTTTTCGCAGAAATTCAATTATATTTAAAAATTAAAAAAAATTCTGGTCATTTCAATTATATCTTTAAAAATAATAAAATTCTTCTCCAAAATTCAATTGTGTTCAAAAATTTATAAACATTCTTGTCAAAATTTCAATTATTTTTATAAATAATACAATTCTTCTTCGAAATTCAATTATTTTTAAAAACTTTAATAAAATTCTTGGCAAAATTTCACAGGAATTCAATAATTTACAAGATTTTTTAATAAATTTCTTCTAAATAAATCAATTATTTTCATAAATAATAAAATTTTCACAGGAATTCAATTATTTAATATAAAAAATTTCAAAAAATTTTTCGAAAAATATCAATTATTTAAAAAGAATTTTATAAAATTCGTCGTAAGAATTCAATTATTTAAAAAAAAATTTAACAAAGTTCTTTTCAAGAATTCAATTCTGTTTAGAAATAGTAAAATTCTTCAGCGAAATTCAATTATTTTTATAAACTTGAATAAAATTCGTTGGAAGAATTCAATTATTTTCAAAAGTAAGAAAATTCTTCGCAGAAATTCAATTATGTTCAAAAATATCAAAAAAAAAAAAAAATTCTTGTCAAAATTTCAATTATCTTTATAAACAATAAAATTCTTCAATATTCAATTATTAAAAAAAATTTTTTTTAAATTCTCGTAAAAATTTTAATTATTGTTATAAATAATAAAATTCTTCTTCAAAATTTATTTATTTTTAAAAACTTGAATAAAATTCTTGTTAAAATTTCACAGGAATTTCAATAATTTATAAAAATTTTAATATATTTCTTTGAAATAATTCAATTATTTTCATAAATAATAAAATTTTCACATGATTTCAATTATTTAATATAAAAAAAAAATTAAAAACTTTTTTCGAAAAATAGAGTCATTCCATTATATTTCGACTAAAGTCGTTGCCGACTAATTTTAAAAAATTGTAATATTTTGCAGGAATAATTTTAAAGATATTAGGATCACCGAACAAAAAGAATTTTTTAAATATTTTTTATATTCATTGTAAAATAAGCATCTAAAGTATATGAAGTCGTAAAAACTGACACTTTTTCATCTAATAGAAAATATTAAAGAAAACACATAATTTACTATAAAAACGTAAAAAAATTATTAGAATTTATTAAGAATGAATTATTTTATTATTATAAATTGATAGAAACAATTATTAATAAGAAATATTAAATAAAAAGTAATTTTAAAGTTTACATGGAAAATAACCTATTTTTGCAAATTTCATTCACTAAATATGAGAAAGAGAAATCATTAAATTGGATAAAACCTTATGAAATATAAAGTACCTGTGATTAACTTTTAGTTTTTCTTATCACTTTCTTCCTGTTTTCTTCACAAATATTAAAAAATAAGCAATTAAAACTGGCACTTTGCTTATTTTCACGATTTTCAAATGTAAATAACTTCTGCCTAGAAAAATAAAAAATTACGAAAATTGGGCAATAATTAATTCACCACTAGATACACTCACTGGAAAAAGATTTTCTTTGGTCCCAAAGCTAGTTCTCGAATTAATTAACTTTAAACTTTTGACTATTTTTATCAGGTTAATACATGTGTTTTTTAAAGGACGAAGTTAGCTCTTCTTGTTTAATCGTTTTGAACCAACTTCAGTTTTAAAGAAATCACATGTATTAACCTGATAGAAATAGTAAAAAGTTTAAAGTTAATTAATTCGAGAAATAGCTTCGGGACCAAAGAAAATCTTTTTCCAGTGAGTGTATCTAGTGATGAATTAATTATTGCCCAATTTTCGTAATTTTTCATTTTTCTAGGCAAAAGTTATTTACATTTGAAAATCGTGAAAATAAGCAAAGTGCCAATTTTAATTGCTTATTTTTTAATATTTGTGAAGAAAACAGGAAGAAAGTGATAAAAAAAACTGAAAGTTAATCACAGGTACTTTATATTTCATAAGGTTTTATCCAATTTAATGATTTCTCTTTCTCATATTTAGTGAATGAAATTTGCAAAAATAGGTTATTTTCCATGTAAACTTTAAAATTACTTTTTATTTAATATTTCTTATTAATAATTGTTTCTATCAATTTATAATAATAAAATAATTCATTCTTAATAAATTCTAATAATTTTTTTACGTTTTTATAGTAAATTATGTGTTTTCTTTAATATTTTCTATTAGATGAAAAAGTGTCAGTTTTTACGACTTCATATACTTTAGATGCTTATTTTACAATAAATATAAAAAATATTTTAAAAATTCTTTTTGTTCGGTGATCCTAATATCTTTAAAATTATTCCTGCAAAATATTACAATTTTTTAAAATTAGTCGGCAACGACTTTAGTCGAAATATAATGGAATGACTCAATATCAATTATTTAAAAATATTTTTATAAAATTTGTCGCATAAATTCAATTATGTAAAAAAAATTTAACAAAGTTCTTTTCAAGAATTCAATTATTTTTATAAATAATAAAATTCTTCACCGATATTCAAATTATTTTAGAAAAATTTTTAATAACATTTTTGGGAAATTTTTTTAATTATTTTCATAAATAATAAAACTCATCGCAGGATTTTTAATTAATTTTTTATAAAATATTTTAAAGAAATTGCTCGAAAAATTTAATTATTTCTAAAAATTTTATTAAAATTTGTCAAAAGAATTGAATTATTGAAAAAATTTTGTTGATAAAATTCTTTATGAGAATTCAATTTTAACAAACATTCAATAAATTATTTATTTTTTAATTTAAATAATTGAATTCTCCTAAAATTTTCTAATAAAAATTGATTAAAAAATGAATTACCGAATAATCGATTTATTATTTATGAAAATAATTGAATTATTGCAACGAATTTTATTACAATTTTTTCAAATAATTGAATTTTTTTCGAGAAAATTTACTACTTTTGATAATAATTGATTTTAATTCCTACGGAAAAATAATAATGATTAAATATTTATTTAAAAAAGAAATTATTGATGTTTTCGAATAATTTTACTTTTGAAGAAATTTGTAAATAAATTTAATAAAACATTTTTTTGAGTATCTAATAATTTTTAGAGTGAATCAGAATATTTTTTAGGGTCAGGGAAAAAGTGAAAATTTTGTCTGGAAATTAGGTAAAAGTCAGGGAAAAATAAAATTAAATATTTGTGGCAACCCTGATAAATTTATTTATAATATTATTTTAATATTTCAAAAATTTAAATTATAAATATTATTATAAGATTTCATATTTTCTAATAATTAAAGACGATCGAGAGTGATAAAATCATTTTTTTATATTTAAAAATTAATAAAATTAGTAGACAATTTTTTTTTTAATTATTTTCAAAATAATAGAATTTATTCGAAGAATTCTTTAAAACATTGAATTGAATAAAAATAATTAAATTCTTCAGAGAAATTCTATTAAAATAGTTTTGAAAATTACTGAATCCTTTGAATTAAATTAAAAATAATTGAATTTTTTCGAAGAATTCTATTAAAATTGTATTAAAAATAACTAAATCCGTTGAATTAAATAAAAATAATTGAATACTTTCGAGAAATTATATAAAAAATAATTCTATTAAAAAAGAATTGAATTTTTCAAGAATTTTATTTAAAAAATTGAGTTTTTATAAAGAAATAATTGAAAATTTTTTAAGACGATTGAAATTTTCTTTTTCTTATTGCAGACGATCGGTGGAGAAGAAATTGGCGCAGGAGAAGAAAGAGAAGGAGCGTTTGGAGGAAGTAAAGAAAAAGGAGAAGGAGAAAGAGAAAGAGAAGGAAAAAGAAAAGGAGAAGGAAAAGGAAAGAGAGAGAGAAAAGGAGAAAGAGAAGGAAAAGGAGAAAGAAAAGGAAAGAGAGAAGGAAAAGGAGAAAATTGTCGAGAAGGAAATTCCAAAGCGCGTTGAGAAGGAAGTGAAAAAAGTTGCCGAAATTGTCGTTCAAAAGAAACCCGAGACAAATATATCCCCGAAAAAAGTACCGACTGCCAGTCTCCCAATTTCTAGACACAGGGTATGTTTTATTTATCTTACACCTATATTGTATTTTAAATATTTTATATTTTTTGTTATTTATATTTTTACCAATAAATGATACGCGCGGAAGGCGGTATTCCATTTATTATTCTGTAAATTAAAGAAATTTTATATTTTCCAGAATAAACATCAATTTTTGAATGAATTCAGATTTAAAATTTAAAGAATTCACTTATTCAGTACATATAACATTAGATATTCTTGTTTATTATAATTCAAAAATTATAATAAAATTTGTATCAAGAATTTCATTATTCTCAAAAAATAATAAAGTTCTTTATAGCAATTCAATTATTTTCAATACAATTTTTATCAAGTTTAAAAAAAGAATACAATTAATTTTTAAAATATTAATGAAATTCCATTATTTTCAACAATTTTAATATAAATTCAATTATTTTCAACAATTTTCATGAAATTCTTTTAAAAAAATCATTATTATCAAAATTTTTAATAAAATTCCTTAAAAAAAATTCAATTTTTTCAGATAAAATTTTAATTAAATTTCTATAGAAAAAAATTCAATTTTATTCAAGATAATTTTAATAAAATTTCTCTAACAGGTTCAATTATTTTTTAAAATTGTAATAAAATTTTTGAAATTTAATGAAATTCTTAAAAAAAAATGTAATTATTTACAAAAACTTTAATAAAATTGTTTTAAAGAATTAAATTTTCAATGAATAATTCTTGAATAGAATTTTCATAAAACTTTTTTAAATAATTGAATGCCTGCGAAAAAAATTATTATTTCTACAAATAATTGAATTTTTGGCAAATTTTAAAAAAATGATGTAATTTTTTAGGAGAATTTTATTAAAATTGTATTTAAAATAATTGAATTCCTGGGAATTCGAAGAATTTAAAAAAATGTTTAGAAATAATTTCATTTTCCCTGGAATTCAATTAAAATTTTATTTAAAATAATTTAATTCCAGCGAAAATTTTTTATTAAAATATTGAAAATAATCGAATTTTTTTTGAAGAAACTAATAATATTTTTGAAAATAATGAAATTCTTTTGAAAAATTTTAAAAAATAAATTAAATTGTTTCAAATTTATAAAATTTTTAAAAAATAATTGAATTTTTTCTAAAAAATTTTTGTTAAAAATTAAAAATCTAATTGAATTCATTCGTGAAATTTCATTAAAATTGTATTTTGTAAATAATTTAATTCCTCCGAGGAATTTTTCCTTTTAATAAAAATAATTGAATCCTTCCAAAGAATTTTATTATTTATAAAAATAATTGAATATTTTTGCAAAATTTCAAATAATATGTGTATTTTTTAGAAGAATTTTATGAAAATTGTATTAAAAACTCTGTTAAAATAATTGAATTCCTGGGAAAAATTTACTATTTATTGATAGAATTGAATTCTTACGAAGAATTTGAAAAAAATGTTGGAGAATAATTGAATTTTCCCTGGAATTCAATTAAAATTGTTTTTTAAAATAATTGAATTCCAGCGAAAATTTCATTATTTATGAAAATATAATTGAATTCTTGAATAGAATTTTCATTAAAAGTTTTTTAAATAATTGAACTCGTGTGAAATAATTCAATTATTTTTTTGAAATAATTGAATTTTCTCGGAGAATTTTTACAAGGTTTTTAAAAAAGTAATTGAAATTTTCGAAGAAATCAATTAAAATTGTATTGAAAATAAGTGAAATCTTGATAAGAATTTCATTATTTATATATAAAAATAATTGAATTTTTTACGAAGATTTTTATTGTTCAAATAAATTGACTTTTTGCTTAGAATTTGATTACAATTATTGAAAATAATTGAATTCTTGATAAAATTTAATTACTTTCAAAATTTTCAGTAAAAATTATTTTAAAAAAACTTTATTTATTTTCAAGAATATTGAATAATAAATTCTTTAAAACAATTCAATTATTTTGAAGAATTTTAATAAAACACGGATCTTGTCTAGAATTAAATTATTTTTAATACAATTCTAATTACATTTTCCCAAAAAAATTCAATTATTGAAAAAAATGTTGATAAAATTCTTGAAATGAATTCAATTTATAATTAAGTATTTAAGTCAACGATTTCAATGATTTTTTTTCCCAATTTTCCAGTTTTCTTATTTAAAAAACTTTCGTTCTTTTATTATATAATTTTCAAATTGATTTTATTTTAATTCTGAAATTTTATTTATTTATATTTACTCTTTTTCGAGTAAGAGAAAATGAAGAATTTAATTATTTTTCTCTTTTTATTTTCCAGTTTTCCAAGAGTTTGTCGAGAACGCCATCGCCTTTCAAGAAGACTGAGGACATCATTGCTGCTAATAATAAAATGAAACAAGCAATTCTGAAGTGAGTAATTAATTAAAAAATTAATTAAGTTGCTTATTAATTTAAATTCAAAATAGAATTTGAAGATTTTTGATTGATTGACAATTGACTATTTTTTCCAATAATTTTATTCAATTTTTTTTTTTTTTTTTTTTTATTCAGGGAGGACAAGTTGGAATCGCCAAAAGTTATCGCGGAGACAATTGTCATTTCGGGAGCCGAGACTTTTCCACTGAAGAAAGATGAACGTGTGGAAAAAGTGGAGAGAATCGTGAAACAAACGAAAGTTCCCATCGAGGACAAGAAAGTTCAAAAAATCGTCGAAGCGACGAGAAAAATTGTCGAAGTGCCAAAAAAAACGAAGCGCGACAAACGCGACGAATCTTCTGATTCTGATGATAGCGACGATGGTGAGTTTTATTTATTTTTTTTTTTTCATTTTTCAAAAGAAATCTGTGAGATTTCTTTCGAAAAATAAAAAAAAAATATTTTCTACACGAAACAAATTTTCTTTAAAACTTTATTTTTTGACTTTACGTTTTTTTATGTTAATTTTTTCGATCTACGTCCTTTTTCGTTTTTATTTTCTATATTTTTTTTCTCTTTTTTTCTTTTCTATTTTTTTTTTTAATTTAAAAGAAAATTCAAGTTTTGTAAACAAAAAATAAAAAGAAAAATTTACATTTTTAACGAATTGGATTTGCCAGGAATTGAATTTGGAGTTTGTGAAGAGTCAAATCAGCAAAGAAAAATGAATGTTCCAGGCCGTAAGAAGACGAAGAAAGTTGAGAGATCGAGAAAATCGAGGAAAGCATCGACGGAGGATGAAAAATCGGACAAGAGTAAAATTATCTCGAGTTCCGATTCTGAGGACGAGAAGAAAACCGAGAAATCGAAGAAGAATCGCGACACAAGTCGAACTGGTAGATAAAAAACTATTTTTGTAAATTATAAACTATTTTTAGTTTTACAAACTAAACATAATTTTTTATTTAATTATTTTTTCTTTATTTGTCTTTTTTGTGTTAAATTAAATTAAATTCCTTTTTATATTTATTTTTGTTTATTTGTCTTTTTTTCGTTTTAAATTAAATTAAATTTCTTTTTTATTTATTTGTATTTTTTCGCATTAAATTAAATTCTTTTGTATATTTATTTTTGTTTATTTGTCTTTTTTTTTGTTTCAAATTAAATTCTTTTTTTCATTTATTTATATTCTTTTCTTGTGTTTCAGAATCCAACGATCGGGGCAAAGAGAAAAAGGAGCAAAAGCGCCGCGAATCGGAAGTGGAGAAGAAACGTTCGCGTAAAGATAATGAAGATGAGGCAACAACAACGAAAAAATATAAACGTTCGAGGAGAGATTCATCGTCGCCCGAAGAGGAGCAACGCGGTGGTAAAAAAGGACGTGTTCACGACGACGAGAAATTGAAATCAAAGGCAAAATCGTCGAAGAGAGATTCGAGTTCGGATGATGAGCCGAAAAAATCACGTAAACGACGTGAAAGTTCAACGGACGATGAAAAATCGCGAAGCAGAAAATCGAGGAAGGACTCGACTAGTGACGATGAAACGACACGCACTAAATCGAAGAAAAGCAAACGCGACTCGAGCTCGGACGACGAGGAGAATGAAAAGGAGTCGAAGAAAAAGCGAAGCAAGGCCGACGACAGCAGTGATGAGGAGAAGGTGAAGAAGAAGAGGAAGAAGAGGACGAAAACAAGTACCAGTGAATCGGACGTTAGTATTTTTTTCTAATATTCTTTCTTTTGATTTTTTTGCTCTAATTAATATTTATTAGTATTTTGTTTCTTTTCTATTCTATTCCTCTATTTTAATTCTATTTCTATTTTTTTCTATTATTATTTTTTCTGCCTTTTCTATTTTTTTCTTTTTCTATTTTTACTACTTCATGAAAAAAAAATAATAAAATTTTCTAAAAGAATTCAATTATTTAAAAAAAATGTTCATAAAATTCTATGCAAACATTTAATTATTCTTATAAATAATAATAATTTCACAGGAATTCAATTATTTTTATAAATAATAAGAATTTCACAGATATTCAATTATTTACCATTTTTTTTTTTTTTTTATAAATTTCTTCGCAATAATTCAATTATTTTCATAAATAATAAAATTCTTTGTAGAAATTTAATTCTTTACAAAAAAATTTTTCAAAAGAATTCAATTATTTTTATTCAATTCAATTTTTATAATTAAATTCAATTCAATTTTCAAATAATTTTAATCAAATTTGTCAAAAGAATTCAATTTTTTTTTTTTTGCCAACAATTTTAATGAAATGCGTCGCAAAAAGTCAATTATTTCAGTAAATAATAAAAATCTTTGTTGGAATTCAATTATTTTAAAAGATTCAAATAGAATTCTAGAAATAATTCAATTATTCTTTTCAAAAATTTACTAAAACTGGACACAATAATTGAATTATTTCCATAAATAATAAAATTCTTCCCAGGAATTAAATTATTTTCCAAAAATTTTAAACGAAAATTCTTTGCAGTAATTGATTTTTTTTCATAGGAATTCAATTATTTTTTATATACAATTTTAATAAAATTGCACAAAAAATTTAATTATTTAAGAAAAAAAAAACTTTTAATACAATTCTTTGTGAGAATTCAAATATTTGCAAAATTTTTTTGCAAGAATTTCATTATTTTCAAGAATTCAATTATTTTTATAAATAATTATAAAAATTCTCCTCAGAAATTCAATTATTTACAGAATTTTTTTTTTTGATGAAATTCTTTATAAGAATTCAATTTATTGTAAAAACAATCAAATTCTTTGTCAGTAATTAAATTATTTTCATAATTAAAACAAAATTATTGTATAGAAGTTTAATTATTTTCATAAATAATAAAATTATTTGCAGAAATTAAATTATTTTCATAAATAATAAAATTATTTGCTGTAATTAAATTATTTTCATAAATAATAAAAGTATTTGCAAAAAATTAATTATCTTCAAAAAATTTTAATAAAATTATTTTCAAGAATTCAATTATTTTCATAAATAAAGAATTATTCTCCACAGAAATTCAATTATTTACAGAATTTTTTGATGAAATTCTTTATGAGAATTCAATTATTTTTAAAAACAATCAAATTCTTTGACAGTGACATAGGCGAATTTCCCTTTTTTACGGGTAGGGAAATTCTCGTCAAATTTGTTCACAGAAGAGTGCTGTGAAGCTATTAAAGGGGCAGATTGAATTTTTAGTATTTTAAGAGTGGCCGGTTGACCCGCGAGAATTTAGGGGAATGAAAATTTAACCCTTATGGGGAACTGCATGGGGAACCAATGCAACCCTCGGTGCGGCGATGTAGGTTAAATTTTGGTATCGTCGTTGAGCGGGGGGGGGGGGGGGACGTGACAGTGAGGCGGACGATGGGGGCCTTTGAGCTGACATCGTGGTTAGGAGAGAATTGGCAGGCGGTGGGGGACCCAAGGCGGCTGGGGAATAGCTTCCATCCTTCCTTCCTTCTCCGTCTGGCTGCTAGTCGAGGCTCGTAGCATGGAAGATAGGAAAATGGGTATAGGAGAAAAATTAAGCTAGCTTGTGTGATTTCAAGTTTGCTTTTATTTCTTAGCTCGAACCGGTACCTCCCCCTCCAGGCAATGAGAGGTCGGGTACGGTTGTCGAAGTACATTTCTCGGTGATCCGCTTATATCTACGCACTGAGCGAAGTCATATTCGTACGAATCGCGTATGCGCACCACACAGCACTTCATGTAATTAATATGGAAAATTACGTAGCTTTACCGGTAAGTGGCCGAGAACAGGCGCCACCTACGGTGAAAATACCGTAAGGTCGCTCATTTTTCCGGATCGATCAAATAATTAAAAGTGAGGAAAAATCCCTCACGTCAACAGGAATCTAATTATTTTTATAAATAAAAAAAAACTTCTTGTGCAAGAATTTAATTATTTTCAAAAATTTTATTAAAAACATCGTCAAAATTCAAAATATTTCATAAATGAGAAAATTCTATCCAATAAATTGAATTATTTTTTAAGTTTTAATTAAAGTTTTTTGCAGAAATTTAATTTTTTTTTCAATAAAATTTGTCGAAAAATTCAATTATTTTTATTCAATTCAAACGATTCAGTTATTTTCAAAACTATTTGAATAGAATTTCTCGAAAGAATTCAATTATTTTTAGTCAATTCAATTTTTAAAGAATTCTTTGAAAGAATTTAATTATTTTCAGTATAATTTTAATAAAATTTCTGAAAATAATTCAATTATTTTCAAAAATTTTTTTTTTAAATTGTCGCAATAATTGAATTATTTTCATTAAATAAATAAAATTCTTTCCGTGAATTCAATTGTATTTTCAATACAATTTTAATTACTTTTTTTTGCAGGAAATTTTGAAGAATTCAATTATTTAAAAATTTATTGATAAAATTGTTTGTGAATTCAATATTAAGAAAAATTCAATTATTCAATAAATAATTTACTTCTGTATTTAAATAATTGAATTCTCGTAGAATTTTCTAATAAAAATTGATTTAAAAATAAATTTCAATTAAAATTTCAGATAAAAATAAATAAATAAATAATAATTGAATATTAAAAGCATTATAGCGTGAATTTTTAGAAATAATTGAATTTTGAAGGGGTTTCAGGTTAAAACCTTGAAAAATCTCAATTTTTAATTTTTCTAATTCTGTAAAACTAATTTTTTTGAAAAATTTTAATTTCAATTCTGTTGAAACAAATTAAATTTTTTTGAATTATATTTAATTATTTCAAAAGTTTTAACGCAATTCTTCGAAAGAATTCAATTATCTTGATAAATAACAAAATTCTTCCAGTAAATTCAATTATTTTCAGGAATTTTAATAAAATTCTTTGCAAAATTCAATTATTTTCAAAAGTATTAAAATTCTTCGCGGAAATTTAATTTTTTTCACAAAAATAATAAATTTTTTCTTCGTAGAATTTTTTTTAAAATAAAAATTGATTTAAAAATGAATTTCAATTAAAATTTTAGATAATAATTGAATTTTGAAAAGGTTTCAAATTAAAATCTTTTAAGAATTTGAATTTTTCCTACTTTTAACTAACAATTCTGTAGAATTAATTTTTTTTTTTTTTTAAAAGTTTAGGAATTGAATTTTTCTTTGAAATTATTTGAAATTTTTATTTTCTAATATATATTTAATTGAAGAATTTTGGAATAAAATCGAAATTTCACTTAAAATTGAATATTGTAAACAAATGGATTTGAAAATTCTCAAAGAAAATTTTGTCGGAAATCATTAAAAAATAATTGATTTTAAGAAAAATTTTTGTTTAAAATTGTAGAAAATAATAATTGAATTGAAATGATGAAAATAATTTTCAAGAAGTTTGAATTTTATTAAAATTCCTATTATTTATTTATTTACGTATAACATTTGTTTTTTATAAAAAACAAAATAATAATTTTTTTCGTCTTATTTTTTTTTGCAGGAGAGCGAAGTTGAGGAGAAGAAGAAGAAAAAGGACAAAAAACACAAGAAGCACAAGAAACACAAGAAGCACAGAAAGCATAAAAAGAAGCGAGTCGCCGAATCCGAAGAGTCAGACGCAAGCGAAGGGAATACCGAGGAATTGGAGAAGAAACTACGCGAAAAGGCATTGAAATCAATGAAAAAAGGCCACAGCGTAGAACAAAGTGATTAGAAAGAGAAAGAGAAGAAAAAAAAAGTAAAAACAAGAAATGATTCGTAAATTTTTTTCTTTATTTTTTTTTTTATTTCACTTTATTTAAAAAAAGAAAAAAATTTTCCGAATCACAATAAACAATTCTGTTAATAATTTTTTTTTTAAATCACTTTTTTTCTGTTTTTTTTTACTTACTATAAATAGTAGTCTACACGAGATTTTCTCTCCCAGAAAACAACTCTCTTTTTTTTTTATTGTTCTTAAATATTTTTTTTTATTAGAATTAGAATAAACAATTTTTTGAAGTGTTAATAGAAAAAAAGAGAGAAATCATTCTTTTTTTCTTGAAAAAAATAATCGACGATATTTTGAAAATATTTGATGAATTTTCACCAGATGGCAGAAAAGAAAAAAAGTGAATTTTTGTCTTAATTTTAAGAAAGAGATAAAAAATGGAGAGTATTGTCATAATTCATTATATACATATTATATATATATTTAATGTAATACGTTTGTACGCATTCTAACGTATCTGCTATTGATTTTACGTACGTAAATAATAATAATAATATTAATATTAAATAAAGGAAATTTTTAAAAATCTATCTCTGAATTGTAATTTCAAGAATTCGAAAACAAAAAAAAGTAATTCAAAAATAGTTTACGAACTAGATTTTAATAGTTTACAATTTTATGTTTATTATTGTTTACAACAACAAAAAAAACTGTGACGAAAAAATAAAATCTAAAAATAGGGGGAAAAAATAAGTATTTTTCCTTTCACAAATATTGAGTTAATTTTTTTTTTTAATTTGGACGAGAATATTAATTAAGAAAATCGAGAAATTTAAATAATAGAGAAATGATTTTTTTTTCTTTTATTACACTTGCAGCTTTATGAGACTCTCCCAATCGGGAGTACAAATTAAATTCGTATGAACAGGTCCGAGATTAATGAGTTCTCCGGTTATATTTTCATTATCCAATTTCGAGACAACAACGTCCTGGGAAATAAACAGAAACAAAATTATAATTGGAATTATTATAAAATGAAAGAAAAGAATTGCAAATTGTAATTATGAAAGAAAAAAAATTTTAGTCGCAGATTGTAATTAGAAAAGAAAATTATGTCGCATTAAAAAATATTTTTTTCTAAATGAAATTTATAAGATTGAAATTTTATTAATTGTATTGTTTAAAAAATGAAAGACAGAGGTGATACTCACTTCACGGAAAAATACTTGTGGCGCGAGATCAATCGAGAGATTATGATTGCCGAGGCACAATCTCGCAGAGCCGGACTTTAAAATTTGTAGTTTTCCCAAAAATCCCTCCTTCAAATTATCAAAAATATTCTCTGGCTTTTGTTGTTGTTTATTATTGTCAACTTTTGCCTCGGCATTTTTACGCGGTCGAGTATTGTCCTCATCGTCATTATCAACAGACTCGCCTGGTAAGCAGTCGGTGAACTATTTTTTTTTTTTTTTTGGAAAATCAAAACAATATTATTTATATTATATTACAATTACCTAGAATATTTTTTTGTATGTTAAAAAATTAATTTATTAACTACATTAACTAATTACTAAAATGACTAATTAATTAATTTATTGCTTTCAATTATTTACTTCAAATTTTTTCCTTCATTCGCTTGGAATTTGTAAAATAAAAAAAAAAACTAATAACTCTCGTACCCGAATTAGAAAATATCCATTTGCTTTGTTTTCCAAACTCTGGGAAATATTCAACGGTATTTTTTTCTCATCCTTCACGTTCTTGCGGAATAATTCTTTTCCGACATTTTTTTCTGTAATATATATTTTTTTAAAAGTTTCATGACAATAAAAAGAGAAAGTACAAAAATTAACAAATAGAAAAAATTTGAGAAAAGAATAAAAAATCAAAAACTAAAAAATAAAGAAGTAAAAAGAATTGAAAATTAAAGAATAATTTAAAAAAGAATTGAAAAATAAAAAAATAAAAGGAAGAAAAAGGAAAAAGTATAATGAAAAAAAAAATTGTTCCATAAATAGATAAAAAAAAAATACCAACTTTTGTCATGTTTGACAAATGCAGTCTTCTTTTTCTCATCTCCCACATTATCATCGATTTGTTCATTGGCTTCAATTTTCACCTCCTCCTTGAATAATTTACCCTCGGACGTTATTATTGGCAGGACAATGGGACAATTTTGATTATCAAATTCTCCATTCTCATCGTCATTGTCAATGAAATCGTCGCGCAATAATAATTTCAATTTCTCCTCCTCTTGCTCCTTGTCGACAATGCGACCCGCATTTAATTTCGGTCTCTGCAATAGTTCCTGTGTCGAGCAACGATCGCCCGCTTCACGATAGCCGGAAAATCGTGCTCTCGAACGTGGACTGTCGGCGAAACCCTCCGCAAACACTCCCGATGACTGAAGAAAAAGACAATTTCTCTCTCAGTAATTTTCTTCTCCGAAATTCAATTATTTTCAAAAAATTTAATAAAATTCTTGGCAAAATTTCAATTATTTTCAAAAATTTTCCTCATTTCAATTATTTTTAATATCTATTTTAATAAAATTTTCCAAAAGAATTCAATTATTTAAGCGAAATTTTAATAAAAATTACACAGGAATTCAATTACTTTCTAATTTTTTATTTTCTTCGCACCAATTCAATTATTTTTAATTTTTAATAATGAAGTTTATCGAAAGAATTCAAATATATTCAAAGAATAGAAAAAAATAGTTCTGAGAAATTCAATTATTTCGCAAAATTTAAATAAAATTCTTTTAAAAATTCTATTATTTAACAAAATTTTGACAAATTTTATTAAAATTTTTGTAAAAAAAATAATTTCCATTTCTAAATAATTGAATTGTTTTTGTGAATTTTATTAAATTTTTTTTTTTAAATAATTAAAGTTTTTCCGAGAATTTTATTGGAAATTTCCAAAATAATTGAATTTCTATGAATAAATATTTTTTAATACCTGTATATATTTGGAATTATCCTTTTTCTTCCAGTCGTGATCTTTATCACCTCCCCTTCCCTTGCCCTTGCCCTTTTGATGTTTGTTTTTTGCATTTTTTGGATTTTTCTGCACAACTTCTGGTTCACCACTAGGAAAAATAAAAAATCGCAAATTTATTTTCCCGATCCCTAAAAAGCAGGTAAAGAAAAAATTCGAAAAATAAAATTTCCAAACTTACTCTTCTTTCTTTTTTCGTTGGGCATTTAAATTCGGTGTGTAGACTTTTTTCGGTTTATCTAATTTCAATGAATTGCCACCGAGTGTTAAATCACGTGGGGCAAGAAATGACGTTAAACGTGTTGTCGATGAAAACTGTGATTTTGATGGAAAATTATTTGTAACTTCAGAAGGAACCGACGAATTTCCCGTTGTATTTGTATTTAATTTTTTCTCTGCCATTATAATATTAATATTCTATTCGAAAAAATGAAAACCAAGAAAGTTTATTTCATTTTTATTAATAAAAGACTTATTTGTTTAGAACTCCGAAAACTTTAAAGTATACTTTGAAGGCTTTAATTTAACGTAAAAAGAGAAAAAGAAAACAACAAATTAAACTAACATAACCTATAACAAATTTTTACACTTTAAACTCAGAAGCGAAATAAAAGAAAATTCTTTTATTACCTGATTTTGGATAATTGTGAAGATTGTGATTAATGGAGAATTAGCTTTGAATAACGTTTCGAAATGATTTACTTTATCACTTTATCATTTACATGTTTCTAGAAAAAAACATAACCTTAAAATGTTAAAAAGTAAAAAGAGACAGGTAAATACTGTGAAGTTGGTCAATTATCAACAGGGTTGGGAAAGAAAAGACTCGAAGAGAGATGAAGCAGAGTGCAGACACTCAAGGTACGGTCACAGCTCTGCTGCCTGCCTGCCTGCCTGCGCAGGCAGCCGGGAAATTCGTGAAATTGTCCACACCACAATTTTCCGCTGGCGCGACTGCAATAAAATTACCGCCAAATTTGAATTTGAATAAAATTAAAAATTATTATTTAATGTTTATTATTAATAAAAATGAATATTAAAAACTTAGAAATACCGCAATATTACTATTTTAATGGATGATTCGTTATCGTAGTGAAAATAATTCCTCATTATTTTATATAAATATATCATATATATCATGAGGTATCCTAACCTTAAAAGTTATAACCGAGTGTCGCATGTTGGTAAGTGCACGCATATTTTAAGATCCTTTTATATAACTTTATATATTAAAGAAATTTAATTTAATTAATTAATTAATTGATATATTTTTCACTCATTTTAAAATTTTTCCTTTCTTTGTAAATACAATTAAATAATATGTTATTTAAAACTTTTCATTACAAATAGGTTAAGATGCTTACTGCGTGCTTTTTATATTCTTTAAAATAAACCAATATTCCTTTTTATTCATATATAATTGTGCTTTTTGTGCTTCAACATTTTTTTATCGTTTTCATTCTTATATTAATTAGCTTTTTCATTCAAACATTTTAATTTTTTCTGCTCCAGAACCTTTTATAATTTCTCAAATTAATTTTGTAATCATTTTATGCTTGTTGCTTTTCAGCTTATTTAGATATTATCAAAATGGCTGATTACAGTTTTAATGGTGTAAGTTAAAATATAATGATATTTGTCAAAGTAATAAATTAAATTTGTAGGTCGTAATACATTTATAAAAATTTTCAGATTTTGAAGTCAGTATATTGTGGCCTTTGCTTTACCAAATTTTCGTTTGAATGTATACACAAGCACGCATGCTTTGCCGGAGCAACAGAAGACGAATTATCTATCATCGGAAATGTTGTAAACCTATCAACTGCAGAAACAATTCATAACGTGAAATCAAAGGTAAGACATATAAGTTAACTGAATTAAATTTTGTTGATAAGAAAAATTCTGTCTAATAGAATAATAAAAATTAATTCAAATTTCTACTGTTGCAGATTAATGAATCAGAAATTTCAAAACAGAAAAACATAAATGGGCAAAATGATATTGAGCTTGCTGATAATGGTGAAGCCCTTCTAAGTGATACAAATCTTATCCATTTAATAGAATATGTAAAGAAAGAACCATGTATATGGAATTATAAATTGCCTATTAGTGCACGAAGTCCGGCTAAAGTTGCTGATTCTTGGATGAAAATTTCTCGTTTATTCAGAGGTAAAGTATATTTATATACTTAAGCATTTTTGAAAAATATAAAGTATAGTTTTCTCCTTGTTTTTATTTGAAAATTAATATTAGAATACTATTAACGTGACAATACTGCCATATAATTGAAAGACTGTTGTATTGAACGTTATTGCTTTGATTTATTTCGCAATGTTTACATAACAGAAACTTCAACTAAAGCGACAATGGACTTGCCGTATTATTTGAATGACTAAATAAGATATATTTCTTCATGTATATTATTTTGTGAAATATTATTTTAGATTATTATTGTTTGAATCCATTGAAAAATTGAATAATATTAAACTTTCTTTAATTATTCTAAAATACTCGCTTATTAGTTTAAAAAAGATGTTGAAATAAAATAAAAATATTTATTATCGCTAAACTTTAGGAATAATAAAAAAATCTCAATTCAATTGACTCTTTAAATAAGTACAAAATTGGTATATTTTTAAATTAATTATTTTTTTAATTGAAAATTTGTCGAAGGAATATCCATATTCTAATTAAGATAAAATGTTTTTAAAATTAAACACACTGCAGTTTGTAAAATGATTTTTATTTTTTCCATACAGGTTGGACTCCTGAAATTACTAAAAAAAGATTTTCAAATCTTAATTAAAACCTCCTACTACAGGAGAAAAAAATCTCCACCCAGCGGTTCTGGAGCTCAATATCTAAAGTCGTGGGCGTTCGACATTCACCTATCATTTTTAGATGATGTTAGAGCAGATGAATCTAGAGTGTACGTATTTATACTAAAATTATTATTACTTCTAATTCTAATAATCGCCCTTAATGTCATTCCTTCTTTATGTACCCACACGAAAATTACCTACTCATATTTAATAGTTTATGTTTAGTTTTGTTTATTTGAAAATATATATTTTTTAAATAATTTCTTTCAAACAATTAATATTTTGCCTTTTAAAAAAATATATTTTTATAAATTATATCAACTTTTTTTAAATATGACAATAATTAATTTTAACAAAATGTATCGGAATTTTCAAGTGTTTTGAAAAGTTTTTAACTAATTGTTTCTCAGAATTCAATTATTTTCATAAAAGTTTGCTTAATTACAATACTATTATTATTCAAAAATTCCAAAAATTTTTGCAATTTTTAACTGAAATTCTTCTTTAAAAAAATTATTTTGATCAATTTTAGGAAAATTTTTTTTTCTGATTTTGATTACTAAAAACGAAAGAAGTTTTTTTTGAAATAAATTTAATATTAAATTTTTCACTTCATTTTAAAAATTTAAAAATTAAGGCGGTATTTAATTTAAAACATTATAAATTTAAATTTTCCAAATTATTAACTAGAAACCTTTTAAATTTAATTACTATTTAACACAGAAAATTATTATTTTAATGCGGTGTATGGAAAACCATATTTTGATATAAAATTTCTAATTTCACTTTCATTTTGTAGGAGTAGATCGAATGTATCTTCGATTGAATTACAATCAAACTCTGATAGTAATTCATCACAAGAATACTTTTCCTGTTTAGAAGGTTCTGAGGATGAATTGCCAAAGGATATAAAAGATTACGGTTTTACAAAAAATTCTCCAGGTATTGTTAAATTAATTTTTTAAATAGTAGTGACGAAAGGTTTTTAAAGAGTCAATTTGAAATACACGAATTACGTAAAGATATTTGAAAAAAGAGGTAATAATAAATTACTTTTATAGTGTGAAGTTTCTTTTTCAATCGTAGCTATACTGTTTTGTGAAGAAAGTGTTCTTTATGAGTTTTTCACACTGAAAAAAAAATTTGACAAATTGTGCTTTTTATACTCAGGCAAATTTTGCCTAAGAACAAAAGCAATACACGCAAAGCAATTGTTTCTTTAAAAAAAAGTAATTTTTGCCTTCAAAAAAGGTAAAAATTGCCTTAGTTAAAATTTTTTTCTTTCAAAAAGGCAAAATTTGCTTTTTTTAAATAGAAACAATTGCTTTGTGTGTATTGCTTTTGTTCTTAGGCAAAAATTACCTGAGTAAAATGCACATTCTGTCAAATTTTTTTTTCAGTGTATAGTATTCATCATTCATTACAATTTTACTTTTATAAAGTTTGAAATTTCTTTCCTGTAGAATTTAGCTTCAACTTAATTCCTCAAAAAATATTTACACAATTAAAAAAACTGTTTCTTATTGTTTTTAGGAAGAAAGCGTAAAGAAAAGGAGGATCCAATAGAGTCAGCACTTCTCCAATTAGTGTCAAATAAGTCAATGAAGGTAGACAGGAAGGAATCTCATTCTCCATTGCAACAGTGGGGCGTCTGGCTTGCAAATGAATTGATTAAGTTTGAAGACGAAACAGAAAGATTAGAAATGCAAAATTACATCACTTCGTACATAATAAGGAAACGCAGAGAAAGTAATTTATAATGATGACATTTTGTTTTTATCTTCGCTTAAACATTCTTTAACTTAAAACGAACCTGACTATAATATGAACCAAAGGCCAAGGAATTAGTGAATTTCTTAATGTTGTTTTATTTTTTCTTTTATTATATTTTAAGTTAGATTTAACGCGCTACGATAAAAGTGATAAGTGTAAGAGCGACTGATATAAACTTTTATTATTATTATTATTTAGTTCTCATTACAAATGAGTTATCAGTATTAAATATACTTTTAATGCCAACGCTTTTTAAAAGCGACATTCAGAAAATTGTGCATTTTAACACATTTAAATTGAGATAAAATACGATTTAATTTTCCAATCGTTTCTTTAAATTGGAGGTAACAACGCTTTTCAGCGTAATTGTTAAATGTTAATTTCATCGTAAATACAACGTATTGCAATATTTCTTACAAGTTATATAAATATTATACAAAATGTTGTTTAATTACTTATTTTAATAACTATAATAAGAAAAACGCGCATTATAGTAGACGTGAAATGTTTTATAAACGAGTACAAAAAGTTATTAAAGTTTATTTATCAAAAAACACATCACTTATTATTCAATGTTTTTTCTTAATTCGTTATAAAATAGTTCAAAAATTTAATTATATTTTTAAAATTTTAAGACAGATTTTTTTAATTTTTAATATTTTTTTAAAAGATTCAATTACTTGCTACAATTTGCATAAATCTTTCGAAACTATTCAATTATATTTCTTAATTATTACATTTTTTTGCAAAAATTCGTAATACTTTCTAATAAAATTTCACGAAAGAATTCAATTTTTTAAATTTTTAATAAAATTTTTCAATATAATCCAATTATATTCTAAAATTTTAATAAATCCTTCGAAACAATTCAATTATTTTTAGATGTTATAGTAAAATGAATCGCAAAAATTAATCTATTTTTATAAAGAATAAAATTGTTCTGAGGAATTCAATTATTAACAAAATCGTTTACATTCAATAAATGAAATGAAAGACATTTTTTGTAAGACTTTAATTATTTTCTATATTTTAATAAATTTCCTTTAATAAATCGTATTATTTTAGAGAAATGTAAAAGAAATTGATCATAAATTTTAATTACTTTTAAAATTTCCCATTAAAATTATTAAAAAAAACTTAACAGAATTTTGAGAACATATATCGCGGTTTTTGTTTTTTATTTTGCTGAGATTCTCTACCGTGAATCTTGATTGTTATTAAAATGAATTTAATTAAAAGAAAAACAATTCATTAAACAAAATAATTTATTGTACTGCAGGACAATACATATTACAAATAATTTATTGATATAGAATTTGTAAGAAAATCATTACTATACACATTTTTCGTATATTATAAAATATATACATTTTAATTTTTTATAACTGTTGGTGACAAAGCAAAACATTATTGTTTTTTTGTTTATCGAACAAAATTCTAAAAAAATCAAAAACAAAATAATACAAAATATTATTCAGAACATTCCTTCGTCAACTCTTTCCTGTTGCCATGGCACACTTCCTCGATTTAAAAAATAATCCATTAAAAGTTTTCTAACACGAATGGCACTTAAGTTTTGGACAAAATTATGTTGAAAAGGAGAAAAGGCGTCTATTTCTTGTCCGTTCCCCATCTGTTCCACAAGATTTCTTGGGCAATAATGCCTTTCGTCTTCAGCATACTGTAACTCTTCTTGTCGAAGGTAATTGTGAAGACAGGTAGCAGCGAGAACGATTTTTTTAATATTATCTTCTCTGGCATTAATAGGTTGGCGAAATATTCTCCATTGAGATGCCATAATGCCAAATGTATTCTCAATGGTTCTTCTTGCCCTGCTTAACCTGTAATTAAATATCCGCTGCTCATTAGGCATCCGACCAGTTGATCGACCGGGAAATGGACGCATAATATTAACATGTAGAGGAAAAGCTTCATCAGCCACACAAAAATACGGCAACATTGGTCCTCCAGGGTATAATTTAGAAGGGTGTGGAATTTTTAATTGTTTATTAAATAATTGTTTTCCAAAGTTGCTTTTTTGCAGAACTCCGCCATCACTTTCCCTGCCCCTTCCTCCAATGTCAACTATTATAAATTTATAATAGGCGTCACAAACAGCCAATAAATTCAAACTATGCTGCTTTTTGTAATTGAAGTTGGTAGAACCACTGTGTGGTTGGGCCTATAAATTTGGATTTAATTTATATTAATTATCGTTGTGTTCTGGTAATCTATTTGCAGTTTAAAGTTAGTTGTTTTTTATTTTTTGTTTCTTAACTTTTTAAATAATTTTTCTTTTCAATATTTTTAAATTTTAAATTAATGAAGGTATAGAATTCATTGAATTCTTTTAAAAAAATCTGAGAATAAATTCCTTCAAACAATTTTATTTATTCATGAATATAATTAAATTCTCGCAAAGAATTTTATTAAAATTTTTTAAAATCCTCATTAACTCCTTTGGGCGAATTTCTTTGAATTTCTAAATAATAGAGTTTCTTTAATAATTTTAATTGAAAATTTTCAAAGGAATTACAATTTTTGAACATAAATTTTTTAAAGTTTCTAAAATAATTCAAATTGTTTTAAAATAATATAATTTATTCAAGGAATTTTATTAAAATATAGAAAATAATTAAATTCTTTCGAAGAATATAGACGCGTATTTTTTGCTAGTTAGTTAATAATATCCTATAAAATAAAATTAGATTGCAGCAAGATTAATTAATCAACAGGGTGGCCACCAAAACTCGAGAATAAAATTCACGTCTATTTCCCGGTTTTTTCAAGGTTTTTAGGAAATTTTCAAGGTTTTTTTGGTGGTTCAAATCTTACTATAGTAATACTGAAAAAATACAACTATTTCCACATTTTTTATTACTTTTTATTGCCGAATTTTTATAGGCTTTTCTAACGATTCTGAACAATCAATCGTATATATTTTTAAAAGTTCAGGGTTGACACAAATATTTAATTTTATTTTTTCCTGATTTCCAGACAAAATTTTCACTTTCTCCCTGACCATAAAGAATATTCTTATAAGAATATTATTATAAAACATGAAGATATAAATCACTCCGGGTCTTCGACTCGGAGTGATTTTATAAAAATTTTAATTTCCATAAAATTTTTCAGAAAAAAAATTAAATTATTTACAAAAATTTTAATCAAAATTCATTGCAAGAAATCAATTATTTTCATGAATAATAAAATTCTTCACATGGTTTCAATTATTTTTAATTAAATTTTAAATAAATTTCTCGAAAAATAAAATTATCTTCAAAAATTTTTTGCAAGAATTAAATTGTGTACATTTTACAAATAACGAAATTCTTCGCTGAAATTCAAAAATTTTCAAAATTTACATTTTTAATACAAGTTTTCAAAAGAATATAATTATTTAAATAAAATGTAATAAAATTCCTTGCATAAATTCAATTATTTTTACAAGTAATAAAATTTTTCACGTGAATTCAATTATTTAAAAAAAAATTGATAAAATTCATTGTAAGAATTCCATTATTTTCATAAATTATAAAATTTTTCTAAGGATTTCAATTAATTATAATACTATTTAAATTGAATTCCTAGAAAAATAGAATTATTCTCTTAATTTTTTTGTAAGAATTTAATTACATTTCAAGAATATAATGAAATTCTTCGTTGAAATTCAAATATTTTCACAATTTACTTTTTTAATAAAAGTTCTCAAAAGAATTCAATTATTTAAAAAAATGTAATAAAATTCGATGCAGGAATTCAATTATTTTCATAAATAATAAGATTCTTTACATTATTTCAATTATTTAAAAAAAATTTGAAAAAATTCATTGCAAGAATTCAATTACTTTTATAAATTAATAAATTTCTTCACAGTATTTCAATTATTTTTAATACAATTTTAAGTAAATTCTTCGGAAAATGTCACTATTTTCAAAAATTTTGTTAAAATTCATCGAAAGAATTCAATTATGTATTTTTAAAAATTCATGCTTTAATGCTTTTAATATTCAATTATTATTTAAAATTTTAACTAATATTTATTTTCAAATCAATTTTTTTTGGAAAATTATACAAGAATTCAATTATTTAAGTACAAAAATAAATAATTTATTAAATAAATGAATGTTTTTCGAAACTAAATTATCATAGAGAATTTTATTAAGAAATTTGAATTTTATCTAGATATTTTAATAAAATTTTCAAGAATAATTAAATTTTTCGAGGAATTCTATTAAAATTGTATTAAAAATAATTGAAATTCTATTATGAGTTTTATTATTCATGAAAATAATTTAATTTTTGTACAAAAAGTTATTATTTATGAAAATAATTGAATTATTGCGAAAAGTTTGCTTAGAATTTTATCAAAAATTTTTTTTAAATAATTCAATTCTTTTGAAAAATGTTATTAAAACTGTAGATATTGAAAATCATTGAATTGAGATAAATTTTTTGAAAAAAATTGAAATTTTGCAAAGAATTTTATTAAAATTTTTGGAAATAATTGAAATTTGGAGAAGAATTTTATTATTTTTAAAAATAATTGAATTTTTATGAGAATTTTTTAAAATTTTTGAACATAATTGAATTTCTGCGAAGAATTTTATTACTTTTGAAAATAATTGAATTTCTGCAATCATTTGTAACTTTTGAAAAATTCAATTTTTTCCAGTTACTTAAATAAAAATCCCTGATTTTTCCCTGAATTCCCTGATCAAAAAATAAAATTTTAAAAATGGTCAAAAAAATTTTTTTTTAGTTTTAATAATATATATAATACTAAAATTCAAGGTTTTTAAAAAAATTCACGTCCAATTCACGGTTTTCAAGGTTTCAAGGTCCGGTGGCCACCCTGATCAATATCTGAATAATTAAAATATTTTTATAAATAGTATTTTTCACAAAGAAATATATATTTTCTATTATGACTTTATTTTAAGAAAATAAGCATTTTTTCAAAACGGTGTGCTTCTTCGAAAATATGAACGATAACGTTATAGAGAATTTTTTTTCTTTTTGTAGAAAATAATATTAATAATAATAATATTTTAATTATTAAAATGTCAATTAGTTATTTTTATAGGATTCTGCATTCTGTTGGATAAACCACCTTAATTAAAAATTTGAAATACTAATATAACTGTGTTCCAAAAAAATTACCTGCATTACAATGTGCTTTCCATCCATTGCTCCCCAGCAATGAGGAAATTGCCATTGGTCTTCAAAACCCTTGCAAATTTTCTTCCATTCTGCATTTGATTTAGGAACTGGCATTACTTTTGGCTGCAATTTTGTCCAAATTACGTCTAAAGTATTATAAATAATACTCTGGACTGTTGACTTCCCCATTCTAAATTGCATATGCAGCGAAGAAAAGGTTTCACCAGTGGCTAAAAATCTAAAAGTAAGCATAAGTTAAACTCCTGTAGGTGGAAAATACGGAAAGTTATATATTCTAATTAAAAAATGCTAAAAACAATTACGATAAAGTTGAGGTGAATGTATCATTTAAACTGAATCCCGTTCCATTTGTTTTAAAAGTACCCAAGGGGCACACGATAACTAAAAGGCATTAAAATGTTGACATCTACTCAAAACGATAACTTGAAGTTATGAAAAAGAGAAGTGTGCCCGCTAGGTATAAAAAAAATTTGAACCATTTTTTAAAAATTTGTAAACTCTAAAAATTAAACTAATGAGGTAGGTCGTTTTTATGCATAAATGCATATATAAAAAATAAAATAATTTGATTTAAATAACCTTAATGTCAACATTAATTTCGTGGACGGATTAATGATGTCCTTGCGAGTCGGAAAACTCACTAAAGAAGGACCAACTTCCTGTAGAAGGTTTTCATATTCTACAACGCTCATCCTAGTGTAAGATCTGAATAACAATTCGTCCACAATTGCCAATTCAGCTATTAGATTATTGTGTAATCCTGAAAAATTAAATAAATTGTAACAAATTTTTTTTTATTCATAAAAAATATAAATAGTCTAAAACCAATAATGACAGTAAGATTCAAGTTTAAAAATAGAAAACAATTTTTTATTACTTCTAATAAGTGTAGACATTAAAATTAACATTAATATGTGTGAATTAATCTTTGAATTTTAAAATAGCTTTGTCAATATTACCCTTTATTTCTCTACTCTTCCACAGAGGATGTACGCGAAACCTTCTTTTTTTTTTTCGACGCAAAAGACATAACATCGCTAATAAAATATTATTTTCATTATCTGATGAAGATGAATCGCTTGAGTTACAGTAATTTACTTCTATATTATCCATTGCTAAAAGATAAATAAAAATAAAATTTGCCATTGAGAAAAGAGAATAGAAACATGAGAATATATAATAAAATAAAATCCATTATCAGATGTATAAAATTAATTATGTGATTGTGAATTATGTTGAAATAATATTATTAAATTTAAATATAAATAAATTATAATTTAATTTGATTATATATTTTAATAATTAATATTAATTTGTGAATTATTTGATCTTGAAGTAAAAATGTTAGTGGAAAAGTCGTAAACATACTTTGAACTGTACTTGTGGTGTCTAATCACTAGTTTTCCGTAGTAGCTTTAATTACATTACTTTAATATATACTTAATATATGAAGTTATAATTATATAAAAATAATTAATAATAATATTATGATATGCGTGCACTTACCAACATGCGACACTTGGTTATAACTTTTAAGGTTAGGATACCTCATGATATATATGATATATTTATATAAAATAATGAGGAATTATTTTCACTACGATAACGAATCATCCATTAAAATAGTAATATTGCGGTATTTCTAAGTTTTTAATATTCATTTTTATTAATAATAAACATTAAATAATAATTTTTAATTTTATTCAAATTCAAATTTGGCGGTAATTTTATTGCAGTCGCGCCAGCGGAAAATTGTGGTGTGGACAATTTCACGAATTTCCCGGCTGCCTGCGCAGGCAGGCAGGCAGGCAGCAGAGCTGTGACCGTACCTTCAGACCAGGTCAAGAGAGCATAAAGTACGATTCACATGGCGTCGGGTTGCATTGTTTCCGCTTTACTTGAACGCAGTTACCGCACCCTGAACCAAGATGTCGCCAAAAAAATCTCCGAAATGTTTACAAAAATCGTGTTTCTAACGTTTGAATAACTCACAAAAGAAAACATTTTTTTTTCTTTTTTTACTATATTGACACCATTGACACGAATCGGAAAATGACACTTCTGTTTATTTTTCTGATTTTTTAAATCATCAAGTGTGTTTTTTGTCACATAACCTCAAAAGAAAAGAAAAAAAATAAGGGAAAAAATGGGTAAATTTTTTGAAATAACACGGAAACTATCGAATCAAATGAGATCACGTAGAAGAGTCGTTATCACTGGAATGGGCATTGTCTCTCCTCTTGGTTGTGGGATCGAGACATCATGGAAATCATTACTTGCCGGTAAATCCGGTGTTGTAAAACTCGAGGGTCCAGATTACGAGAAACTTCCATGCAAAATTGGTTTGATTTTTATATATTTCTCCTAATTTCCCTTGTTTTATTTAATTCTTTAATATATTCATTATATTTTGTTATTAGTTGGATTATTTATTATTTTTTTGGTTCTATATATACATGACTTCAATGTATGGGTGTAGCAATTTTTATTTTCTGACGAATTTTCATTGACGAACATTCCTAAAAAGTTTAATATCTTCCAAATTAACGTTTTAAAAACATTTACTATTCTAAAAATGTTTCTAGAACATTAAACGTTTTTAAAATTTTAATTTGTCAGACATTAAACGTTTTACGAACGTTCCTCGAACATGAATGTATTTATTGACCTTTCGGTAACAGAATAAAAGGCAGAGATTAAAAATGTTTTTCTAGTTAAAAATTTAAAAAAAATAGTTAAATCAACATATCTGTAAATTAAGAAAAAAAAATTTTCTGATTTCTATTTAATAATAATAATTATTGACTTTTTTAGGTGCCATCGTTCCAAAGGGTGATAAACCCGGTGAATTAAATTTAGAGGCGAAATTTACAAAAAGTGAACTACGAACAATGTGTAGAGCGACGGCGTACGCATTAATTGCAGCTGAAGAGGCATTAATTGATGCAAATTGGCGACCTGACAATGAAAATGATCGACAAGATACAGGCGTTGCCGTTGGCGTTGGAATGATTGATCTCGTTGATGTTTGTACAATGTATGAGACATTGAAAAACAGTTACAGTAAAGTTAGTCCATATTTTGTGCCAAGAATATTGCCAAATATGGCAGCTGGTCAAATTAGCATAAAATATGGATTTCGCGGGCCAAATCATTGCGTTTCAACGGCATGTGCAACTGGTGCTCATTCCATCGGTAAATGAAATTTTTATACATTTTCATCATATGAGAAGGTATATTTTATTCTTTTTGCTTTTTATCGATACTTTTTTAATGATAGAAAGCAAAAAGATAATAAAAATGATAAAAAGAAATCTAGGTTTCCATACACGAATGTATATTATTTCTTTTTTGAAGAAATTTAATTTATTGGTTGAAAATTCTTTTTTTTTAAAGAAGGTAAAGAATTGTTGGCAAATGGACAACTCGTGAATTATGGTGTACACTTGTGTTGAAATATCCTGAATTATCTTGAATTACTTTAAATTATCTTGAATTACTCTGAACTACTTTGAATTATCTTGAATTACTATAAATTATCTTGAACTTGAATTACTCTGAATTATTTTGAATTACTCTGAATTATCTAGAGTTGCTTTGAATTATCTTAAAGTATTCAGAATATTCTAAATTGATAACCTAGTTCAACGACGAATCCGAAAAAAAGAAATTTTCCACTGCTTCCAGGTGACGCTTTTCGTTTTGTACGAGGTGGCGAGACAAATGTGATGCTCTGCGGTGGTGCCGAATCATGTATTTCACCATTGGCAATTGCAGCATTCTGCCGTCTACGTGCCCTAAGTACGTCACGTAATGATTTTCCACACGAGGCATCAAGACCATTCGATCGTAGCCGTGATGGTTTCGTCATGGGCGAAGGTTCATCAATCCTCGTCATTGAGGAACTAAATCACGCTCTTCAAAGAAATGCCAAAATTTACGGCGAAATTTTAGGTTATGGTCTCTCAGGTGATGCGGCCCACTTGACAGCGCCTAGTGAAGATGGCAGTGGCGCCTTATTGGCAATGGATAGAGCACTAAAAGACGCTGGTTGTGAGAAAACAGATGTGACATATGTCAATGCACACGCTACATCAACGCCACTGGGCGATACAATTGAATTGCGCTCAATTGAAGCACTATTTGGCGAGCATACATCCAATGTCTTTGTCTCAAGTACAAAAGGTGCGCACGGTCATTTATTGGGTGCCGCGGGTAATTTAGAGGCTGCCTTCACAATTTTAGCGTTAAAAGAGGGAATTATACCGCCTACAATAAATTTACACGATTTAGACGCTGAGAGTACGCCATTGAATTTTGTGCCTAATGTTCCTAAGGAGTGGCCAATCACCGAGAGGAGGATCGCTTTAAAAAATGCCTTTGGCTTCGGCGGTACAAACGCCTGTCTCTGCTTAGCAGAATTCCGCGAATGAAGGCTTTGTAGGTTATGTTCGATAATAAGTAAACTTTACTTTTTCTTATAAAGAAAAATCGGAGTTTACTTCTAGTTTACACTATGTGTATATGTATATTGTAAAATAGGAAAAAAATGTTACTTGTAAAATATTTTTTATGTACCATGTTATATTGTAAATAAAATACTGCAATATTTTTATTATAATTATTAATGTACCTTTCTGACCAAAAACTTTTCTAATAAAGTTTCGCGTTCCCAGACTTGTTGTCAGGAATATAAACATAATTTGCAACCCAACAAGTTTTTAGACTTGTTGTCAGGAATATAAACATAATTTGCAGTCCGGTTGACAAACTTCTGTGCAAACCGTAAGATATTAATTTTATCATCAGTCAAGAGACACAAAATTCTCTCGTTGTTATGAATACAGACAAATAAGTTGATACAGAACGACAACACAAGTATCAAATAACTATTAACAAATATATTTAAACTCATAACAATTCTAAAGAAAAAAAATGTTGACATTGACACTGGACTAGATTTGTTTAATAATTAAAATCTTTTAATGGTAATAACCGTAATGACAATCTGACAATGTACACCCATGGCGGCCATTTTTTTTAATTCACTTCATGACCGCTAGTATCGCATAGCAATTTTAAATCCCCAATAAGGTAGTCCAAGTTGGGTGGGGGAAATTCAATATGGCTGACATCAGCTGATTTACCGGAGGACAATCAATGCATTGAATTCAATGGGACAAATCAGTTTTTTAACCATAACTTTTTAAATATTCATTTTTGAACCATAGTGTAATGGAAAATTATTCTTTATTTATCGAAATCTATTTTTTAAAACAATAAAACCAAAAAATTTAATTTTATTGTTTTAAAAAATAGATTTCGATAAATAAAGAATAATTTTCCATTACACTATGGTTCAAAAATGAATATTTAAAAAGTTATGGTTAAAAAACTGATTTGTCCCATTGAATTCAATGCATTGTTTGTCCTCCGGTAAATCAGCTGATGTCAGCCATATTGGATTTCCCCCACCCAACTTGAACTACCTTATTAAACAAAAATACGAGTCGAGCTATAAATATTAGGTTATGTCAAAGTCAATATGCAATTTTTACAGAATTTAAATTAAAAAATTCGCATCGACTTTAACATTCCATTAAAAAAAAAAAAATGTAGGAGTAAACAAGGGGAATTTGAAAGAAAAATCGTAATTAATTTTTGTTCATTTACTATGTATATAATATATAATATTTATATTTATATATATAAAACATACGTACGACAATAAAGGAAAGACAGTACAAATGTAATTTTTTCACAAGGTACGTAAAAATGTAAGAAATCCATTTATTTAAAAAAAGAAATCGACGGACTTTTATTTAAAAAAAAATTAATCAAACTCACGGGGTAAAAGTAACACAAAAGAATGTATATATACTAATACGGGGGCAATAGAAGCATTTCAAAAAGTGAAAAAAATAGTTTCAAAAAAAACTATAAATAAATCCAGGACAAAAAAAATGTAAAATTCTCTTTCCCGTCATAATCTTAGTGTTAAAAAATCATTTGTGATTAAAATTAAAAAAAAAAAATTTGTACGCATAATTTTTTTTTTTTTTTGTCTTTTTTTTTAGTTTTGTTCAATAAAAAAGTGAAAATTGTAAAAAAGAGAAGAAGAAAAAAAAATACTAAGAAAAGAAATTGTTCAAGAATCAATTCAAAAAAACGAAAAGATACTTTACACTGGAATGCAACATTTATTATTACTTTTTTTTATATTAAATTTGTTTCTGTTTTTCAATAAAATGACTATTTTTTTTTTATTACAACGATGATATTTATTTTTTTTTTTCATATGCGTGATTAATCGTGCATTTTTTTTTTTTTTTTATTAAATTCTCTTATATAGCACAAATTCTCCAAAAAAGTAACTAAAAAAATATTAAAAAAAAAAAACATGTAGATTTAAAAAAAGATTTTAAAAAACTAGTAAAAACCTAAATTTTTTTTTATTAAAAAAAATAGAAAAGAAAAAACAAAACTAAAATAATTAAAAAAAAAAATTCTCAATGGAAAAAAAGTCAATTTTATCGATTTAAAAAAAAAAGTTAGCTGCTTTGCGTTACTTTTTTTGTAAAAAGAAAAAAAAATCAATGAGGAATGAAAGGTTTACGATGATTGCACAGCATTTCAAAACTATTTTTCAGTTTCTCACGAAGCTCCTGTCTCTTTTCGAGAATTTGCGATATTTTCGACTGGAATTCCATCACATCCTCCATTGGTATGTAACTCTCGGTTCCCTCGTCCTCTGAATTCGAGTCCTTTTATTTTGAGAAATAAAAAAAAAGGAAAGGACGTTAATTTTCTATTTATATTGGGAAAAAAACTATTTTTTTTTGGTTATATTAGGAAAAAACGACTTTATATGAGAAAGAGAAGGATAGAAGATGATGGGAACTCTTTGCACATGCGCAGAAAAGTTCTGGGCATGCGCAATAGCTTTGTGTGTACTTTAAACATGCGCAGAAGAGTTCTGCGTCTCTGGGCATGCGCAATAGCTTTATGTGTACTTTTAACATGCGCAGAAAATAAAAAAACTTCTGAAAAATTATAGTTTCAACTTCTTTAAAACGATTCAATTATTTTCAGAAAATATTCAAAATTGAGCAAAAGAATTAAATTATTTAAAACAAAAATTGATAAAATTCATCCAAAATTCAATTACTTTCACTAATAATAACATTTTTCATAGAAATTCAATTATTTAAAAAAATAAAAATTCTAAGCAAATATTTAATTATTTTCATAAATAATAAAACTCATCGAAGAATTACAATTATTTTTAATACTATTTTAAATTAATTAATCGAAAAATTCAATTATTTTTACAAAAAAAGTTTTCCACAAGAATTCAATTATTTAAAATAAAATTTTTATAATATTTATTATATTTCGAAAAAATTTTATTTAAAACAATATTTATAAAATTGTTATGAAGAATTCAATTATTATCAAAAATATCAACATTTTTCACAGAAATTCAATTCTTTTTAAACATTTTAATAAAATTTTTCGCAATAATTCAATTATTCTCATAAATAATAAAATTCTTCTCTGGAATTCAATTATTAATTGAAAATTTTAATCAAATTCTTATCAACTGTTCAATTATTTTTATAAAAAATAAAATTCATGGCAGGATTTCAATTATTTTTAATACAATTTTACAAAAATTAATCGAAAAAAGTAAATATTCTTAAAAAATAAATTTCAATTCCCCGAAAAAATCAATTATTAAAAAAAAGGTTTTCTTAAAATTCTTTAGAAAAATTCAATTATTAACAAAAATATTGGAATTTTTCACAGGAATTCAATTATTTTTAAATATTTTAATAAAATTGTTCGATAGAAATGAATTACCTATTTTAAATTTCAATTTTAATTAATTTTTTTTTTGAAATAATTCAATTATTCTTTTAGACTTTAATAAAGTTCTTCCCAAGAATTCAATTATTTTTAAGAATAAGAAAGAAAAACAAAGATTATTTATTAAAAGATCAATTATTTTTCATATTATATAATTTATGGCAGAAATTTAATTATTTAGAAAAATTTCAATAAAATCAATTTAGAAGAATTTAATTATTTTTATAGATATTACAATATTTTCCGCAAGATTTCAATTACTTTTAATTAAATTTCTGGAAGAATTCAATTACAATTTTTAAATTTTTTATTAACATTCTTCGTAACAATTAAATTATTTTCGAGAATTGTGATAAAACTTTTTGTAAAAATTCAGTTTTTACAAATAATTAATTATTTACTTTTTAGTGTTTAAATAATTGAATTTTGGTAGAATTTCCTAATAAAAATTGATGAAAAAAAGAATTTTAGTTAAAGTTTTAGAAAATAATTAAATTTAGAAGCCTTATACAGTGGGAATTTTTTAAAATAATTCAATTTCAAAAGATTTTTTAATTGACATTTATTGAAGAAAACTTTTTTAAAAATACTAAAATTCTCGAAAAATAATTTACATAAAAAATTGTAACAAAATTAAAAATTCTGTCAAATTTCATTGAAATAAATTTTTTTATTTTAAAGAATTTTATTTTTTCTCTTTTAAAAATTATTTTCAAATATAATTGTAATTTTTCAAGTATTTTTAACTAAAAATTTAGAAATGTATTCAGAAATACTAATTAAATTTTAAAAAGGTTTTTAATTATTTGAAAATTGAAATTATTTTCATAAAAAAAAAAGAAATTTATTACAGGATTTCAATTATTTTTAATGCAATTTTACAGGAACTGCTAGAGAAATTTAATTATTACAAAAATATTAAAATTTTTCACAAGAATTCAATTATTTTCAAATATTTTAATAAAATTCTTCGAAAGAAATCAATTATTTTAAATACAATTTTAATTAAATTTTTTTTTTAAATAATTCAATTATTCTTTTAGATTATAATAAAATTCTTCCCAAAAATTCAATTATTTACGTATAAATAATTCTTCCAAAGAATTTAATTGTTAAAGATAAATAACAAAATTATTCCTGAAAATTCAATTATTTTTAAAGGTAATAAATTTATTCATTGGAAATTCAATTATTTTTAAAAATAATTTTCTTTTTGGAAATTCAATTATTTACATTTTTATTAAATTTGTTTTAAATAATTGAATTCTTGTGATAAGTTTTATTTTTGAAAAAAAAATTGAATTCTTCAAATTTATAAAGAATTTTATTTCAAAATTATTGAAATAATTGAATTCTCGAGAAAAACTTTATTATTTATGAAAATGATTGATTTCTTACGAAGACTTTTATATTCAAATTTTTTTCAAATAATTGAATTCCGATGAAAAAAATGTATTATTTGTGAAAATAATTGAATTCTTAAGAAGAATTGTATTGAAAATAATTGAATTGAATAGGAAAATTTAAAATTGCAATTTTATTAACTAAATCTTGTAACGAGTTTTGTCAAAATTTTTTTAAATAATAGAATTTTTAGAAGAATTTTATTTAAATTTTTCGAAATAATTGAATTTCTCAGAACTATTTTTTTCTATTCTTTGAATAAATTTGAATTCTTTCGATAAACTTCATTATTAAAAATTAAAAATAATTGAATTGGTGCGAAGAAAATAAAAAATTGGAAAGTAATTGAATTTCTGGGAAATTTTTATTAAAATTTCGCTTAAATAATTGAATTCTTTTGGAAAATTTTATTAAAATAGATATTAAAAATAATTGAAATGAGGAAAATTTTTGAAAATAATTGAAATTTTGCCAAGAAATTTATTAAATTTTTTTTGAAAATAATTTAATTTCGGAGAAGAATTGTATTATTTACAAAAAATTCTTGTCAATTTCATAGTTTGTGAGGCAAACAAAAAAGAAAAAATACACAAAAATTCAGAATTTTTCTTATAAATTCTAAAACTTGAATTTTTTCCAGTACTTTTCCCTGATTTCCCTGACTTGTGGCAACCCTCAAGTAAATATTTTTAATGAACATTGGGAAAAAGTGAGGAAAAATAAAAGATAAGGGAAAATTTGTAATGTAAATAAAAGAAGTTTCTTACCTCCAGCATTTGCATGAGTGTCGGTCCCTCGCATCGATGAATTCGCAATGATGAATTTGAATGAACATTGTTGCTCGACAATAATTTCTCTGACAAACGATTGCCACAATTTTCATCGTGATTACAAAGTGCATCGATGCAGGCAACATCGGAGCCCTCAGGTGTGCATGAAAATGAGCCACTGCTCACATAATTTTCCGATGAATAACCACGATCACGCGATGAATGTTCACTTGATGAACGACAATTTCTATCAGTCATTTTTGCAATAATATGCTCCTTCATTTCGGTCCACATATTATTTGGTCGATCCAACCATACATTGGTTAAATCATCAACAGAATTTTCGGGTAAATTCCACTGATTTACTTCTACGACTCCTTCTTCTTCTTCTTCTTCTTCCTCTTCTTCTCCCTCTTCCTCCTCCTCTTCTTCCTCTTCTTCAAATATCACTTTCTTATCTTCAACATTAACAACATTAACACTTTCTTCCTGCTCAATTTGTACTCGTAATTTTTTATCATTATCATTACTAATAAGCGTGGAATTTAATTTTAATTCCTTTTTCTCATTAACAATTTTCATTGATGATGATTCATTGTTTGTTTTTCTTGCCTCTGACTTATTCTTTTTCATTTTATTACCGGACGTCTTTTTTTTCGTTGAGTCCTTCTCGTGCTTTTTATTGGAAACATTATTATTATTATTGTTGTTGTTGTTATTATTACTACTACTACTATTATTATTATTATTACTATTAGCTAGAGATTTTTTTGGATTCGAGTTTTGTGTCTTTTCGGTGCTTGACTTTTTTAGGCAATCGGGACATTTACAGGTTGGTGGTCCTTTATTTTTTGGATCCAGAACTTGTAACTAAAAAAAAAAGAAAAACATATTTGTGATTTAAGAATAAAAAATTAATTTTTTCTTTAATTGTTAAAAAGATATTGGTTTAAATACCTTGTTCCTATCCATACTCTGTGTAACGGGTTTTAAATCTGAGCAAGTGCAGGTTTCTTTACTTGAGCGTTCACTTGAGCACTGAAAATAGAAATTTTATTATTCTTTTTGTCCTTTTGCCTCTAGGAAATAAAATAAAATTTATTTCTCCTCTTTTTGCATTTATTAAATATAAAAAAAAAATGAAAAAAGTATCTACATACTGAAAAAGAAAAAGATTAACGAAAAAATTTTAAAAAATAAAGAAAAAGGTAAAAAAATAATAAAAATAAGAAAAGGCAAAAAATAATGAAAAAATATAGAAAACGGTAAAAAATGATAAAAATAAAAAAGGAAAAATAGTAAAAAAAAAGAAAGAAAAAGGTAAAAAATAATAAAAATAAAAAGGCGAAAAATAATTAAAAAACTAAAGAAAAAGATACATAATTAATGAAAAAAGAAAACGATTGATGGAAAAAATACGCACTTCGCATGTATTTTCCTTTTCTTCAGCCTCAAAGCGACGTTCCTTCTTTTTTTTTCGTTTCAGCCTTAATTTTTCCTGTCTTTGTTGCTTCGCTATTTCTTTTCTCGTTAATTCCTCGTAGAGAAGTTCAAGTTTTGTTACTCCTTGCTTGGCCTCGACAGCCATCTGTTAAATTAAATAAATCAAATATTATTATGAATAATGAATCTAAATAAAATGAAAATATTGATTAATAAATAAATACTAGCGAAAAAAACTTTAAAAAGAAGAAATAAATTTTTAGGTCGAAATTAAGATTTTTTTTTTTTTTTTGTTGATGTGAAAAGAGAAAAGAAGAAGCAATAAATAAATAAAAAGCCTACCTCGAAATTTCTGGAGAGCGCTTCAACGGCAACAGCAGCGAGAACTTTACAAATAGTCTCAGCTTCCTTGAGGCGTCGATAAATTTTTAGTAATCTTTCTGCCACGCAAATTCCTAAACAAGTAACAACTTCCTCCTGAGCTATTTCCAAAGTCTTCGCATGACGTTCCCTAAAAATAATGGAAATAATAATTATTAGAAATTCAATTATTAGTAATTCAATTATTTTAAATACAATTTTAATAAAATTCTTCTCAAAAATTCACTTATTTTTTTCAATTTTGCAAAAATTCAATTATTTTTAGAAATAATACATTTTTTTGCAGGGATTCAATTTTTTTTAAAAAGGTTTTAATAAAATTCTATTCAAGAAATCAATTATTTTCCGAAATAATTAAATTGTCGATCTATTAAAAAATCATTGAATTCTTCTAAAGTATTTATCAAAAAATCTAAAAATAATTAAATTCAATTTCAAGAATTTTATCAACATTTTTTTCAATAATTGAATTCTTTCGAGAAAATGTAATTAAAATTGTATTGAAAATAATTTAATTCTTGGCAATATTTTTATTAAAATTGTTTAAAATAATTAAATTGTTTTGAAGAATTTATTATTCAATATTCATGAAAATAGTGAAGTTTTTTTAAAATAATTTTTACTGAAAATTTCGAAAGTAATTGAATTTTATTAAGAATTCAATTATTTTCAATATTTGTAATAAAATTCTTTGCAAAAAGTCATTTTATAAATAATAAAAATCTTCGTAAAAATTCAATTATTTTTATATAAATAATAAAATTCTTATCAGGATTTCACTTGATTTCAATACAATTTTAATTGATTTCTTTGAAAATTTTAATTTCTTTTTAAAAATCTTGTAAAAATTCTCCGAGAAAATTCAATTATTTTAAAAAATAATTGAATTTTTCACAGCAGTTCAATTATTTAAAAGACTTTTAATAAAATTCAATTATTTTTAAAAGTAATGGAATTTTCGCTGAAATTCAATTATTTTAAATACAATTTTAATTGAATTCCAAAGGGAAAATTAAATTACTTTTAAACATTTTTTTTTAAATTCTTCCAAAGAATTCAATTATTTTTGGAAAATTTCCATAACAATCATCGAAAATAATAGAAAAAAATAATTAAAATATTGGCAAAAATTCAATTATTTTCCTAAATAATGAAATTCTTTGTTGAAAATTCAATTATTTTCGTAAATAACAAAAATCATTCCCGAAAATTAAAATTTTTGGAAACTTTTGATAAAACAGAAACAAAAATAAAAATAATTTAAATCTTCTCAATAATTCTATTATTTTCGTAAATAATAAAATTCTTCGACAAAAATTCAATTATTTTCTGGAAATAGTAAAATCTCTTCGACAAAATTCAATTATTTTCAAAAATAATAAAATTCTTTGATAGAATTCAATTAATTTTGGAAAATTTTGATAAAATTCGTCAAAAAATAATAGAAGAAAATGAAGAAAAGCTTCGCAAAAAATTCAATTGTTTTTGGTAAATTTTTTATAAAATTCTTTAAAATAATTAAATTGTTTTGAAAAATTTATTATTCAATATTCTTGAAAATAATGAAGTTTCTTTTAATAATTTTTCATGAAAGTTTTGAAAATAATTGAATTTTAAGAAGAATTTCTTTTCAGTTTTTAAAATAATCGTGTTTATTATTAATTGCAATTAACGATTTTCCTATTAAATTCTATTAAAATTATTCATAGAAAATTAAATTCTTTTAAACAATTTTATTAGAGTTTTTGTAAAAAAATTACATTTTTTCTTTTTTGAAGAATTTAATTAAATTTCGTGAAAATAATGTAATTTTTTTAAAAGTAATTTTAAGTGAAATTTTTGAAAATAATTGAAATTTACAAAAAATTTTATTAAACATTTTTGAGAACAATTGAATTGTTTAGAAAAATTTTATTACAATTTTCAAAAATAATTCAACCTGTTAGAGAAATTTTAATAAAATTATCTTGAATATAATTGAATTTTTTTCTAGAAAACATAATTAAAATTGTATCTGAAAATAATTGAATTTCTCAGAAGAATTTTAATATTTACAATTAAAATAATTGAAATTTTATTAAAATTGTATTGAAAATAATTGAATTTAAATAATATTTTTAAAAATAATTCTATTCTTTCGAAGAAATTTAATTCAAATTGTATTGAAAATAATTGAATTCCTCCGAAAGATTTTATTATTTATGAAAATATTTTAATTCTTGCGAAGAATTTTCTTATTTATGAAAATATTTTAATTCTTGCGAAGAATTTTCTTTTCTTGAAAATAATTAAATTCTTGCCGAGGATTTTACAATATTCATAAAAATAATTGAATTGTTTCGAAGAATTTTATTTGAATTTTTGAAAATAATTGAATTTTTTTGAAGGAATTTTATTCAAAATTTTAAAATAATTCCGCGCGTATCATTTGCTAGTATAAAAAAATGAAAGAATTTAATAAAATAAAAAGGAAAAAATAAGAAAAATAGTAAAATGAAAGAATAATTAAAATAAAAATGAAATAATAAGTAAAATATAAAAAATGAAAGAATAATTGAAATAAAAATGAAAAAATAGGTAAAATATAAAAAATGAAAGAACAATTAAAATAAAAATGAAAAAAATAAACAGTTTTTGTTTTCTCACCTTCCTATAATTTCCGGTTGAGCTCGGCCAATAATTGTGTGAATATATTCGGTATTTATTGGCAAGTGAACGTGACTTTCGGCAGTGCAACGTTTTATTCCCGCGTATAATGTGGGAACGAATCCTTTTTCCTTGGATGGATCCGCATCCGTCATCAATAGGGACGAGGCTAATAAAACTTTTGTACGACATTCCGAACAAAATCTGTAAAGACAAAAAAAAAAAAAAAAAAAAAAAAATCAGAAAAAATTATTATTTGAAAATTTACTAGAAAAAATTATATTATTAGAAGAAAACAAATTTTTCAAAAACGAAAACAGAATTCAGAAGAATTATTTCTATTTTTTAAATTATTAGCAGAAAATTAAGAATGAAAAATTTTAATATTAGAAAAAAAGCAAAATCAACAAAGAATTGCTTTTTTATTCTGAAAAACAAAAGATCTTTGAAAACAAAGATGTTTTCTTTGTTGATTTTGCTTTTTTAAAAAAGCTTAAAAAAATTTATTAGTATCTTTAAATTATTATGAAGAAAATTTTATTAAATTATTAGTATAAAAAATTGTCGTTAGTTTGAAAAAGTGTAAAAGTTTTATACTAAATTCTTGAACGTCCGAGTGGTTTTAATAATAAGACAGAGAAAAAAAAAAGTTTAATTGGTAAAAAATGATAATTAGTATAAATTTTGGAGGATTTTTTCTTTTCTTCGAACCTGTGTTTCCTGAGGTAAGTTTCGAGAGTCGCGTCCAAACGTTCGCTCTCGATTAGAGTGATTTCCTGACGACACGGTTGTTTCATGCATTCCCAGACCTCTCTACATGCATTAGGAGGTGGCCTCATTCGTTGCACTTCCAGTGTATGTAACGCGCATCTGTGCGATTTTTTGCTCCTCGTTTGTTTTTCCACAAATGAACTCAAACGAGCGCTAAATTGGAAAACAAAACCGGAAAAAATTAGATTCAAATTGCACTGAATTAAGAATTGAAAAGTAAATTAAAATTAAAACTACATTTAAATAGAAACTAAATTAAAATCAAAGCTAAATGAAAATTAAGACTAAATTAAAATCAAAACTAAATGAAAAATAAAACTAAATGAAAATTAAAACTAAATGAAAATTAAATGAAAATTAAAACAAAATGAAAATTAAAACTAAATGAAAATTACAACTAAATTAAAGTTGAAACTAAATGAAAACTAAAACTAAATGAAAATTAAAACTGAAATAAAATAAAAACTGAATGAAAATTAAAATTAAATTAAAGTTGAAACTAAATTAAAACTAAAACCAAATAAAAATTAAAACTAAATGAAAATGAAAACTAAATGAAAATGAAAATTAAAACTGAATAAAATGAAAACAAAATGAAAATAAAAACTAAATGAAAATTAAAACTGAATGAAAATTAAAACTAAATGAATTTTCAAAAGAGAATTTTCATTAAAAAAATTTAAGAAAAAATTTAGTTTTTATAAAAAATTAAAAATTTTTCAACATAAAAAAATGCAATTCAACAATAAAAATAAATTTAACATTTTAATAGCAATTTAATGAAATTAAAAATTTTGCAATAACTGAAAAATCAAAAAAAAAAAAATTCCCAAAAAATAAAAGAGTAAAAAATGCAATTTTCTTGCAAAAAAAAAAAAAATAGAGAAAGAAACATAAAGAAGAAAAGATTTTAATTATTGCTCACCTGTGTTTGTGTAAAATTGTGCAAAGCATTTGGGGCGATTCGAGAACTTCATCTTTTAAGGTTAATATATATTCTGTCGTGAACATTAATGGATCTAAAACCGGATGTCCCGCTTCCAACAGATCGAAGAACAATCTTTCCGCACTGCAAATTTAAGAAAAAGAAATTTAATTCCAACCATTTCACACGTTGGCAAAATAAATTCAATTATTAATTTCAATGAAGAGAAAAAAAATGTCTCAACAAACAAATATTAGACTTTATTAATTAATAATAAAAATAATAATAAAAAAACAAAAAATAATAATAATAATAACAAAAATAAAACAAAATAATAATAAAAATAATTTTAAAAAATACTATTAATTAATAGCAATATTAATTATTAATAAATAAATACAACTTTTAGAAATTCTATAATTAGTGTTTTTTTATAATTGAAAATAATGATTTATTATGATAGATATATTTATTACAATTTGCAAATAATTAAATTATTAAATAATAACTAATTAATTTAACAAGTAATTAAATTAATTAATTGAATTAACAAGTAATTAAATTAATTAATTGAATTAATAAGTAATTAAATCAATAACTAGTTCAATAAATAATTGAATAGTAAAATTAATATAAAATTAATCAGATAAATAATTTAATTAATTAATTATGGCGCGCCTTAATTATTAAGTAATTAAATCAATAAATGATTCTAAAAATAATTGAATAATGAAATAAATATACAATTAAATAGATGAATAATTAAACTAATTAACAATAAAATTAACGAATAATAAAATTAAAAAATAATGAAATCAACAAATAAAACTAATAGACAATTAAATTATTAAATAATTAATTTTTTAATTCAGTAATAAAAAAATAATTTTAACAAAAATTATAATAAACTGTCATATAAATAAGTAAATAAAGAAAACTGGAAATATTAAAAAATGTAAATAACTAAAAGTAGAAAAATAAATGAATTGAAAAATTTTTTTCTATAAATAAATAAAATTAAAGAAATAAATAGTTATAAGTAAGTAAAAGTAAATAAATAAAAGAAAATTATTAAATAAATATCAGACTTCGCACTCGATAATAATTAATTTTAAAAAAGTAGTAAAAAGTAGCTTTCAAACTAAAAAAGGAGTAAAAAAGTAGCTATAAAAAAATTAAACTTATCGACCAAAATAAATTCGTTCTAGACACTTTACAAATTTTTTTTTTTTTTTTTGAAAATAATTAAATTCCTAAAAAGAATTTTATTATTTATGAAAATAATTGAATTCTTGCAAAAGATTTTATTAGAATTTTTAAAAATAATTGAATTTCCAAGTATAAATTTATTATTTTTAAAAACAATTGAATTCTTGTGATGAATATTGTTATTTATGAAAATAATTGAATTCCTGTGAAAAATTCCTGTAAATATTTTTACAAATTTTTGAAAATAATTGTATTTCTGTAAAAAGTTTTACTAATTTTTAAAAATAATTGAATTCCTGTAAAGAATTTTACTAACTTTTGAAAATAAATTGAATTCTAGCTTTTGAAAATATTTAAATTCTTTCGATGAATTTTATTATTTTTGGTGGCAAATAATTGAATTCATGTGAAGAATTTTATTAATTTTGTCAAATAATTGATTTTTTTGAAAAATTTTTATGAAAATCTAAAAGAATAATTGAATTATTTCAAAAAAATTTAATAAAAATTAAATAATTGATTTCTTTTGAAAAATTTTATTAAAATATTAGAAAATTATTGAATTTCTTTGAAGAATTCTAATATTTTTTGAAAATAATTGAATTCCTGTAAAGAATTTAACGAAAGATTTTTATATGTATTTATAATTGAATTGAATTACTAATAAAAAATTTGATAATTTTTGAAAATAATTGAATTTATTTGAAGATTTTATTAAATTTTAAAAATAATTGAATTTCTGCGAAGAATTTTAATAATTTTTGAAAATAATTGAATTCTTCAGAAGAATTTTATAAACATTACTTTAAAAAATTAATTTTTTTGAAATATAATAAATATTCTGCAAATTTCATTTTCAATAATTAAATTCTTGTGGAAAACTTTATTTGTGAAAATAATTGAATTTTTCGATTAATTAATTTAAAATAGCATTAAAAATAATTGAAATTCTGAGATGAATTTTATTATTTATGAAAATAATTGAATTTTTGCTTAGAATTTTATCAATTCTTTTTTAAATAATTGAATTATTTTGCGAAATTTGATGAAAATACTAAATATTGAAAATAATTGAATTTCGAATATTTTTGAAAATAATTAAATCGTTTTAAAGAATTTGAGACAATAATTTTTGAGAATAGTTTTGTTATAGTATTAAATAAATAAAAATAAAAAAATAAATAGTTATTAGTAGATAAAAGTAATTAAATAAAAATAAAGGAAAAAGAAAAAAAAAATTAAAACTAGAAAAATACTGATTAAAGTACAATAATAATAACAACAACAAAGTGTGTAAAACAAATAACAAAAAAGAAAACAATCGAAAAAAGAGTAAAAAAAAACAAAGGAGTTATTAATAACAATGCAGGAAAAATTTAAATATTTGGAATAATATTCGAATAATAAAAAAAAGAACAACGAAATAATTATTAATCACCTTTTTCTGCAACCAACGCAAGGAATTGTTTGTCCCAGAATTGACAAGAAATCCTTACACGTCACCTCAAACGAAGATTTTAATTCCTCTTTCGTGAGTGTATTTAATTTTCTCGTAAAATCCTCGAGTTCCTTGCCACGTACAAGTGGACTATCACAAATTGCTCCCAAACCATTAGCATCCATAATTAACTGCAAAAAAACCCCCCCCAAAAAAAAAGAAAAATTATCGTTTAGATTTTCGCCGCAAAAAAAAAGAAAAAGGCGTCATTGAAAATCAAATTTTCTCTCTCTCTATTATTCATTACTTTATCATTTAACAAATGAATATTAATATTTTATTCTCCGATTTTTTTCAAAAATTCCAGAGTCTATACACTACAGTAAAACGAAATAAAACAAATTCAAAAAAAGAAAACGAAAATTTTTTAGGTTAGGTTTACAAAACACGAACATTGGCATATAATTTGATTACGTAATTATCTATAAAGTTAATTATAAAGTAAAACATTAAATTTTATCCCTTCGCAAAAAGAAATAGCATTCAATTTTTCTTTTTTCACCCAAAAAAAAAATAGAAAAAATTTTTTTTTTTACCGTTAAATTTTCATCGATATCCAATGGCATTTGACGTCGTTTCAATTCAGTTGGACTATCACCATGCCAAATATCCACTAATTTTGCCATTATCACGACACTTTTTTTTTCTTTTGTTTCGAAAATGCACTAATTTTTTTGCGCACTGATTTTTTTTATTAAAGAAAAACTCTGTTGGCGAAAGAATTTTCAACTTTCAGATCACTATATATATGTATACATATATATATAATGAAAATTAAGCCGCGATAGGAGAGGGGGGGAAGAGTATTTTTCTATCTCGATTAAAAGAAACACGGGTTTTTTATTTATTTATTATTTGTAAAAAAAAACACACTATTTCTCTTCTTTTCAAAATGAGAAAAATGAATATAATAATGTCACTAGTCTGCCATTTGCAAGGAGTTTCGAGTTGTTCTTTTCCGTTCTTTGATTCTTTCACTTCCGCCCCGATGGAAATAATTCCCCTCTACCCATCCCTTCTTCTCTCTAGAAACCCTGTTTTGCCCCACCTACTTTTATTCATCAAGGTTTTTCTCTATTTTCCTACAAAAATGGAAAATAACTTTTTTTATATTCGTTTCGAGTTGAAGGGAGGGGATTTTTTAAATAAATTCAAATTTGACTTCTTTTTTGTTTGTTTTGTAATTTTTTTGATTTTCCGTTTTGTAAATTTAGGCACGTGGCAAATAAACGAAGCGGCCTAACTTATCAACGAGAGGAATAAAATGTTTTTATGCACGTGGTTACGAAAAGTTGATTGAAATTTTTTTTTATTTTTTGCTGTTTTTAACGATTTTTTTTGAGGTTAGAATTCCTTTTTTCGTCGATTTTGCAAAATTTACTATTTCTCGCTTGTAGTTGTTGTAATTAACGGAGAAAATCTCTGAAAATGTGAACTTATTTCAAATGCGCTCGATATTTACCGCTTGACATATATTTCATATTTTTGACATTTTTGACGTTTAACATAACCTCAAAAAAAAACTTCCCTCGGCCTTTCTGGTCTAAGAATATGTAAAATTTGACACTAAGTTAAGTTCATTAATTTATTTTAATTTATTTTTTGTTATTTTTTTCTCTAAAGAAAAATAGAAAGGGAGAAATTTATAAAAAAGAATTTTTTTAATTAAATTTATTCAATTGAAGGAATTGAAGTAAATGAAGTGAATTTACGAGATTTACAACAAGAAAAAAATTGTTATCAGTTAAAAAAAATATGTTTACTCGTTTTTTATGGATTCTACCAATTGTTGTCGGTGTTTATGTTATGATTTCGAGTAATTATTTACTGTCAATTGAAAAGTATTTAACAAAGTGCCTCGACGATTTTACACAGTTTATTAATGACGATGATGATCAACAAAACAATAACGACAATGGAGTGAAAAATGTTGTCATTAATAATGAAGAGAGAATTTGGACTCGTGAAGAATTGGAGAAATATAATAATTTAGAAAATGGATTGTATTTGGCAATTTTGGGTAATGTTTTTGATGTTACAAAAGGAGTGAAACATTATGGACCCGGCGAAACTTATTATTCATTTACTGGTAAATTTATTTATTTCTATTTACTAATTACTGGTAATTAATATCTCATTGTTACTAATTAATTATTAAATAACACTTTTTTTAATATTTTAAAATATTTAACATTATTATTAAAATCATCATTCTTTTATTTACTAAAATATTACTAGTAAATTCTTTACAACAATTCAATTTATTTTCAATACAATTTTGATAAAATTTCTCGAAAGAATACAAACAATTATTTTTTAAAATATTAATTAAATTCCATTATTTTCAATAATTTTCATGAAATTCTTTTTAAAAATCATTATTTTCAAAATTTTGAATAAAATTCCTTCAAAAAATTCAATTATTTTCAAGAATTAAAATAAAATTCTTCGTAACCATTCAATTATTTTTATGAATTTATAAAATCATCGGCAAGAATTTAATTATTTTCGCATAAATTAATGAGAAAATTCTTCGCAAGAATTAAAATTTTTTCGCATAAATAATAAAATTCTACAAAGAAATTCAATTATTTTCATAAATAATAAAAACGTGTTTCGGAGGAATTCAATTATTTTCAATAAAATTTTAATAAAATTTCTCGAAAGAATAAAATTATTTTAAAAAATATTATTTAAATTCAATTATTTACTAGAGTTTTAATAAAAATTCAATTATTTTCAACAATTCTGATAAAAAATTCTTGAAAACAATTCAATTATTTTTATAAATTGTAATGAAATTTTTCTAAACAATTCAATTGTTCTCAAAAGTTTGTGAAATCCTGATAAGAATTTTATTATTTATATAAAAATAATTGAATTTTTTTTACGAAGAATTTTACTAACAATTATTGTAAATAATTGAATTCTTGATAAAATTCAATTACTTTCAAAATTTTCAGTAAAAATTATTTAAAAAAAAAACTCCACTGTTATTATTTTTCATTATATTTACTATTTTTATTATTTTTATTTTTTATTATAATTATTATTTTTATTGTTATCATTTTTAAATTATAATTACCATTTTTATTCTTATCTTTCTTTATTATTAAATTACTATTTTTAATTTTATCTTTTTTTTTATTATAATTACAATTTTTATTTTTATTTTTTCATATTATTACTATTTTTATTATTATTTATTAAGTAATATTTAATTAATATGATTCACTAATAATTAAAAGTAACAATAAAAATAGTAATAATAATAATAAAAATAATATTTAAAAATAATTAGTAATTAATAAATTTTTTAAATTAATTTAATATTTAATTATTTAATTTCGTAAATTATATAATATTTTGTGAATTTAAATTTTCTTCGACGATTAATAACCAAAAAAAAAATTGTTTTCAGGCCGCGATGGTTCATTGGCATTTATAACTGGAGATTTTTCCGAAAATGGAATGAAAGACGATATTTCCAGTTTAACGCCGCAACAAGTAAAAGCTCTCAATTCGTGGGTAGATTTTTACAAAAAATCCTATTCTTACAAAGGTAAAGAAGAAAATAATCCTTTTTTTCCGTCGTTATTATTAATTTAAACTTTTTTTTTTCTTGACAGTGATTTTATTTTATTCTTTAATTAATTTTTAATTCCTAATTTTTATTCTTCGAATTTTTTAACAGGCAAATTAATTGGAAATTTTTACAAATCCGATGGAAGTCCAGCCGTTGGATTTCACTATCTCGAAGCAAAATTAAAGCAAGCCGAAGAAAATGAATCGGCGGAAGCTGAGAAAAATCGTATTTTTCCCCCTTGTAATGTCGAATGGAAACCGGAAACTGGATCTCGTGTTTGGTGCACAACTTCAAGGTCTTCTTTTATTATTAATTTTTTGTTTGATTTCTTGATTTTTCGATTTTTTAAAATCGACCGAAATTATTTATTTTCAAATAATTTTTTTACTGTTTTGAATTTTTGTCGTTTAATAATTTTTTTATTTGCATCTCAAAGTATAAACTTGTCTTCACAAGAAAAATACTTTTCTTTAGCGTTGAATTTTAGTTTAAATAAATAAATCAACTTCTTTTTTGCTTTTACTTTTTTTTTTTTTTTGTCAATGAAATTACTTTTAATGATTAAAAATAAGAAGAATATTTGTTTGAATTTTCAGTGGGGGAATTTATCGCGACTGGAGTGGAGTGCCAAGAATGTATTTTGAAAATCCATCATCAAAACAACACCGTTGTGCCTGCGTGAATCTCGAGAGTCGCGAATATCGCGAGAATAATGCAAATTTTCGCGAATTCATCCAATGCCCTCGAGATTCTACTTCCTGTCAAATTATTCTTGATAATTGATTTATTCTCTAAGAAGAGAAAAAAAAAGTTTTGCCGTCCATAGATTTAAAAAAAAAAAAGAGTTAGAAAAATATTAATGAGAGGAGATGAAAATAAAAGAGGGAAAATTTACAAAAAGAGAGAAAATAGGACTAAGAATTGAACAAAAGTGCAAAAAGAATGTTGAAAGTTTATTAATTTGTAAATTTTATTTAGAAAAGAAAATGTATATAAAAGATATTCTATTTACAAAAAAAATATTCAAAAAAGACTATTTAAAAATATTTTGAATTGTAAAAAATATTTTAAACTATAAAGAATATTTTTAACTATAAAAAATATTTTGAAAAATAATAAATATTGTAAAAATATTTTGAAGTATTTAAAAACATTTTTATAATATTTTATATTTTAAAGAATTCAAAAATATTTTGAATTTATAAAAACTAAAACTAAAAATATTTTGAAAGTAGAAATTTTTTTTTTAAATATTCTACCAAAATATAATGAAATTTATTTTAAAATAATTTTTACTGAAAATTTTGAAAGTAATTGAATTTTATCAAGAATTCAATTATTTACAATAATTGTACTCAAATTCTTTGCAAAATGTCAATTTATAAATAATCAAAATCTTCGTAAACAAATTTAATTATTTTTATATAAATAATTAAATTCTTATCAGGATTTCTCTTATTTTCAATACAATTTTAATTAATTTCTTTGGAAATTTCAATTATTTTTAAAAATCTTGTAAAAATTCTCCGAGAAAATTCAATTATTTTTAAAAAATAATTCAATTTTTCACAGGAGTTCAATTATCTAAAAAACTTTTAATAAAATTCAATTCAATTATTTTCATAAATAATGAAATTTTCGGTGGAATTCAATTATTTTAAATACAATTTTCAGAAAATTCTTCTCAAAAATTCATGTATTTTTTTAAATTTTGCACAAATTCAATTATTTGTAGAAATAATAAATTTTTTCTCAGCAATTCAATTATTTAAAAAAGTTTTAATAAAATTCTATTCAAGAATTCAATTATTTTCAAAAATAACTAAATTGTCGATGTACTGAAAATCATTGAATTCTTGTAAAGTATTTATAAAAAAAATTTGAGAAAATAATTGAATTCATTTCAAGAATTTTATCAGCATTTTTTTTCAATAATTGAATTCTTTCGAGAAAATGCAATTAAATTTGTAATGAAAATAATAATTTAATTATTAACAAGATTTTTATTAAAATTCTTAAAAATATTTGATTTTTTTTTTTTGAAATATTTTGCAACGAATTAAGAAAAAAATTGAATACTTTCGTAAAATTTTATTAAAATTGTATTTTGAAAATAATGAAATTTTCCCAAAGAATTTTACTATTTATAAAAATAATTGAATTTTTGTCAAGAATTTTATCTGTTATTTATGAAAATAATTCAATTCTTTCGAGAAAAACGAAATTTAGAAAATAATTGAATTTCTCAGAAGAATTTAATTATTTACAATATTAAAATAATTGAAATCTTGACAAGAATTTTACAATTTATAAAAATAATTGAAAGTGTTTCGAAGAATTTTTTATCAAAATTTGTTGAAAATAATTGAATTTTTATTGAAACTCTTGAAAATAATTGAATTTAAATAATATTTTTAAAAAATAATTGTATTCTTTCGAGAAATTTAATTAAAATTGTATATTGAAAATAATCGAATTTCTTTGTAGAATTTTATTATTTATGAAAATATTTTAATTCTTGCGAAGAATTTTCTTATTTATACGAAAATAATTAAATTGTTGCCGAGGATTTTACAAATTCATAAAAATAATTAAAATAATTGTTTCCAAAAGAATTTTATCTGAATTATTTTTAAATAATTGAATTTTTGGAGGGAATTTTATTAATAATTTTGAAAATACTGATTTTTTTTTAAAGAATTTCATCAAAATTGTTGAAAATAATCGGATTTAATTAATATTTTTAAAAAATAATTGTTTTCTTTCGAGAAATTACATTAAAAATGTAACAAAATAATTTTTTGAAATTGTTGTAAATTGTAAAAATATAATTGAAAACATTTTAAAGAATGTATAGAAAATATTCTAGAAAATTTGAAAATACAAAAAAATAAAAAAAATACCTATAAATTCACAAAGAAAAAAATAAAGAAACGCTAAAATTCTGAATTTAAGTAAAAAAAAAAATTAAAAAACAAAATATAATTAAATTAATAATTAGAAAATTAATTTATTGATAATTAAAAAATTAATTAATTAATCATTTGAAAAACTGAAGGAAAAAAAGAATTTTAGTCTCGAAAGACTGTGAAGAGAAGTGAAAAGAAAAATACTGTGTTTTTTTTAAAAAAAGTTAATAAAAAGTTTTTTATTTTACATATTGCAAGACGTAGTTTTTTTCTCGCTCTCTCTCTACACACACACGCGCTCATCGTTTGCCCGCAAAAATTTCTATGAAAAAAAAACATTTTCTCATCACGAAATACTTTTTATTATATATACTATCTACGAGTGAGATTTCGAAAAAAAAATATACCTAAAAAAATCACATTTTATTCTCGTTAACAAAAAAAATATGAAAATAAAAACGGAAAATGGAAAATGACGACAGGAGGGAATATGAAAATGAAAGGGAAAAAATACTGAGAAAATTAAAAAGAGAAAAAGAAGAAAAAATGAAAAAGGGAGAAAAAAGAAAAAACCGAGAAAAGGGGGAAAAAGGAAAAAAGAAAAATGGAAAATCGGCACTGCCGGAAAATCAGGGGAAAGGAAAAAAAAGAAGAAAATTAAAAAAGGGAAAAACGGGAAAATGGAAAAAAATGAAGAAAAAGAAAAACAGCAAAAAGGAAAAAAGAAAGAAAGAAAAATGAACGGAAAGAAAAAAAAGAAAAGTAGAGAAAATGGAAAAAATAGAAAAATAAAAGGAAAAGGAAAGAATAGAAAAAAGAAAGAAAGAAAAATGGAGGAAAAGGAAAAAATAGAAAAAAGAAGGAAAGAAAAATGGAGGAAAAGGGAAAAATAGAAAAAAGAAAAATATTTAAAAGAAAGAGTTTACAAATAAAATGAATTATTAATTATTCCGTATTATGTTCGGTGTCCATCGATGAATTTGAATGATGAATCGACTCTAATCGCTTGAGAACGTCCTTTAATTCCATTCGCCTTGGCTTCGACAATTTTGAGCCGAATACTTTTTTTATTTTCAAACGACGCTTCTTTTGCTTATTACTGTCGTTTGGCTTCCTTTGAAAATTAATCATACGCTTAAAACGTTTTGTACTCATTTGCGGCTGTTCATTTGCATCAATCGCAATGTGCTCGTCCTCCTCGTAAATTGTCTCCAATGTATGCGGCGATTCCTTCACCGATTTATTCAAATACAATCTGCGAGCGTCGTCTTCATTCTCCATTTCGCTGAAGGTACGCTTCACTGGCTTCAATTTCACTCTGTGGCAAAAAAGAAATTTCGTTCGTTTTATTTTAAATTGAAAATTTTATTTTATTTTATTAAATCACATTTCACTTTAATGAATTAAAAATAATTTTCATGAATTTTATCGAATTCAAATTCATTTTATTAAATTTTATCTAATTAAATATCATTTTATGGAATTAAATTACATTTTATTGAATTAAATATAATTTTCTTGAATTTTATCGAATTAAATTTCATTTTATTGAATTTTATCAAATTAAATTTTATTTTCTTGAATTTTGGCGAATTAAATGTCTTTTTCTTGAATTAAATATTATTTTCTTCAATTTTATCAAATTAAATTTAAGTTTTTTGAATTTTATGGAATTAAAATTCATTTTCTTGAATATTATCGAATTAAATTTCATTTTCTTTAATTTTATCGAATTACATTTCATTTTCTTGAATTTAATCGAATTAAATGTTTATTTAATAGGTAATTATTTTAATATTTATTCTCCTTTCCTCTGCCAAAGAATTTTAATTATTTTATATTTTTTATAAGTAGGAAAATAATATTTTTTCGTTTATGAATTAAAATAAAGAGAAATTTGAATTTAAACATTCCATTTTTTAGAAGTTTGTAAAAAAAAGAAAAATTTGTGAAAGAAAATTACACAAGAAATTTAATTTACAGAAAAGTAAAGAAATAAAAAAATGGAATTTTCATTCTCACCTTCGTTTATCACATGTTCGGATTAATCGTCTTCGAAGAACTCTTTTTGTTTCTTGAATTGTCGTTGTAAATGTTAGCATTTCTAATTCTGCCACAACTTCCGGAATTTGGTCATCTTCTTGTTGACTTCTGAGAAGAAAAAAACAAATTATATTTTAAATTTACTCACATTTATTTTTTATAATTATTTTTTTTATTATCATTGTCAATGAAGCGAATTAATAATAATTTTACAAATAGAAAATAGAAACAAAATAAAAACAAAAAGAAAAATTTTTTAAAATTATCAATTATCCTTTTTTTTTAAAATTTTTTTCAAATGAAAATTTCCGATTAATTTTAGAATTGAAAATTCTAAAAATAATACTTAAAAAAAATAGATATAGAGGAGAAATAAATAGTTTTCGACTGGAAAATTCGAAATTTTGCTCTAAAAAAAAAGAAAATAATTTTACAAATATTGTAATTTAGAACAGAATTAATTGAGAATTTTTCAATTCCATTAATTTTCCAATTAGATCAAATTTTTCTCGATTTTTCCTCTAGAATTTAGATTGAAAAATAAATTTTCCATTATTGTAAAAAAGTTTCCCCAATATTTATAGGTTAAAATAATATTCCAAAAATGTTTTATCAAAATGACAAGAAACAGCAAGAAAGAACTGAAAATATTTATTCCAAATCTACAAAGAATTTACCTAACAATATAATTATTATCTCCGGAAAACAATAAATAAATTTCGCCAGTTGGAAAAATAGTGAATATATAAAAACATTTTTTGTTTATAAAGCCATATAAATCATAATGTCAATTATAGAAGAGAAATAAGAAGATAAATAATTCGCAAACAAAAAAACGTACCAAAAATTTTTCACATTATTCTAATAGAAAAATCGGAATTACATCAATAATAGAGGAGAATAAAATACTCACGAAGTAGACATTATATTAAAACAACTTTTTTTCGTTTAATTCACAATTTTTAACTCCTTTTAAATAATATGTCTAGGAACACAAAATTATCATCACAGTTTTTACTCTTCTGTTCACTTCTCTGTTAAAAGGAAAACACTTTCCCTGACAGATTGACGAGACAAGGCGCATGCGTCGCTTTTCCTAAAATTTTGAGGTTATGTTTTTGCCAACAAAATAACGCCAAGTCGCCAACGAAAACAGATTTCTCTCTGGAGTTGTCAAAAAATTGAAACAAAAATGATTTGCGGAGCAAAGAGAAAAAGGATTCTTCTTTGAAAAATAGTTTTGAAATTTATAGAATTAAAAAACTGATGAAGTCATGAAAAAGGAGAAAACAGCCGACAATAGTCGGCCCTATAAATTATAAGTATCTTTTCCAATACTTTTCTAAATAATAATAATTTTATTTATTGCATGTCGTTTTTTAATAAGAAATTTAGAATTTTCTTGAAATTTAATTATTTTAAGGTTTTGTTTATTTAATCTTTATTTACTATATAGTAGGGAATTTTTCCAAATATTTTTAGTTGGAGTAGTTTGTCAATTTTGAGGTTATGTTGTCAAAAAGTTTGTATTTTGATAAACAATAATTTAAAGAAAATAGGGATTTCATTATCAAAATTCTGTGAAATTATTATAAATATAAATTATATTGTCGCTTAGTTTTTATTTGATTGGTTAATAAATTTTTTAAGCTATATATATTTACGAAAAGTAAATAATAGAAAATTAAGGGAGTGGAAAAATTTTCTTTAAATACATTTTAATGACGAGAAAAATTTCTTTTCTTTACAGCTCATCAAATTTTGAGTTTAACGGGAATTAATTTCGACAGGCGGAGCATTATTGTGAGTATTTAATTCATTTGTTTTTTTTTTGTTGTTGAAAATTTGCTACTTTTTGACTCTTTTTAAAATTATCTTTTAATTTTTCAAGTAATTTTTTTCCTTTTTTTTCTGTTTTTCTTTCTTACTTTTTAAATTAATTAGGATTAATTTTATATTTTTTTTCCTAAAAATTTCTTACTTTTTGGCACTTTTTAAAAATTTTCTTTTCCTTTTCTCTTTGATTAATTAAAATTAATTTAATTAATTTTTCCGGAAATTTTTTACTTTTTGACTGTTTTTTAAAAATTTTTCTTTCCTTTTTCTTTTTTTCTACTTCCACCATTTTCTTTTTTATTTTCCATTCTTCCTTTTTCATTAATTAAAATTAAGTAATTTAATTAATTTTTTCGAAAATTTTTCACTTTTTAATGCTTTTTTTTAAATTTTCTTATTTTCTTATCCTTTTTTTCCTTTTCTTTCTTTTTAATTAATTTAAAGTAATTTTATATTTTTTTTCTGAAAATTCGTTCTTTTATTTAATTTTCTTTCGTTTTCTTATTTTCTTTCTCTTTCTATTTTCTCTTTTTTCATTTTCTTTGTATTTTTCCTTTTTAATTAATTAAATTTAATTGGCTTAATTTTTCTGAAATTTAAAATTTTTTTAATTTTCTTTTCTTTTTTTCTCTTTCTATTTTTTCTTTTTTTTCATTTTTTCTTTTTTTTCATTTTTTTAATTTTCTTTCTATTTTTTCATTTTCCTTTCCTCTATTTTCATTAAATAAAATCATTTTAATTAATTTTTCTGAAAATTTGTTACTTTTTGACTCTTTTAAAAAATTTTTTTTTCCTTCTTTTCTTTTTTCCTTTTTTAAATTTCCTTTATATTTTTTCTTTTTTATCTTTTTCCTTTCTTCCTTTTTCATTAATACAAACTGATTTAAATAATTTTTCTGAAAATTTGTTACTTTTTGATTCTTTCTCTTATTTTTTTATTTCCCTTTTTTCTTTTTAATTAATTTTTCTAAAAATTTGTTAGTTTTTGACTATTTAAAATAAAATTTTTTTCCATTTTTTATTTTCTTTATATTTTTTCTTTCTTACTTTTTCATTAATTAAAACTGATTTAATTAATTTTTCTGAAAATTTGTTACTTTTTGACTTTTTTTCTCATTTTCTTTTCTTTTTTCCTTTTTTTTTATTTTCTTTGTTTTTTTTCTTTTTGTTCATTTTTTTGTCTTTTTTTTCTATTTTCCTTTCTTTCTTTTTCATTAATTAAAATTGATTTAATTAATTTTTCTGAAAATTTGTTACTTTTTGACTTTCTTTTTAATTTTCTTTCTTTTCTTTCTCTTTTTAATTAATTCAAATTGATTAAATTAATTTTTCCTCAAATTTGTTACTTTTTGCCTTTCTTTTTTAATTTTCTTTCATTTTTTTCACTTTTTAATTAATTAAACTTAATTTATTTAATTTTTCTGAAAATTTGTTACTTTTTGATTCTTTTTTTTTTCTTTCTTTTTTCCTCTTTTCTTTTCTTTCTCTTTTTAATTAATTAAAATCAATTTAATTCATTTTTTTTTTGAAAATTTGTTACTTTTTGAGTTTTTTAAAATTTCTTTCATTGTTTTCCTTCCTTTATATTTTTTTCTCCAATTTTTTCTTTCATTTTTTATTTTATTTTTTTTTAATTTTATTATTTTCTATTATTTTCTAAAGGCTTATTGATTATTTTTTTTATTTTTCTCTTATTTTTATTATTTTTCTTTTATTATTATTATTTTTCTTTTATTATTATTATTTTTTTTCTTTTATCATTATTATTATTGTTCTTCTATTATTATTATTTTCTTTTCTTTTATTATTATTATCAACTACGAATTCATTATTTTTTCCTAAAATATTTAATTTAATAATAAAAATAAAATTTTTTTTAATTCTCAAATTTCTAAAATTATTTTCAATTAACTAAAGGTGCATTCATAATCTACGTAGCCTTTTCACAGGTTTTGGTGGTGGGGGGGGGTTAAGCTACTGTCTACAATAAGAGCAAAAATGATGGAGGGGGGGGGTAAAATTTCGGGTTATACAAAATTTCCAAGAAAAGGGACTATGCAGTTTATGAACGACCCTTAATGCAAAGTTCAAAATTATATTTATTTTTTTTATTTATATATAGGACTGTAGGATTTATTTTTAATAAATAAATAAATATTTGTTTCGTTTCAAAATAGGGTTTCGTTGAACTAACGATAATTCCATTAAAAGACACATTAAGATGTATTCAAGTGAATGCGAAACAATGCAGAATTTATCGTGTCTCACTCAACGACACTGTGGAGGCACCTTTTCAATATTTCGATCCATTTCTCGATATTTGTCAGGGCGACATCGAGCAGTGAGTAGAAAACTTATTATTGTCAAATTTGTATTTTAAAAATCATTATTATTATTATTATTATTCATTAAGACATCATTAAAGTATAATACCTATTTATTTATTTATTTGATTTTTTTTGAGGTTAGGTGCACATTTAATTGGATTCGGGAACTTAATACGCGTGGGATAGAAAAGGACACTAATAGGACACTAGTCTATCCTTTTTTATCTCATGCATTGCGTTCGCGAATCTACTGTGTATAGACTTTAAGCTATTAAAGGCCTTAATTTAAAGAGCTATGAAAGAGGCTTTAATTTAAAGCCATAAAGGTTAATGCACAACTGCTTCGCGAAGATCGTTCGCGAATGTAACACATGAGTTAGAAAAGGACACAAATATATATCTGTTGTCCTTTTCTAACTCATTCTTTGCGTTCGCGAAACAGTTGTGCTCAGGCCTTAACTAAAAGCCATAAAGCCCTAAGCACAATTGCTTCGCGAACGTCATTAGCGAACGCAAAGCATTAGTTAGAAAAGGACAGAGATATATATTTGTGTCCTTTTCTATCTCATGCATCTTGTTCGCGAACCAATTGTGCGTTGGACTTTTAGTTAAAGAACTACATAAAAGCTTGTCCACAATGAACGTCTTAAGGCCGAACAACAATAAAGTTTAGGAATTTATGAGGTCAGGGTTCCCCTAACAAGAGGTAGAAATAACCTGAAAAATAATTAAGAAACTATATTCCAGACGTTCGCTGGAGGCGTTCTCGAAGCAACATCTTGCAGCGGCGCAAAAAGTCGACCCCGACAACAATGCTGGTGAATTAATGGTCCAAGTGCCACCGCACGCCGCACATTTGATCGCCGAGGGACGTCCGCTTCGTATTGGCATTGAATTCTCCCTGGAGAATCCTCAGGGTGGTATTCATTTTGCTCTAGTGCCGAAGAAAAGTGATCAGGACACGCGTACACACGCCGAACGCGGTTCACACATGTACACCTATAGCTACGAGAATTCCTCGCGTCTTTGGTTCCCCTGTGTCGACTCATTCGCCGAGCCTTGCACCTGGAAACTCGAATTCACCGTCGACGTGTCGATGATCGCAATTTCGTGCGGCGATCTCGTCGAGACAATATACACGCCCGATATGCGTCGCAAGACATATCACTACGTTCTCAATACACCGGCGAGCGCACCAAATATCGCGATGGCCGTCGGTCCGTTCGAGGTCTACGTGGATCCGAATATGCACGAGGTCGCTCACTTCTGTCTCCCGCAATTGCTCCCTTCGTTGAAGGTTTCCGCGAAATATGTCCACGAGGCCTTTGAATTTTACGAGGAGACGCTTTCGAACCGCTATCCGTATTCTTGTTACAAGCAGGTATTCGTCGATGAACTCGACGAGAACATCAGTGCCTACGCGACTATGAGTATTTTAAACACAAACCTCCTTCATTCGTCGCCGATTATCGATCAGGTTTACCTAACGAAACGCGCGATGGCCCAAGCGATTGCGGAACAATTCTTCGGCTGCTTTATTTCGATGCAAAATTGGTCCGACACATGGTTGCCGAAAGGCATCTCCACCTACCTCACGGGATTGTACGCGAAAAAGTGTTTCGGAAATAACGAATATCGGGATTGGATTCAGTCGGAATTGATGGAAGTGGTAAAGTATGAGGAACAATTCGGAGGGATTATTCTAGATCCGTCTCAACCACCAGCGCCGTTGCCGATAGCTGGGAATGCCCCGATCCCCCAGCCTAGGACTCCGGATCCAGGTTTTTATTTTCCGATCCGAAATCTCCATACAATGTCGCCTAGGTATCTGGAAGTGCTGCGCAAGAAGGCGCATCTCGTGATACGCATGCTTGAGCATCGTATCGGCCAGGAACTGCTGCTCCAAGTGTTCAATAAACAACTATCCCTAGCTGCTAATGCGGCCCAACAGCGTATAGACTCAGGCCTTTGGTCCCACATGCTCATTAGTACGAACGTCTTCACAAAGGCGATTTTCACCGTCACTGGCAAGGACATGGCTGTGTTTATCGATCAATGGGTCCGGACGGGCGGTCACGCGAAGTTTAATCTCAGCTTCGTGTTTAATCGGAAAAGGAACACGGTCGAGCTGGAGATCCGGCAGGACACGACTCATCAGCATGGTATCAGGAAATACGTCGGACCGTTGTTGGTTAACATTCAGGAACTGGATGGTCCGTTTAAACATACGTTGCAGATTGAGGGCACGGTCGCGAAGGCGGATATTACCTGTCATAGCAAGAGCAGACGGAATAAGAAGAAGAAGATCCCACTTTGTACGGGGGAGGAAGTTGACATGGACCTGTCCGCTATGGACGACTCTCCGGTTCTTTGGATTCGGTTAGACCCCGACATGACACTTTTGAGGGCGGTTCAGATCGAACAACCGGATTATCAGTGGCAGTATCAGCTGCGACACGAACGGGACGTTATGGCACAGACGGAGGCGATCACGGCTTTGCAGAATCATTCTACGCCTGCTACGCGGTTGGCACTCACTGATACTATAGAGAACGAGCACTGTTACTACAAGGTCAGACTCCGGGCGGCTCACTGCCTGACAAGAGTAGCTAACGCAATGGTCGCCACTTGGGCCGGTCCGCCCGCTATGTTGGCCATCTTCCGCAAACTCTTCGGCTCTGCTTCGTGCCGTAGGATTATCAAACAGAACAACTTTCAGAACTTCCAACACTATTTCCTGCAGAAGACGATTCCGGTCGCTATGGCGGGTCTTCGGAACGCTCACGGGATATGTCCGCCAGAAGTCCTTTCGTTCCTAATGGACCTATTTAAGTATAACGATAATTCGAAGAACCGTTACTCGGACAACTATTACCGGGCCGCTTTGATAGAAGCCCTGGGCTCTACAGTCACGCCCGTAATCAGTGTCCAAACGGCAATCACAGCCGAATCGCTCTCTATCGACACGAAAGCAATTCTGGAAGAGGTCACTCGACACCTGAACCTGGAAAAGCTTCTCCCTTCCTACAAATATACGGTTAGCGTCGCATGTCTGAAAGTTATTCGCATTCTCCAAAAGTACGGTCACTTACCTAGCAATCCGCACATCTTCCGGGCCTACGCAGCTTATGGTCAGTTCCTAGACGTTCGCATCGCGGCTCTAGAAGCTTTAGTCGACTTCACGAAAGTTGACGGCAAATGGGAGGACCTACAGTTCCTGTTAAACATCGCCAAGAATGACAAACATCCCGGAGTTCGTCACCGATTAGTCCGACTCCTGGTGGACCATCCGCCCTTCGAACGAGCGCACAAACACTCCCTGGACAAACCCGACCTGGTCGAAACCGTCTGGGGGCTAATCAACAACGAACTATCCCACGACGCGAAACTCCGCTGCGATTGGGTCGATTTCTACTACACGCTCTACGGCTCCAAACGTCCACTTTGTCTCCCGATCAAGGAGTTGGAGTTCCTGTTCAAGCCGAAGAAGGTCGAGAAAACTCCGGAACGGGAAATAAAGGCTGAAATTAAGACCGAAGTCCCCGAACCAGAGAATAGCAATAAACGAAAAGCCTTGTCCTCATCACCTGACAAGGAACTGACTGAACCAGATCTGAAAAGGGTAAAGACGATTGAGAAGGTAATTGAGGTGACGAAAGTGAAGGAACCGCCGATAACGTTACCGACAGACGGTAAGGTGAAGGAATTCTACAGCGATAATTCGGCGTCACTTCCTGGTATTACGGAGAGTCAGGGACCGATTGGATTTGAGCCGGGTATGTTCAAGAAGGATGAGGAGCAGAAGAAGAGCGAGGGTAAGAGTGAGAGTGTGAAGGGGAAGAAGAAGAAGAAGGATAAGAAGAAGCATAAGCATAAACATCGGCATAAGCATGATCATAAGCATGGTAAGGAGAAGGAGAAGAAGGAGAAGGGGGCGAAGGATAAGAAAGAGAATAAGGAGCAGGGTTTGAAACTTAAGGAAGAGACGCTGAGTTCCGCGAGTTCGAGTCCAAGTCCAGATGCAACGACATCGACGAGTGAATTTAATTTTCCTACCTGAGAGAATACCTTAGAGAATTGGTTTGTACAGTGACTTTTGGAGAGTGTGTATAGTTATTTTCTAGGTAGTTTTTTCTTCGTACTTTTTTTTTAGGTTATGTTCTGGTTTTTTTTTGGTATACTTAATTGTAATGTATTTTAATATATTGAAAAATATAATGATAAGACAAAGAGGTTAAAGATTGAGTTTTCTTTGCAGCATTAACTTTGGATTTCATTATTTTCCCAAATGTTCGCCTTCGGTCAAATGTCATTACATTTGACCGAAGGCGAACTGTCATTTTACCGAATTAGGCTATTTCACTACAGCGAAATATTTCGAGTTCGAGTATGACGTCAGATAGCTGGTGGAAAAACAAACAGACGACGCAATGCAATTCTTATGGGAGGAAAAAATTTTGCATTTTCTTTTCAATGTTTTGCAAATTTAATGGATTTGAAACACTCTCTATCTACATATATGTAATTGAAACGCATTCTGTAAAATAATTGTAGTGAAATTAACACTTTACACTTCACAGAAACTTAAAAATATGCTAAAATATATGTTTTTGAGGTTAGGAACGTCTGTTTACCACTATTATCTCCATGTATAAAATAAAGGTAAACAAACGTTCCTAACCTCAAAAACATACATTTTAGCATATTTTTAAGTTTCTGTGAAGAGAATTGTCACATTTGCGAATTGTCACTTAATTTTTACATTTCGTAAAAATGACATTTCGAAAGAATAATGATTTGTATAAATGACAATTCGTAAAAATGGCGATTTGCTAAAAATGACATTTCGTAAAACTGACAATTTGTAAAAAAAGGCAATTCGCAAAAGTGACATTTCGTAAAAATAACAATTCGAAAAAATGACATTACGTAAAAATGATATTTTGAAACAATAACGATTTGTAAAAATGACAATTCGTAAAAATAATATTTCGCAAAAGTGACAATTCATAAAAAAGGCAATTCGAAAAAGTGACATTACGTTAAAATAACAGTTCGGTCAAATGATTTTTTCAAAAAAAATTTTCTAATAATTGAATTCTGTTTGGAAATTTTATGAAAAATAGTAGATATTGAAAATCATTGAATTTTGCAAAGAATTTTATTAAAATATTTCAAAATAATTGAATTTTTCTGAAGAATTGTAATATTTTTGTAAATAATAATGAATTCTTGTAAAGAATATTATATGAAAGATTTTTAAATAATTGAATTCCTGATGGGAATTTTGATAATTTTTAAAAATAATTAAATTCCTGTGAAGATTTTATTAAATTTTGAAAATAATTGAATTTCTTCGAAAAATTTTGAAAATAATTGACTTAATGTGAAGAATTTTATAAATATTTTTAAATAATTGAATTTTGGGGAAGAATTTTTACTAGTTTTTGAAAATAATTGAATTTCTGCGAAGAATTTAAAAATTTTGAAAATAATTGAATTAATGTAAAAAATTTTATAAATTTTTTGAAATAATTGAATTTATGTGAAAAGTTTTACTAATTTTTGAAAATAATTAAATTCCTGTAAAGAATTTGACTAATTTTTAAAAATAATTGAATTTCTGAGAAAGATTTTAAAAATTTTGAAAATAATTTAATTAATGTAAAGAATTTTATAAATATTTTGAAATAATTGAATTCCGGGGAAGAATTTTACCAAGTTTTTGAAAATAATTGAATTTCTGCGAAGAATTTAAAAATTTTGAAAATAATTGAATTAATGTAAAAAATTTTATAAATATTTTGAAATAATTGAATTTATGTGAAAAGTTTTACTAATTTTTGAAAATAATTGAATTTCTGTGAAAAGTTTTACTAATTTGTGAAAATAATTGAATTTTTGCAAACGATTTTATTAGAATTTTCAAAAATAATTGAAAATCCAAGAAGACATTCTAATATTGTTGTGAATAATTGAATTCCTGTAAAAAATTTTATAAAAGATTTTTAAATAATTGAATTCCTATAATAAGAAGTTTAATAATTTTTGAAAATAATTGAATTTCTGTGAAGATTTTATTAAATTTTAAAAATAATTGAATTTCTGCGAAGAATTTTAATAATTTTTAAAAATAATTGAATTGATGTGAACAATTTTAGAAATATTTTTAAATAATTAAATTTCGGGGAAAAATTTTATTAGTTTTTGAAAATAATTGAATTCCTTTAAAAGCTTTTACTAATTTTTTTTAAATAATTAAATTCTAGCTAAGAATTTTACTAATTTTTGAAAATTATTGAATTCCTCCGAAGAAATTTATTATTTTTGGAAAATAATTGAATTCCTGCGATGAATTTTTATTATTTATGAAAATAATTGAAAAGTTGCAAAGAATTTTATTAAAATTTTTAAAAATAATTGAATTCCTTAGAAGAATATTATTATTTTTTATGAAAATAATTGAATTATTACAAAAAATTTTATTAAAATGTTTAAAAAGAATTGAATTTCAGTGAAAAATTTTGTTACTTTTGAAAATAATTGAATTTTGGATGAATTTTATCAATTTTTTTTTTAAATAATTGAATTGTTTTGCAAAATTTTATGAAAATAGTAGATATTGAAAATAGAATTTTGAATATTTTGTTGAAAATAATTGAATCGTTTTAAAGAATTTAATTATAATTTTTGAGAATAATTTTTTGATTTCTAGTATTAGCGAATTTAAAGTAGTGCAAATTCTAAAAAAAAAGAAATAGAATTTAAAGAATTATTGTAAGAATAGGGATCTGAAATCATGACGTCACTAACAAACATGGCGGTCGACAACGGGGTCAAATTTTAACAAACACACATGTTTCAGACTTCTTTTTAATTATTTTTTATATAAAAAGTTGAATAAAGTTAATTGGGGGGCTAAAAATTGTTTCAGTTTGTTTATACGCAAGTTTTAAAAAATTATAAAATGCAATTCGCTCCAAATATTTAATATATTCAGTAAAGTAAATCACATAAGTAAATGCAACTGTCAATAAAAGAATTGTTTTCATATCGAAAAACATTATTTACTTCATTAAAATGTTAAAAAATATCTACTCTAAATATTTAATTAAAATTTGAAGTGGAAATACAGTTTCCTTTTCAAGAAAAGTTAGGAGTTAATCGAGTTAAAAAATAGTTCGAATAGTTTTAAGGTTATGTTTTAGGTTATGTTGTGTTTCTTGTTTACCAATCTGAAAATGTTAAATAAATATGTTGTAGGAGACACACTGCAACGTAAAAATAATATTTATAAACTACTTTTAATTTCAAATCTTGATTAACTGAAAATACAATTAATTAAACATGTTTTAATTAAATATTTAGTGTGACAAAATAGAGTTAGATTATTGCTTTCACACTTTGCTTTTGAATATTTCATAATATTAATCAATATTATTTATTGTACTGAATGTGACTGGTTTGTAGTATTTTCTTTTTTACAAATTAATTTAATGATTAATTATCAAGCTATATTTTAGGATTTTTAATTATAAAACTTGCGAGTTTAGAAATTATTCCATGTAAAATGTCAAAATCGACCCCGTTGTATTAGTTAAATTTTCTGCCACCAGAATGCGTATCGCAGTATTTCAGATCCCTATACCATAATTAATTTTTCAAATTTTTCATTTTTTAATTTAATTTTAATCTTTTAATTTTTTTTAATTCGGAAATATTTGGAATTTTTTTTTTCATTTATTAATAATTATTTTATTTCAAAAAGAATTTCTAAGAAAAAAAAAAGATATTAGACCTTTTTTTGATACTTCACTGTGTGCAAAAAATATAGGGCGACTATTGAATAAGAATACGGCACTGCTTGACATTGTTTCAGGTTGTTTTCAGGTATTGTTCACTTTCAACCAATCAAATTCCTCTCTCGTGCGGCGGTCATTATAATTCAACAGTATTTACCTCTTTTTACGTATTGATTTTTCCACACCAAGTGAAAAATTTACTTCTTGTCATAAACAATAATTTTCTACAACATACAAAATACATAAATGAAAACTAATTATCGATTTATCCCGAATTTTTATTTTTCAAATTTTTAATTTTTCTAGAGGCCTCTTTTTCTAATATAATTTCTCTCTCTCAATATTTAAATGTCTCTCTTGTTTTCTAGACGGAAAAAATTCAGAATTATATTTTTTCGAAACAAAATTCCCCTTTTTGTGATTAAATTTCTTTTGTCCACAAATTTTTTCTCAAATGAATTTTTGAATTTTCCCGCGCTAAAAATGACGTCGTCACAATACACGCCCACCAATCAAATGCGCAACATTCTCGTGGATCCAACGGAAATATTTTCTTTTCTTTTTCCGCAAATTTCTTTGTGTGAATAAAAATATATGTATAGAAAAAAATAAAGTTCCTTCCGAAATAAGAGAAAATGTATTTTATTGAAATACATTTTTTGAAAACAAATTGAAATTTGTGGTGAGTAAAAAAAAAGTGTCTGTCGCGCATGTTGTTTACAACAATAATCAAGCAGATGTCGCTTTTTGATGGCGGTGGTAAGTAAAGAAAAGCTGGTGCGGCAATTTCGAAGGGTCGCAGTGTCGAGGTGCTTTTGAAAATAAATTTTGACACCCAAAACGTTCAGGTGAAAAATAATGGCAGATAATCAGCACAGTCGATTTGAAAAATCACTCGGCTTGTTGACAACGCGTTTCGTAACACTCCTGCAAAAAGCCAAGGATGGAGTACTGGATTTAAAAGTGGTGAGAGAGTTCATGAATTGCGTGATGTGTTTGTAACCCTCGTTCGCGGACGATTATAACCTCAAAAAAAGAAAAATTATAATTGTGTGTTTTTTTGAAGCAAGAGGCGCGATATATTTATATATATGTATACAATACATACATATATATGGCTGCGGGAAATTTTGAAAGGAAAAAAAAGAGAAAAATGTTTTTTTTTTATTTTTATTTCGAGAAAACAAAATTGTTTTTTTTCCGGTTTATAGAGAGAAAATTGTTTTTTTTATCTTGAAAGGGAAAATTAATTAAAAAGCGTCTATCGTCGTTCGCGTACCCGGGGGGACAAAGAGGTGAAATTTTCCACTCGTGTATACATCTAAAAACTTAACCTCTTTTTTTTTATAGAGACGAAAATTGACAATTTAGACACTTTTTACGCGCCGAAAAATTAATTTTTCATTTTCTGAAAATCATATTTTTTCCTATTTCTTTTTCTTGACATAATATTTCCTTTATTTTTAGGAAACTTTTTCGCATTTAGTATTTTATTTTTTGTCCACTTTGTCGAAAGATGTTTCATTCATGAAATTTCAGTTTTTTTTCGATTTCATGTAAATAATAATTTCTTTTTGATAAGTTAATAATTGTATTGAAGGAAATAAAATTCGGAATTGAAGCATTTTTCTCCTTATTGCGAATTATTTATTTATTTATTTGTTTATTGACATTCGTTGCTTAATTAAGTTATTAATAATTAATTATTGCGAAAATACAATTTTAGGCTGCGGATATTTTGGAGGTGCGACAAAAACGTCGAATTTATGATATAACGAATGTTTTGGAGGGAATTGGACTCATTGAGAAAAAAAGTAAAAACAGTATTCAATGGAAGTAAGTTTTTTTCTTTCAAATAAATAATTATCTATATTAATAATCGTTGAATTCCGGTAATTTTTTAGCAGTTTGAAATTAGTTGTTTGCTTTTTTTGTTTCCTAACTTTTTTTTAAAAATCATTTTTCAATATCTTTTTTCAATCAAATTCTTTTCAATTTTAAAATTGTTGTATTGGAAAAAATCATTGAATTTTCCTGCGAAGAATTTTACATTGTAAATTTTGAATCTAAATTGAATTTACCTTAATTTTGAATTGAATCGAAGAAATTCAAAAATTAAATTAAATATTAACAGGAAAGAAGGAAAATTGTAATTAATAAACTTTTTTTTTTTCTTTGAAAATTAAATAGAGGCGCTGGACCTGGTTGCAATTCAAAGGAACTTGCGGAGAAACTCGCCGATTTAAAGAACGAAATAAAATTATTGGAGGATCATGAGAAATTATTGGATAAACACACACAATGGATAAAACAAAGTATTAAAAATGTAGAAACAGATTCAACGAATAAAAGGTTTGGATTCCTGTCGTACGAGGATTTAAAGGAAATTTACAACGACGATGTCATTCTAGCAATTAAAGCACCAACGGAGACAAAGCTCAGCGTTCCAAATCACTCATCGGTATTTATCTCGTTTATTTATTTATTTTTATTATTATTTTCTATTAGTAGAAATTAAATTGAAACCAAGTTAAATTGAAATTTAGAAGAAATTAAATTAAAACTATTTGAAACTACTCAAAAAAAATTGAACAACAATTGAAACTAAATTAAAATTAAATTGAAACTAAATTGAAAATACTTAAAAATACAATTGAAAATAAATTGAAATTGAAATTAAATAGAAATTAAATTGAAACTGAATTGAAATTAAATTAAAATTAAATTGAAATTTTGTAGAAATTAAATTGAAACGAAATGGAAATTAAATAGAAATTAAAATGAAACCAAATTAAATTGAAATTTAGAAAACTAGATTTAAATTAAATTGAAACGAAATTGAAAAATTGAAATTAAATAGAAATTAAATTGAAATTAAATAGAAATTAAATTGAAACTGAATTGAAATTAAATTAAAATTAAATTGAAATTTAGTAGAAATTAAATTGAAACGAAATTGAAATTAAATTGAAACAAAATTGTAATTAAACAGAAATTAAATTGAAACGAAATTGAAGTTAAATTGAAACTGAATTAAAATTAATTGAAACGAAATTGAAATTTAGTAGAAATTCAATTGAAACAAAATTGAAATTTTGTAGAAATTCAATTAAAACAAAATTGAAGTTAAATAGAAATTCAATTGAAACGAAATTGAAATTAAATAGAAATTAAATTGAAATTTATTAGAAATTAAATTGACATTTTGTATAAATTAAATTGAAACGAAATTGAAATTAAATAGAAATTTTGTATAAACTAAATTGAAACGAAAGTGAAATTAAATAGAAATTAAAATGAAACCAAATTAAATTGAAATTTCGAAAACTAAATTGAAAATAAATTGAAACAAAATTGAAATTAAATAGAAATTAAATTGAAACAAAGTTAAATTGAAATTTAGTAAAAAGTAAATTGATACTAAATTGAAAATACTAAGAAATACAATTAAAGCTAAATTGAAAATACTAAGAAATACAATTAAAACTAAATTTAAATTAAATGGAAATTAAATTGAATCCAATATTAAATTGAAATTTAGTAAAAATTAAATTGAAAATACTTAAAAATACAATTCAAACTAAATTAAAACGAAATTGATACGAAATTGAAATTGAAATTAAATAGAAATGAAATTGAAACCAAGTTAAATTAAAAATTAGTAAAAATTAAATTGAAACTAAATTGAAAATACTTAAAAATACAATTGAAATTAAATTGAAACTAAATTGAAATTGAATTGATACGTTATTGAAATTAAATAGAAATTGAGTAGAAATTAAATTAAAGTTGAGTAGAAATTAAATTGAAAATACTTAAAAATACAGTTGAAACGAAATTGAAATTAAATTGAAACGAAATAGAAAATAAATTGAAAATTACGTTGAAACCAAATTAAATTGAAAATAAAATTGGAACGAAATTAAATGTAAAATATCTTGAATATATTTTAGTTGGAAGTGAACGAGAGTGTGAACGTGAATTACGAAATGTCGTTAAAAAGTTCGTCGGGCGAAATAACAGTTCTAGTAATTGAACCCGAATTAGCCGATCATTATGAGACTCATCTTCTGGAAATGAGACTTCAAGACAACGTGAAATGCGATAATTACGGTAAAGACGAGTACGAGATGGAGGAGCATTTCAAGAAGGAGGACATCAAACCGAATAAAAGAAAAGCCGGAAGGTGAATTATTCTTTTTTCTTCTTAAACCAAAAATTAAAAACACATTTTCGCTCCTTTCGCACCTGAAGGGAAAAATACACCCTTCCGGCCTGCACGGAGCGAAGAGAAAAATTTGATCTCTCGGGGAAGAGAATTTTTTAAGTCCGAAAATTTTCTTTTGGTAGAGATCGAACATTTTCCTTTTTCAAAGTAGAAAATAAATTCCTACATTAATTTTATTACTATAAATATTTAAATACTAATATTATAATAAAAAAAAAACGTTCAAAGCCGAAAGACTGAAGAAATATAAACAAATATTGAATTTTCTCCCTTAGGCCGCCGAAAATTCCAAAAGTTGAAATTATGTCGGACGAAGAGGACGACGACGAAATGGATATCACGGACGCAAAAATTATATTGCGGGACATTAATTTAACGGGTATGGTTCAAAATCAAATTTTCTTTAAATACGGAATAATTACTAAATAAGTAAAACAAAAAAAATCTAGGTATTAATATTATTAATAATTAAAATTAATAGTAATTATTTTTTAAAATCTTGTAAAAATTTTCCGAGAAAATTCAATTATTTTAAAAAATAATTCAATTTTTCACTGAAGTTCAATTATTTAAAAATCTTTTATTAAAATCAATCCAAGAATTCAATTATTTTCATAAATAATGAAATTTCCGCTGTAATTCAATTATTTTAAATACAATTTTTATTGAATTCCAGGAAAAATTTAATTATTTCTAAAAACTTTTCGCGATTCAATGATTTTTAATATCCACTATTTTAAACAAATTTTCCAAATGTATTCAATTATTTAAAAAAAAATTATAGACAAAAATTCAATTATTTTCATAAATAAATAAAATTTTTCCGAAAATCAATTATTTAAAACACAATTTTCAGAAAATTTTTTGAAAAAAATTAATTTTCTAAAAAGATCAAAATTCTTCGCAAGAATTCAATTATTTAAAAAAAATTTTTATAAAAATCGTTGCAAGAATTAGATTATTTTTGTAAATAATAAAAGTCTTTTCAGGAATTCCTTTTTTTTTAATTCTTCAAAAGAATTTAATAATATCAATAAATAGTACATTTTTCCTAAAAAATCAATTATTTTAAATACAATTTTCATAAAATTCTCAAAAATTCAATTATTTTCAAAAATTTTGCCAAAAATTCAATTATTTCTAGAAATAATAAATTTTTTGTCTGGAATTCAATTATTTAAAAAAGTTTTAATAAAATTCTATTCAAGAATTCAATTATTTTTAGAAATAATTTAATTGTCGATGCACTAAAAATCATGGAATTCGTCTAAAGTATTTTGAAAAAAAATTTTGAAAATAATTGAATTCATTTCAAGAATTTTATAAATATTTTTTTCAATAATTGAATAATTGAATTTAAACACTTTTTATAGTGTTTTTTGTAAAAAATTAAATTTTTTTTAAAAGAATTTCATTAAATTTCGTAAAAATAATGTAATTTTTTTTCAATAATTTTAAGGGCATTTGAACCTTGATGACGTTACACTTTGTGCAAAGCATGTGTGACGTCATCAAGGTTCAAATGCCCTTAATAGAAAAATTTGAAAATAATTGAAATTTAGAAAGAATTTTATCAAAAACTTTTAAGAATAATTTTGAATTGTTTAGAAAAACTTTATTACAATTTTTAAAAATAATTGGACTTTTTGGAAAAATTTTTTTTAAATTATCTTGAATATAATTGAATTTTTCCCTGAAAGTTTAATTAAAATTGTATCTAAAAATAATTGAATTCTTGCCAAGAATTTTACTATTTATAAAAATAATCGAATTGTTTCCAAGAATTTCTGATCAGAAATTTTTTAAAATAATTGAATTTTTATTAAATCTTTTGAAAATAATTGAATTTTAATATTTTAATTGTAGCGAGAAATTTTCTTATTTATAAAAATAATTGAATTTTTGCGACGAATATTTTAATTTATAAAAATAAATTTTTTTTTAAATTCTTCAAAAGAATTTTGTATTGTAAATAAATAGTAAATTTTTCACAGGAATTCAATTATTTTAAATATAATTTTAATAAAATTCTCAAAAAATCAACTATTTTTTTAAATTTTACAAAAATTCAATTATTTGTAAAAGTAATAATTTTTTTCGCATTGATTCAATTATTTAAAAAAGTTTCAATAAAATTCAATTATTTACATAAATAATGAAATTTATTTTGGAAATCAATTATTTTAAATAAAATTTTAATTGAATTTAAAAAAAGAAAAAAAATTTTGAAAAGAATAATTCAATAATATCAATAAATAGTAAATTTTTCACAGGAATTCAATTATTTTAAATATAATTTTAATAAAATTCTCAAAAAATCAACTATTTTTTTAAATTTTACAAAAATTCAATTATTTGTAAAAGTAATAATTTTTTTCGCATTGATTCAATTATTTAAAAAAGTTTCAATAAAATTCAATTATTTACATAAATAATGAAATTTATTTTGGAAATCAATTATTTTAAATAAAATTTTAATTGAATTTAAAAAAAGAAAAAAAATTTTGAAAAGAATAATTCAATAATATCAATAAATAGTAAATTTTTCACAGGAATTCAATTATTTTAAATACAATTTTCATAAAATTCTTTAAAAAAATTCACTTATTTTTTTAAATTTTGCAAAAATTCAATTATTTGCAGAAATAATAAATTTTTTTTTGCAGGAATTCAATTATTTGAAAAAGTTATAATAAAATTCAATTATTTTCATAAATAATGAAATTTTCGCTGAAATTCAAAAGTGTAATTAAAATTGCATTGAAAATAATTTAATTCTTGGCAAGATTTTAATTAAAATTCTTTAAAATAATTTAATTATTTTAAAGAATTTATTTCAATATTCTTGAAAAGGATTTTACTATTTATAAAAATAATTGAATTGTTTCCTAGAATTTTTTATCAGAATTGTTTAATATAATTGAATTTTCATTAAAACTCTTGAAAATAATTGAATTTAAATAATATTTTAATTCTTGCGACGAATATTTTAATTTATAGAAATAATTGAATTGTTTCGAAGAATTTTATCTGAATTTTTGAAAATAATTGAATTTTTTTGAAGGAATTTTATTAAAAATGTTGAAAATGTTTTTATAAAAAGATTTTTATCAAAATTGTTGAAAATTGAATTTATATTAAAATTCTTTCAAATAATCGAATTTAATGAATATTTTAAAAGAATTTTATCATCTATGAGAATAATGGAATTCTTGCTTAAAATTTTATTAAAATGTTTGAATAAAAATAAACAAGAATACCCAATATTATGTACTTAAGTGAATTTTTTAAAATTTTGTTGCAGGTTTCAGCCAACAAGATTACGAGAGCGACGATTTCTTCTCAGATGGTAAATATTTTGCCTTTCATTATGTTTATTAATTATAAATTTTTGAAATATTATTATAAAATTTTTCATACACATTATCAGATTATTATTATTTTATATAAATTATAAATTAAAGTAATTTTTCTTTTTAAATGCTTAAAATTTTTAAATTAATGAAATTTTAAGTTAATGCTTTATAAAGATGAAAAAGTAACAAAATTTAATGAAAAAAAATTTATTTTTGAATTAAGAATTAAAATTTAATTTGATTTTTTAAATTATTGAAGAAAAACTAATTTTCTTAATGCAAAATTTGATTTCCATTTTCTTAAAAGAATTGAAATATTTTGACGAATTATATTAAATATTTTTTAAATTAATTGAATTCTTTCGAGGAATTTTATTCAAAATTTTTAAAAAAATAATTGAATTCTATATCAAGAAATTCAATTGAAATTATATTTAAAAAAAAAATGTAATTCCTACGAAAAATTTTATTTGATTATGAAAATTATTCAATTCTTGCGACAAATTTTATAAGAAATTTGATTCTTTCGAAGAATTTCTTTACAATTTAAAAAAATAATTAAAATCTTTTACGAAATTAAAAATAATTGAATTCTAATAATCAAATAGTATTAAAAATTTTGAAAAAAATCGAATTCTTTAGAAATTATTTTTTTGTTTTAAAAATTATATTGAAAATAATTTAATTGAAAGAATTATACTAATAATTTCTAATACATTTTTTTTTCGTCTTTCGCAGTTTGCGGACCATTGGTGAGGTTGAGTCCACCGCCAGGAGAAACTGATTATCGTTTTAATCTCGGAGAAAACGAGGGTCTTTGTGATCTTTTCGACATTGCCGCAAAATAAGTACAATTTATTATTATTTTTTTAAAAAGAAACCATTACTATTAATTAATATTAATATTATTAATTATTTTTAATTATTATTATTATTATTATTATTATTATTATTATTATATTATTTTTTTATTATTAATAATATATAATAGAAAAGATTTCTTATTTGTATTAATAATAATAAAAATAAAGAAAAAAGAATAATAAATTTATTTTTATTATTATTAACAATAAAAGTAAAGAAAAATAAATAAATGTTCTTTTTCTATTGATAATAATAATAATAATAATAATAATAATAATCCTATTATTAGTAAATTTTTTTTTCCGTGTTTTTTTTTATATCAAACTTTGTCGATATTTATAGCAAAAAAAAAAAAAAAGTTGTTCTTTTTTTTCCTCAAAACAAAAAAACTTGTAATTAGTTAATTTTGTCGATATCTGTACATAATGTTTAATGTTTAGAAACACGAATAATTTTGAAAAAAGAAGTCACTTTTTTCTAATGGTTCAATCGACAAAATTTTTATTACAATTTTTTTTTTCTTTTCTTCATTAGAATATTGTAAAAAGAGAGGGAAAAATGGGTCTTGGGGTGGGGAGGGGGGTTTATGAAAGAAAAAAAAAATTAAAAAACGAGAGGTAATGTCAGCTAGTTTGACAAAATATTTTCTTAATAATTCATTGTATTTGAGATCAGTTTTGGAGAAAGAGAGAAAAAAAAGAGAAAAAGAAGCGTTTCAAATAATTAAGAAAAAAAAAATCGAGAATGAGAGACGAATGTTAGATAATGTTGTAAGTATACAAGGAATGATGTTTGAATGTTTATGGAGAAATGAAAATTGTGTTTTTTTTTCAAAAGGGAGAATATTGAAAAAAAAAATTTATTTTTAAATTTTCTGTGTAAAAATTAATTATTATTTTTATTATTATTATTAATATTAATAATATTATTACATTAATATTATTATTATTATTATTATTATTATTATATTATTATTATATTATTATTATTATTATTATTATTCGTATTATCTCCCGATGAATGTTGATTAGAATTTTTAATCGTTTTTTTCTTGCGATGTCGCGATTCATTGTATAAAAAGAAATTTATATATATATATCTACAAATGAAGAGTAGATTTTTGTACTATTCTTCATCATCATTAATGTTAGATTTTGAAAACGACTTTTTTTTCTTCTTTCTTGATTTGATAGAAATAAATATTTGAAATTTTTACAAAAAAATAAATGTGAGAAATTTTATTCTTTCATTAGAATAAAACAATTATCCGTTCAAAGGCCTCGAAAAAATGTCTTACTCGAAAATTATCATTAGTAAAATTATATTGTTAATTTTTATTAATTATTATTATCATTATAATTCGTTAATAAAATTTTTTCCCAAGAATTTCATTATTCTCATAAATAATAAAATTCTTTCAGAACAATTCAATTATTTTCAATGCAATTTTTATCAAATTTCTCGAAAGAATACAATTATTTTTCAAAGTATTAATTAAATTCGATTATTTTCAAGAATTTTAATATAAATTCAATTTATTTTCCACAATTTTCATTAAATTCTTTTAAAAAATCGTTATTTTCAAAATTTTTAATAAAATTCCTTCCAAACAAATTATTTCTTTATTTATTAAATAAATAAATAAATTTTATTACAAATTTTGAAAAATAAATTCAATTTATTTTCAACAATTTTCATTAAATTCTTTTTAAAAAAATCATTATTTTTAAAATTTTTAAGAAAATTCCTTAAAAAAAAAAATTCAATTATTTTCAAAAATTCAGATAAAATTCTTCAAAACAATTCAATTATTTTTATGAATTTATAAAATCCTCGGCAAGAATTTAATTATATTTTCATAAAAAAGAAAATACTTCGCAAGAATTGAAATATTTTCATAAATAAGAAAATTCTACAAAGGAATTCAATTATTTTCGTAAATAATAAAATGTTTCGAAAGAATTCAATTATTTTCAATACAATTTTAATTAATTTCTCAAAAGAATACAAATATTTTTTTAAATATTATTTAAATTCAATTATTTTTCAAGAGATATAATAAAAATTCAATTATTTTCAACAAATTCTGATTAAAAAATTCTTGGAAACAATTCAATTATTTTTATAAATTTGTAAAATTCTTGGCAAGAATTCAATTATTTTTGCAAATCTAATAAAATTCTTCTGAGAAATTTAATTATTTTCAGATGCAATTTTAATTGAATTTTTATAGGAAAAAATTCAATTATATTCAAGATAATTTTAATAAAATTTCTCCAACAGGTTCAATTATTTTGAAAAATTGTAATAAAATTTTTCTAAACAATTGAATTGTTCTCAAAAGTTTTTCATAAAATTCTTTGTAAATTTCAATTATTGTCAAAATTTTCAATTAAAATTTCTTTTAAAAATTCAATAATTATCTTTTTCAGATAAAATTTTTCGAAACAATTCAATTATTTTTCTAAATTAAAAAATTCTTCACAAAAATTTAATTATTTTTATAAATAAAAAAATTCATCGCAAAAATTCAATTATTTTCAGATACAATTTTATTTAAATTTCTAGAAAACAATTCAATTATATTCAAGATAATTTTATGAAAAATTTTCTAACAGATTCAATTTTATTTTAAAATTGTTATAAAATTTTTCTAAACAATTCTAAATTTTTTCAAATAAAATTCTTTGTAAATTTCAATTATTTTCAAAATTTTCAATTAAAATTCCATTGAAAAATTAATTTCTGGAAATAATTGAATTCTTGAATAGAATTTTATTAAAACTTTCTTGAAATAATTGAATTCCTGCGAAAAAATTTATTATTATTAGAAATAATTGAATTTTTGAAATAATTTTAAAAAATAAGTGAATTTTTGAGAAAAATTTTTATCAAAATTGTATTTAAAGTAATTGAATTCCTGTGAAAAATTTACTATTTATTTGATATTATAGAATTATTTTAAAAAATGATAATTCAATTTTATTTGAAATAAAAAATGTTTAGAAATAATTTAATATTCCCTGGAATTCAATTAAAATTGTATTTAAAATAATTGAATTCCATAGCGAAAATTTAATTATTTCTGAAAAATAATTGAATTTTATTCTTGAATTGAATTTTATTTAAAGTTTTTTAAATAATTGAACTCCTGTGAAAAATTCTATTATTTTTAAAAATAATTGAATTTTTTCGGAGAATTTTCACACGATTTTTAAAAAATAATTGAAATTTTCGAAAAAAATCAATTAAAATTGTATTGCAAATAAGTGAAATCCTGATAAGAATTTTATTATTTATATAAAAATAATTGAATTTTTTTCAAAGATTTTTATTAGTTATAAATTGACTTTTTGCAAAGAATTTTATTACAATTATTGAAAATAATTGAATTCTTCATTGTTCTTCATAAAATTCAATTACTTTCAAAATTTTTAGTAAAAAAAAAAAAAATTGTGAACGCACCCTTATTTTCATGAACTATTTTTGTCTATTTTATTCAATTTTATTCAGATAAATTCATTTTTGTAGTTTCTTGGAAATGGAGATCCTGAAACGGACCCTTGTCATTACTGATTATTTATTAATTATTATACTTTTAAAAGACCCCGCATAAAAAGTAAATAATTTTTGACCGGGAAACAATGCACTTCTTGTGAAAGGTCATTTATGTTTCACCTTTGTCATTGTGCGGAATGTGAACGCACCCTTAGGTCCAATTGCGCTGTTATTGCGTGTGAACCCGACTTTATCTTTCGCAAATTTGCGATTTTCCTGCAGCTGCACGATTTTGTGAATAAAATACTGAAATGGTATTTCAATAGTCAAAATTAAAATCTAAATAATTTTATTCCTTTTCTTTACCAAATTATTATTTCTCTCTTTTTTCCTTACTTTCCAAATCCAATTTCCGATTTTCAATAAGAATTGAAACAAACCTCAAACATAACCTCAAAAAGCGTGATTTTCAACATTGTCAACCCATTTAGACTATTATCTTCGAGATTTTTTCTTAAAAAAAGAATACCTATTGCATAATGGAGAAAAGATTTAAAATCTCCTCGAATATTGTATATAGAATAAAAAATATATATCTATGTCTTTTAAGGCCTAAGTCAAGGACACTTTAGACAAGAAAGAAAGAAAGAAAGAGAGAGAAATGAATCGAACATAAAAATTTCGTCATCATTTTTAGTTTGTGCGTATTGCTGGTGCGATGTGGTTTAAAATGAGAGTATAACGATTGCCAATATGCGCGCGACTCCTTTTTACCTATATTGTACAATATAACACTAACTATATTATACATATCTATGTATATGAAAAAAATATTATTCACAATGAATTTATTTCCTGATGCAACGAGAAATTTGTCACATTCCGCAAAATTTGCGGACTGTCAATAACACAACATCCGTTTTTCAATTTTATCCATTTAATCCATCGACGTATTGAGGGCGCGTGTAAAATAAAGGTATAATATAGAAGAAAAAAAAAAGAGAAATATTTATATTCTTTAGACAAAAAAAAAAATGTTAATTCGACAGAAATATGTGATGACAGTTAATTGTTTTGAAATATTTTTTCTAAAGTGAGAGAAATTAGGAAATTATTATAATAAACATCGAAAAGTGTGAATAGAAAAAATGATTAAATTTAGTTACTCTTCAGGACTTTTCTTTTTCAGTTAAAAAAAAGCAGTGTGTGTGTGTTTTTTTTAAATCGAAAAATAGCGAGAGGGAGAAGAAAAAAAGTGAGTATATTGTTTATATATATATGTGTATTATTTACGTTGAGGAAATTGTTAACAAGTAAAATCAAATTTATTTCTGGCTCGCGCGCGCAAAAAAAAATAAATTCGTCTGCTTGTAGAAAACGTGTTCGCATGAAATCAGCTGATTGTGACGTTTCATGGACTTTGATTTCGTATACATATATATATACATATTTGGGTCCTTTCATGTAAAAATGACACTTTTTTTTACATATTTGGGTCATTCTATTAAGAATTACTCTTTTTTCTCTTTTTTTTATATATTTGGGTGATTTCATGTGAAAATTACATATTTTTTTTCTTTTCCGTTTTCACAAATTTGGGTCATTCCAAGTGAATATGACACTTTTTCTTTTTACAAATTTGGGTCATTTCATGTGAAATTGACAAATTTTCTTTGTTTACATATCTGGGTCATTCCATGTGAATATGACACATATTTGTTTTCTTTTCTTTTTTTCTACTTCTTGATAATTAATAAGTAATTAAGGGCGAATCTACAATTATTCTAACAGTATTTTTCTTTATTATCAATTTCAGTATTTTTATCATTTATTTAGTATTTTCTTTATTACTAATTTAACTTTATTTATTTAACAGTATTTTGTTAATTATCTATTTTGCACTCGGTTCAGCAGAGTATTAGTTATTAATTAATATTAGTTATTTAATTTTGCAGTATTGTAATTGTTGCAGTTTTGTTTAAATTAAAAATTATTAAATAATAAAAATTAAAATAAATGTATAGGTAAAAATAATTAAAATTAAAAAAATTAAAAAAGAGGAAAAATAATACGAAATTATAGAAAATATTTGTAAAAAAAAAAAAAATTAAAAAAGTAAAAATAATACAAAATATTACAAAAGAAATGTTGTTTTTAAAGAAATGACGACGGGCTTGAGAGCGGTTGTTATGAAATTTCGAACGGTGACGAAAAATTATCCAGTGGTAAGGGGAATGACATCGTACGTTGTCATTTGGCCAGTGGCGAGTTTAATTCAACAAAAAATCACTGGCAAGGAAAAATTGGATTATCTGCAAGCTTTGAGATTTAGTATTTATGGGGGTTTTTTCGTTGCACCAACACTTTATGCCTGGCTTAAAGTTGCCAGTCGATTTTGGCCCAGAGCTGATCTCAAATCTGCACTTACCAAGGTATTAAAATTATTTAAAAAAAAAAAAAAAAAAAAAAAAAATTAAAAAAAATTTTAATTTTAAAAATAATAATTATTAATAAATAATTTTTTTTCAAATTTACAGGCTCTTGTGGAACAAGCAACTTATGGGCCGTCGGCAATGTGTTGCTTTTTCTTTGGCATAAGTTTATTGGAATTCAAACCAATTTCTGAGTGCATTGATCAAGTGAGAGAAAAATTCTGGCCCACCTACAAGGTATTTTTTTTCAATTTTTAAACAATTTATTTTAAAAATTTTAAATTTTAATAAATTTAATAAATTTTAGAAAATTCATTACTTTTTTAAAATAATAATTAAGCTATTTTTTAACTTTTTTTTTATTTTTTTGTTACTAATTTTGTTATTAATTATTAATTAATTCTTGAAAATGAATTAATAATTAAAAAATTAATAATTATATAATTTTTTTATACAAAATTATTATTATTTTAAAAATAAATGGAATTTTTATAGATTGGCGTTTGCGTTTGGCCGATATTACAGACAGTGAATTTTCTCTTTGTACCTGAAAAAAATCGTGTTGTCTACGTGAGCATTTGCAGTTTAATGTGGACATCATTTCTTGCTTATATGAAATCCCTTGAAACAAGGAGACTGCAAAATATTCCCGTTCAAATGAAAATTGAAGCCAATAATATTGTTGAAAGTAGTAGTGAAGATAAATCAAAAATGGATAAAACAAATTGGTTCTCTGTTTATCATTAATAATTGCTCGTATTAGGAAAAAATTTAAAAAAAAAGAAATTTCACATTGATGACGCGTAACGAACATTTTTTTTCTTTTAATCTTTTTTTTTAAACATTATTTATAATATTTCAAATATTTTTTTTGATTTTCATTTTGAATTCCGCGCCGTTTAACTAATTTTCGTACAATTCCGACCTTATCGACCGTTCATAGATTGGAAACTCACTTAAAAATATTTTATTCAAATAGCTCGCGAAATATGTATAAAATAATTTTTTTCAATTTGATTTATTTATTTTTATTTATTAAAAAAATTATTTTGCCTGCTCTATTTATTTTTTTTAATTTTTTACGCGTCTCGTTGTTATTGACATTTTTTCTAGACAAATTTAATTGTACAAAATAAATATATACGTAATTGTTCATTTTTTTTATTACGAAAATAATTTTTTTTTCTCCACAACCCCCTTTTTTAAAAGGCGGGGGGGGAGGGGATGAAATTCTAGTAAAATTGAATTATTGTTATTAATCGTGATTTTCTCTCGATGGAGAAAATTTGAAAGTAAAAAAAAACCAAAAGAAAAAAAAATAGTTGATATTTTTTTTTATTGAGAAAAGAATTCCACTAGTGAAAGTATATAAATACCTGACTAAGATTATATTATTTTTAATAATAAATGAATTTATTGTTGAAAGTATAAGCAACGATATTTTTTATTCGCATTCAAAAAAAAAAAAAAAAAATTGCGAATGAAAACTTTGTAAATTATCTGACAATAAAAATGTTGATTTTAAACCGACTTTTTTCTTTGATAAATAAAATAAATAAATAAAATTAATAATTTAATTATTATTAAAATTTTTAAATATAAATAAAATTAATACTGAATTTTTAAATAAATAAAATTAATAAAAAAATCTGCAGATAGAATTAAAATGCAAAATTTTAATTTTTCAAAAAATAATTAAATTGTAGTTTAAATTAAAAAAGACTTTTTGCAAAAATAAAATTTTCAACGTAATCAAAGTATAAAATTAAATTTTCTAATTAGAAGCCAAAACTAAAAATAAAAATTACGTAAATTTCGAAATCTCATTTCGTGAGTATATTTAATATTATTTATTAATACAATGTATTGAAAATTATATAATAATAAAGACAAATATATTTACATTTTTTGTCGTCATAGTGAAAAGTAATTAGCAGAGTTATTTAATGAAACAAGCAAAACAATACTCTTTGTAATTATTTTATATTTTTATTATTATTAAAGAAAGTGGTTTTTAATTTTCTAGTTACGGCCCTTTTTAATAAAAATAATCATTTCCTTTTTTCTAGTTACGGCCCTGTTTAATAAATAATTTCGTATTTCCTTTTTTCTAGTTACGGCCCTGTTCAATAAATAATTTCTATCATTTTGTTTTTTCTTGTTACGGCCCTGAAATGTGCTTATTGTAATATATTGTTTTTTATAATAAAATAATAATAATAGAAGTAAAAATAACCCAATAATAATTTAAAAAATAATTTAGTCGTCTTCTCAGTTCTTGCAAATAAAAAAAAATAATAAAAATATCAGTAAATTGAATACAATTTCGAGTTTAAAATTGTTATTGTGCAAGTTTAAAATGAAAATTGAGAATTTTTAATTTCGGAAAAATATATATAAAAAATATACAAAAAAATATAGAAGAAAAAATATCAAAAAAAGGAGAGAAAATTTACACAAAACGAATTGAAATAAAAACTAGAAAAATTGAAACAATTTTTACGAGAGGGGTGCAAAAATTACTAGGTACGCTCCTGAGCGCCTGTCAAAATTAGGAAAAACAATAAAATATAGAAATAAAGAGCTGATAATGTAGTAATACGTCAAAATGAATCATAAGTATTTGTTCCACCTGAGAGAATTCGATTAAATTCCAATCAAATAGGACAAAAAAAGTGAATCATAATTCTTTTTTTCTATAACTTTCAAAACAACAAAGATGGCGCCCCTCTTTAGATCTGTCAAAAAAGTGATAATTATCCGAAACATAAATCACATCTCACTCGTGAATAAATTGTGAATATCTCGAGTATTATTTAGTATAAAAAGAAAATATTTTATAAAACTCAGTGAATAAATAAATAATTCAAATTTTCGTGTTATTTATTGATAACGCGCGCGACAATCGACAATAAAAGAAAAGTGAGGTTAGGTTTATTATTGAAAATTTGCGAATGACATTTCAGTGTGTATATATGTTTTCGAATCGTTGCGACATAGTGTTTAATAATTAAAAAAAAAAAAGTGAATTAGGTATTTAAAAGTGAAAAAAAGTGTGTTTTTTATACTCCAGTGAAAAACAAAGGATATTAAATTATAAATAATGAAATAATGGCTCGAGCCACAAGTTCAATGCAATGCGATTCCGTTGCAACTTATATGGACGGTGTTCATGTTAAAATTGCCGAAGCTTATAAACCGCCAAGGAAAATTGCACTGCCTGCCGCTTATAATAATCGTTTGCCCGATGCATCAAGATATTCGTATGATTTTTCATTGGAGAGATCCGTTCTGCAGAAGGTAAATATAATTTTTCTTGTTTTCACACTTCTTTTGAAAATAATTCATCGCAAAGCTTTTTCTTTTTATTCAATTTTTCTCTTTTATTTTTTATTACTTTTCTTAGAATTTACACTGCTTTTTTCTATTATTTAGCAAAAAATTTGAAAAATTAATAGTTATTTTCGTTTTTTTATCCTAACCTCAAAATATTATTTTTCGCAATTTTTTAAAATTATTTTTTTATCCTATAATAATAAGAATAATAATAGGTAATAAATAATTAACTAATAATAAAAATAACAGTTTTTTGTCCTTTTTCAATGATAACAAAAAATTAATAAAAATCATTAACTAATAATAAAAATAATAGTTTTTGTACTTTTTTTTCAAAATAACAAGAAAAAATTAATTTTGAAGATGTCAGAATGGAGAAAAGCTCGACTGGCGAATAGTGAAGCACGACAATTGCGTCTCGAGGAGAATAAATTGAGAAAAAAGGAAAATTCGCCATCACCACCACCGGCGTCATCAACGACGTCGTCGTCAACTTCTTCATCGCCATCAACAACAACAACAACAGCAACTCAGGAGACAAATCAACTTCCGGTGAAAACGGCACCGGTACCGGAAACAACGATACTCACACCGCAGCCATTATCACCACCAGCAAACGATTTACACGAAATTAGTAACAATAAATCACAGGATCTTAATTATGCCGATTTTGATAATGATACGAGCAGTCCGTTTGATAATATGCTTTTGAAATCGATAAACGACAAGGAAGAATTGGCTCAGGTTAATTTGTTTCACTATTTTTACATTTTTATTAAATTATTACATTATGTTTTTCTTTTTATTATTTTTAATCTTTTTTTTTTATTAATTATTACTTTTTTTATTTACTATTTTCTTTATTATTTACTTATTTTTTTTTATTATTTATTACTTTATTTCAACAATTTTTTAATTTTAAATATTTAATTTAGAAAAACATTTTTCTATTAGAACCATATTTTTTCTTATTGTTTAATATTTTAATTATTTTAATCTAAATTTAAAAGAATTACAGGTTTCGGATAACAATTTTTAGACTATTTCTAACTTTTTCGACTTATTTTTAAAAAAAATGAGAATTTCTCAATTTACTTTTAAATAAAAGACGATTTTTTCGTTTTATTTTTGAAAAAACGACTTTTTTCGATTTTATTTTAAAAAAAGAGACTTTATCGATTTATTTTTAAGATTTTAAAGAAAAGGCGATTCTTTTGGAATTATTTTTAAAAAAATTCGATTTTTTAACTTACTTCAAATAAAAAACGATTTTTTTTTTAGAAAAACGACTTTTTTCGACTTCTTTTTAAAGAAAAGGCGATTTTTTCGATTTATTTTTTAAAATAGCGACTTTTTCGAATTATTTTTAGGAAAATAATATGATTTTCTCGCAATATTTTAAAGAAAAGACGATATTATAGACTTTTTTTTTTAAAAAAAGCGATTTTTTTTATTTATTTTTCAAAAATGTGATTTATTTTAAAGAAAAAGCGATTTTATCGATTTATTTTCAAAAAATGCGATTTTCTTAATTTAATTTTAATAAAAGACGATTTTTTTGATTTATTTTTAAAAAAGCGACTTTTTCGAATTATTTTTAAGAAAAGGCGATTTTTTAGATTTATTTTTTAAAAAAGACACTGTTTTTTAAAAGAAGTCGATTTTTTTAGTCTTGTTTTCAAATGATTCGAATTATTTTTTAAAAAGCGACTTTTTTCGTCTTATTTTGAAAAAAGGAGATTTTTTAGACTTGTTTTAAAATTTTTTTTTTAATTTTGTAAATATTATTTTTTAAGCTTCTACAACCGTCGCATTGGAAGCCATCGGGAAAATTGGAGAATATAATTAATGATTTAACAATTGGAAATGATGGACAAAATAATCACAATCAAGAGATAAATGATTCGATAATCGATAAAACCGACGATCACGAGAGAATAGAACGTAAAACTGATTCCCTAAGAATTGTTTCATTAATCGTCGAGGAATTGCAAAGGGAACTCGAGCGTCCAATTTTAGAGGTAAATAATTTTTTCTCCATATTTTAAGTAAATACAAAAAAAATTTTTTAAATTCAAAAAATTTTTTTCTTTTTAAGCATTTTATTTTTAATTTAAATAGAAAATAATTGAATATTAGAAGCGTTACAGTAGAAATTTTTCTACTAAACTAAAATCATTATTTTTAAAGTTTTAAAAAAATTCCTTAGAAAAAAACATTATTTTCAAAATATTTAAAAAAATTCCTTAAAAAAATCAATTATTTTCAAAAACTCAGATAAAATTTTTCGAAAAAATTCAATTATTTTTATGAATTGTAAAATCCTCCGCAAGAATTTAATTAGTTTTATAAAAAAGATAATTCTTCCTAAGAATTAAAATATTTTCATAAATAATAAAATTCTACAAAGAAATTCAATTATTTTCGTAAATAATAAAACTTTTCGCAGGAATTCAATTATTTTCAATACAATTTAAATAAAATTTCTCAAAAGAATATTATTTAAATTTAATTATTTTCAACAATTCTGATAAGAAATTCTTTGAAACAATTCAAATTATTTTTATTTTTATAAATTGTAAAATTCTTGTCAAGAATTCAATTATTTTTGTAAATAATAAAATTCTTCAGATTACAGAAATTCAATTATTTTCAAAAATTTATAAACATTCTCGTCAAAATTTCAATTATTTTTATAAATAATAAAATTCTTCTTCGAAATTGAATTATTTTCAAAAAAATTAATAAAATTCTTGGCAAAATTTGAATTATTTTCAAAAATTTTCCTCATTTCAATTATTTTTAATATCTACTATTTTAATAAAATTTTCCAAAAGAATTCAATTATTTAAACGAAATTTAAAAAAAAATTCACAAGAATTCAATTACTTTCCAATTTTTTTCATAAATTTCTTCGCACCAATTCAACTATTTTTAATTTTTTAATGAAGTTTATCGAGAGAATTCAAATATATTCAAAGAATAGAAACAAATAGTTCTGAGAAATTCAATTATTTCGCAAAATTTAAATAAAATTCTTTTAAAAATTTTATTATATTTAAAAAAATTTTGACAAAATTCTTTACAAGATTTAGTTAATAAAATTGCAATTTTAATAAAATTTTCCTATTTAATTTAATTATTTTCAATAAAATTCTTATTAAGAATTTAATTATTTTCACAAATAATACATTTTTTTATGGGGATTCAATTATTTGAAAAAAATTTGAAATAAAATTCTTCGTAAGAAATCAATTATTTTCATAAATAATAAAATTTTTCTCGAGAATTCAATTATTTCAAAAATTTTGATGAAATGGTTTATAAATTAGAAAAATTATAATAAAATTGACTGTAGAATACAATTACTTTTGTAAAATATAACATTCCTTATAGGAATTACAATTTTACTGTCAAGTTTGTAAAAATCCTCGAAACAATTCAATTATTTTCTTAAAAAATAAAATTCTTCCAAGCAATTCAATTATTTAAGAAATTTTAATTAAATTCTTCCCAAGAATTCAATTTTATTCAAAAATAAAACTTTTCACAAGAATTCAATTATTCAAAAAAAAATTTAATAAAATTCTTCGTCCAATTTCAATTATTTTCAATTTTTCAATGAAATTTTGTCGATAGAATTTAATTATTTTCAAAATGTTATAAAAAATTCGGAGAAATTCAATTATTTAAAAAATTTGAATAAAATTCTTCACAAGAAATTCATTTAATATCATAAATAATAATATTTTTCTCCGGAATTCAATTATTTTCAGAAATAAAATTCTTCACAGGAATTCAATTATAGAATTTTTTATAAATTTCTTTAAAAAAATTTAATTTTAAGAAATATTCAATTATTTAATACATTATTTATCTTTGCATTTAAATAATTGAATTCTCGAAAAATTTTCTGATAAAAATTGATTAAAAATGAATTTTACTTAAAATTTGAAATTATAATTGAATATTAAAAGCATCATAGCGTGAATTTTGATAAATAAGTGAATTTTGAAAAGGGTCCAAAAATTAAAATCTTTGAAAATTTGAATTTATAGTTGCAATATTCTTATAATATAAAATAATGATTTTATCACTCTGTAATTTTATAACAATTTTTGATAAGTTGTTTAATTTCAGAAGGTTTTGATTTAAAATCCTTAATTCCTGTAGAAAAATAATAATGATTAAGTATTTATTTAAAAAAGAAGTTATTGATGTTGTCGAATAATTTTCCACTTAAAGAAATTCGTAAATATAAATGTAATAGAACACTTCTTTGAGTAACTAATAATTTTTCGAGTGAATCGGTATATTCTTCAGGGTCAGGAAGGAAGTCAAAATTTTGTCTGGAAATCAGGGAAAAGTCAGGGGAAAAACAAAATTAAATTTTCGTGGCAACCTTGTAATTTATCTTTTTTTTTCTCTCTCTCTCATTTAGAATTGGAAACCTTGGACGGAAGTGGAAAATTTGGACGTTGAGAAAAATTGTGTGACAAATGAAAAACCACCGAGTCATTCGAAGGCATTGACAAATATTCTAATGGATTTATCGGAGGATGATCAGAAATTGGCGAGGCATTTGAGCGACATGGGCTTTCCATTGACAAGAGCGGCGCGCGCCATTCACAAACTTGGCGGTAGTGATAATAAAAAAATTGTCGAATATCTACTGGCGATACAGTCGTTGGAAGATGATTTGGAAATCAGTGAGGAGGCAGCAATAAAGGCATTGGAATTAACTGAATTCGATCAGGAGAAGGCCAAAGTATTTCATCAAAATTTAACAACACTGCGCGATTTGGGCTTTTCCGAGGATCAAGCGTCAATTGCGTTAATTAAATGTAATATCGATCGAGATAAAGCGCTCGATTTATTGATTACGTAATTTTTCTCAATTTTTTTTCTCTTTCTCTATATTCGAAAGAAAAAGGGGAAAATTCTTTCTTTATATTCGAATAAGAAGAAAAGAAAATTCTTTCTCTATTCAAAAAGAAGAAAAGGAAAATATTTTTCTGTATTCGAAAGAAGAAAGGAAAATTCTTTCTCTATTCAAAAAGAAGAAAAGGAAAATTTTTGTCTCTATTCGAAAGAAGAAGGAAAAATTCTTTCTCTATATTTGAAAGAAGAAAAGAAAATTCTTTCTCTATTCAAAAGAAGAAGAGGAAATTTTTTTTCTGTATTCGAAAGAAGGGAAAATTCTTTCTCTATATTTGAATGAAGAACAGGAAAAAATTCTTTCTTTGTAGTCGAAAGAAGAAAAGAACATTTTTTTTCTTCGAAAAAAGAAAAGAATGACGAAAGAAAAATTACCAAAAGAAAAAAGAATTATAAAAGAAAATTAACAAAACAAATTATATTAAAAAATGACAGAAAAAAAAGTATAAAAAAGTAACAAACAAAATAAGAAAAACATAAAAAAACAAAATGTCAAAAAAATAAAGAAAAAAAATGAAAAAATATGATTGTAATGAAAATAAAGGAAAAAAAGGAAAATTAATTTTCACAAGAAAAAAATGGTGACTTTTTTCTTTGCATTGCGAGAGGAAGTGATTCGAAAGTATTGTTTTTGCTTTTTCTGTTAAGACGGGACAATTTTTCTCGAAAGAAAACAATTATTTTTAAAAATATTATTTAAATTCAATTATTTTCAAGAGTTTTAATAAAAATTGAATTTCTAGGAAAAAATTCAATTATATTTAAGATAATTTTAATAAAATTTCTCTAACAGATTCAATTGTTTTTAAAAATTGTAATAAAATTTTTCTAAACAATTCAATTGTTCTCAAAAGTTTTTAACAAAATTCTTTGTAAATTTCAATTATTTTCAACAATTTTCAATTAAAATTACTTTAAAAAATTACATTTTCTCGAAAGAATTCAATTATTGAAAAAAAATGTTGATAAAATTCTATTCAAAAATTCAATGATTTTCTATACATCGAAAATTCAATTATTTCTAAAAATATGTAATTGAATTCTTGAATAGAAACTTTTTGAAATAATTGAATCCCCTGCGAAAAAATTTATTATTTCTGCAAATAATTGAATTTTTGCAAAATTTGAAAAAATAAGTAAATTGAAAAAATCCTGATAAGAATTTCATTATTTTTTCAATTAAAATAATTGAATTTTTGCCAAGAATTTTATAATTTATAAAAATATAATAATTAAATGGTTTTCGAAGAATTTTTTATCAGAATTGTTGAAAATAATTGAATTTTCATTATAACTCTTGAAAATAATTGAATTCCTTTGTAGAATATTATTATTTAATGAAATACTTTAATTCTTGTGAAGAATTTTCTTATTTACGAAAATAATTGAATTTTATTAAAAGTTTTTTAAATAATTGAACTCCTGTGAAAAATTCAATTATTTTTTTCAAAAAATTGAATTTTCTCGGAGAATTTTTACAAGATTTTTAAAAATAATTGAAATTTTCGAAGATATCAATTAAAATTGTATTGAAAATAATTGAAATCCTGATAAGAATTTTATTATTTGTATAAAAATAATTGAATTTTTTACGAAGATTTTTATTATTTTATATAATTGACTTTTTGCAAAGAATTTTATTACAAATATTGAAAATAGTTGGAATTCTTCATAAAATTCAATTACTTTCAAAATTTTCAGTAAAGATTATTTTAAAAAACTTCATTATTTCCAAAAATTCAAATAAAATTCTTAAAAACAATTCAATTATTTTGAAGAATTTTAACAAAAATCTTGCCAAGAATTTTATTATTATTATTTATTACTGTTTGTATTATTGTTTGTTTTTTTGATATCCATTCCAAGTAAGGAACATTATTATTTTTCATTAAAAATTTCTTTTCAAATAGAAAAAAAGGGATCAAAAGAATTATTTCTATAATTTTTTTAAACAAAATTATAATATATTTTTGTCTTAATTAGCACAGTAAATAATAAATAATTAAATAATTTAAATGGTTTATAAAAATAAAATCGTTCCAGTTTTCATACTCATCATTTTTTACACTTTTATGTTTTCTTCTTTTTTTCCTTTTGTTCTTGAATTCAATTTCCTTTAGGAAAAAAATATTTTTTCTCGAATTTATTTTGAGAGGCAAATTGAATTACTATTTTAAAATTAATTATCACAATTGAAATTAATTTTTACAATTAAAAATTAATTATTATAATTGAAATTAATTTTTACAATTAAAATTAATTATTATAATTAAAATTAATAATGAAAATTAATAATTATTTTAAATTATTAAAATTGATATTTAATTGAAGAAATAACGATTTCTAGATTCGGAGAAACAATTGGCAAATCTGGAAGCGCATCTGAAAAAGAAAACGTTTTTTTGTTTTTACAAAATTTAACTAATTTTTTTCCAATTTTTTTTTTTGTATTTTTTTGTTACAGAAAAGTGATTGAAAATTTTTGTTCAATTTGTTTTGCATTTTGTTTGCTTGCACTTTCTTTTTGGCGGCAATTTACCTGCAACTGCAAAAGAGAGCACACGTTGGAACATCGTAGAATTGAGAGTACAATCGAAATATAATCCACGATTCGGTGAAAATTGGCTCCTGACAATAGTCATTCAGACAAATACTGACTGGACCGTTCTCCATTAAAGTGGCTGGGAAAAAATGACAAAACGATTGAAAATCATTCCCGAGACATTGAGGTTCGTAGATTATATTTAATTCCAATGGGGATAATCTTCTCTCTAAAGTATGATGAAATCTGAAAGAAAGAAAGAAACCAAAAATATTTCTCTTCTTTTTGGAAAAAAAAGTATTTTTAATTTTTTTTTCATTCGCAGTTTTTGTAAAAGAAATCGAAATTTTAATAACTTTATAAAAGAATTTTTTAATTTGAAAAAATTAAAAGTTTTAATCATCTTTTTCAATTTTTTTTTTCCTTTCGAAATTACGAAGAGAAAAAGTTGAATTTAGAAATTAAATTTTAATAATTTTATACAAGAATTTTCATTTGAAAAAATTTAAATTTGTAATCATCTTTTTCAATTTTTTTCCCTTTCGAAATTACGAAGAGAAAAAGTTAAAAATAGAAATTAAATTTTAATAACTTTATGCAAGAATTTTAATTTGAAAAAAATAAAATTTTTAATCATCTTTTTCGATTTTTTTTTCCTTTTGAAATTACGAAGAGAAAAAAGTTGAATTTAGAAATTAAATTTTAATTCTTTTTAAAATGAAAGCGTAAAAGTAATTTAAAAAAATTTTCCTACTAGTTTTGTGTGTCTTTCTTTTTTTTCTTACCTGTTTTTGTAGACTTTTCGAAGAGCCAATTCGTAAAGTGTACAAACGACATTATCGGAAATTTTGTGAATTTTCAAAAGTTGCGGAGGAAATTCGATTGTAATTTCTTCACTTCCTTCATAATCGTCAGGGGAAATTTTTAATTTTTGGTTTCTACTTTTCGACTCAATGGTAGTTTTTTGAAAACACCTGTTGACATTTTTTTCCTTAATTTCGAATTTACAAAAATTCATGAGAAAATAATTGTTACTTGAACCAAAAAAGAAGTAATTTTACATTTTTATTTTACAATATTATTATTTTTAAAATTTCTGATTTCGCACTCGATAATTAATTTTAAAAACGTAGCAAAAAAGTTGCTTTCAAACTAAAAAAAAAGTAGTAAAAAAGTAACTATCGAAAAATTAAACTTGACGACCAAAAAAACTCGTTTTTAAAAATAATTAAATTTTACAAAGAATAAATTCTATAAAAATTTTTTCAAATAATTGAATGTCTGTACAGCGTTTTATTAAAAATTTTTTTTTGAAAATAATTGAATTCCTAAAAAGCATTTTATCATTTGTGAAAATAATAGAATTCTTGCGAACAATTTTATTAGAATTTCTTTAAATAATTGAATTTCCAAGAAGAAATTTATTACTTTAAAAATAATTGAATTTTTGTTATAAATATTGTTATTTATGAAAATAATTGAATTTTACAAATAATTTTATTAAAATCCGTAAAAATAATTGAATTTTCGGGAATAATTTTATTATTTATCTTTAATAATTAAATTCTTTCGAAGAATTATTTCCACGTAAATAATTGAATTCTCGGGAAGAATTTTATTAAAATCTAAAAGAATAATTGAATTATTTCAAAAAAATTAAAATTGTATTTAAAATAATTGATTTTTTCGAACAAATTTTATTAAAATTTTTGAAAATAATTGAATTCCTGTGAAAAATTCTAATATTTTTGAAAATAATTGAATTTTGTCTAAAGAATTTTATTTCTAATGAAAATAATTGAATTACTGCGTAGAAATTTATAAAAAAAAAATGGTAAATAATTGAATTCGTGTGAAATTTTTATTATTTATGAAAATAATTAAATGTTTGCGTAGAATTTTATTAAAATTTTTATTAAATAATTCAATTCTTTTGGAAAATTTTTTTTAAAAATAATATTGAAAATTATTAAATTAAGCAAACTTTTTGAAAATAATTGAAATTTTGTCAAGAATTGTATTAAATTTTTTGAAAAAAATTGCATTTTGGAAAATAATTTTATTATTTATATTTGATAATTGAAATTTTTACAAGAATTTTTAAAAACTGAAAATAATTGAATTTTTACAATCTTTTGTAATTTTTGAAATTAATTAAATTTCTACGAAGAATTTTATTAAAATATTTTTGTTTGAAAATAATTGAATGATTTTGAAAAATTTCATTACAATTTTTGAGAATAAATTAATTTTGTCATGAAATTTAATTAAAAATGTATTCAAAATATTTATTAAATTCTAATAATTGAATTATATCAAATTTCTTTAAAATAATTGAATTTTCAAGAAGAAATTTATTACTTTTAAAAATAATTGAATTCTTGTGATGAATATTGTTATTTATGAAAATAATTTAATTTTGCAAAGAATTTTATTAAAATGCCTCAAAATAATTGAATTTTCGGGAATAGTTTTGTTATTTATCTTTAATAATTGAATTCTTTCGAAAAATTTGATTAAAATGTTTAAAAAAGAATTGAATTTCAGTGAAAAATTTTGTTATTTTTTTGAAAATAATTGAATTCTTCATAAGAATTTTATAAACATTTTTTTAAATAATTAGTTTTTTTTGAAATAATAAATATTATCGAAATTTTATTTTCAATTATTGAATTTTTGTGGAAAACTTTATTTCTGAAAATAATTGAATTTTTCGATTAATTTAATTTAAAAATAGTATTAAAAATAATTGTATTTCGAATTTTTGATATTCATTGCAAGTAAGGAATATTATTTGTATTGTCAATATTGTTGTTGTCAGTATTTTTGATATCCATTCCAAATAAGGAATATTATTATAATTAGTAATTGTATTACTAATAATTCATTATTATAAATAATTTCAAAAATTATAGTTTATAATAATTTATAATTATTTGAATTCGAAAAATTTCTCTAATATAAAAGAAGAAAAGAGAGAAAATTATAGAAAAAAATAATTATATAATATTATAAATGAAGAATGTAGAAATTAATTATCACCCGCGAGAAATAACGTTCCGCAAATCACCGCCAAGAGAGTCGCGAATTTTCGAAACCAATTGACACAATAGTGAATAGGATAAATAATTCAAATCACGATTCGCATCGAATCGAATAAATGGCGACGAGAGAAATCCGTTTAACGGCAAATATCTTAATCTGCAAATAAAATTTAATTATTTTTTAAAAATATAAATCAAAATTCAATACTTTTCGTTTAGAAAATAAAGAAATAAATGAAGTAATTTTTTTTTTTTTTTAATTTCCAAGTAATGAAAAATATTTTCTTTTTCTTACCTATTCGAACAAATGGAAATATTCGATAATTTGGGCGCCAAAGTTAATCTATTTGGAAGCACTTCTAAATTATTATTGTCGACAAATAAATCCTCAAGTTTCTCGAGTGAACCCAACCATTCAGGTAAAATTTCCAATTGATTTCGACAAATCGATAAATATTCCAAATTCTTCAACTGACTGAAGTCTTGAAAAAGAAAATTATCATTTTTTATTAAAAGAAATAATATTTTCTCTCTATTATTCGTGAAGTAAAATTAATTTTTATTTCAAGACTGAAAATTAAAATTAAAGAAAAAAAGCTGAAAATAAGAGAAAATTAATTATAAAAAAAAAGAATGAAAATAAAAAAAGGGAAAATGTATAGAAAAAATAGTATCAAAAATAGTAAAAAAAAAGAAGACGAAGACAAAATAATAATAAAAATAATAAAAATAATAAAAATAATAATAATAAAAATAATAATAATATAATAATAATAAAAATAGGAATATTAATACTAATAATAATAAAAAAGAAAAAAAAAAGTAAAAATTACAAAAAATTCTTAATCTGAAATTTTTTCTTTTTTTAATTATTTACTTACCGGATGGAATATTGGTAATAAAATTATCGTCTAGTAATAAACATTTTAACGTTATCAACGAAGCAACACTGGTTGGAATGAATTCCAATTTATTTGAATTTAAATCTAAAACAGTGAGTCGTGAATATTGAATTTCCTTTGGTAATTTTTGAATAAAATTCCCGGCTAAATATAAATTTTGCAAATTCTCCAATTCAAATATCCAATTTGGTAGAAACTTTAATTTATTCCATTTTAAATAAATTTCCCTCACATTTGCACCGTGAGTCTTCACGACAATTGGAATTTCATCTAATTCACGATAATTCCAGTGGAGAATATTTTTCCTCTTCACCTCATCGGCCATTTCACTTTCACTTTCCATTTTTCTTCTATTTTTTTTAAATTTATTTATTTTTTATTTTTATTATTTGTAAATATATATTGTTTATTTATTCTTTTCGTTTCTTTTTATTCTTGTTCGTTTATTTTTGTTATTTTTTCATTTATTTTTATTGTTTTTCGTCTGTTTTTATTATTTTTCGTTCGTTTTTATTATTTTTCGTCTATTTTTACTATTTTTATTTACTTTTTTGTTTATTATTTATTATTTATTTTCAATATTTTTCTCGATAATTTGTTTTCCAATATTTTCTTTTTATTACTCGCTTTCAATATTTTTTTATTGTTTTAAATAAATATATTTTTTCTTTATTATTAATTTTAAATATTTTCATTTATTATTTTTTCTCAATATATTTTTATTGTTTTCAATAGTTTTCTTTTCCTTTTTTTTTTATTATATTCAATATTTTCTTTTATTATTTTTGTCTATCGGTATTTTTTTTGTTTTAAATATTTTTTATTATTTGTTTTTAATTATTTTGTTTATTTTCCCTTTGGGGAAATTTTTTTGGGGCAAAATTCTCTCATTGCTCGTGACCTTCCTCTCAAAATATCTTTGACTTGCATTTCGATGCGTGATTTTTATTAATAACTCTCGTGTAATGCAAAAATTTGTATTTTTTAATGCTAATGCATTTTTTTTCGAAGAAAAGTGAATTTTTTCCCTTCGTTTTCTCTCTGAAAATGGAGAAATTATTAATTATTCAAATTATTTCGAAATAATTGTATTTTAATTTTTTTTTGTTTTTAAATATTTTTGTAATAAAGAAAAATAGAAACAAATTGTTTATAACTTTTTTTTATTAACAATTTTTCTTTTATTAAAATTTCTTATTTTTATTAAAATAATTTTATTTTAATCTTTTTTTCCTATTTTTAAAAATATTTTTAATTTTCAATAAAAGAAAAATTACAACGATTTTTATTTCAAATCAACATTTTTTTTGCAATTTTCTTTCAAAAATATGAAACAAAAAATTAAAAATTAGAGAAAAAAATATTTTTTTCAACTATACAAAATACAGACTTTAGTTCAAGTTCATTGCAATTCGCTATATATAAAAATTCCCTCTTTTCTGCTATTGCACGTGTGCAACAAATCGATGATTCTGAAGGTCAGGGACAAATTGCATCAAAAAGGGATGATGCACGTTTGGAAAAAATTATTTCCCCGTCAAAAAAAAATAGAAAAGAAAATTCACTTGTTTTTTTAATAAAAATTCTATTTTAACAAATTTCTTTCAAAAAAAACTTTTTATTCTCCTTTCTATCAAAATAGAAATTTAAAACAAACAAAAACTGTCAAAAAAAAAATTGTTCCTAACCTAAAAAAAAGCAGAATTTTACTTGAATTTTCCCTTATTCACTAAAAAAAAATTAAACAATCAAAAAAGCGTCTTTAACTCTTTAATTACGAATTTTTAGTTCGAGAATAAACCCCGCACACAAAATCGGTTCGTAATTTTCTTTCAAGATTTCGTACTGAATAAATTGAAACTGTTGAAACGAGAACGGAAAACGGAACAAAATTCCAATTCCAACGTGTTTCAGTATTCAATTTCTCCCGGGGAAAATTGAAACCATTTCTGATTGGTTGTCCAGTGCGAAACGCGCGCGCTGATTGGTTGTCAATTATCAAAGGGTTAGTTTCCATTCGCAAAGAGAAAAAGCGGAAAAAAAACATCGGGAACAAAAGAAATCTTCCCGATTATCAGAAAATGAAAATAGTTCAAGAGATTTTTTTTCGAAAACTCTAATTTAAAAATTGAATAATAAAAATTTCCCCTTCGTTATTTGCGGGGATTAAATAACGCTCGAGAATTTATGATTTCCAAATACTATTTTTCGACGATCCAACCCTGGCACGCGGCCATTTTGTATCGTCTTCCCATAACCCCCTCCCCTCCAAAATTGAAAACAACCGAAGGTCGACGCTTGTGGCTCTCGAATCTCCAACCAACTAATTTTTGGGTTAGGTTTTCTCTCGCTTAAAATAATAAAAAAAAGTTCAGTGTACAAATAAAATTACAATTTTCACAAGTAAGTAAACATTTGTGCTTGATATTATGAAAACAATAAATTGTGTGTGTGCGATTATAATCTGTGTGTTAAAAAAGAAACGCCTTTAATTTTTTTTTAGGGGGGAAAATTCAATATTTTTCCCTTTTATAATCAAACGCGTTTATTTCATAGTGCGCGACATTTTCGGTTTTTTGATTTAATATACTCAAAAAAAAAAAGAAGACGAAACAGGAGTTTATCTTTTCCAAACTCTGGAAGAATTTCTCCCTCCCCAACTCGGCATTTTTTTTCTTCCGCTGTTGGTGAATAGCATAAAAAAAACAACCAAAATAACCATCGCGTTTTTTGTCATTAAAAAAAGACGAAATTCCCTTTTCTTTCAATGTTCGTGAAACGTTCTTGTGATTATTAAAAAAAAAAAAAAACCGGTCAAGATATTCTTATGCAACATTTAACATTCTTTTTCCGCTTTATTCACTATTATATTGAAAATGGGGAAACATTTTTTTTTCGGTTATATGGCATATAAATAAGTGGCATTTTTTAACCTATAAAATTATTGCATCTCTAACCCTAACGGTTTATAACCTTAATTTTGTCGAGACGTCAAAATTGTGTCGCTTTTGTGTTTGTTCTTGTGGATTGGGGCGAGAGAGAGAAAATTAGCGAGCGGGGCGTAGGAGAGAGAGGGGAGGGGGGGGGAGAGAAAGAGAGAATAGGAATGTTTTATGTCGTCCTGCGGGACGTTGTCGGTGATAATTACCGTGACTTCCATCATTATAACCGGAAATACGAGAAAATTTTTTAGTATTTTCGTTTTTTTTTTGTTTTTTGTTTTTGTTTGCTGAAATAGAAATGAATTTTGCATTATTTCGCATCAAAGGGAAGAAGAAGCTTTTTGACTATGTCTATAAGTTTGATGTACACGTATATATAGGTATATATTGGTATATATATTATATATAGGTGTATATGGTATATATAGGTATATATAGTGTATAAATGTGTATACAGTATATATATCGTATATATAGGTATATAGATGCATATACAGTATATATATGTATATAAATCTAATATGTAGCCGTATATATGTATATTAATCGAATATATAGGTATATATCGTATTTTTTTTGAATAAAAGTGTCAAATACAAGTATAAAATTGCATAAATAAATATTGGAGATAAATAATTGCAAAGTTTCTGTGCCTGTGAATACAACTTTAGGAATATACATCTATTTCGCTCGTTTCGTTCCTCGCAGGTCTTCATCTGTTATTTTTGTTTACTTGTCATAATAAGTGTGCCATAACCTCTTGAATTTGCAGAAGTTTTCTTTCTCTCTATAAAAAAAAAATTCTTTCTTTCTTGTGGAGCTATAAAAAAAACGGAGAAAATGTTATTCAAGAACTAAACATTTTTGGTAATAATTTAAGTTTTTAAGTGACATTTATCTATCGAGTTAGTGGTTTTTCTTTTCCAAATAATTATTATAAAAGAAGGCGAGAAAAAATTTGTGTTGAGTGAAAGTTAAGCGAATTTTTTTTTTCAATTCTAAAATCCCGTTTGAAGAAGGCGATGTTTGCATGTTTAGAATTATGTTGTTTTTTCTGTATAAGTTTTTTGATGGATTTTTTTTGTTCTCTATAAAGATTTTTTGTGTATTTATGTTTATGGTTAAAAATTCAATTAATTTGTTTTTCAAGAAATTATTTTAATGGAAAAAAAACTAATTATTTGGCATAATAATTTTAAATTTTTTCAATAATAAAATTAATTTGTTTATCATTTAATTTCAATCTAATCTTTCTTCAAAGAAAATTTTTAATTATTTCAATGGGGAAATTACTTATTTTCCATTACAATTAATAGAAAAAATTTTCATAAAAATGATTTTTATTCCAATTTTCAAATTTAATTAATTATTCAAAAAAAAAAAAAAATCTTAATTTTTTCATATTCAATTCTTTGTTTGTCTTAAATTTGAAGAAAAATATTGATTTTTATTTCTAATAATAAATGTTATTATTAATTATAATTTTGAAAAAAAATTCTGTAATTAAAAATTTCAATTTATTTTTATTATAAAAAAACTTTAATAATTCAATTATTGTTAAAAAGTTTTAAGTTCTTTTTGTCGTGAATTTAATTATATTAAAATTTTTTTTTAATTTTCTTTGAAAATTCAATTTATTTTGAAAATTTTTTTCGAAAATTCAATAATTATTGTTTTAATAAATTTCTTTGAAAATTCAATTATTTGAAAAATTTTTTAAATAAAATTCTGTTTTTTAATACAATTTTTAATAGAATTTTTCAAAAGAATTCAATTATTTTTATTCAATTCAATTTTTAATGAATTCTTCGAAAGAATTGGATTATTTTCAATATAATTTTAATAAAATTTCTAAAAAGAATTCAATTATTTTCAAAAATTTGAAGAAGAAAAAATTTGAATTATTTTGCATGAAAATATAAACTTCTTCCCGTAAATTCAATGATTTTCAGAATTTTGAATAAAATTCTTTGTAAAATTCAATTAGTTTCATAAATAACAATATTCACCATAAGAATTCAATTATTTTTCGAAATTTAAATAAAATTCTTTGTAAAATTCAATTTATTTTCATAAATAACAATTTTCACCACAAGAATTCAATTATTTTCAGAAATTCGAATAATATTCTTAGTAAAATTCAATTATTTTCATAAATAACAATTTTCACCATAAGAATTCAATTATTTTCAGAAATTTGAATAAAATTAATTTTTTTTTGTAAAAATTCAATTGTTTTCATAAATAACAATTTTCACCATAAGAATTCAATTATTTTTAAAATTATTAAAAAACTCTTCGCGGAAATTAAATTATTATCAATAAATTTTTCTGAAATTCTTACCTCGAATTCAATTATTTTCACAAATAATAAATTTTTTCCCTAAAATTGAATTAGTTAAAAAAATTTCCTTAAAATTCTTCTCAATAATTCAAATTTTTTTCATAAATAATAAAATTCTTTTTTGGAATTTAATACTATTTTTTAATACAGGTTTTAAATAAATTTTTCGAAAAATTCTTCTTAAAAATTTTATTTGAAATTCGCCGAAAGAATTTAATATTAAGAAATATTCAAAAAATTCTTTATTTTTGTATTTTTAAATATTTTTGAATTCTCGTAGAATTTTTTTAATGGAAATTAATTTAAAATTGTAGATAATAATTGAAAATATTAAAAGCAAAGTATGAATTTTTATAGAAATAATTGAATTTTGAAAAAGTTTCAAATTAAAATCTTTTGATAATTTATTTGATAATTTGATAATTTGAATTTCTCCTTCTTTTAACTAACAATTCTGTAGAATTAATTTTTTTTGAAAAAGTTTAATTGTAATTTAATTTTAATTTTTGGAAATTCTTTCAAATTTTTATTTTCTAATATTTATAATATTGAAAAATTTGAAAATTCTCAAAAAGAATTTTTCCTGAAATGATTAAATGTTTGTTACTTAAAAAAAGTAATTATAGTTTTCCGAATATTTTTACAATTAAAGAAATTCGTAAATAATAATGTAAAAGACATTTTTTTTGAGTATCTAATTATTTTTAGAGTTAATTAGATAATTAATTTTAGAGTTAATCATATTCCTTAGGGAAAAAGTCGAAATTTTGTGTTTGGAAATCAGGGAAAAAGAAAATTCAATTTTTTAATTAAAAAAAAATTTTTTTAACCCATCAGGGTTGCCACAAAAAATTAATAAATATCAATTAATGATTTTGAATAAAAAAAAAGAGAGAAATTTTTTGATTTTTCATTTAGAAATTAACATTTTTAGAAATGGTGGAAAAAAAGAAACTAATTACGAAATTAAATGTTCTTTTTACAGTGATTTCAGTGATAAAATAAAGAGGAGAAGAAAAAAATATGACGACAATTGTTGAAGAGACAATGGACGTGCCGGAGGAATTGACTCTACATTGGGCGGAGGATGTGGGCAATGTCATTCACGAGGAGGTGTGCGGCCTCGAGACGGAAATGGTCGCACAAGAAGAGGAAGTTATTGGCGCTTGCGAGGAAGTTATCGAGGAGGCCGTCGAGGAGGAAGTTATCGAACAACAACCCGAACAAGAGGCAAACGACACTGAGATTTTAATGGTGCCGCAATCGAGTGATATGGAATCAATTTATATTGTTCCACAGGATCAGGGCCATGATTATTTCAATATTCAAGTCACCGAGGAAGTTGTCGCCGATAGTTGGGATCGATCTGGACCCGACGATGGGTAATTTATCCTCTTTTCTTTCAATTTTCTTTCTTTCCTTTTTTTTCTTATTCTTTTCAAATTTTCCTATTTCTTCAAATTCTTCATCTTTTTTGTAAATTATTATTGAGAAAAACTATTTCTTTCTTTGCTTCATTAATTTTTCAGCGTTACTCAGAGGTCAGGGAAAAATCAGGGATTTTTATTAAAAGTAGTGAAAAAAATTAATTTTTAAAAATTTCATAAGAAAATTTCTGAATTTTTATGACTTTTTTTGTTTGTCTCAAAAATTATGAAATTACCACGAATTCTAATAAAAAACCTTCATTTTTTTCTATTTCTGACAATAATTTCTTTTTTAATTTAAATAATTCTCTTTTAAAAATTAACTATTATAGAATTTTTATTGAAAATTTTGGAAATAATTGAATTTTTAAAAATTTTATTGAATAATCATCAAGTGTAAATTCGATAAAAAATGAAAATATTTTTTGCAAAATTTAATTATTTTGTGGAATTTTAAAAAAATTCGTAGCAAAATTCAATTATTTTCATGAATTTTAATAAAATTTTTGTCTAAAATTCACTTTTCAGGAATTTTATTAAAATTCGTTGCAAAATTCAATTCTTTTCATGAATTTTAATAAAATTTCTGTCTAAATTCCATTTTTTCAGGAATTTTGAAAAAATGTATTGCAATATTCAATTATTTTCAGGAATTTTTATAAAATTTTCGTCTGAATTCAATTTTCAGGAATTTTATTAAAATTCGTTGAAAAATTCAATTATATTCATGAATTTTAATAAAATTTCTGTCTAAAATCCATTTTTTTTAGGAATTTTTAAAAAATTTATTGCAAAATTCAATTATTTTCAGGAATTTTAATAAAATTTTTGTCTAAATCCAATTTTTAAAAAGTTTTAAAAAATTTATTGAAAAATTCAATTATTTTTATGAATTTTAATAAAAATTTTTGTCTAAATTCAATTTTCAGGAATTTTATTAAAATTCGTTGCAAAATTCAATTCTTTTCATGAATTTTAATGAAATTTCTGTCTAAATTCCATTTTTTTCAGGAATTTTAAAAAAATGTATTGCAAAATTCAATTATTTTCAGGAATTTTCATAAAATTTTTGTCTAAATTCAATTTTCAGGAATTTTATTAAAATTCGTTGAAAAATTCAATTATATTCATGAATTTTAATAAAATTTCTGTCAAAATTCCATTTTTTTAGGAATTTTTAAAAAATTTATTGCAAAATTCAATTATTTTCGGAAATTGTAATAAAATTTTTGTCTAAATCCATTTTTTAAAATTTATTGAAAAATTCAATTATTTTTATGAATTTTAATAAAAATTTTTGTCTAAATTCAATTTTCAGGAATTTTATTAAAATTCGTTGCAAAATTCAATTTTTAGGAATTTTTATTAAAATTCGTTGCAAAATTCAATTATTTTCATGAATTCATGAATATAAATTCATGAATTTTAAAAAAATTTTTGTCTAACCTCAATTTTCAGGAATTTTAAAAAAATTTATTGGAAAATTCAATTATTTTCATGAATTTTAATAAAAAATTTTTGTCTAAATTCAATTTTCAGAAATGTTATTAAAATTCGTTGAAAAATTGAATTCTTTTATGAATTTTAATAAAATTTCTGTCTAAATTCCATTTTTTTAGGAAGTTTTAAAAAATTTATTGCAGAATTCGATTATTTTTATGAATTTGAATAAAATTTCTGTATAAATTCCATTTTTTTAGGAATTTTTAAAAAATTTAATGCAAAATTCAACTATATTCATGAATTTTAATAAAATTTTTGTCTAAATCCAATTATTAATTATTAATTAAATCCAATTTTCAGAAATTTTAAATAAATTTATTGCAAAATTTAATTATTTTTAGGAATTTTAATAAAATTTATGTCTAAATTCAATTTTTTTGGGGGAATTTTTAAACAATTTAAATTGCAAACTTAAATTATTTTTAGGAATTTTAATAAAAATTTTTGTCTAAATTCAATTTTCAGGAATTTTATTAAAATTCGTTTCAAAATTCAATTTTTAGGAATTTTTATTAAAATTCGTTGCAAAATTCAATTATTTTTATGAATTTTAATAAAATTCTTCGCAGAAATTCAATTATTTCCATAAATAGATAATAAAAATTTTGACTCGAATTCAATTATTTAAAATACGATTTTCTTAACATTTTTTACTTAAAATGATAATATTCATAAAAATTTTTACTAAAATTCTTCGAAAAAAAAACAATTATTTTAAGATATTTTGATTTAATTGAATTCAATTTTAAGAAACATTCAATTTTTGAATAAATAATTCTCGTAGAATTTTCGAATAAAATTGGATTTAAAAATGATTTTCAGTTAAAATTGTAGATTATAATTGAATATTAAAAAAGCATAGCTTGAATTTTAAGAAATAATTGAGTTTTGAAAAAGTTTCCAATTATCTTCTGAGAATTTAAATTTTTTATACTTTTTACTAACAGTTTTGTAGAATTAATTTTTTTTTTGTTGAAAAAGTTTAATTGAATTTTTTTTGATGAAATTATTTGAAGTTTTTATTTTCTAATATATATTTATAATTGATGAATTTACAAATAATTGAAATTTCACGGAAAAATTGAATTGTAAACAAATGAAATTAAAAATTCTCAAAAAGAATTTTTTAAAAAATTATTAAAAATAGATTTTTACAAGTAATTTTTAAATTTAAAAAAAAAAATTTTTAATTTTTTTTAATTAAAAAAAAATTTTGTTTTCTTTAATTAATTTTTCAATAACGAAAAGAAAAATCGTAATGTTTGAATTGAGGGAAAAAAATCGTAATATTCTTGAATTAAGAAAAGAATTTTGTTCGTTTGTTTGCGTCTTTGAGTAATTTTTGAATTTTTGTTTCTTTAAGTAAATTTGAATTTTGAATTAAGAAAAATAAGATTCGCAAGTTTTGAATTTAAAAATGCAAAATTTCCTTTTCAGCGTCGAGATTCCGGAGACAAAAGTCTCGCACGACAATTTATTGGAATACGACGATATGGAAATTCCATTGCCGATTGATCAGGATTCGTATACAAATACACGGCCCTATCCTTGCGATTTTTGCAGTCGTCGCTTTCGAAAGAAGGCGAATTTAATGAATCACATGGTGGCACATCAAACCGATCGTCCACATGGTTGCAATCTTTGTGGTGCGCGTTACGTGCGCAAATGTGATTTAATGAATCATTTGAAAATTCATGCCTACGCACCGTCGCGCGACGGTCTCGATGATGATCTCAATGACGAGGATCCCCTGATGAACGATGAAGAGGAAATGACAAAAGGTTCTTATTTTTTTCTTTTTCATTCCTTTTTTCTATAAAACAAATAATAAAAAAAAAAAGATTTTTTTTAATTTAAAACGCAGGCTTCGCGTTTCTACTCAATCTACTCAAACCTACTGTTTACTATTTTTTTTCGAACAAATCAATTATTTAACAAAATTTTTATACAATTTATTCTTCACAAGAATTCAATTACTTTCACTAAAAATAACATTTTTCATGGGAATTCAATTCTTTTTACACATTTTAATACAATTTCTCGCAATAATTCAATTATTTTCATAAATAATAAAATTTTTCTCAGGAATTCAATTATTTTTGAAAATTTTAATAAAATTCTTAGCAACTATTCAATTATTTTCGCATAATTAATAAAATTCATCGCAGGATTTCAATTATTTTTAATACAATTTTACAGGAATTGCTCGAAAAGTATGTAATTATTCTTAAAAATTTAATTTCAATTCCTCGAAAAAATAAATTATTTAAAAAAATATTTTTCCTCAAATTCTTTGAAAGAATTCAATTATTTACAAAAATATTAGAATTTTTCACAGGAATTCAATTATTTTCAAATAATTTAATAAAATTGTTCGAAAGAAATCAATTATTTTAAATAAAATTTTAATTAACTTTTTTTGGAATAATTCAATTATTCTTTTAGATTTTAATAAAATTCTTCCCAAGAATTGAATTATCAAAGATAAATAACAAAATTTTCCCGAAAATCCAATTATTTTGAGGCATTTTAAGAAAATTCTTTGCAAAATTCAATTATTTTCATAAATAATAATTAAATTTTTTCTTGGATATTCAACTATTTTAAAAAATTCTAATAAAATCGTTCGCAAGAATTCAATTATTTTCACAAATAAAAAGAGATTTTTAGGAATTCAATTACTTTCAAAAAAATTTAATAAAATGCCTTACAAACATTCAATTATTCTTAAAAATTTTAATAGAATTCTTTGAAAATTTAAATATTTTTAAAAACTTTTCGTAATTAAATGACTTTGAATATCTACGATTTTCTTGGTCGTCAAGTTTAATTTTTCGTTAGCTACTTTTTTTTTAGTTTGTAAGCTACTTTTTGATATTTTTTTAAAATTAATTATTGAGTGCGAAGTCTGAAAACGTAAAAAAAAGATTTTTTTTACATTCAAAACGAAAAATGGAACTTTTTTTTTTTATTGAAAAACAAAAAAGAATCTTTTTTTTATTAAAAACGGAAAAAGAAACTTTTTTTAAATTAAAACGAAAAAAGAAGCAATTTTCTATTTCAAGCGAAAAAAAGAAGTTTCTGAAGAATATTATTAAAAACTTTTGATAATTATTTCTTTCTTTAAAGGAATTTAATTAAAATTACACTGCAAATTAAGTGAATTCTTCTAAAGAATTTTTTCAAAGTTTTTTAAAATAATTAAATTTTCGTGAAAATTTTTTAATTACTTTTTAAATAAATGAATTTTTATGCTGAATACTGTTATTTATGAAAATAATTGAATTTTGCAAAGGAATTTTATTAAAATTCCTGATAATAATTGACGACAAAATTAAAATTTGTCAAAAAAAATTATTTTTTCAGAATTGTTGATTAAAATTATGAAAAATTGAAATTTTTCAAAATTTTAACTTGAAACTCTTTCAAAATTCAATTACATTTCTAAAAATTCACGCAATAATGCTTTTAATATTCATTTATCTCAAATTTTAATTGCAATTTTTATTTAAATCAATTTTTACTCGAAAATTCTACAAGAATTCAATTATTTAAATACAGAAGTAAATTATTTATTGAATAATTGAATGTTTCTTAAAATTGAATTCTCATAAAGAATTTTATCAATAAATTTTTTAATAATTGAATTTTTGAAGATTTCCTTAAAAAAAAAAAAAATATATTAAAATTGTATTGAAAATAATTGAATTCACGGGAAGAATTATATTATTTTCATGAAAATAATTCAATTATTGCGACAACTTTTTTTAATTTTTGAAAATAATTGAATTCTTTTCTGAAATTTAATTGAAATTGTATTAAAAATAATTGAATTCCTGGGCAAAATTTTATTACATTTTTGGAAATAATCCAAATATTGGGGCAAATTTTATTAAATTTTTGAAAAGAATAATTAAATTCTTGAGAAGAATTTTAAGAAAATTTTTTAACTGCTTGAATTCCAGTGAAAAATTTATTACTTATGAAAATAATAAATTGAATTCGTGCGAAGAATTTTATTAAAATTTTTGAAAATAATTGAATTTTCCCGAAGAATTTTAATAATTTTGAAAATAATTGAATTCTTACAAAGAATGTTATTATTTAAGAAAATAATTGAATTGTTTCAAAGAATTTTATCAAACGTCTTGAAAATAATTAAATTATTTCGAGAAATTTCACTAAAATTTAATTCAAAATAATTGAATTGTTTTGAAGGATTTATTTCAATATTCTTGAAAATAATGAATTTTTTTAAATAATTTTAATCGAAAATTTTGGAAATAATTGAATTTTTTGCAAATAATTGAATTTTTTGAAGGAATTTTATTAAAAATTTTGTAAATAATAATTTTTTAAAAAGTATTTCATGAAAATTGTTGACAATAATTGAATTTTTTGAAGGAATTTTATTAAAAAGTTTGAAAATAATTATTTTTTTAAAAGAATTTCATGAAAATTGTTGAAAATAATTGAATTTTAATTTAAATTCTGAAAAATAATCGAAATCAATTAATAATTTCAAAAATAATTGTATTTTTGCGAGAAATTTAATTAAAATTGTATTGAAAATAATTATTATTATTTTCAAAAGTTATAAAAATTCTTCGCAGAATTTCAATTCTGTTCAAAAATTTTTTAAAAATTTTTGACAAAATTTCAATTATCCCTATAAATAATAAAATTCTTATTCGAAATTCAATTATTTTTAAAAATTTTAATAAAATTCTTGGCAAAATTTTACAGAAATTCAATTATTTAAAATACGAAATTTCATACAATTTTTTGAAAAATATCGATTATTTAAAAAGATTTTTATAAAATTCATAGCAAGAATTCAATTATTTAAAAAAAAAATTTAACAAAGTTCTTTTCAAGAATTCAATTATTTTTTTAAATAATAAAATTCTTTTGAGAAATTCAATTATTTTCATAAACTTAAATAAAATTCGTTGCAAAAATTCAATTATTTATAAAAATAATAAAATTCTTCACAGAAATTCAGTTATTTTTATAAACTTGAATAAAATTCGTTGAAAGAATTAAATTATTTTCAAAAGTAATCAAATTCTTCGCAGAAATAATTATATAGAATAATTGAATAATTCTTGCCAAGATTTTTACAATTTATAAAAATAATTGAGATGTTTCGAAGAATTTTTTATCAGAATTTGTATTGAATCTCTTGAAAATAATTAAATTTAAATAATATTTTTAAAAATAATTTTATTCTTTCGAGAAATTTAATTAAAATTGTATTAAAAATAATTGAATTCCCCCGAAACATTTTTTTTTTTTTTATGAAAATAATTAAATTTCTTTTGTAGAATTTTATTATTAATTATAAAAATATAATTCTCGCGAAGAATTTTCTTATTTATGCGAAAATAATTAAATTCTTTGCCGAGGATTTTACAATTCATAAAAATAATTTAATTGTTTCGAAGAATTTTTATCTGAATTTTTGAAAATAATTGATATTTTAGAAGGAATTTTATTAAAAATTTTGAAAATAATAATTTTTTAAAAATAATTAAATTTTTTGAAGGAATTTTATGAAAAAGTTTGAAAATAATGATTTTTTTTAAAAAGAATTTTATGAAAATTATTAAAAATAATTGAATTTTTTATTAAAATTGTTGAAAATAATGGAATTTAATTAATATTTTGAAAAATAATTGTATTCTTTCGAGAAATTTGATTAAAATTGTATTGAAAATAATTGAATTGTTGGGGAGAATTTTCTTATTCATGTGAATAATGAAATTCTTGTTTAAAATTTTGTTAAATTTGTGGAATAATAATAAATAAGAATATTTAATATTATATACCTAATAAGTGAATTCTTTAAATTTTCAATCTCTAATCATTCAAAAATTGATGTTTGTTCTTGAAAATTATTTTATATTTTGAATATAAAATTCTTTAATTCACAAAATAATAATAAATGGAAAACCACGTTCCGCGCGTATAATTTGCTAGTAGTAGTAATAATAGCAATATAATTAGTAATAGTAATAATATTAATAAAAATAATAATGAGAATAATAATAAAATAATTTCAACAAAAGTTTTTGTTCGTCCAGGTCGACGAAAGAAGGTGCAATCGAATACTCCACGTAGACGAAAAAACAATGCAGCAGCGGCGGGCGGTAAACGTTCAATGGTCGTCGCTGGCGGTACAACAACAGCAACAACGACATCGTCATCGTCATCAAATCTCGCCGACGATGGCAAAGAAGTCGTTGGCAAACTAATGAATAAATCGCAATACAATTACGTTGCCGAGGACATACGTTTAATGGAAGTTGCGTCGCGCAGCACGACAAATAATCGCGGTGGCAATAGTTTGGCGTCGAGCTCACGCTGGACAGATCAAATGACAATCATCAATGATCCACCGCGTTGGCCAATCACCGATCCAACGAAACCCTACGTGTGTCAAAATTGTGGCGTTGCATTCGCACGCGAGAAGGCGCTCGCCTCACACTCGCGAATACACGGCGGCGACAGTCCACTGGAATGCTCGAATTGCGGCGAAATGTATTGGGACTTGAATGCACTGCGGGAGCACATGAAAAATAAACACGGCAGCACCATTGAAATTGCCAACGATCAAATTGATGGCAATGAGGCGACAAATTACACGGGCGATGATCGTTTTGGGGAATTTTTCTGCGACACATGCGGTGTTCCTTTTCATCGATTGGATCTTCTCAAGCGTCATCGGAAGTATGTTTTTTATTCGCTGTTTATTTATTTATTTCTATCTATTTTATTCTAATTCAATATTTTTTATTATTTTTACTCTTCAACCATTTTTTTCAATTTCTTTACTATTTATATATTTATTTCATTTTTATATTATTTATTTCTTTGTTTTACCTTTTTCTGCCTTTTTTTTCACTATTTACACATTTTTTTATTCCTTTTACCATCTATTTTTTATTTCACCTTTTTCTGCTCTTTCTTTCATTATTCATACATTTTTCTATTTTCTTTATCTTGTATTTTTATTTTACATTTTTCTGCTTTTTAGTTTCACTATTTATATTTATATATTTTTCTTCTGAATGTTTAACAACAATTTAGCAAATCTTGGTAGGAATTCAATTACTTTAATTGTTTTTAAAATATTCTTCAATTTATTTTAAAAAATTTCTTTGAAAATTCAATTATTTTGAACAATTTTACTCAAAATTCAATTATTTTGAACAATTTTATTCAGAATTGAATTCTTTTAAAAAATATTTCTTCAAAATTCAATTATATTTCAAAACTTTAAAAAAAAATTTTTCTAGAAATTTGTATTGAACAAAAAAAAAATTTAATTCCTGTAAAGAATGTTATTTATAAAAATAATTGAATTTCAGCGAAGAATTAAAAATTCATTATTATTTTTATTTATTAATTTATTTATTTCAAAAGTTAATAAAATTCTTCTCTGAAATTCAAATATTTTCAAAAATTTCCCTCCAATTCAATGATTTTCAATATCTACTATTGAAATAAATTTTTCCACAAGAATTCAATTATTTGAAAATTTTTTTTAATAAAATTCTACGCAAACATTAAATTATTTTCAAAAATAATAAAAATTTCCCAGGAATTCAATTATTTACAAATTTTTTTTTTTATAAATTTCTTCGCAGCAATTAAATTATTTTCATAAATAATAAAATTTTTTACAGGGATTCAAATATTTTTATGAATAATAAATTTCTTTTTCGGATTTCAATTATTTTCATAAATAATAAAACTCATTGCAGAATTTCAATTATTTTTAGAACAATTTTCATGAAATTCCCGGAAAAATGTAATTTTTCTTAAAAATTTTATTAAAATTCATCAAAAGAATTCAATTATTTAAAAATTTCTTGATAAAATTCTTTATAAGAATTCAATTATTCAATAAAATATTTATTTTTGTATTTTAAATTATTGATTTATAGTAGAATTTTCTAATAAAAATAGATTTGGAAATGAATTTAAGATAAAAATGTTGTATTTTATATTAAAAGTATTATAAAGTGTGAATTTTTGGAAATAATTGAATTTTGATAAGGTTTCAAATTATTTTCAAAAAAATTCAATTATTTTTAATAAATTCGATTTTTATAAAATTCGTAGCAAAAATTCAATTATTTTCGTAAAAAAAAATCTTTTCAGGAATTCAATTATTTTAAAAAATTTAAATAAAATTTATTCTAGACATAATTCAGTTATGGTTTTCTAAAATTTAATAACATTTGTAGCAATAATTGAATAATTTAATTTTTTTTTTATTCAATTCAATTTTTAATGAATTTTTCGAAAGAATTCATTTTTTAATGAATTCTTCGAAAGAATTCAATTATTTTCAATATAATTTTAATCAAATTTCTGAAAAGAATTCAATTATTTTTATTCAATTCAATTTTTTTATGAATTCTTCGAAAGATTTCAATTATTTTCAATATAATTTTAATAAAATCTCTGAAAAGAATTAAATAATTAAGTTAATAATTAAGAATTCAATTATTATAAAAATTCTAAAAAATAATTGTCGCAATAATTGAATTATTTTCATAAAAATAATAAAATTTTTCCCGACAATTCAATTATTTTTAATACAATTTTAATGACATTGATTTGATGGAAATTTGAAAGAATTCAATTATTTAAAAATTTGTTGATAAAATTCTTCATAACAATTCAATTTTCAAAAAAAATATTAAATTATTCTATAAAAAATTTACTTCTACAATTTTCAATATTCACGAAGAAATTTTTAGAAACTTAAAAAATAATTGAATTTGAAAGGAATTTTTAAAGATTATTAAAAATAATTATGAATTTCAAAGATATCATAAATAATGAAATTCTTCGGAGAAATTTAATTATTTTTAATGAAATTTCTCAAAAGAATTCAATTACTTTCAAATTTTTTTTTAAAATTCCTAGAAAGGATTCAATTATTTTTAGAAATAATAAAATTCTTAGCAAGTATTTCCAACTTTTTCCACAAACAATAAATTTTTTCTCAGGAATTCAATTATTTGTAAATATTTCATTTAAGTTCTCTATAGAATTTCAATTATTTAAAAAAACTTTAATAATGTTCTTCTAAATAATTCAATTATCTATATTAATAAAATATAATAAAACTTATTTACAGTAAGTCAAAATTGTTTAATTTTTAATTCATATTTAATTTAAATATTTTGATAAATTATCAAATTCGTCGTTAGAATTCAATTATTTTCAAGTTTTTAATAAAATGCTTCGCAAAAATTCAATTTTTTAGAAGAAAATTTTTAAAGTTCATTAAAAAAATCAAGTTTTGAAAAATTTTTGAAAATTATAAAAATTATTTTTGAATTCAAATAGAAATTTTTTGTAATTATTAAAAAAAAATTAAATTTTATGTAAATGAATATTTTAAAAAGCTTTTGAAATATTTAAAGAATTATAAATTTTGTTAAATATTTTAAAAATAATTGAATTTTTTTTCAATAAAGTTTTTTAAAATTATTAGAAACAAATGAATTTTGAAAGAAATTTTTTAATATTATTATTACAATATTATTATAATTGAATTCTGTATAAAATTTTTTAAAAATAATTGAATTTTTGATGAAATTCTAAATAATTATTTAAGATAATTGAATTATCTAAGATAATTTTAAAAATAGAATAAAATTCTCCTCGCAAGAATTCAATTATATTTTTAAATAAAAAAAATTGCAAAAAATAAAAAATAAAATAATTTCTAAATTTTTCTCACATACTATTATTCAATTTTTGAATACTTTATTTAATGGTTTTTATTTTATTATTTTACTTTTTATTTTAGTCATTTTTAAAAATATTTTCTGTATTTGTCTTTTTTCTATTTATTATTTTACTGTTTTCTGCTTTTTTTTCTTACTAACTTTTTATATTTTCTTCATTTTTCATATTTTCTATTCTTTATTTTATTTTTTTATACTTTCTTATACTTTTTATTTTACTTTTTTTATACTTTTATTTCCTTTTTTTTCTATTTCTATTCTTTTTTTTCTACATTTTCCTTATTTTCCATTTTTTATTTTATTATTTTCCTGCTTTTTATTTAACTGTTTTTTTAAATATTTTCTTTATTTCTCTTATTTTCTGTTTATTATTTTATTTTTTTCTGCATTTTATTGCACTATTTTTTTTTTAAATTCCTTTTGTAAACAAAAAAATAAAAATCGATTTTGAATGAAAGTTGATTTTGTTGAAGAGAAGAAAATAATTTGTTGCATTGCCTCTTTTTTTTTTCTTGTTAGAACTCACGTGAAACAGGAAATGGATTTAAATGAGGGACCGAGTCAACAGCATGTGTGCACTGTTTGTGGCGAATGGTTCGAGGAGGCATTGGCACTGTTGGCGCACGCCGAACTTCATGCACGCTCGCACAATCGCCGCTGTCTATTGTGCGGCGAACGTTGTCGCGACGATGCCGATGTTGCCGAACACGTTAGGCAAAATCACGCGGACGATGCCCCACCAAATACCTGCAATCTCTGCGGGAAAACATGCAAGGACAAGAGGAGTCTTTTGAAGCACGCTTGGATTCATAATTCGGACAAAAATTGCAATTGCACCAAGTGCGGTAAACGCTTTCACAGCAAGGCTCGATTACGACGGTGAGAATTATTCTCTTATTTTCCTTTCTTTTTTCAAAAGATTCTTTATTTTATAATTTTTATATTGTTTCTACTTCTGTTTATTTTCTATTTTTTATATTGTCTCCATTTTTATTTATTAAAATAAAATATATAATGATATTATGATTTTTCGACATTTTTTTGTTTACTATTTTAAAAAAAATGCGACTGTTTCTTGACTATTTAAAAAGAAACCCGAGAGTTTTGACCTTTCTTTCGACTATTTTAAAAAAAAAAGTGCAACTTTCTCTACTTATTTTAAAAAATTGTGACTTTTTCGACTTTTCTTTTAAATATTGCAAAAAAAAATTGTCGAATAAAATTTAAAAAATTAACAAAAATACATAATTGAATTATAGAAGAAAATTTCAATAATTATTATTGAAAATAATTGAATTTCATAAAAAAAATTTTTTAAATTAATAAAAATAATTTAATTATAGAAGAAAAATTCTAATAATTATGAAAAATTATTAAATTCTCGAAAAAATTCTTAAAAATAATTAAATTTTCAAAGTCATTTAAAAACACATTATTAAACACAATTGAATTCTAAAAGATATTTTTAAAAATTAGTAAAAAATAATTTAATTGTAGAAGAAAAAATTCTAATAATTATTAAAAATAATTGAATTCTCGAAAAAATTCTTAAAAATAATTCAATTTTCAAAGAAATTTAAAACAAATTATTTAACACAATTGAAATCTGAGAGTATTGAGACTTTTTTAAAATTAATAAAACTAATTGAATTTTAGAAGAATTTTTTAATAATTTTTTTTAAATAATCCAACTTTTGAAGAAAATTTAAAAATTTCGAAAAAATAATTGCATTCTCGAAAAATTTTTTAGAAATTCAATAGAATTTCAATAGAAATTTATAAAAATTAATTAATAAAAATAATTGAATTATAGAATAAATTTTAGATAATTTAAAAATATAATTGAATTTTTGAAGAAAATGTTGAAAATTTTTTAAATAATTCAATTCTATAAGAAATTTATAGAAATTAATAAAAATAATTGAATTATAGACTGAAATTGGTAAAAATAATTCAATTCCCAAAGAAATTTTTCTAAATTATAAAAATTATCCAATTTTCAATGAAATTTATCAAAATTAATAAAAATAATTGAATTGTAAAAGAAAATTTTACTAATTATTAAAAATAATTAAATTGTTAAAAAAATTTTTTTTTAATTAATAAAATTAATTGGATTATAAAACAATTTTTTTTAATAATTTTTAAAAATAATTGAATTTTCGATGAAAATTTAAAAATTTTGAAAAAATTATTGCATTCTCGAATAAATTTTTTTTAGAAATTAATAAAAAAATTGAATAATAGAAACAAATTTTTAATAATCATAAAAAATAATTAAAATCTCGAAGAAATTTTTTAAAATTCTTAAAAAATAATGTAATTTGCAAGGAAATTTTTAATAATTTAAAAACATAATTGAATTTTTGAAGGAAATTAAAAAATTTTGAAAAAAAGTAAATAAAGTTTTGAGTAAATAATTTAATTTTTGAAGAAAATTAAAAAAATTTTTTTAAAATAATTGAATTCTCGTATAAATTTAAAAAAATTAAAAAATATAATTGATTTTTTGAAGAAATTTTAAAAAAATGTGAAAAAATATTTAAATTTGCAAGGAAATTTTTAATAATTTAAAAACATAATTAAATTTTTGAAGAAAATTAAAAAATTTTGAAGAAATAATTGAATTTTTGAAAAAAATTAAAAAATTTTGAAAAAAGTAAATGAATTTTTGAAGAAAATTAAAAAATTTTGAAAAAATAATTGAATTTTTGAAGAAAATTAAAAAATTTTGAAAAAATAATTGAATTTTTGATAAAAATTAAAAAATTTTGAAAAAATAATTGAATTTTTGAAGAAAATTAAAAAATTTTGAAAAAATAATTGAATTTTTGATAAAAATTAAAAAATTTTGAAAAAATAATTGAATTTTTGAAGAAAATTAAAAAATTTGGAAAAAATAATTGAATTTTTGAAGAAAATTAAAAAATTTTGAAAAAAGTAAATGAATTTTTGAAGAAAATTCAAAAATTTTGAAAAAATAATTGAATTCTCGAATAAATTTTTAAATTTCTTTTAGTATAAATTGCAACTTATTTTGATTTTTATTAGTGCGAGAAAACTATAGACAAATCTTTCATAAAATTATTTTCGAAATTTTTCTAATTAAATTTTCGAAATATAAGGTAAGAAAATTAAAAAGATTTTAAAAATAAATGAAATTTTGTAAAATTTAATTGAAATTAATTTATTTATATCAAGTATTTTATTAAAATTTTTTGAAAATAAACTTTTGAAGAATTTTAATTGCAAATTTTGCGAATATAATTGATTTCACAAAATTTTTTAATGAAAAATCTTGAAGCGTGTAAATTTATAAAAATGAAAATTAACTTCTAAAAAATTATATTAAAATATTTTTTGAAAAAACTAATTTTTAAGAATTTTTTCATTAATAATTTTTTTTGGAAAACTTATACATTAATGAACTTTAAGAAAACATGAACAGTTACAATTATTGTGAAAAAAAATTGAATTGTGTATTTAAATAATTGAATTCTCGAAGAACTTTAGAAAAATTATTAACAATAATTGATTTAGACATGAAGATTAGTTAAAATAATTGTAGAAAATAATTGAATTTTGGAAGTAAGTTGCATGGTTTTAAAATGATCAAATTTCAGGAGATTGTAAAATTGAAATATTATAAATTTTATTTTCCGTGGAAGAAGGGTAAATATTTATTATGTCTCTATTTTTATACTGTTTATAATTTTATATTTTTATGTTGTTTCTATTTTTAAATTGTTTCTATTTTTGTTTATCTATATTTTTTATTTTTATGTTGTTTCTATTTTTAAATTGTTTCTATTTTTGTTTATCTATATTTTTTATTTTTATATTGTCTCTATTTTTATACCGTTTATATTTTATGTTTCTAATTTCTGTAAATTTATATTTTTTATATTGTCTCTACTTTTCTACATTTATATTTTTTTTTATATTTTATCTACTTTTGTTTTTGTTGATGAACAATTTGAGAAAAAAGGTTTTGTTGTTGTTTTTTTTTTTAACGAAAAAAAGGAAAAAGCTATTGTTTGTATTTTTGAAATATTGTTTAATGAATAATTGGAAAGGAATTAATAAAAGAAAAATTGATTTTTTCAGACACATGCTGTCGCATCGCAATAAAAATGTGGCGTGCGACGAGTGCGGCGAGGAATTCGCCGATGGCAGAACGCTGATGAGCCATCGACATTCGCATAATAAGGAACTCGGCGGACGATCGTTTCCATGTCGTGAATGTGGAAAAACCTTTGGCAGCCGAAGCTCGCAACAAATTCACATTCGTATTCACACTGGTGAACGTCCATATTCGTGTCGCTTCTGCTGGAAAGCATTTGCCGACGGTGGAACATTGCGTAAACACGAGCGCATTCACACTGGAGAGAAACCCTATGGCTGCACTATTTGTCCCCGTGCTTTCAATCAGAGAGTGAGAATTCATAATATTTATTATATTTCGTAAAAATTAATTATTCAAAACAATGTATAAAAAATTCTTGCGAGGAATTCAATTATTTACGGATAAATAATTTTTCGAAAGAATTCAATTATTAAAGATAAATAACAAAATTATTCCCGAAAATTCAATTATTTTCACGGATTTTAATAAAATTCTTTGGAAAATTCAATTATTTTCGTATAAATAACAATATATTCATCACAAGAATTCAATTATTTTTGAATATTTTAATAAAATCCTTGACAAGAATTCAATTATTTTTCTAAATATTGAAATTGTTTGATGAATAATTAAATTTTGTTGCAAGAATTTAATTTATTAGCAGGATAAGAAAGAAGTAAATATTTTTAATGAAAATTAGGAAAAAGTGAGGAAAATAAAAAATATGGAATGGAATTTTCGTCAGTTTTGTGAAAATTCAATTATTTTCATAAATAAATAATAAAATTTTGACAGGAATTCAATTAGTTTAAAATTCAATTTTCTTAACATTTTTTTCTCAAAAATATCCAACTATTTTTAAAAATCTTATCAAAATTTTTCAAAAAAAAAAACTAATAGTTTATGAAATTTTGATTTAATTCTTTATAAGAATCAATAAATTGAACTATAAATAAAACTTCTTTTAAAAAGAAAAAGTTAAAAAAAAAAATTAAAAAGAAAAGAAAAACTATTAAAAATAAATTAATTTTATTCCAGATTTCAGATAAATTCTTTAAAATATTTAAATTCTCTGCGAGTTTTTTTTAAATTATCGAAAATATTTAAGTTTTTGAAGATATTGTGAAAAGTTATTAAAAATATATTAATTTTCGATGCAAAGTTTATTTCAATTTTTCTCAACTCAATTTTTAAAAATTTTGAAGAACTATCAAAAACAATTAAATTAATGTAAATTTTCTTTAAATTATGGAAATAATTTAATTTTTAGAGTTATTCTTAAAAATATAGTTAAATTTTTAAAGAAAATTTGAAAAATTTAATTGAATTTTTAATGAAAATTTAAAAAATTATTAAAAATAATTTAATTTACGGTAAAAATTTTCTTTCCCCTATTCAATTATTTTCTTTATTTAATTTTTTTCTTTATTCAATTCTTTAAAATTTTGATGAACCATAAAAAATAATTTAATTGAAGTACCTAAATTTTTTTAAATTATGAAAATTATTGAATATTTAGAGAATTTTTGAAGAAATTTTTTTATAATTTTAAAAAAATTTGAATTTTTGAAGAATTTTTTTTATAATTTTAAAAATATTTGAATTTTTGAAGAAAATTTTTAAAAAATTTCAAAATAATTGAATTTTTATTGAAACTTCTTAATAATAATTAAAAATAATTGAATTCATGGTGAAAATTTTCTTTCCCGTATTCAATTATTTTCTTTATTTTTTTAAAGGATTACAAAACTAGGATTAAAATTAATTGAATTTTTTCAAAATTATGGAAAATAATTGAATTTTTAGAAACATTTTTGAAAATAATTGAATTTTTAAACCATTTTAAAAATTTTTTTTAAATAGTTGAATTGTCAGAGAAACTTTGAAAAAATAATAAAAATAATTGAATTTTTAGTTTTTACAGAAATTTTCTTAAAAATAATTGAATTCTTTTAGTAAATAAATTATTTTTATAAATCATTATAAATAATTGAAATTTTAAAGGAAATTTGAAAACATATTAAAAATAATTGAATTCTTAATGGAAATTTTCTTCCCTCTATTCAAATAATTTCTCAATAAACAGTTTTTCTATTTTCACTCTTTCAAAATTTTTGAAAATTATTAAAGTATAATTTAATTTTGGAAGAAATTTTTATAATTTTAAAACATGATTGAACTTTTAAAGAAATTTTTTATAATTTTAAAATATAATTGAATTTTTAAAAAAAATTTTTATAATTTTAAAACATAATTGAATTTTTGAAGAAAATGTTAAAAATAATTTTAAATTGAATTCTCGATGGAAAATTTCCTCCCTCTATTCAATTAATTTCTCAATAAAAAGTTTTCCTACTTTCACTCTTTGAAGATTTTTGAAAATTATTAAAAATAATTGAATTCTTGAAGAGAATTAAAAAAAAATTAATTGAAATTTTAAAAGAAAATTAAAAATTTTTATAATAATTGAATTTTTGAAGAAATTTTTTACAATTTTAAAACATAATTGAATTTTTTAAAAAAAATTTTAATAATTTTAAAAACATAATTGAATTTTTGAAGAGATTTTTTATAATTTTAAAATATAATTGATTTTTTGATGAAATTTTTTATAAATTTAAAATATAATTGAATTTTTGAAGAAATTTTATATAATTTTGAAAAATAATTGAATTTTCGAAGGAATTTTTATAATTTTAAAATATAATTGTATCTTCAAAGAAATTTTTTATAATTTAAAAATGTAATTAAATTTTTAAAGAAATTTTATATAATTTTAAAAAATAATTGAATTTTCGAAGAAATTTTTATAATTTTAAAACATAATTGAATTTTTGATGAAAATGTTAAACTAATTTTTAAAATAAGTGAATTGTTGATGGAAATTTTTAGAAATTAATAAAAATAATCGAATTATAGAATAGAATTTGTGAAAATAATTGATTTGAAATGAATTTTGTAAAAGTAAATTGAATTGAAATGAATTTTTTTGTGAATCTTTTGATTTTTTTTTATTGTTGATTTAATTTTATTATTACTTTTATTTTCCAATTTCAATGTCTTTTTTTTTATTGTAATTTCATTATTACTTTTAATTTATTATTTTCAACGTCTTTTCTTTATTTTTATGTTATCATTACTCTTAATTTATAATTTTTAATGTCACTTTATTGTAATTTTATTTTTTTATAATTTTTATAATTTATTTTTTTCAATGTTTAATTTTCTTTCTTTTAATTTCTTTATCGCTCAAAAATTAAAACTGAAAAAATGGAGGACAAACTTTGCTTGGGGCATTTATTTCACTATTTTCAAACATTGTTTGTTTTATTTTAATAATAAGGAAAGAAAAATTCTTTATTTTAACTGTATGAAATTTTTTTCCTCCAGGTCGTTCTTCGTGAGCACGTGAGAGCCCATCATTCCGGACCGGATCCAAAATGCCACGGCAGTATGACACCATATTTATGTAAAGTTTGCGGCGAAACCTACGCAACATCAGACGAGATAGTCGTTCACATAATTCAGCATTGCGACGAGAATACCGCATTGAGACGACAACCACAATCAGGTCCAAGAAAATATAAACGTCGACGCAAAGTCAAAAGTCATGACACTTCAGTGTCGTCGCGTGTCTCCGAAAGTTACGATCTCATTGACGGTCAATCCGATTCCGACGACAATGCCAAACGAAAAGTTACTCGAAAGACAAAAAATCAGCAATTGCAACAACTTCAGCAGCAGCAACAACAGCAGCAGCAACAACAACAACAGCAGCAGCAGCAACAACAACAAAATCGTTCGTCGGATGAAAATTATCAAAATGTTCTGAAAACATTCGAGAGTTCAATGCAGAATATAAACGTTGTGTCGAAGATGACGACAACGCCGACAAAGGGAACGAAGGTGGCGAAGAAAAAAATAAAGCGCGAGGAGAAGAAAATTGAGACGCCACTGAATGCAACGTTGGGACGTTCGAAAATGATTCACACGCAGAAGACGCGTGTGCCAGTGGAAATTGGCACCGAGGGCGTGAAAAAGGGACAGAAGACAAAGACAATGATAACGAGAACGCCAAAGTTGATAAGCGAGGCGCAGCAGCATAAACTCGGGATTTTCCCCGGTGGCGAGCGGAATCGACCGCGAACAAAAAATGTCAGCTATCACGTCGAGACGAAGCAGCTAACGCCCGCGACATTCCCACTTGACAAGGAGAAGGAGAACGAGCTGATGGACAAAAGTGTCTCATCGCCTGAAATTCCGCCCGACGATGACGACGACGAGGAAGAAGAAGAAGAAGAGGAAAATTCCCTAGTCAACGTGAAACTAGAACCGGGTTTGAGAAATAATCACAATCACGAGGCGAAGAAACGACCAGTGGCGAAAAGGGGGAGAAAACCGAAAGGAATTGTCATTAAGCAAGAGCCGAGGGAGGAAGTGATTGAGGAGGAGAGAATCGAGCAGGAAATTGTCGATGGAAATGCGATGGAGGTGGCATTCGAGGCGAATGTCGTCGCTACGGAGGAATCGATTCTTCCTGATTTGGATAAGGAGAATAATATGGAGACGATTGAGGAGACGACGACGACGACAGTGACGACGACAACGGCGACGGCGGGGGTGATAAATGCGACGGAGGAAAGTGAAGCAGAAGAGGAGGAGGCGACGGAAGAAGAGGGAGAAGCGGTGACAGGAACAGGAGGAACAAGAAGAAATTTGATAAAGGAGAATGTGAAGATAAATGTTAAAGTTGAATCGACACCGCAAAGTGTTGTGGCGGCGCATAATTTAATTGCGCCCAGTGACGAGACTGCGGAGACAATTATTCCGGATTCATTGGAGAGTCTTGAGCATACGTGCGAAATGTGCTCGGCAGTGTTTCCAAGTCATGCCGAATTACTCGTTCATGTGCCGATACATATTTGACTTCAGAGAAGAGATGGGAACGTCGCTGATAATCAGAATTGAGCAGTAAATTCACTTTATTTTACTCTTAGATATTTTTTTTCTCTATTCTAATTTTCTTCTTTGAGATTTTTACGTTTCATTTGATTTCTTTCACTATTATAAATTACTCTGTTCGAATTTTATTTTCATATCAATTTTTCTACATTCAATTTTTTTTTTCTCTATTCAAATTCAATTTTTTCGGTTCTATTTCTTTCTCTATTTGAATTCAATTTTTTTTCTCTATTTAATTCAATATTTTCTATTTGAATTCAATTACTTTCGCTATTCGAATTCAATTTTTTCTATTCAATTTCTTTATCTATTCTAATTCAATTTTTTTCTCTATTTGATTTCAATTTTTTCTATTCAATTTCTTTATCTATGCGAATTCAATTTTTTTCTCTATTCAAATTAAATTTCATTCTCTATTTGAATTTAACTTTTTTCTCTATTTAAATTCAATTTTTTCTATTCAATTACTTTCTCTAGTCAAATTCAATGTTTTCTATTCAATTTCTTTCTATATTCGAATTCAATTTTTTTCTCTATTCCAATTCAATTCCTTTCTCTATTTGATTTAATTATTTTTCTTTATTTGAATTCAATTTATTTCTCTATTCGAATTGAATTTTTTTCTCTATTCGATTTCAATTTTTTCTGTTCAATTTCCTTCTCTATTCGAATTCAATTTTTTTCTCTATTCAAATTCAATTTCATTCTCTATTTGAATTTAATTTTTTTCTCTATTCAAATTCAATTTCATTCTCTATTTGAATTTAATTTTTTTCTCTATTCAAATGATTCAAATTCAATTTTTTCTATTCAATTTCTTTCTGTATTCGAATTCAATTTTTTTCTCTATTCCAATTCAATTCCTTTCTTTATTTGAATTCCATTTATTTCTCTATTCGATTTTAATTTCTTTCTCTATTCGAATTCAATTTGTTTCCCTATTTGAATTTAATTTCTTTCTCTATTCGAATTCAATTTTTTTTCTCTATTGGAATTCAATTTTTTTCTATTTTTAATTAGTTCAGTAAATACTTAATTATTATTTTTTATAATTACAAAAAATCTTAATAATTGAATATCTTAAAATTTAATAATTGAATTGAATAATAATCTAATAATTAAAAATCCTAAAATAATTGAATTTTTTTAAAAAGTAAAATCTTTGCAAAAATTCAATTATTTTCTCAAAATTTCACGAAAAAATTCATTTTTTTCTAAAACTTTGGAATAAATTTTATTTATTTTTTTTTATATTTACAAAAATTTTAATTAATCCTTCGAAATAATACAATTATTTTTCGAAATAGTAAAAATCTTCGCAAAAATGAAATTTTCAGTAAGTTTTGTGGAATTGAAAATTTTTTTCAGGAATTCAATTTTTTTCTTAATTTGTTGTATAATTTTTCAAAAGAATTCTATTATTTTCTAAAATTGAACCTAATGAATTATTCGAAACAATACAATTATTTTTTTAAAAAGTAAAATCTTTGCAAAAATTCAATTTATTTTGAGTAAATTTCGTAAAATTGAAAATTTTAAAGAAAGAATTAAATTTTTTTTTAATTAATTTTTGTAAAATTCTTCAAAAAAAAAAAAAATTCAATTATTTCTTAAAAATTTTAAAAACCCTTCGAAAAAATTCAATTATTTTTTTAAGAAATTGTAAAATTTTTTGGAAAAATTAAATTTTTATTAAATTTTGTGAAATTAAAAATTTTTTTCAGGAATTCAATTGTTTTCTTAATTTTTTGTAAAATTACACGAAAGAATTCAATTATTTTCTTAAAATTTTAATAAACAATTTGATAAAATTCAATTATTTTATTAAAAAGTAAAATCTTTGCAAAAATTCAATTATTTTCAAAAAATTTCGTGTAATTGAAAATTTTAAAGAAAGAATTCTGCCTTTTTCTTAATTCGTTGTAAAATTTTCCAAAAGAATTCAATTATTTTCTTAAAATTTTAATAAATCCTTTGAAAAAATTAAATTATATTTTTAAATAGTAAAATCTTTGGAAAAATGTAATTATTTTCAACAAAAAATTCGTGAAATTTTTTCAATTTTACGAAAGAATTCTGCTTTTTTCTTAATTCATAAATAAATGAATTTTTTATTAAAATTTTGTTTTCTCTATTTAATTTTAATTTTTTTTTGTCAATTATTAAAAATAATTGAGTATTTAAAAAATTATTTTAAAAAATCGAATTCTCTATGAAAATTTCTTTTTTCTATATTCAATAAGTTTCTTCATTTAATTTTTCATATATTTAATTCTTTTAAATTTTGAAAATTATTAAAAATAATTGAATTAATGGAAATTTCTTTTAAAAATTAGAAAAATAATTAAATTTTCAGAGAAATTGTTAATTTTCATTGAGTTCTACAGGACTTTTTTTTTAATAAATTATTAAAAATAATTTGAATTTTTAATCAAAATTTGATGAAAATTTCCTTTCTTTATTTAATTTTTTCTATATTCAATTCTTTTGTTTTATGAAATTATTGTTCTTGAAGAAAAATTTTTAAAATAATTAAATTTGCTAAGTAGTTTTTTTAAATTATTAAAAGTATCTAAATTTTCGAAGAAAACTTTTTTTTTTATTCTTGTCCTTTCTATTTTTTATTCTAGTTTCAAATTATTTCTTTTTCTTCCTTTCTTTATTTTTTTTCTTCTTTTCTATTTTGTTTTCTAATTATTGTTTTCCTGTTTATTTACTTTGTTTTCTTCTTTATTTTCTACTTGTTTTTCTTTTATTCTTTCTCGATTTTTTTTACTTCTGTTTCCCTACTTTTTATTCTATTTTTTAGTTTATTTTTCTTTTATTTTCCAAAAACTTTTTCTCTTCTATTGTTAAGTCAATTTTCTGTTTTTTTGTTAAATAAAAAACTAATGAAATAATAATAATATCCTTAGACAGATTTTTTTGTAAAAATTAAATTAAAAATATTTTTATTGATTATTTTTTTTATTACTTACTTGTATTCTGCTTCTTTTTCTTCTGATTTTTTTATTATCTTTAGAATTTATTTGATTAAAAATGAATTTTCGATCTTAAAAAAAGTGTTTTTTTTTAAGGAAAAAAGAAGAGAAATGAGAAAAAACAGAAAATGTTAAAATTGAAAGAAAGAAGGAGAAAATTGTAAAAGTAGAATTATTTAAAATTTGAAAATCTCAATTTCAAAATATTAAAGTAGTTTTTTTTCTCTTTATTTCTTTGCCCCTTAGAAATAGAAAAACTTTTTTCACCAACACAATAATTAATCTACTTTTTTTCTCTCTTTTTTCAGGGAGGATTATTGCCAAAATGAAGAAAAAAGAAAAAATAAACGAAGAAAAGTGAAATTAAAGAGAAAAGAATAGGAAACTAAAAAAAAGTAAGGAATTTTCAAATTAAAAAATAATTTACAAATTGAAAATTAAGAAATCGAGAGAATTCTTTTTTTTCCACACAATTTCTTTTTTTTAAATACGTGTCAATCTTTTTTTTCTTCTTTGCTATTTTCTATAATAATTTATGTTTGTCTCGTTGTTCAACTATTATTTTGTCTCTTAATTAAGAAAAAAAAAACTTTTTTTTTCAATTTTCTCACCGTGAAGAGGAAAAAAATCCAGGAGAAATATTCTCCCTTGAGATTCCGCGACGCATTTTTTTTCTCTTTTTTTTTTTTTTAAAGAAAACTGTTTTGTGTTACTTCACTTTTTATTTAAAATTTAATATATATAGCTTTATATATTAAAATAAAAAATAAAAAAAAATAATTGTTTCTATTCAATTTCTTATTTAATTTTCAATAAAAAATTGTTTTTTTCTTCTCAACTGAAAACGAGAAAAATTGGTAAATAATTTTGTTTTTTTTTTTTGCAGTTTCGAAAATCGAATTCAAAATATTGATTTATTGAAAATTGGCATTTTTTTGTAATTTTTTTTCTGTCTTATTTATTGTCCATAATAATGTTGAAAATATTTTTTTTTCAATTTGTTTAAATTTGAGAAAATTCTTCTCTTGTTCCTCATTCGAAAATTTAAATTTTTTCCGCTTCTTCCGTTTTTTAAGGGGTTAGTAATTTTTTTTCCATCATTGTAACTGAATTTTTTAGAAAATTAACAATTTTTTAAAATAAATTTAAAAAAATAATTTATGAATAATAATTTTGAATCAAAAAAATAATTTTGAATTCATGATTATAAATTTAAAATCAAATTTGTTAGTTAAAAAAAAAGGTTTTTTTAAAAATTCTTTTTTAATCGAAAGTAACAATGATGAAAAAATTAACGAAAACATTTGTTTTCTTTCAGTTAGAATTTTTTTTAATTTGAATTTAAAATAATTTTTACTAGTTTTGTCATTTTTGAAAAAAAAGGCGATGTGAATTTTTTTTTATTGTACTTTTTTTCTCTCTCACAACGATGGAAGGAATCGTAAACAAACACAATTCGTGTGTACAAAGGAGAAATAGAAAAAAAGACAAGTTACAGCTGAAAAAAAATAAAAAAAACTGTAAATATATATTTCGATATTTTTTTTTTCTCAAAAAATCTTCATTTCTAGATGTTTTTAAAAATATTTATATTCGGCAAATGTTTATGGCACATAATCACAAATTTGTATTTAAAAAAGAAAACGAAATCTTGAAATAATTTTTAATACAAAAAAGAATTATAAGGCGAAATTCAATTTATTATTGAATCGAGTTTGGAAAGAATAAATTCCGAAAATTTGTAAGTAAAAAAAAGAAAAATTAAAAAAAATTTAAAGTATAATATAAAAGTTTACTGTTTAACTATCAATAAGTTTACTCTCTAAGGTCTTTAGTCTTTAATTATAAAATTATGTGTTGCATGGAAATAAAAAAAAAAAGTATCTTTTAATCTTTCTGAAAATAATGTCTCTTTATCACACATACTTACACAAAATATACATATTTACATATAAGTAAGTAAATAAATAAATAAATAAATTTATATAAATAAATATATACATTTATATCATTTATATATACAAATAAAAAATATATATACATTTATATATATAAATAAAAAAAAATATATACATTTATATGTATAAATAAAAAATATACATATTTATATATATAAGTATATATAAATAAAAAATATATATATTTACATATATATATTTAGCGTCTATGTTAAATTAAATAAAAATAATTAGGATATCAAAAATTGATAGGCATCCATTTATTACTTGTATGTATAAGAATTTTGAACTTTCCTCGAATAGAGGAATTGCGTTCATGAAAAATGTAGTACATTGTACATATTATTATATTGATATGATACGGTGGCGCAATTTACTGTTAGTAAAAAAAAACTTAGTCTGTATTTTTCTTTGAATAAATAATTATTAGATACATTAAAAATAATGGAGTTGAATTTATCATTTGTTAATTTGATTTTTACACTCAGAATTAATTTTTGCACTACCTTCTTTTTTTAATACATTTTTTTGCAATTTCCTCCTTAATAGCCAATTTAAAATAAATAGAGATTCATTTGAATATTAGAAAAATATGAAGAAAATTACATGTAATTGCTTTTTATTATTTTTCAATATAACATTCAGGACTATTCTCATAAATAAAATTTAGCACATTCACAATCTTGATCATTTTTTCTTCTTTTGATATTGTTTTACTGGGTTCAAGCGTCAGAAAAATTACTTTCTGATTCTCAATGGTTTTTTCAAATCTCTCAATACGTTTATATTTTTCATCAATAGGTAAAAAATGTGATTTAATTTCATTCCTGAAAAATTCATAAACGTCTGCAACTCCACAACGACTTTTCAGGTGTATTTTTAAAAATATTACTATTCCTGTACTAATAGTATCATTTAAGATGTTTGATAGTACAAGATGGCGATTTTCACTGCAAGCTTTATTTAATCTTAAAGTCACAAGTTTTCTTTTATATATATACATGTTTTGAGGAGTCTCCTTCATATAAAAAGCCTGATAAAGTACAATTGGCTCTTCATTCAATTCCTCATCACATTGTCTAAGAACCATTCTTAAAAGTGCAACTTTTAAATTACTTTGAATACTAAATCGTCTTTTGTTAAATGTATAGCTAATTCTAAAAAAATCTTCAAATCTGATTTTCTTTTGAAAAATATCTAAGTCTGTTGTGTACATATTATAATAGTAATCAAAAATGGAACTCGATTTTGAATTAAATAGTGTCTTCAATTTCCAGTAATATTGATCATTGTTATGTTGAAAATAAAATTTTGATTTATATAGAACATCATTTATGTATTTGCTATTATTAATTTTCCAAGGTGAATAAGAGTCCATAATCCTCAGGTGCTGCAAATAATTATGAGCCAGTTGATCATATGTCGGTAAATTAGGATTGTCTGTATCTACAGACAAAATGTAACTCTTCAACATATTCACAGCTTTGGTAAATGTTGTCATTGATACATTTGACGAGATTAATTCTGCAGCTCTTTTAATAGCATTCATCCTTCTAGAATTTCTTGCATTAGAAAGTTCTCTGTTTTTTATAGTATTAATAATAGTATACCATCTATCAGGCGATAAATCGTTTCTTTCTAGATCAATAAATAAAAACCGTGTATCTCCTTGTTTCTCATATCTCGTACCTGTTACTGTAAAAGTAACATCTGGATATAATAAGTATAGATTATTAAGATTGTACTTATTCAAATCGATAAAACCGTTTAGTGAGGAACTTCTTATGAAATATAGTATTCGTGTCTCATTAGCCTGTTTATTCGATTCCTTATTCGGTGGCACTTGACCAGAAGGATTCATTGATAGTAGTTTAAAATCGTGAAAAGTAAAATTAAATCCTACTGAATGAAATAAAAATTTGATGTAGTCCGGGTCACTTGAAAACTCTAGAAGCCAGAGTTCAAGGGAATATGTTACACCGGCATTTACTTGCTCAAGAGCTAAACTTTTTATCATTGCACAGAATAAATCTCTCTCTTTTAGTGTCTTTAAAATTTTCACACCATAAAGCTCTAATTTTGATAGAATTTCATAGCTAATATTAACTTCTTTATGTTCGTCTTCATCTATTTCTATCTCCAGATCACTGTCCTCTGGCGATGATTCTTGTCTTCTAAACCGTTTAACTATTTTCAAATCGTTTCTTTGCACTTTTAAATTTTTCTTTCCTTTCCACATTTCAGTAAAAACGGGCAAAACATACTCTGCAAATATTTTTCCAATTGCAAGAAAATTAAGATTTTTTGATTCCTTTCTCAACGAGCAAATATTCTTAGTAGTGAGATTGTTTGAGAAATCGTGAAACAACATTTCCTGTAGATTGGAAAAGCTATTGTTGTTATCCTGGTAAATATTTCTTACATAACCTGTAATGTTGCCGTAGTGGACAAACAGACCCATATTAATTATGTACTGATAGAGTTTGTTAGCGTCCTCCAAATTATTCGGATCTTCAAAACCAGAAATATTAATTTTACTTCGTATTTCTTTAAAAAGATGGATTTTTGCTGCTGACTCATTCTTCGACTTGTTTAGATATTCAAAAAAGGCGTTTAAAACGGGTACAGTTTCATTTTCGACTGAAGATGAAAGCAGGTTATGGTTATTCAAAATAATTCCTAACGTCGTAATGTAGTGACACACAGAAAAGAACTGATTATTTGTCATAGGGGTCATAGGCGAAATGAATGTTGTAGACTCCATTCTAAATCACTTCTAGCTTTATGGTTATGTTTGTCTGCTTTTGTTTTCTGTTGCGTTTAGCTAGAAATTGGCGCTTTTATTCACACTCTGGTAGGTATTGCTTTTTTACAGGTAATCTGAAAATAAGTGTCAAGTCTCTTTTTAAATTCAATTTTCCACTAATTAATAAATTTTTGTACAGACGATAAATTAAATATTAAACAGTACCACTTCATGACAGTACCTGACAGGACGTTGAACTATTCGCACGGTTGGGACGTTGTGAGTATAAGTTCCTGTAACGTGCACGGCTGGGTGAGTACGATTTTAAATTTAAATTCGAATAGTAAACAGGGATGGGTAATTCAAACTTCAAGATTTTAAAACTTCTATCTTTGTTTTATCTATGCTGTTATTCCGGTTTGCGTGCCTGTTTTGAAAGTCACGTCATGTCTATCGCAATCTTAATACTTCGTGACTGAAGTAATAAAAACTTGCCACGAACTAATAAGATAATGGTGGAAATGCCACGTTTACAAAAACGTACGCCAAATGGAAGAACTGCATGCAAGCTGTTACCTGTATCTGACGTAATATTCTTACTTTTTGTACTTTTGGTGGTAAATACGTTGTTAATGTCACATGTTATACTAATAACGAATTAAAGTATTTTCAAAATAATAATTTTCAAATTTATTTGTAGGGGAATAATAAATATGTTTTCTTTATACAAATGTCAAGCAGGAATAAATATAGCATGTTTACTTTTACAGTGTGTTCACCGATTTTGAGTTTTTGCATTGCTTTTTATTTTTATAACTTAACTAACGTCATAAAGTGTAATATTTCTTACCTTTAGATTCTCAATTCGGTGTCTTCGAGATCAGACGATACATATATACAACTGCAGAATATGCGTCTCTTCATAAATATTTTATAGTAGTCACATTGCTGGTAGTGGTAGGGTATATAATTATTATCTAGAAATCGTGACAACTCTGTAAAAATTTCTATTTTCTTAAGATACAACAGTAGAAATTAAATTTTTTTCAACAAACTATTGGTGAGGTATTAAAAAATATTTATTTTTTCTGCTACTCAATATTTCGTTCTATCAAGAAACGCTCTCTAGAGTCTGTTAACAATAATTCTTATAACTACCCAGATAGCCAAGCGTAGAGTACAGTACCTGGTACAGTGCGAAGGTATATGGATCTAATGATCGAAGAGAAGCTACAGTGAATTTTTCTAGGATTTCACGTCTCAAAATTTCACTTGCCATTGTTCTAGAAGCTACGTTTGTAATTCCTTTCAAAGATGTAATTTCTTCAAATTTTATCAAATCGGTACTGAAGAAATAAATACCGAAAATATTAATGTAGTGACAAACAGATAGAAATTGAAAGTTTGTTGGATTTTTCATAAACAGTGGTTGGCTCTCCATCATGAATTGATTTTTGTCTGTTATTTAGTTTATCCGCTTTTGTTTTTATCCAATTAATTCTAAAACTGATAAATTATGTTGTTTCAAAATATTTTAATAATTATATTAAAGATAATAGTTTTGCAAACTTATGCCAACGTTCTCTTAGCAGGAGCATATAATTATGTTAAAAAATTGTGATAAATAATAATAATTATATAAATTTTTTTCTTCTATTTCAAAAAGAAACAATTTTCTAACTTTTATCGCAAAATTATGAAATTTTACAAAATTTCAGTAAAATAAATATTAGAAATCATAACTTTTTAGAAAAACTTTTTTCAGAAATCAAAACTTTATTTGTAAAATGTACAATCAAAACATTTTTTTGAAAACAGATTTCAATAGAAATCTCTTTTTTTTTAGACAAAATGAAGGATTAGAAAATATTTAGTAAAGTTTGTTTTAAAAATAATTGAAATTTAGTTTAAATATACTTTGAAAATAATTGAATTTCAGTTTAAAAGCTTTTGAAAATAATTGAAATTTAGTTTAAAAACTTTGAAAATAATTGAATTTTAGTATAAAAGTTTTTGACAATAATTGAAATTTAGAAAAAAAAATTGAAAATAATTGTTAAAATAATTAAAATTTACTTTAAAAAATTGAGATAAAGCAAACTATTGAAATTTTAGTAAAATATTTTTAAAATAATTGAAATTTTGTTCAAAAACTTTAATAATAATTGAAACTTAGTAACAAAAATTTGAAACTAATTCGTAATTGGTAAAAAAATTTGTAAATTATTCAAATTTTGTTTACAAAATTTGAAAATAATTAAAATTTAGTTTAAAAACTTTGAAAAAACTTTGAAAAAAATTTGAAACTAATTCGTAATTGGTTAAAAAATTTATAAATTTTTCAAATTTTGTTTACAAAATTTGAAAATAATTAAAATTTAGTTTAAAAACTTTGAAAGTAATTATTGAATTTTAGTTTAAAAGTTTTGAAAATAATTGAAATTTTATTTAAAAATGAAAAGTAATTGAAATTTAGTTTACAATTGTGAAAATAATTTAAATTTAGTACAAAATTTGAAACTAATTCGTAGTGGTAAAATAATTTGTAAATAATTGAAGTTTGGTTTATAAAATTTGAAAATAAATAAAATTTAGTAAAAAAAATTGAAATAAAATGCAATTTAGTTTAAATATGGAAAATAATTAAAATTTAGTTTAAAAATTTTCAAAATAATTAAATTTTAGTTTAAAAGCTTTTGAAAATAATTGAAATTTAGTTTAAAAACTTTGAAAATAATTGAATTTTAGTATAAAAATTTTTGAAAATGATTGAAATTTAGAAAAAAAAATGGGAAATAATTGAATTTTAGTTTAAAAGTTTTTGAAAATAATTGAAATTTAGTACAAATAATTCGAAATTGAATTAAATTTAATTTAAAAAGTTTGAAAATAATTAAAATTTAGTTTAAAAACATTGAAAATAATTGAATTTTAATTTAAAAGTTTTTGAAAATAATTGAAATTCGGTAAATATTTTTCAAACTAATTGAAATTTAGTTTAAAAACATTAAAAATAATTGAATTTTAGTTTAAAACTTTTTAAAAATAATTAAAATTCAGTAAATATTTTTCAAACTAATTGAAATTTAATTTAAAATAATAAAAAGAAATTGAAATTTAGTAAAAAAAAAAAAAATTTGAAATTAAATGAAATTTAGTTTAAATATGGAAAATAATTTAAATTTATTTTAAAAACTTTGAAAATAATTAAATTTTAGTATAAAGGTTTTTGAAAATAATTGAAATTTAGAAAAAAAAATTGAAAATAATTGTAATTTAGTTTAAAAACATTGGAAATAATTGAATTTTAGTTTAAAAGTTTTTGAAAATAATTGAAATTTAGAAAAAAAATTGAAAATAATTGTAATTTAGTTTAAAAACATTGGAAATAATTGAATTTTAGTTTAAAAGTTTTTGAAAATAATTGAAATTTAGTACAAATAATTCGAAATTGAATTAAATTTAATTTAAAAAGTTTGAAAATAATTAAAATTTAGTTTTAAAAATATTGAAAATAATTGAATTTTAGTTTAAAAGTTTTTGAAAATAATTGAAATTTAGTACAAATAATTCGAAATTGAATTAAATTTAATTTAAAAAGTTTGAAAATAATTAAAATTTAGTTTTAAAAATATTGAAAATAATTGAATTTTAGTTTAAAAGTTTTTGAAAATAATTGAAATTCAGTAAATATTTTTCAAACTAATTGAAATTTAATTTAAAATAATAAAAAGAAATTGAAATTTAGTAAAAAAAAAAAAAATTTGAAATTAAATGCAATTTAGTTTAAATATGGAAAATAATTAAAATTTAGTTTAAAAATTTTCAAAATAATTAAATTTTAGTTTAAAAGCTTTTGAAAATAATTGAAATTTAGTTTAAAAACTTTGAAAATAATTGAATTTTAGTATAAAAATTTTTGAAAATGATTGAAATTTAGAAAAAAAAATGGGAAATAATTGAATTTTAGTTTAAAAGTTTTTGAAAATAATTGAAATTTAGTACAAATAATTCGAAATTGAATTAAATTTAATTTAAAAAGTTTGAAAATAATTAAAATTTAGTTTAAAAACATTGAAAATAATTGAATTTTAATTTAAAAGTTTTTGAAAATAATTGAAATTCGGTAAATATTTTTCAAACTAATTGAAATTTAGTTTAAAAACATTAAAAATAATTGAATTTTAGTTTAAAACTTTTTAAAAATAATTAAAATTCAGTAAATATTTTTCAAACTAATTGAAATTTAATTTAAAATAATAAAAAGAAATTGAAATTTAGTAAAAAAAAAAAAAATTTGAAATTAAATGAAATTTAGTTTAAATATGGAAAATAATTTAAATTTATTTTAAAAACTTTGAAAATAATTAAATTTTAGTATAAAGGTTTTTGAAAATAATTGAAATTTAGAAAAAAAAATTGAAAATAATTGTAATTTAGTTTAAAAACATTGGAAATAATTGAATTTTAGTTTAAAAGTTTTTGAAAATAATTGAAATTTAGAAAAAAAATTGAAAATAATTGTAATTTAGTTTAAAAACATTGGAAATAATTGAATTTTAGTTTAAAAGTTTTTGAAAATAATTGAAATTTAGTACAAATAATTCGAAATTGAATTAAATTTAATTTAAAAAGTTTGAAAATAATTAAAATTTAGTTTTAAAAATATTGAAAATAATTGAATTTTAGTTTAAAAGTTTTTGAAAATAATTGAAATTTAGTACAAATAATTCGAAATTGAATTAAATTTAATTTAAAAAGTTTGAAAATAATTAAAATTTAGTTTTAAAAATATTGAAAATAATTGAATTTTAGTTTAAAAGTTTTTGAAAATAATTGAAATTCAGTAAATATTTTTCAAACTAATTGAAATTTAATTTAAAATAATAAAAAGAAATTGAAATTTAGTAAAAAAAAAAAAATTTGAAATTAAATGAAATTTAGTTTAAATATGGAAAAGAATTAAAATTTAGTTTAAAAAATTTGAAAATAATTGAATTTTAGTTTAAAGGCTTTGAAAATAATTGAAGTTTTATTTAAAACTAGAAAATACTTGGAATTTAGTTTAAAATTGTGAAAATAATTTATATTTAGTAAAAATTTGAGACTATTTCGTATTTGGTAAAAAATTTGTAAATAATTCAAATTTTGTTTAAAACATTTGAAATTCAGTGAAATTTAGTTTAAAAAGTTTTGAAAATAATTGAAATTTAGTTTAAAATCTTTGAAACTAATTGAATTTTAGTTTAAAAGGTTTGATAATTATTGAAATTTAGTTTAAATATGGAAAATAATTTAAATTTTTAAAAAGTTGTGAAAATAATTGAAATTTTCTTTAAAAAATGGAAATAAATTTAAATTTAGTAAAAAGATTTTTGAAACTTAATTAAAATTTAGTAAAGTTTGTTTTTTAAAGTTTTTTTTTAAAAGTTTTTTTTAAAATTTATTTAAAGTTTAAAGGGCAACAAAGAAAAAAATACTGTCATTGAATTTTTTCTCGCTGAATTTTTATTTAATTTTTTTTTTTGTGTTATTCTCTAAGTATTTTAATTCCTTTTTTTGGTAATGTACTCTCCAATTTATAATCGCATTCTCATTATTACATATACAAAATTTCCATACAGTCTTTAAAATCTTGAAAGAGTTTTATTTATACTTTTTTTTTGTAATTAACAACAATATTGTGTTTTGTGTGATTTAAAAAAAAGAGAAGTAGAACTTAAAAATTAAGTTGGGAGATTATTCATTGGTCGCCGAGTTATTACAGTTTCTTTTTTTTTTTTAATATAATATATATAAATTAAAAAAAAAGTATCTTTTCTTCGTTGACCCTTAAGATTCAAGGGTTTTCTTTTTCTTTTAATTTTTATAGTAAACGTGACGTTGGGGGATTAAAAAAAACCACTAAGAATCAAGGGCCGAATGTGTTTTTTTTTCTTAAAAAGTCATAATACACGCATTGTCACGTATTTTTTTTTTTGTTTTATAATTAGTAGGAAATAAAAAGAAAGGAGAAATTTGCAGAAAACACACATTTTCATTGTGTGCAGAAATAAATGTAAGGATCATCATTGATTTTTCTCCTTTTTTGTGAAACGCGTGCTAAATTTTTATTTTAATTTTTTTCACTCTCTCTCTGTTTCTCTCTTCGGTTTGAGTTATACGTTACTTTACTTCTTTAACGTAAGCTTCCAATTCGGCGTCAAGTTCCTCGGCAGTTGGGGTTTTTGTCGCTGTACGATTGCCTCCTCGTCCTCCTCGGCGTCCTGGACCGCCGCCACCTCGACCTTTTCGAAGAAGAAAAAATTATTTTACATTCAATTTCAATTCATTAATCGAATAATTAATTAATACTATTTTTTTAACTATTAATATTATAACAAATATTATTTTTACATTATTTTTTATTCATTTTTTTTCTCCTTTTGGTTTCTTTTTTTAATTTTTGTTAAACAAGTGAATAATAAAAATATAAATTTTAAATAAGATGTGTAATTTTTTCGTAGGCATTCAATTACATTGAAAATTTTCTTTTTAATTCTTTATAAAAATTCAAATATTTTTGATAAAATTTTACAATAATTCCTTGTAAGGATTTTAATTTTCATAGAGAAACAAATTAAATTATTTTCGTAAATTTTTATTAAATTCCAGTTAAGAATTGAATTAATGCAAATCTACTAAACAAATTTGAAAGTAATTAAATTTTTTGAAAATAATTAAAATTTAACAGAATTTTTTCAAACTAATTGAAATTTCATTTTAAAAAATAAATAATTGAAATTTAGTACAAAAAATTTGAAAACAAATGAAATTTAGTAAAAAAAAAAATAGAAAATAATTGAAATTTAGTAAAAAAAAATAGAAAATAATTGAAATACAGTTTAAAAATTTGAAACTCATTAAATTTTAGTACAATTTTTTGAAAATAATTGAAATTTAGTAAAAAAAAAAAATTTGAAAATAAATGAAATTTAGTAAGAAATTGTTAGAATAATTGAAATTTAGTAGAAAAAAATTTCTTCAAATATTCTTGATACAATTTTAATTCAATTCCTTGAAAAGAATTTAATTTTCATTCAAACAATTAATTTATTTTCGTAAATTTTTTATTAAATTCAAAGAAAAATTCAATTTTTTTTATAACTTATAAAGGAAATGAATTATTTTTAGTAATTATAAAAGAATTGAATTATTTTTAAGAAATTATAGAATTCTTCGGAGGAATTTAATTATTTTCAAAACAATTTCAAAAAAAATTTGTTGATGTAATGCAATTATTTTAACAATTTTTAATAAAATTCCTCGAAAGAATTCAATTATTTTCAAAAATTTTGATAAAATTTGTTTAATATGGAATTTAATTCTTTTCAATTAAATTTCTTGAAAAAAATTTTATTATTTTTAAAATCTTTAATAAAATTATTTGAGACAATTCAATTATTTTCTTAAATTTTGATAAAATTCTTTACAAGAATTCAATTCTTTTTCACAAAAAATTTAATTGAATTCCTTAAAAGAATGTTAATTTCTATCGAAAGGAAATTGAATTATTTTCAAAAATTACAATAAAATCTTGAAAAGAATATAAATATTTTCATAAATTATAAAATTCCCGAAAAGAATCCGATTATTTTCAAAAATTTGGATAAAGTTTGTGTTTAATAGAATTTAATTATTTAGAATAAAATTTTATCTAAACTCCTTGAATGAATTTAAATTTTTTTCAAAAAGAATTGAATTATTTTTAAAAATTACAATGAAATCCTTAACAAGAGTTCAATTATTTTCATAAATAATTCTAAAATTCCAGGAAGGAATTCAATTATTTTCAACAATTTTACTAAAATTGATTTAATAGAATTTAATTATTTTCAATTCTATTTCTTGAAAGAATTTAATTTTTTTTTTGAAAAACTTACAATGAAATTCAATTATTTTCAATACAATTTTCATTAAAACCGTCGAAAGAATTGAATTATTTTTTTAAAAAAATTTAATAAACTTCTTCCAAGTAATTCAATTATTTTCAAAATTTTAATTATTTTTTTGTTTTATTTTTTCTCATGAATTTTTCTCAAAGAAAAGAATTTTCCACAGGAATTGAATTATTTTCAATACAATTTTCAATTATTTTAAAAAATTTTTAATACAATGTTTCGAAAGAATTCAATTATTTTCTAAAATTTTAGTAAATTCTTCGAAGCAATTCAATTGTTTTTATAAATAATAAATTGTTAGAAATTCAATTTTTTTATACAATTTTCGTAAGTAAACTATTTAAATTAAATTTAAATTTAAATTATTTTCAAAATTTTTTATTGTATCGTATGAATTGATTTTTGTAAGAATTATTTTCGTCAGCAAAATAATTTTCCACAGGAATTAAATTCTTTTCAATACAATTTTAATAAAATTTCACGAAAGAATTAAATTATTCTTCAAAATTTTTAATACAATTTTTCGAGAGAATTCCATTGTTTTCAAAAATTTTAAATTTTGATAAAATTTGTTTATTGGAATTTAATTAAATTTCTATAGAGAATTTAATTATTTAAAAAAAAAAAATATTTAACAAAATTCTTTGAAACAATTGAATTATTTTCAAAAAATTTTTGTTCTAAGAATGACTTTTTTGAAATTTACAGTTTATTTTTTTTTAATTTAAATTTTTTATATAAAAATAATTTTCATTAATTTTGATTTTTAAATTTTCATTTGAAGATTTCTCATTAAAATTGATAATAAATTGAATTATTTTCAAAATTTGCTATTGAAATTCTGGAAAAATTAAATTTTCAAAAACATGAAATTAAATACTTAAAACGTACAATTATCAAAGAACTTTTAAAATATATATTTGAACATTGAAAATATAAAATAAATGAATGTTCACCTCTGGTGGGTCCGGTTCCTCGATTTCCCCGGAAGCGTTGCTGTGACCTTTGTGGAAAATTGCCGCCTCCAATTCTCGATGTGTTGCGAATTGCTTGTGGTACTGGAATCTCTGATGTTGCCACTTGAATATTCATCTCGCGACCTGTTATTTTCGAGTAGAAAAAATGTTAATAAGTAAAAATTATTCTCCATCTTCTATTTACGAAGTACTTTTTTTCTTTAAATTAAATAAATAAATTTAACAATATAAATTTATTTATAATATAAATTTAATAATTTTAATTATTATATTATTTTAATAAATATTATTTAGAATTTTTTTTTTCATTTCTAATTAATTATTGTAAATAAATACCGTCAAGTGGAACTCCATTGTATTGTTTCATGGCTTTAATTGCGTCTGCTCTTCTCTCGAAAATAACATCAGCGGAGCCCAAAGAACGACCAGATCTATCATAATGAACTGCCGCTGATTTTAGCGGGCCAAATTCACTGAAAAGTTCCTGTAAAAAGAAAATATTTTCAATTCTTATTCTTCTGGTTATAAACTAATTTTTTACTAAATATAAACAAGTAAATAAAAAAGAAAGAAAAAAATTAACTTAGAATAAAGTTTCGAGCAAAAGATAAAAAAAAAATATTAACGAAAAACTCACCTGAATATCTGAGTCGGAAACTCCAAAATCGAGATTTGATACCAAAAGTTTGGTGGTACCTGAACTGCCAATCAGGCCGCGACCGACTTTTTTCACTCCATCGAACATGTCATGTTTCCACGCACTGTTTACATCGCCCTGGAAAAATTTCAATTAAATTAAAAAATTGGTAATTATATATTTTTTTATTTATTTACCATTTCAATTATTAGAATTTCCATTCACGTTTCTCTAGTTAAATTTTTATTCATTTATTTCTATTTTTGGAATTTTTATTCAGTTTTTTGAAAAGTAATTAAAAAATCTAATTTTTTACGAAAATAATTAATTAAATTAGTTAAATTTGTATTTATCATAATTTTTTATAAATATGAATAAATAATTGAACTTCAATTATTACAATTGAAAAAACGGTTTTTTTTATTTATTTTTACTATTTTCTTCATTTAGAACTAAAAATTTATTTTAAAAATGTGAAACAATTCAAATTTAGTTTAAAAGTTTGAAAATAATTGAAATTTTGTTAAAAATTGTGAAAATAGTTTAAATTTAGTGTAAAAAATTGAAAATAATTAAAATTTAGTTTAAAAAATGAAAAATAATTGAAATTTAGTGAAATTTTTTAAAAATAAATTAAATTTAGAAAAATTTTTTCAAACTAATTGAAATTTAATTAAAAAAATAATGAATAATTGAAAGTTAGCACAAAAAATTTGAAAATACATGAAATTAAGTAAAATATTGTTAGAATAATTGAAATAATTAAAAACAAATTTGAAATAAGAATTCAATTAATTTCAATACAATTTTAACTGAATTCCTTGAAAGAATTTTCATTTCCATCGAAAGAATTGAATTATTTTCAACAATTAAAATAAAATTCTTGTCAAGAAATTGAATTATTTTCAAAAATTACAATAAAATTCTTGGCAAAAATTTAATTACTTTCATAAGTAATAAAATTTGCTGAAAAGAATTAAATTATTTTTAAGAAATTTAATAAAATCTATTGAATAGAATTTGTTTTCAATTAAATTTCTTGATAAAACTTAGTAATTTCATTTTAATTTTAATTAAATTTTTCGAAATAATTAAATTATTTTTCAAAAATTTTGATACAATTCTTTAAAAGAATTCAATTAATTTCATAAATTATAAAATTCCAGAAAAGAATTTAAATTTAGTTCAAAAACTTTGATAATAATCGAAATTTAATAAAAAATTTTAGTAAAAACAAAATTTAAAAATTATGAAAATAATTGAAATTTAGTTTAAAAATGGAAAATAATTCAAATTCAATAAACGATTTGAAAATAATTGAAATTTAGTGAAATTTTTTGAACATAATTGAAATTTAGTTCAAAAATTTTGATAAAAATTGAAATTTAATAACAAAATTTGAAACTAATTTGAATTTGGTAAAAAAAATTTCGAAATAATTCAAATTATTATTTTCAAAAAATTGCAATGAAATTCTTAACAAGAATTCAATTATTTTAATAAATTATAAAATTCCAAAAAAGAGTCAAAAAAATTTAATAAAATTTATTATATAGAATTTAATTATTTTTAATTAAATTTCTTGAAAGAATTTAATTATTTTCAATTAAACTTCTTAAAAGAATTTAATTTCAATACTCAAATTATTTTTGTAGGAGTTTAGTTATTTTCAATACAATTTTTATTAAATTTCACAAAAGAATTCAATTATTTTGTTTTTTAATATTTAATAAAATTTTTAAAGAAAAGAAAAAATTGAAATAAAACAAGAATTATATTTTCAAAAGAAATGAAAAATAATTAGAAAATAATTTTGAAAAGAAAGAATAAAATAAAGAAGAGAAAATAAAAATAATTTGACAGTAAAAATATAATAATTATAATAATAATAACAATAAATAATAATAAAATGAAAAAAAACTTTAAATAAAAATATAAATCGTTAAATATTTCTCCAAGTTACGAGAAAATTTCCAAATTGAAAATTGAAGTACAAGGATAAATATTGTCAATTCTAGTTTATTTATATATATTATAAATATACACATATACAAATAATGCGAAATGTAAATTTTTCGAGAGAGACCAGACAAATAATGACGTCATTTTCAACGGACATTGTGAGCAAAATAGAAATTCGATTCGATAAGATAAAATGAAATGAAACGACAAATTCCATCATCTTTCCTTTTCGTGCGAAAAAATAAATTTTATTTCATCTTTTCAAATAATATATATACAATACACGCAATCAAGGTCATTACTTTGTCAACTTTCTCATTTCGTCGAGTATCCAAAAAAAAAAAGAAATCAATTTTTACCCAGAATTATATGTCAAATTTCCGGAAATTTAATCAAAATCTCGAGAGAGAAAAAAAGTGTGTTTACATCGTTTATACGATTAGAGTCCAGGGGGGAAAAAAATTGGAACTTTTTTCGTTTTTTAAAACTAAGTTTTTAAAACGAATTACGAATAAAATATTAAAACAAAGAGAGAAATTTTTGGAAAAATGGTTTCCGAGACGGAAAAAAGAAAAAACTAAACGGAAAGAGTGAAATGAAAAAAGAGAAGTAGGAGGAAAAAATTCTTTTTTTGACTTACCCTTGTGTATGGAAGTGAACTTCGTACGATTCCACCGCGATTTCTTCCTCTCATGACGCCACCGCCAGTTCTTTGAGCACCACGAGCTCCTCTACGAGGTGAGCCACCGGTGCCTCCTCTTCCACGTCGTCCACCAACGCCGCCACGGCTTCGGCCACCTTTATTTTGCTTTATAATATCGTCGAGGCTCATTTCAATTTTGTCTACCATCTTCATTTATAATGCTTTTTTTTTATCAAATTTAATAAAATATCACACAGAAAACTAAATATTATTTCTCTCACTTTTTTTTTTGCAACAATAAAATTGGATAAATATCCCAACCTCTCTCTCTCACTGTTACTTCTCTCGCGGCGCGACAAAAACCCTAATTCTCGTTTTGTACTTTTAAAAGTATAGGCGAGAAAAATAAAAATGGCGACTTGTGGCGACAAAACAGTCTATGATGCTAACTTCGGGAAACAATTTTTGATGCGCGCGCGCTTGGCTTGAATTTATTCACCAGGGTTGGGTAGGTGACACGAATTTTGTATTAAGCTGCGTTCACACCTTCGATTTTCTGCACCTTTTTGTGATTAAAGTACGAAAAGGGTTTTTTTCGCCGAAATTTTAACCCCCAGGTCCATTTGTCCCATTTTGAAACTATTTGGAACTAATTTTGAACCTTTTCGTAATATTTTTGACACGTAGAAAATAACTTTTGTCCAATATTCGTTACTTCCCCCACTCCTCTAAAAAATGGAATGTAGTTTGTGAACGACCCTTTATGCCGTTTGGACAAATTTTTCGAAAGTTTCGGTAAATTTCAAAGGGCTGGGAAATTTTCAAATATAGCAAGGTTGGGAAGTTGAAGAAAAATGTCGGTCAACAATTCCGGTTCAAATATTTTTCCTTCGATTCAAAATTTCTAATTACAAAAAAAAACTACAATCGAATAAAGATAAATAAACAATGAATGTAAATAATTTGACGAAATTCTTTATTTTAAATAAATCCCCATTACACCCTAAATGTTAAATACTAAACATAAATATTAAAAAAAAAATCGGAGAAATAATACTGCGACAGAAAATGTGGAAGTCAAAGTGTATAAATTTATCGGCAAGATTATTAAATTCGCAAATAAGATCGAGGGAAAGTGTTATTGTTAAAAAAAGTTATTGTCTAGTCAGTGTTAATAGGTATTTTAATAATGAAAGTGTCAGTGGGGGAGTGAGAAATGATTTTATCGGAGGGCAAATTTTGTCGTGTAGAAGCAGGAGAGATGGGATTCTAACCTCAAAATTGAATGTGAGACATTCGTCAACATCGTCAACAATAGATGCGGTTAATCAAAATTCGGCATTATTAGATTATCTTCCGACTGGAGAATTAAGAGAATTGATAATATGGGTACAATCGACAACCTGTCTACCCTGGTGGGCTTCATTAGTTTTATATACTTTTGTATTTCGAGTTTCGGTTCAGTTGCCAATTTCGATTTATCAAGTAAGTTATTTTTATTTTTTATTTTCGGTCTTTAGTTTTTGTTGTTATTTCTTTTTATGTTTATTGTCATTTATTCACTTAATTGTTTATCTATGTAACTATCTATTTATTTATTTATTTATTTATTTATTTATTCGTTTATTTATTTAACACAGACGGACAAAACAAACTGAAACTGTCCCTATTTGTTTTTTTTATTCATTTTCTATTATTGTTTTTATTTAAATACTTTATTGTTGTATTTTTTAATTTATATTTTATTTAATATATAAATTAAATAATAATTACATTTTATATTTTTTATATCTTTTTATATTTTAAAATTTTATTTATTTTTATTATTTTTATTTTCTCATTTTGATTTATTTTCACGTATTTGTTATTAAAAAAATTTATTTTTATTAAAAATTATTTCTTTCTTTCCCTCAATTATTTGTTTATTTATTTTATTTTTATTTCCAATATTGACTGGACATATTTTTTTCTTTAAATTTTCCTTATATTTTTAAAAAATTTTTTTATATTTTTTGTCTGAAAATTCAAGAAAATAAGCAAAAAAAATTTTTCTTTCTCTCAATTATTTGTTTATTTATTTTATTTTTATTTACAATATTGACGGGACAATTTTCTCTCTAAATTTTTTTTATGAAAAAATTGAAAATTCTTTTTTCTTTTTGTAATAACAAATTTTTAAAATTTGCAGAAACATCTTATGTATCGTTATGCGAATGTGCAATCGGAGATTGTTGGTCACAGATGGAGATTGAAGAACGAAATGAAGACAAAAGCTTTAAAAAATTCTTGGTCGAAAAAAAAGGAAAATCGTGAATTGGCAAAAAGTGTATGGAACATATTCTCTGCTTTTTTTCTCATTTTTATTATAAATTTATATTTTAATTTATTAAGTCTCTTTAATTATTATTTTACCATAAATATTATTTTTAGCAACGAAAACAATTTTTACTTTAAAAAAAAACCAACTTTTAGTAAAAAAAAAACTAAATTTTTGGCACAAAAAAACAATTTTTTGTTTAAAAAATCAATTTTTGGTAAAAAAATCAATTTGTAGTAAAAAAAAAAACAATTTTTAGTTTAAAAAACCAATTTTTGGTAAAAAAAAATCAATTTTTAGTTAAAAAAAACCAATTTTTGGTAAAAAAATCAATTTTTAGCAAGAAAACGAATTTTTAGTTAAAAAACCAATTTTTAGTAAAAAAAACCCAATTTTTTAAATACATAATTGAATTCTCGCGAAATGTTTTACTAGAATTTTTGAAAATCCTAATTAAATTCTTTTGAAGAATTCTTTCAAATTCTTTGAATTTTTTCAAAATAACGGAGTTTTTTCTTTAATAATTTTAATTGAAAATTTTGAAACTAATTGAATTTTATGAACAATTTCTTTTAAGTTTTTAAAATAATCGTGTTTTCTTAATTCTTAATAATTGAAATTAAACATTTAATTATTGATGATTTTTTAATTAAAATTTTTAGAAAATAATTCAATTCTTTTCACAATTTTATTACAAATTTTCTAAAATAATTTAATTCATTCAAGGAATTTGGAAAAATTAGTTTTTAAATTCGATAAAAAGAAATTTTATTTTTCTCGAAGTTTATTAAAAAATTGATATATAATTAAATTTTTATAAACAAATTGTATCATTTTCTAATTTTTATAAAAAATAATTTAATATGTAACATGATATTTCTTAAAAATTAGGAAAATAAGTGAATTTTTTAAAATAAATTCTACAGACAATTTTAGAAATAATTGAATTTTTGACATTGAATCACTTTTAGAATTTAATTATCTTTTAAATAATTGAATTTCGGAATTATAATTGAAAATTCTTAAGTTTTAAAAAAGATATTTGAATATTTTTCAAGAAATTCATTAAATGTTTTGAAAATTAATGGATTTTTAAAAGAATTTTACAGTAAAAAAGATTTTAAATAACCAGAATGAAAACGAGAAGGAAAAATTGAAATAATTGAAAATAATTGAATGTTTGTAAAGACTTTACTATTTAAAAAAAAAATAATGGAATTGTTTCAATGAATTTATTTACAATTCAGAAAATAATTGAATTCTTTTGTGAAATTTTTTTAAAATTGTATTGAAAATAATTGAATTCTTGACAAGAATTTTATTATTTATAAAAAATAATTGAATTATTTCGAAGGATTTATTAAAATTTTACAAAAAAAAAAAAATTGAATTCTTTCGTGAAATTTTATTGAAAATAATTGAATTTCTGCAAAGATTTTAGTATTTAAAAAAATAATTGAATTCGTTTTTGTAGAATTTTATTAAATTTTTTTAAAAATAATTCAATTATTCCTTTGAATTTAATTGAAAAAACAATTAAATTCTAATAAACATATTTTATCAAATTTTTTAAAAATAATTTGTTGTCTTTCTTGGAATATTATAATTTATTCAAATAATTGAATTTTTATCAAAAATTTCATTGTAATTTTTGAAAAATAATTCAATTTTTTCGATGAATTCAGTTAAAATTTTATTAAAAATAATCGAATTCCTGAAAAGAATTTGAAAAAAAAATTTTTGAAAATTGAATTGTTTCAATGAATAATTTATTAAAATTTTAAAAAATAATTGAATTATTTCGCAAAATTTTATTTTAAATTTTTGTAGAAAATAATATTGAATTACTTCGAAGAATTTTATTATTTTTGAAAATAATTGAATTGTTTCGAAGAATTTATTTAAATTTTAGAAAAAAATTGAATTATTTCGCGAAGTTTTATTAAAAAATTTTGTAGAAAATAATTGAATTGTTTTTGAAGAATTTATTTAAATTTCAGAAAAAAATTTAATTATTTCGCGAAATTTTATTAAAATTTTGTAGAAAATAATTGAATTCTTATGAAGAATGTTATTATTTATGAAAATAATTGAATTTGTTTCGAAGAATTTATTATTAAATTTTGTAGAAAATAATTGAATTATTTCGCTAAATTTTATTAAAATTTTGTAGAAAATAAATTGAATTTTTTCGAAGAATTTTATTATTTTTGAAAATAATTGAATTGTTTCGAAAAATTTATTACTAAATTTTGTAGAAAATAATTGAATTTTTGCAAAAAAAAAATTGTACTATTTTTACAAAAATAATTGAATTCTTGCGAAGAATTAAATATCGAAATTTTTGAAAATGTAAACAGTAAATAATAATTAATAAAATTATTAATTATTAAAGGTTTAAAGCTGTGAGAGAAGTAAAACAAAGTTTGCAGCATCAGGAAATAAATTCTCTTCTCTTCTAATAAAATGATTAATATTATTATAATTATTTCAGATTAGTGAGGAAAAAAGGAAAATGTACGTAAATTATAATTGTCATCCGGCGAAACTTGGCATAACTATTGGAACATTGTTATTGGCATTTATGACTCAAGTTTGTGCGATTCGAGAATTATGTATAATCCCGCCAATTTCTGGTGTTTGTAAGTAATCACTTACAATAATTTATTTAATATATTTAAATTATTTTAAATACGACTTTATTAGATTTTTAATATTTAAAAAATAATAAATACATTTCTATTTTGTTTTCTTCTCTCTTTAGAATTATTAACGAAAAATTTACCACAACAATTATCTAGAAAAATAATCTATTTTATTTTTTTGTAAATTATAAATGTAAATTTTAATCATATTTTATATTTAGTGTTTTTCTTTTTATTTCAAATTAAAGTTCAAATTTTTTTTCGAATTTAATATTTATATTTAGTTTTTTCATTTCTAATTTAATTTCTATTTAGTTTTTTCTTGATTTTAATTTCTATTTAGTTCTTTTCGATTTTAATTTACATTTATTTTTTTTATTTCTATTCTATTTTAATTTTAATTATATAATTTTTTTTTCGATTTTAGTTTAAATTTCGTTTTTTTATTCCTATTTAGTTTTTTTTTCGATTAAAATTTACTTTTTTTTAGTTCTTTTCAATTTCAATTTAACTTTTAGTTTTTTTTTGTTTCTATTCTATTTTAATTTCTATTTAGATTTTTGTTTCGATTTAAATTTAATATATTTAGTTGTTTTCGATTTCAATTTTATTTATATTTATAGTTTTTATATATTTCTATTTACTATTTTTATTTTTATTCCTTTTTTTCGTTTTATTTGCCTTATTTTAATTTTATTCTATTTTTTGAGTTATAATTATTATAAAATAGTTATTATTGTTTATTTTAGCGGAAATCACAAGTTTGGAATTAATAACGGGCGGCTTTGGATGGTTTGAAAATCTTACGGAACAAGACCAATTTTATATTCTTCCAGTTATCGCAACTGTATTAACTTTAGTCAATATTAAGGTATTTAAAAGAAAAATTTAGTTTGAAAATAATTGATTTCTCAAAAATTTTAATGAAAAATCTTCAAGTGTAAATGTAAAAATGAAATTAATGTAATTAATGAAAGCTTCTAAAAAATTATATTTAAATATTTTTGAAAAAAAAAATAATTCTTAGAATTTTCGCATTCTAATTTTTTAAAATTCAATTATTTTCAATATTTTTCAAATACAAAGTTCTCAAAATTCAAATACATACAAAAAATAATAACATTAAAATTTTTTACAATTATTTTTTAACATTTTACCTGCATCACGATCATGTTCAAAATTTTTAATCAAAATTCTTAAGAAAATTTACTTTTTCAGATTTATTATAAAATTTTAGAGAAATCACGTTTTTATTAATAATTCAAATTCTTTAAAACTTCAAATTTTTTTTTTTTTTAATAGAAATTTACCAAATTTCAATTGTTTGGAAATTTTTCAATTCTATATAATTAAAAAAACTATCTTTCATAAATTATTTTTAAAATATTTTCAGAAAATTAATTTTAAGAATTTCTTTGTTATAATTTTTTTTGAAAATTAATTAATAACTTAAAAAAACATGGACAGTTACAATTATTTTAAAAAACTGAATTTTTGTATTTAAATAATTGAATTCTCGAAGAATTTTCGAAAATCTATTAAAAATAATTGATTTTGAGAAGAAGTTTAATTAAAAAAAAAATTGTAGAAAATATTTGAATTTTAAGAGAATTGTAGTCGTAATTTTTAGAAGTTATTAAATTTCAGAAAATATTTAGATTCGAATTGTAATTCGTTTTTTTGTTGTTTATTTTATTTTATTTCTTTGCAGGCGTTTTTTTATTTTTAAATTTACAAAAAGACGAATTATTTAGATATTTAATTATTATATTGTAGAGTTAAATTAACTTTTTTTTATTGATTATTGAGATTTGTTTTGCTTTCTTTTGCAGGCGTCGAATATTCTTTATCCACTTTCACCGCACAGTTCAAATTTATTGAAAATACTTAGAAAATCAACAACTTTTATATATCCAGCAGTGACAATGTTATTTACAACGCAATTACCAACCGTGAGTTACTTTTTAATTTAAAAATTTATAATTTAAACAGAAAACAATTTTTTTATTCTTCTGAAATTTACCGACTTTAAAATTCTATTTTCGAAAATTTAGAATTTAAAAATTTTCAATTTCTGAATTATATTTTATTTATTTATTTATTTTTAGGCGGAGCGAAATTTTATTTTCTAAACATTTAGAATTAAAAAACTTTGATTTTCTGAAAGTTATTCTCTTTCATTTATTTATTGTCGGGACAAAATCGTATTTTCTAAAATTGAGAATTTAAAAATTGTATTTTCTGAAATTTATTCTATTTTATTCAAATTTATTAACTGGACGAAATCTTATTTTCTGAAATTTATTTCATTTAAAAATAAACTTAAAAAAAAACTTTTAAATTACCTTTTTTTGCACTTTACGATTATTTTAACTTTAATATTACATTATAATAATTTATTTATAATCCTAAAAGCTCTTTAGCTTCTATTTTTATTAAAAAAATCTACTCGCCAAGTGAAGAAATAGATCATTTTTAATTTAATTATTTGTTTATTTTCATCATTACAATGAATTTTTAAATAATTTTAAATTAAAAATCTGTTTCTGCAAATAAGCAAAAAAAAAAAAAAAGAGAGAGAGAGAGAGAGCATTTTTAATTTAATTTAACCTCCAGCTCTATATACACTGAAATTTTTATTCTTAATTAAAAATCTATTCTCCGAGAAAGGACGAAAAGTTTTTAATTTAATTATGTTTTAATTAAAAATCAATTCTTGCTAATAAAGAAACAATTTTTAATTTCATTTTATATTTTTTCTTTTCCATTTATCTGAAAATTGTAATTTTAAAATTAAAATAAATCTTTGATATAAATGCATTTATGTTTCAAAACTTTTTTTAATTATTTTTTCTTTTTAAAAATATTTTCAGCTTTTTAAATTAATGAATAAGTGAAAATCATTGAATTCTTCGCGAAGAATTTAATCAAAAATATTTGAAAATAAATTGAATTCCTTCGAAAAATTTTATTATTTATGAAAATAATTAAATTCCTTTAAATAATTTTTATTATTTATGAAAATAATTGAATTTTTGCAAAGAATTTTATTATTTATGAAAATAATTGAATTTTTGCGAAGAATTTTATTAAAATTATTAAAAATACTAATTAAATTCTTTTGAAGAATTTCTTTGAATATTTTTTTAAATAATGGAGTTTGTTAATAATTATAATTAAAAATTTCGTTATTGAATTTAATTAAAATTGTATTCGAAATAATTGAATTTTTGCAAAGAATTGAATTTTTTTCATTGTAATTTTTGAAAATAATTCAATTCTTTCGAGAAAAACTCAAATTCTTTCAAGAAATTTTGTTAAAATTGTATTGAAAATAATTTATATTCTTATAAAGAATTTTGTACCAAAATTTTTTAAAATTGAATTATTTCGAATAACTTTAAAAAGTTTTTTTTTTAAATAATTAAATTCTTTCAAGAAATTTAATTGAAAATAATTAAATTATAAACAAATTTTACCAACAGTTTTGAAAATAATTGAATTTTTTCCTGGAATTTTATAATTTAGGTAAATAATTGAAATAAAAAAAAAATTAATTTAATTACTTGGAAGAATTTTATTAAAATTTTTGAAAATAATTGAACTTTCCGATGAATTTTAATAAAAATATTCTATTAAAAATAATTCAATTCCTGGGGAAAATTTTTTCACTTGCAAAAATAATTGAATTCATGCAAAAAAAAAAATATAAAAAATTAATTGAAATTTTGAAATTAATTGAATTGAAGAAGTTTATCAAATTTAAAAAAAAAAATATTTCAATTCTTTCGTGGGATTTAAATAAAAATTGTATTGAAAACAATTGAATTCCTGGCGAGAATTTTATTATTTATAAAAATAATTGAATTCCAAGCGATGAGTTTTAATATTTATTAGAAAAATAATTGAATTCTTGACCTGAATTTGATTGTTTATGATAAAAATTGAATTTTATTAAAATCTTTGTAAATTAAGTTTTCTTCTTTTATGGAATTTTATTAAAATTATATGCGAAAAAATAAAAAAAAAATAATTGAAATTTAGAAAGTAATTGAATTACTTGGAAGAAGTTTATTAAATTTAAAAAAAAATAATTCAATTCTTTCGTGGGATTTAATAAAAATTCTATTGAAAATAATTGAATTATTATAACGAATTTTATCGAAATTTATGAACTAGTAAATAATAATAATTATTTAATTAGTTAATTAGTTAATTAGTGAATTATTTAATTTCTCAATAAGTGAATTATTACAAATTTGTATTTTATTTTTTTCTATTACTAATTTTATTTATTTCTCTCTTTTTTCCCAGGCGGTCGTCATTGCTTGGATAACCAGCAACATTTTTTCCTTCGGCGAATTGATTTTATTCGCACAACCGAAATTTCGCCGATTAATTAAATTGCCAAAAGTTGAGAACGAATTAGATAAACCAATAATGACATTAGCCAATGTTGTGAGGGAAAAATTGGCATTTGCCACAATGAAAAAGAAATCATCATCATCACCATCATCGTAGACAGTTTTCTTATAAAAAAAAATCTCTAAAATGTTTTCTTTGAAAATATGTGAAAAATCAAGTGAGTAAAATTCATTGTCTTTTTTTTTGCATAATTTTTTCTTATTTATATTTTACACTCGTTATTTGTTATTTATTTTTCTAATTTTTCTTTCTTTAAAAATTCGCAAAAAAAATATTTTTTTTTCTTTTTCAAAAAAAAAAATAAAATACAAAATGAAAAAAAGAAAATAGCGATTTTCTTTTCTAAAAATGAGAGAAAAAAAAATTATTGTGTCGTTTTTGTCGTTTGATTCGAGATTTTCGAATTTTTCTCAATGCCATTGAAAAAACTTAACATTTCCGATGGCGAGATCATGCCGGAAGTTCGACTCGTTCCTTGAAATCCGGACGGACACATTGTTTTTGAATTGTATTTTGAATTTGTCGCTAAATCTAAAATTTGAAATTTGAATTAATTTTTTTTTCCCCTCTAAATTCTAAGAATCGATTTGATTTGATATTTTTTATTTTTTGACTCAATTGGAATTAATTTTAATTCAATTGCAGTTAATTTTATAATTAATTATTCCATTAGAATTAATTTTAATTAATAATATTCTATTAAAATTATTGTGAAACAATTTAATTCGGAAACAAAATTGAAAAAAATACTATTTTTTGAAAATGAAATTTAAGAAAAAAATTGAAAAACGTTTAATTCGAAAACAAAACTAATTAAACCAAAAATACTAGTTTTTGAAAAAAAAAAAATTTACTGAAAAAATTAAACAAAAATAATTTTAAAAAATACGAAATGAAATTCAACAAAGAAATAGAAAAAAGAAAAATTAAATTCTAAATTGAAAATAAAATTATTATTATTAAAGAAGAGAAGCAAAAATTTTTTAATTTACTGTGAGAATTTTGATCGACGTTGCAAAATGTTGGAAAAATTGATCTTGCTTTTGTCGTTGGTGGCGATGGACATTCGTTCGCCGGTGAATTTGGACACGTTAATTTTTGTCGTGAACTTTTTGCCTTTATTTCCGTAATTTGCCTTTTTCTGTAATCCTCCAAATACGACAAAAATTCTCGATACGTCACGTAATTCTAGTTTATTCAAATTTTTTTATTATAAATTATTTTTGGTAAAAAAAAACGTTGAAAAATACTTTTTACAGTAAAAACAAAAAGAAAAACTATTTTTATAATAAAAAAAAGTCACGTAATTTTAGTTTATTTATATTCTTTTTAATAAAACTTTGAAAAATACTTTTTAGAGTAAAAAATAAAAAACTTTTTATAATAAAAATATTTGGTTTCATTTTTATAATAAAAAAAAAGAAGTATTTTTATTTTAAAACAAATTTTTGTATTTTTATAATAAAAAATAAAAAATGAAAAATTTAATTTATTATTTAAATTAAAATACAAAAATTAAAATACAATATTTAAAGAAAAAACAATAAAAAAATTAAATTGTCCTCAACGAACTTTAAATTATTTATTAATTATTAAATTATTTCATTAATTTATTATTTTCGAATAATTTATTTTAATTGCAGGAATAAAGTAAATTTGACTAAAACAAATTACTATAAAAAAAAAATTAAATTAAAAAAATAAAAAAAAAAAAATAAATTAAAAAAATTAAAAAAAAGATTAAATTAAAAATAATTTTACTATTATTAAAAATATAATCAGAAATGTACCTTGTCCTCACCGGCCCAATTTCGATTTGTTGGTTCCGTGAGTCCCAATAAATCAATCCAATGATAATAATCTTCGGTTTGATTTCCATACCAATATTTAATAATGACAAATCTGGAAAAGAAAATAAAAATTGAATTAAAATAAAAATTCCTATTTAAAAAAACAAAAAGAAATTTGAAAATTTTGTTTACGCGAGGCCATCGTCAACCATTTTTTGCACCTCCGGACATGACATTAGTTCCATAAATTCGGGATTTTCGGGATTTCTTTTCACGTCAACCAATTGCCAAGGGGCAATTAAACCAAAACGCACGCATTTTACTACGTCGAGCATATTTTTTTTTCTATTCTCCCAATCGTGCATTAACCATCTCACGGCGGACATTAAAACTTCCATTTCACTGAAAAAAGGAAAAATTTTTTTTTTTCGAATTTAAATTAATTATTTTTAATATTTTAATTTTTTTTTTATATTCTATTTTTATGGAGACTTTTTTCTACTTTCAAGTATTTACTAATATTTTTTTGTTGTTTACTTTTTTCGTTATTTTTGTTTATTTCTGTATTTTTTATTTGTTTCTTTGTTGATTTTTGTGTTTTTTTTTGTTATTTTTTGTATTGTTTTGTATTTCTGTATTGTTTGTTTATTTTTTCATTCGTTTTTTTGCTTTCATTTGTGTTTTTTTTTATTTTCTTTCTTTTCTCTACTTGTGTTTTTGTATTTTTTTTTGTTTATTTATTTTATTTTTTTATTTGTTTTTTGTACGTTTTGTTTTTTTATTCTGTTATTTTGCTTGTTTGCCTTTGTTTTTTGATTTGTTTATTTACTTTGTGTTTTTGTTTTTTTCTATTTATAATTTTTTGTTTTTTTTATTCTTGTTTATTTTTTAATTCATTTTTTTTTGCTTTTTTGTATTTGTTTTTCGTTTTTTTGTTTGTTTAATTCATTTTTTTTATTTTTGTCTTTGTTTTTCGTTTTTTTTGTTTGTTTTTGTACGTTTTGTTTTGTTTTTATACTTTTTATTTTGTTTTTACTGAAAATAATTTAATTAATGTGGAAAATTTTTTTACTTTCGAAAATAATTGAATTCATGAGAAAAAATAAAAAAATAATTAACAAAAAAATTAAATTACTTGAAAGAAATTTATTAATTTTTTAAAAAAATAATTTTGAGGGATTTAATAAAAATTATATTGAAAATAATTGAATTTCTCAGAAGAATTTTATTATTTATAAAAATAATTGAATTCTTTCGAAGAATTTATTAAAAATAATTGAATCCTTTTGTGAAATTTTATTAAAAATTTTATTAAACTTAATGAATTATTTATTATTATTTCTTTAGCAAATTTTTCTACTGATGAAAATAATTGAATTTATGCGAAAAAAATAATTGAAATTTTGAAAATAATTGAATTCTTGGCTAGAATTTTATTATTTATAAAAATAATTGAATTCTTTCGAAGAATTTATTTAAAATAATTTCATTTCTTTAGAAAATTTTCCTACTGATGAAAATAATTGAATTTATGCGAAAAAAAATAATTGAAATTTTGAAAATAATTGTATTCTTGGCTAGAATTTTATTATTTATAAAAATAATTGAATTCTTTCGAAGAATTTATTAAAAATAATTTCATTTCTTTAGAAAATTTTCCTACTGATGAAAATAATTGAATTTATGCGAAAAAAAATAATTGAAATTTTGTAAATAATTGAATTTTTGGCTAGCATTTTATAATTTATAAAAATAATTCAATTCTTGCGAAGAATTTATTAAAAATAATTTCATTTCTTTAGCAAATTTTCCTACTGATGAAAATAATTGAATTTATGCGAAAAAAAATAATTGAAATTTTGAAAATAATTGTATTCTTGGCTAGAATTTTATTATTTATAAAAATAATTGAATTCTTTCGAAGAATTTATTAAAAATAATTTCATTTCTTTAGCAAATTTTCCTACTGATGAAAATAATTGAATTTATGCAAAAAAAAATAATTGAAATTTTGTAAATAATTCAATTCTTGGCTAGAATTTTATTATTTATAAAAATAATTGAATTCTTTCGACGAATTTGATTAAAATTGTACTAAAAATAATTCAATTCCTTTGGCAAATTTTTCTACTGATGAAAATAATTGAATTCATGCGAAAAAATAAAAAAAAAACAATTGAAATTTTGAAAATAATTGAATTGTTGACTAGAATTTTATTATTTATAAAAATAATTTAATTCCTTTGTCAAATTTTTCTACTGATGAAAATAATAGAATTTTCGCGAAAAAAAAATAATTGAAATTTTGAAAATAATTGAATTCTTGGCTAGAATTTTATTATTTATAAAAATAATTTAATTCCTTTGTCAAATTTTTCTACTGATGAAAATAATTGAATTTTTGCGAAAAAAAATAATTGAAATTTTGAAAATAATTGAATTCTTGGCTAGAATTTAGAATTGATAAAAATAATTGAATTCTTTCGACGAATTTATTAAAATTGTACTAAAAATAATTTAATTCCTTTGGCAAATTTTTCCACTGATGAAAATAATTGAATTAATGCGAAAAAAAATAATTGAAATTTTTAAAATAATTGAATTCTTTTGAAGAATTTAAATAAAATTGTACGTAAAATAATTCAATTCCTTTGGCAAATTTTTCTACTGATGAAAATAATTGAATTTTTGCGAAAAAAAAATAATTGAAATTTTGAAAATAATTGAATTTTTGGCTAGAATTTTATAATTTATAAAAATATATGAATTCTTTCGAAGAATTTATTAAAATTGTACTAAAAATAATTTAATTCCTTTGGCAAATTTTTCTACTGATGAAAATAATTAAATTTATGCAAAAAAAAAAAATAATTGAAATTTTTAAAATAATTGAATTCTTTTGAAGAATTTAAATAAAATTGTACTAAAAATAATTCAATTCTTTTGAATAAATTTTTCTACTGATGAAAATAATTGAATTCATGCGAAAAAATAAAAGAAAAATAATTGAAATTTTGAAAATAATTGAGTTTTTGGCTAGAATTTTATTATTTATAAAAATAATTGAATTCTTTCGACGAATTTATTAAAATTGTACTAAAAATAATTTAATTCCTTTGACAAATTTTTCCGCTGATGAAAATAATTGAATTTATGCAAAAAAATAAAAAAATAATTGATATTTTGAAAATAATTGAATTTTTGTCAAGAATTTTATTATTTATAAAAATAATTGAATTCATTCCAAGAATTTATAAAAATTTTAAAAAACAATTGAATTCTTTCGAAAAATTATATAAAATTTTTTTTCAAATAATTGAATACTTTTGTGTAAAATAATTGAATACTTTATTAAAATTGTATTGAAAATAATTTTGTTTGTTTACTTTTTGTTTTTTTTTACTTTTTTGTCTTTATTTATTTGTTTGTATTTTTTGTTTGTTTATTTACTTTGCTGTTTGTGTTTGTTTTTGTACCTACATTTTGTTTATTTTTTGTTATTTTTATTTTTGTCTATTTTTTGCTTTTTTGTTTTTATTTATTTTTTGTTCATTTAATTTTTTTTTATTTGTTTTTTTTTAAATTTCGTTTATTTATTTGTTTTTTTATTTTTGTTTTTATTTTTTTTTATTTAATTTTGTTTATGTTTACCTATTAACGCAAATATAATTCGACTTCAAAAGTAGACAAAGCTCTTCGACGGCAAGCTCCAAAAAATCTTTTGTGCTCACGAGCATTAGGAAAAATTTCATTATCCTCGGTACCATTAGTTCCATAACTGCCGTATTTCCAATTTTTCTTGCCTCCAAATACAAAAGAAATGCCGTGTCCTCCGAAAATAGGTCATTATTATCGATAAACGCCCAACACTGTTCTTCTAATTCTACATTTCGTTTCGTTTTTTTATTTTTCAACAAAAGAAATTGCAAAAATACAAAATTCAAATTTAAATTTCCCGCGCTCACAATTTTATTATAGTTTAGTACTTCACGTCGCCGCTAGGTTCTAGCGCGAAATTTAAATTACAATTTTTAATTCTATCATTATTTTATTAATAATTTTAATAAAAATTAAAAAATAATTTTTTTTTTTTTTTGGAGAAAATATTTAATCACAAACCTTTAATTCCCAAATATTGTGAAGCGACAAAAATCTCTAAAATATTGTCCCGCCTCAAGAGTTGACAACTTTCATTGGTCGATGTTATCATCCAATCGTAAATTAACGAAAATGCTTTCGACGTAACACTGCTCTGTAAAAATATTTATTTATTCATTTCTTTACATTGTGAGAAATTTGAATTTCGCGCCATTTATTTAAAAATCACGTGATCGTTGAATGGCGCGAAATTCAAAATCGAATTAATCAAAATTATTTTAAATAAAATTAAATAATAAAAAATGAATATAAATTGAATGAATTGAGAATAAAAATTAGCATAAATAAAATTAATTAATAATAAAAAATTCGCTAAATAAAATAGAGAATAAAAATATTTTTTTTTTTCGATAAAAAAATTCGTTTAACTTACGCCGGTTAAATCAATTTCTTTACAATTTTTCGAGTCGAAGAAGCAACTGTAACTTTGAAGGACCAATAAGTGACAGTGGAATTCGTCTTCTTCGATTTTCACTATACAATCCGCATTTCTTGTTATTGGATTAAAAAAAAAGAAAGGATTAATTTTTATTTCTTTTAAAATTTACTGATTACCGACCGAGTCTCAGAGTCAATAAAAATGGTAATAAATTACTAAAATCAATAGTTTAGTAATTTATTACTATTTTTTTTATTAATATTATTATTAATTAATTAATATTCATTAGTATTAATGATTATTTTTATGATAATTAAATATTATTATTAATTAATTAATATTTATTAATATTAATGATTATTTTTATGATTAAATAATTTTATCAGTTTTCACGAAATACATTAAAAAAATTTGAATTATTTTTGTTGTAACAATCTTGAAAGAAAGGAATAAATTATTTTCTACTAATCGACTTTTTGTACAGAAAAAAAAAAATTCTTTTTGACTCACTTGTAATTTGTAATTCGATTCGCTAGCTCATGATATAAATCCGTTTTTTCGGGTAAATTTATAACTTCCCATTCAATTGGCTGATCAATTGTAAAACCGAGTCTGAAAATTATTTTTGTTCAAAAATATATAAATTTTACAGCAATTTTTAAAAATAACGTACCGACTTAGGAATATAATTAATAATAATTAGGAAAATCTTTTATTAAAATTAAAATTTTTTTGTTCGAAAAGAAAGCTTAACCCTGTACCTAACTGTATCCTCTTTGCTCGAAACATTTCCGATTAAAATTCGGAAAGTTACGGATGTTTAAAAATTGATAAACTGTTTTTGGTGAATCCGTGTATTTTTTTCAAATGGCCATAACTTTTTTTGTATCTAAGATATTTTGCCCCGGTTTGCCTCAAAGGAAAGCTTAATTCATGACCTAATTGTATCCCCTTTGCTCGACTCATTTTCGATTAAAATTCCAGAAGTTATAAGTGTTTAAAAACAGTTGAACGGTTTTTTGAGAAACAGTATTTTTTCTTCAAATGGCCACAACTTTTTTTGTATCCGAGAAATGAAGTCACGGTTTGTTCCTGAGAAAAGCTTAACCCAGTACCTAACTTTGTCCCCTTTGCTCGACCCATTTCCGATTAAAATTCGAAAAGTTAAATGTGTTCAAAATCAGTTGAACCTCTTTTTAAGAATCGGTGTTTTTTCTATATTTGATCATAACTTTTTTTGTATCCAAGATATGAAGTCTCGGTTTGTTCCTGAGAAAAGCTTACGTTTTTACCTAACTGCAACCTCATTGTACGACTAATTTTCGATTAAAATTCGAAAAGTTACAGATGTTTAAAAATTGATAAACTTTTTTTGGAAAATCCGTGTTTTTTCTTCAAATGGCCACAACTTTTTTTGTATCATCGATATTTTGCTCCGGTTTGTTCCTAAGTAAAGCTTATGTCTGTACCTAATTGTATCCTTTTTGCTCAACTCATTTCCGACTAAAATTCGGAAAGTTACAGATGTTTAAAAACACTTGAACCTCTTTTTGCGAAACCGCATTTTTTCTCTAATTCGCCATAACTTTTCTTGTATCAAAGTTCTGCTGTCCTGGTTTGACCCAATGGATAGCTTACATTTTTACCTAACTGTACCCTCTGTGCTCGACTTATTTCCGATTAAAATTCGGTAAGTTACAATTGTTTAAAAACTAATAAACTTTTTTTGTAGAATCCGTATTTTTTCTTAAAATGGCTACAACTTTTTTTTTATCATAGATTTTATGTCCCGGTTTGCCCCAAAGAAAAGCTTAACCCTATAACTAACTGTATCCTCTTTACTTGTCTTATTTCCGATTAAAATTTGGGAAGTTACAAATGTTTAAAAACTAATAAACTTTTTTTGTAGAATCTGTATTTTTTCTTCAAATGGTCACAACTTTTTTTGTATTATAGTTATTATGTTCCGGTTTGACCCAAAGGAAAGCCTACGTTTTTTGCTAACTGTACACCCTGTGTTCGGCTCAATTCCAATTACAATTCAGGAAGTTACTTGTTTTTGAAGTTAGTTGAACGTATTTTTGAGAATTCGTGTTTTTTCATCAAAAGTCCATTACTTTTTTTGGATCTAAGATATTTTGCCCTGGTTTGTCCCCGAGTAAAGCTTAATGCTGTACATAACTGTATCCTCTTCGTTTGGCTCATTTCCGATTAAAATTCGGGAAGTTAACACATGTTTAAAAACTAATAAACTTTTTTTATAGAATCCGTATTTTTTCTTCAAATGGCCACAACTTTTTTTGTATCATAGATATTATGTCCTGGTTTGTCCCAAAGGAAAGCTTACGTTTTTACCTAACTATGCACCTTGTGTTCGACTCATTTCCGATTAAAATTCGGAAAGTTACAAATATTTAAAAATTGATCAACTTTTTTTTTAAAATTCCTTTTTTTTCATCAAAAGTCCATAACTTTTTTTGGATCTAAGATATTTTGCCCTGGTTAGTCCCCGAGTAAAGCTTAATGCTGTACCTAACAGTACCCTCTTCGTTTGGTTCATTTCCGATTAAAATTCGGGACGTTACAAATGTTTAAAAACTAATAAACTTTTTTTATAGAATCCGTATTTTTTCTTCAAATGGCCACAACTTTTTTTGTATCAAAGATATAATGTCCTGGTTTGGCCCAAAGGAAAGCTTACGTTTTTACCTAACTATGCACCTTGTGTTCGACTTATTTCCGATTAAAATTCGGGAAGTTACAAATATTTAAAAATTGATCAACTTTTTTTGTAGAATCCGTATTTTTTCTTCAAATGGCCACAACTTTTTTTGTATCTAAGATATTTTGCCCCGGTTTGTTTTAATGAAAAGCTAACGTTTTTACCTAACTGTATCTTTTTTGCACGACCCATTTCTGATTAAAATTCGGGAAATGACAAATGTTTAAAAACTGATAAACATTTTTTGAAGATTCCGTATTTTTTCTTCAAATGGCCACAACTTTTTTTGTATCATAGATATTATGTCCTGGTTTGTCCCAAAGGAAAGCTTACGTTTTTACCTAACTATGCACCTTGTGTTCGACTCATTTCCGATTAAAATTCGGGAAATGACAAATGTTTAAAAACTGATAAACATTTTTTGAAGATTCCGGGTTTTTTCTTCAAATGGCCATAACTTTTTTTTTATCAAAGATTTGATGCCTCGGTTTACCCTAAAGGGAAGCTTATCATTTATAATTATAATTACTACTATTATATAATTATTATAATTATTATTTATATTTATTATAATTATTATTATCTACAATAATAATCAGAAAAAAATAAATTTTCTATTAATCAGAAAATATTTTCACATTTCATTCATAAAATGAAGAAAAATTATTTTTACTCTTATGTATACAAAAGGAGGAAAAGAAAAAAAAATTCTCTCCCCCCTCCAATTGTTATTATTATATTAAAAAAAGAGAGAGGGGAGGAGAGGGAAAAAAAAATTTTTTTTTCTTTATTTATATAAGAAAAATAGAAGTGAAGAAAAGATTTTTTTTTCCTCGTTTCTTTTTTGTACGATATATTAATCATGGAAGGAGAAAGAAGAGGTGGGGAAAAAAATAAGGAAAATAAAAAGAAAAGTTGTTGGTTCTCTTACGATGATAGAGGGATTTCCTGAGGCGGCGGTAGTTGGGGAGTGGATCCTTTTTGCTCAGTCAGATTCTGTTCCATCTCTCCCGGATGAGCCGTTGCTTTCGGTCGATACGGTTGCGTCCTTGGCCTATATATTGGCGTAATACGAGGGAGTCTCTCCTGGACCTAAAAACCCAGCCCCAGATACGAATTAAATTCCTCAACAAGGGTCACACATTATTTTTTTCTTTTCATTTCCCCTCCCCCTTTTTTTTGTTTTGTTTTGATAATTATTCTCTTCTTTTTTCTTAGCACTCGAGAGAAAAATTACTTTTTTTTTGTCGCAAAAAATTAATTTTGCAAAATTAATTTTTTTTTTTCGCCGAACATTAATTCTTTCTAATTTAATATTTCTTTTTCTTTAACAATTAATTTTTTCTAATCTAATATTATTTTTAAATTAATTCAACTATTTATCTAGTGGTTTTAATTATTTTTTTTATTATTTCTTATTTATAACTTATTATTTTTTTTTTGTTCGTATATTTAGTTATTATTTATTATTTAACTATACAAATAACAATTACGTTTATTTAGAAAATGACATTGGATTTATTAGCAGTTGATAAAACAGATTTTTATACGTTTTCTATGGCCATCTGTTTTACCAACAGTTGATAAAACAAATTTTTAACATTTCCCAAAGCCATTTGTTTTACCAACAGTTGATAAATGACATATAAAAATTTAAATTTATTTTGTTAAAAAATGTTAATTTAAAAAATAATTTGTTTTACTAAAAGTTAAAAAAACAGATTTACATTCATGTATTGCACTAAAAAAGTTAGTTTTGATTAAAATTTTGATTTAAATCAGTGAAAATCTGTTTTATCAACTGTTGGTTAAACAGATGGCTTTAAGTAAAATTTATTATTATTATTTTTCTTCGATTTTTATTTACATTGTTGCTATATATTATAATAATTTATGGTCCTTCTTGGACTGCGATTATGTAACTCAATAAATAAATAAAATATAAATAATAATATATAAAAATTACAAAATAATACTATAGTTAAAAGAATATTTTGTTGAAAAGAAGTTAATTGAAAGACATTTGTTTTTTTTAATAAAGCTTATCAAAAAGCCATCTGTTTTATCAACCGTCGGTAAAACAGATTTTTAATTACTTTTTCGTTACAAAAAAAGCTTAATAAAGACCATCTGTTTTATTAACTGTCGATAATGCAGATTTTCGTTTAAATTCATATTTTTTGTGGTACCTGAAGTTGATTAACAGATGAATATGTAATTCCAGTGGGAAATTCAACTGAATCCTGAGCATTAATTTCAAGATCAGATTTTTCTAATTCGTCATTAACATTAACTCGTGTCGTTTCTGGATCAGCGACTAAAACACTCACTTTCTTCGATTCGTAAACGACCTAAATCCCCCCACCCCAATTTTTGAAAGAAAAAAAAACAAAAAATTTTAGTAAATTTACAATTATTTTTTTTATGTAAAAAAAATTATTATTAACAGGATTATTATTAGTATTTATTTACTTTTTAGTATTATTATTACATTGGTATTAATAGAATTGATCTTTAGTATTACTATTAGTATTACTATTTAATATACCTAATTATTAGTATTATTTTTAGAATTATTACGAGTACTGATAATAATACTAAAAAAGCATACTTCAACATTATTATTAGTATTCATAATTAGTATTATGAATTATTATTATTAATTAATTATTATTATTATTATTATTATTATTATTAGTATTATTATTATTATTAGTATTCTTTTTCAGTAGTATTATTGTTGTTAGTATTTATATTTAGTATGAGTATTTAGTATTAATATTTAGTGTGAATATTAGTATTATTAGTATTCTTTTTCAGTAATATTATTAGTATAAATAGTATTCTTTTTTAGTATTATTATTCAATATGAATATTAGTATTATTTTTTTCAGTATTATTAGTATTCTTTCTTAGTATTATTAATTGTATTCCCATTTATTAGTGTGAATGTTAGTATTATTAGTATTCTTTTTCAGTATTACTATTAGTAATACTATTTAGTATGAATATTAGAATATTTGATATTATTTATTATTATTATTATTATTATTATTATTATTATTATTATTAGTATTCTTTTTCAGTAGTATTATTGTTGTTAGTATTTATATTTAGTATGAGTATTTAGTATTAATATTTAGTGTGAATATTAGTATTATTAGTATTCTTTTTCAGTAATATTATTAGTATAAATAGTATTCTTTTTTAGTATTATTATTCAATATGAATATTAGTATTATTTTTTTCAGTATTATTAGTATTCTTTCTTAGTATTATTAATTGTATTCCCATTTATTAGTGTGAATGTTAGTATTATTAGTATTCTTTTTCAGTATTACTATTAGTAATACTATTTAGTATGAATATTAGAATATTTGATATTATTTATTATTATTATTATTATTATCATTATTATTATTATTATTATTTAGTATGCTAATTAGTATTATTTTTTAGTATTATATCAGCAATATTACTATTATTATTAAAAATGAAAAAATAATAAGTTAGCATAAAAAAGTAATAAAATTGTAGAAATGACATAAACCTGATCGGGTACAATTTTCAAGTTGCCACTGGGCGTTGTCTGAAAGGGAAAACCGTTCTTGCTCTCGTCGTTAGGATCAGGAGAATCGCGATTATTTCCCTTATGCATGTGCTGCATTAAAAATTCAAGACCCAATTCGTCAGTGAGATTTTTCCGTTTTACTGTTTCGTCGGATGAAATACTTGCAAGAAAAAGAGAAGAGCAAAAAAAAAACAATTTTTTTTATATATTTATTTCCTTTTTTTGACAAAAAAAAATTGCGCACCAAGCTTGCGTCAATCTTGTGATGCAAGCTTGGAAATATTATGTCAAGCTTGGAAATATTGTCATTAAAGTTTGGAAAAAATTAGGACAATTTTGTGTCGACAAGCTTGCCATAATGTTTCCAAGCTTGTGATACAAGAATTCCGCAAGCTTGTAATCATTGTGCCAAGCTTGACAAGCTTGTGATGCAAGCTTGGAAAAATTGCCTTAATTTTGTATTTCAAGCTTGGAAACATTGCGTCAATATTGTGTTGCAAACTTGTCAAGATTGTGTCAATAATGAGATTCTGGCCAAGCTTGGCAGCATTATACAATTCTTGTATTCCAAGCTTGGAGAATTTGCGCCAATCTTGTGATGGCAGCTTGGCCAGATGTCGATAAATTTATGTCGCAAGCTTGGAAGACCTGTGACAATATTGTATTCCAAGCTTGGAAAAATTACCTTAATACTACTTCACAAGCTTGACAGTATTGTGTCAATATTGTATGTCAAGCTTGGAACATTGCGCCTGTTTTGTGATGCAAGCTTGGAAAAATTGCGTCAATCTTGATTTGCCAGCTTGTCAAGATTGTGTTAATATTGTGTTTCTAGCCAAGTTTGTCTCGCAAGCTTGGCAGTATTGTGGAAATCTTGTATTTTGCCGCAAGTATTCCAAGCATGCGACATAAATTTACCGTCATCTGGCCGAGCTTGTATTACAATATTGGTGCAATTTCTCCAAGCTTTGAATACTTGCGGCAATCTTGTATTCCAAGCTTGAAAAATTGCCTTAATATTGATTCAAAAGCTTGGAATACTTGCGGCAATCTTGTATTCCAAGCTTGAAAAATTGCCTTAATATTGATTCAAAAGCTTGGAAATTTGGCGTTAGTCTTGTATTCTAAGCTTGGATACATTACGCCAGTCTTGTGATGCAATACTTGCAAAAATATCTTCAATCTTGTGTTGCAAGCTTGGAAGTGTTGTGGCAACCTTGGAATCCAAGCTTGGAAAAATTGCACCAATATTATGATGCAAGCTTGGTTACATGATCGCAAACTTATGTTACAAGCTTGGTAGAATGGTTACAATCTTGTATTCCAAGCTTGGAAATATTGACCGAATCATGTGCTACAAGCTTGGCAAAATTTGCCTGAAAATTCGTATCCCAAGCTTCGCAAACTTATGGCCCAAGCTTGGAAGAATCTTGTATTCCAAGCTTGGAAAGATTGACCGAATCATGTGCTACAAGCTTGGCAAAATTTGCCTGAAAATTCGTATCCCAAGCTTCGCAAACTTATGTCCCAAGCTTGGAAGAATCTTGTATTCCAAGCTTGGAAAGATTAACCAAATCATGTGTTACAAGCTTGGCAAAATTTGCCTGAAAATTCGTATCCCAAGCTTGACAGTGAGTAATTTCAGGAAAAAGAAGAAAAAAAGCAACAAAAAATTTTCAAGAATGGTATAAAAAAATGGAAAAATTACTTGGAATATTGGGCCATTAGTGTTGCCGGTGTTGAATGTGATTTTTCAGAAACGAAGCATTTTTGCCTCGGCTTCCTCGATTGATTAAATTCACCACCACCACCACCTACACAATCACCTCCCCTCGTCGTCGTGTATTTCCCCTCAACGGAATTGAAGACGGGCTCTCTCGCGACACGACAACGTAACGTCCTTGGATTGTGTGCTTTCGACTTTGATATTCTTCTACTTCTACTTCTACTACTTCTTCTTTTTCCTCTTCTTCTTTCTCTGCAAGTGCCCTCAATTTCCCGACAATTAAATGCACTTGGCTCGACAATTTTCCCCTCGCCAATTATCGATCTCTCGATCCTCGGTGTGGCACAACAATTTTTACTCGACTTCTGCCTCGTGCTGCTCCTCGATATTAAACTCTCGAAAAGCTTTGCCGTCTCCGACGCTGTTAACCTTCAATTTTCATTTTCATTTTTTATTTTTATCATTTTTCTTCAATTATTAATTACATTTTTTTAAAATTTATTTTCTTAAATTCATTTTTTCGCGAATTTTACTCTTATTTATTTATTTTAAATTAATTTTCAGCTAAATTTTATTTTTATTTATTTATTTTTTGAAATTTTTTTTATTTATTAAATAATCAACTTTATTGATTTTTCTTTATTAAACTAATTTCAATAAATAAATGAAGAAATTTATAAATAAATTTTATTTTTATTTATTTATTAAATTTTTACTTTTTTAAAATTTATTTATTATTCATTTTTAGCATTTTTTTTTTGTATTTAAGGGCATTTGAACCATGATGACGTCACAGCCTTAAAACACATGCTTTGCAGAACCTGTGACGTCATAATGGTTCAAATGCCCTTTTTTTTGAATATAAAAAATTTTGTATTTTTTCTCATTAATTACTTAAATAATTTTTCATTTATTTCTTTATAAATTTCGATTTTTTGGAATTTTATAAATAAACAAATAAATTTTTTTAATTTTCCAGTTATAAATTATTCAATTTTTCGTTTTTTTTTTTTTTTTTTTTTTTTTTTTTTTTTTTATATTAATTATTAAATTAATTCTTTAGGATTTTACTAAATAAATAAATTTTTACTCTTTTAATTTATTTACTAGTTCAATTATTCATTTTCTTTTTATTGAATTCATTTTTTAAAATTTTTTTAAATAAATAAATTGTTATTTCTTTTTTATTTATTAATTATTCAATTCTTGCATTTTCTCTGTATTTAGTTATTATTTTTATTTCTTTTTCACTAATTAATTCAATTAATTTTTAATTTCTTTCTTTATTAAATTTATTTTTCAAAATATTTTATAAATAATTAAACGAATATTTAGTTTTCCATGAATTATTAATATTTTAGTTTCTCATTTTTTTTGCCTAATTAGATTAATTTTTCAGAATTTTTATTACTATTTTCGCATACATTATATTTAGCTTTTTAACTTTTTTTGTAACTAATTATTAATAATTAATTACTTTAATTTTATCACCAGAAATATTTTTTCAATTTTTTTTAATCGAATTAATTATTAAAAATTTCTATTTTCACTTTCACATTATTGTCAAATATTCTACAATTTTTTTACATTAATTTACTTTAGTTTTTTTAGTTAATTAATCTACCTATTTAATTAATTAATAATTTATTTATTTTACACGTATTAATATTTATATTAATATTATTTATTTATTATTTTTTTTATTTTTATTTATTTATTTTTTTTTTTATTTTTTTTTATTTTTTATTTTTTTTTATTATTTATTTATTATTTTATTTATTTATTTTTTTTATTATTTATTTATATTTGTCTATTTATTTATTTTTTGCTTAATATTTATTATTTTTAATTTAATTAATTTAAAATATTTGATTATTATAATATTTCTCCCCCCCCCCCCTTTCTTTTTTTCAAAAATTTTTTTTTGTCGACAGAAAAAGGTAGAAAAATAAAAAAATAAATAAATAGGAGAAAAAATGAACCTCTGCTTTTGAGAAAATTTCGATGGACTTCCACTTGCGTTGTGTGGGAATCGTTGATTTTCCGATTTGACTAAAGATTTTTCCGATTGCGATTGTCGAATTATTGAAGATATCGACGAGGAGGTTCCCGTCGACGTTGAGATTTGTGTCGATTTATTATTGAAATAAATAACTGACGTCGCTTTTTCCAAGCAAACACTCGATTCTGATAAACTTCCCCTCCTATTTAGGTCAACTGACGAAAACCAGGAAATTAGGTCACACAGGGAAAAAAAATTATTATCCTAGCCTCTCTTTTTTTTTTTTTTTTGTCATTTCAGTCGGAATTTTTTTTTTATTTTTTTGTTTCTAATTAAATTCAGGAAAATTTATTTATTACACGTTATAATAAAATTTATTTTTATTTTTTTTTACTTTATTTAGTGTTTTTTTAATTTAAAAAAATTTTTTTTTCAGTATTCTTTTTTTTATTTAATTTTTTTTTATTTTTAAAAGCAAAAAGATTTTGATATTTATTTTCTATATTTTTTTTTTTATTTTTATTTTCAATTTAATTTTCGTATTTTAAATCTAATTATTTAATGGTAATTTATTTATTATACTTTCTTTGTGAATAATTTTAATAATTTTGAATTCGATTTTTATATTTGAAATATAATTCTTTTTTTTTTTAATAATATTTGTTTATGTTACTTTCGTTGATAATTATTTTAAATAATTTTTAATCAGATTTTTATATTCTAAATCTAATTATATTTTTAATAAATAAATTAATATAAATAAATAAATAAATAAATAAATATAATATTAAATAATAAATAAATAAATATAATATTAAATAATAAATAATAAAATAAATAAATAATTTTTTTTTATTCTTCCTGCAAATTATTTAAATAATAATATTTAAAAATAACAAAAATTATCAAAATTAACAAAAAAAAAAAAATTTGCAATTGATAAAAAATATTACAATTATAATGTAATTAGTAAAAAATAACAAAAATAATCAAAAATAACAAAAATAACAAAAATAACAAAAATAACAAAAATAACAAAAATAATAAAAATAACAAAAAACAACAAAAGTAAAAAAATAAAAATAAAAAAAAATATAAAAAACTGATATAAAAAATAAAATAAAAATAAAATTCTAAAAAAGTGGTTAATAATTTATTTAAAAAAAAATAATTATAATTAAACAATCAGTCGTTTAAATAAAAAATGATAAATTTTTCCTCACATTTTACACTTTGCTGACGAATTGCTTTTATTATTCGCGGTGTTCCTTTTCTCTTATTGATAGCTGGAAATTTTTTTTTCTTTATTTAATTTCGTAATATTTATGAAAAAAAAAAAAATTCTTAAATTTTGTCATATAATTTTTGTGTCAATTGTAGCAAAAATCGACTTACATTACTTACGTAAATTAGTCTCAATGGTATTTTCAAATTCTTGATAGGATTTTAATTTTGCAATTTGACAGGATTTACAAGTTCTGCTGTTAAAATAATATTTCCTTTATTATTATTAATAATTAACAATTTTGTTATTATATTTTTTTATTTTCTAAAAAAGTAATGTTTATTAAAAATAAAAAATAATTTTTTAACATGAATATTATAATGAATTAATAATAATTTTTTTTTAAGAGTAATGACAAAAATACAAAAGACAGATTTTTAATTATAATTTGTAATTAACAAGTTTTCGGATAAATTTAATATAATAATGATAATAAAATTATAATTTTAATAATTACAATAAAAATAATTGAAAAATTAATTAAATAACTAAATTTAATAATAATAATTAATAATAATTAATTAATAATAAATAATAATAAAAAAAGTAAAAAAAGTAAAAAAGATAATAATAATAAAAACAATAAATATTTTTCCATTGTAAATCCGTATATTGCTTAAATAAATAAATAATTATAGTAAAAATAATTTATTATTACAATAATAATAATTATATAATTATAATTATTATTATTATAATTATTATTATTATTATTATTTTTATTGTTATTACTTTTTATTTTATTTATTTATTTATTTACTTACAAAAAATGAAGACAAGATCTTGAGTGAAAATTATTATTTTTATTATTATTGAAACTTTAATTTAATTTCTCACCTTGTCATAGCCTGTACAATATTCAATTGACATTTATCGTCGAAAAACAAAAATTTAACCAAACGACAATATTGGATTTGATCTCAAATAAAATTATACTTAATTATTGAAAATCTTCTTTTTCTTTATTTTTATTAATTCGTTCATTGGGAGGGATAAAAAAAATGTTATATAATTAAAAAAAAATCGAAATCTGATTTGACAGAATTTGAAACATTAAAAATATTATACACAATGAAAATTGCTCCTGAGACAATTGATAGTCAACAATTTTCAAGTGTCAGGGGAAACTTTATTTTTAACATTTATTTAAAATTTTCCATTATGTTTTTTAAATAATTAAAAATAAATTTAAAAAAAGTAAAAAAAAATAAAATAATAAAAAGTAAAAAATTAAGAAATAATAATAATAATAAATTATATAATAATTAATAATTAATTAATTAATGCTTCCGTATAATAAGTATTTTAATTTATTTTTTAATTAATTGTTTTTATTATTATTATATTATTATTAGGTACATATTATTAATTGTTTTTTAATTTTATTGTTTTTATTTTCTTTATAAACAAATAAATATAGAAAATCTGTAAAAAATTAAAGTTGTAAAAATAAAGAAATAATAAAATAAAAATATTTTCTTTATGAGGAAGCAAAATAATAAATTATAATATAATGATAATAAAGTTATAAATAAAATATTGTAAAGAAAATAATAAAAATAAAATGATAAGAATAATAACAATATTAACAATAATAGTAAACAATATTAATTACTATAATTATTATAATTACTAATCGTAAATTTTTTGTAATTAATTCCTTTTTTACTCAAAAATACTAATATAATTTACTAAAATTTACAATTTTGGTTCGAATTTTTTTTTCTTTTTCGAAAAATCTTTTTTTTTTTTAATAATAATTTTCCATTTTTTCTACAAAAAGCTTTCATTTAATCAAAACTGGTCCCGAACTATTTTTAAAGCCCCGAGAAATTATTAATATCATTTTTTTTGTTCAAATTAAAAAAAAAAAAAAAAAAAAAAAAAACTTTCTTTTGAACCCTAGATAGAAATTTTTAACCCTCGAAGAAAAAATGTTTAACCCCATTGCATATGATTTAAATGAAAGAAAATAATCTCGAAAATAATTGATCTTTTTTTTTTTTTTTGGTGAATATATTAATATTTTAGTAACGATTACTATATGAGGGGTAAATAAAGCATACACACAGAGTTAAAGGAGGAAAAAAGGAAAAAAAAGTTGGACATTAAGAATATTTTTCTAGGGGTAGTTGCTGGTGATGCTCGCTCTCTTGTGAATTGTGTGTGTGAGTGTGGGGGAGGGTTGTGCTTTGCTGGCAGGCTGCATCGATCGCATCAACGTTCTGGTGACCTCGACCCAATGCCACCGTCTTCCACGAGTGGAGAGACCAACCCTACGGTTGTTTTTCGGGATCTGGACCGAAATTCAGTTTTCTCCTTCCAGCAAATAGCGAATGGAAAAATATTTGCTTCTCTTAAAAGGGAAAATTTTTTATTTTTACTTTTTATTTTAATTTCAATTCCATTTTGTATTTCAATTTCAATTTTGTTTAATTTCGTTTAATTTTGATTCAATTTCGTTCAATTTTAATTCAATTTTAATTATCATTTCAATTTTGTTTCAATTTCGTTCAATTTTAATTCAATTCCATTTAGAATTTCAATTTCAATTTTGTTTAATTTCGTTCAATTTTGTTTCAATTTTGTTCAATTTTAATTATCATTTCAATTTTGTTTCAATTTTGTTTCAATTTCGTTCAATTTTTTTGCAATTTTGTACATTTTTAATTCAATTTCAATTTGGTTTCAATTTCGTTCAATTTTAATTCAATTTCAATTACCATTTCAATTTTTTTCAATTACGGTCAATTTTATTTCAATTTTATAAAATTTTAATTTAATTTCAATTACATTTCAATTTTGTACAATTTCGTTCAATTTTAATTACATTTCAATTTCGTTCAATTTTAATTCTATTTCAATTACATTTCAATTTCGTTGAATTTAATTTCAATTTTATACAATTTTAATTCAATTTTATATAGTTTTGGCTATTATTTCAATTTCATAATATTATTTCAATTTTAATTTAATTACATTATATTATTTTAATTTCATTTCAATTTCAATTATTTATCAAATTCATTCAATTTTATTTCAATTTCTATTTTATCAATTTCAATTATTATTTGATTAGCATTTCAGGTTTATTTTAATTTATGTTGAATTTTAATTGCTTCAATTTCATATGAATTTAATTCAATTTTATTAAATTTTACTTTTAATATAATTTCAATTTAATTTCAATTACAATTACTGTTCAAATTTTATTTTTAATTACAATTCATTTCAATTCAATTTTATTCAAGAATATTTCAATATTATTTCCATTTCAATTATTATTTCAATTATATTCTCAGTTTTATTTCAATTCCAATTATTATTTCAATTCTAATGAATTTTATTTCAATTATAATTATTATTCCAAATTTATTCAATTTAAGTCAATTCTATTCAATTCTATGCAATTATGTTTAATTATAATAACTTTCTATTCAATATTCTCAATTCTATTCAATATTCTCAATTCTATTCAATTCTATTCAATTCTATTCAATTTTATTCAATTATATTCAATTCTAATAAATAAATTCTAATTTATTAAATTTTACTTTTAATATAATTTCAATTTAATTTTAATTACAATTACTGTTTGAATTTTATTTTTAATTACAATTCATTTCAATTCAATTTTATTCAAGTATATTTCAATATTATTTCAATTCCAATTATTATTTCAATTCCAATTATTATTTCAATTCTAATCAATTTTATATCAATTTTAATTATTATTCCAAATTTATTCAATTTAAGTCAATTCTATTCAATTCTATGCAATTATGTTTAATTATAATAACTTTCTATTCAATTCTATTCAATTCTATTCAATTCTATTCAATTCTATTCAATTCTATTCAATTCTATTCAATTCTATTCCATTCTATTCAATTCTATTCCATTCTATTCAGTTCTATTCAATTCTATTCAATTCTATTCAATTCTATTCAATTCTATACAATTCTATACAATTCTATACAAAATAAATCAAATTTTATTCAATTCCATTCAATTTTATTTAAATTTTTCAAAACAAATCAAATTCTATTTAATTTCATTTATTTTTACTTAATTATATTCGATTCAATTAAATTTTGTTCAATTTTATTCAATTCTATTCAATTATATTTAATTCTATACAAAATAAATCAAATTTTATTCAATTCCATTCAATTTTATTTAAATTTTTCAAAACAAATCAAATTCTATTTAATTTCATTTATTTTTACTTAATTATATTCGATTCAATTAAATTTTGTTCCATTTTATTCAATTCTATTGAATTATATTTAATTCTATACAAAATAAATCAAATTTTATTCAATTCCATTCAATTTCATTTAAATTTTTCAAAACAAATCAAATTCTATTTAATTTCATTTATTTTTACTTAATTATATTCGATTCAATTAAATTTAATTCAATTCTATTCAATTCTATTCAATTCTATTCAATTCTATTCAATTCTATTCAATTCTAATCAATTCTAATCAATTCTATTCAATTCTATTCAATTCTATTCCATTCTATTCAGTTCTATTCAATTCTATTCAATTCTATTCAATTCTATACAATTCTATACAATTCTATACAAAATGAATCAAATTTTATTCAATTCCATTCAATTTTATTTAAATTTTTCAAAACAAATCAAATTCTATTTAATTTCATTTATTTTTACTTAATTATATTCGATTCAATTAAATTTTGTTCAATTTTATTCAATTCTATTCAATTATATTTAATTCTATACAAAATAAATCAAATTTTATTCAATTCCATTCAATTTTATTTAAATTTTTCAAAACAAATCAAATTCTATTTAATTTCATTTATTTTTACTTAATTATATTCGATTCAATTAAATTTTTTTCAATTCTATTCAAGTCCATTGAATTTTAGAAATTAATTGAATTCAATTTCAATCAAATTCTATTAAATTCTGTTCAACTTGGTTTAATTATATTCAATTCTGTTTAAATGTATTCTATTTAAGAAAACTTTTTTCTATTTAATTTTATATTTATTTTCTATTTAATTTTCTATTTAATTTTTTCTATTTAATTTTAATTTTTCTATTTATTTTTCTATTTTTTCTATTTTCTATTTAATTTTATTCTATTTTTTCTATTTTTTCTATTTAATTTTCTATTTATTTCTATTTTCTATTTAATATTTTCTATTCTATTTAATTCTTTAAAATTTTATGCCGTTTAATTTAGTTTTATTCCATTTTATTTAATCCTATTCATTTCTATTAAATTCTATTTAGTGATATACACAAAAAAATCAATTATATCTATTTTTATTCAATTTTATTTTACTTAATTCTATACATTTCTATTCAATTCTGTTCAATTATTTTCAATTCTACTCAAGACAAATCAAATTTTATTCAATTCCATTTAATTTAATTTAATTTTTTCAAGAAAAATCAAATTCTATTATTTAATTTTGTTAAATTTGGTTTAATTATATTTAATAATATTTTATTTTTTTCAATTGTATTCTATTTTTAAAAAATAATTCTTTCTATTGAATTCTATTTAATTCTATTCAATTCTATTAAATTTTAAAATCAATTGAATTCCATTTTAATTAAGTTTTGTTTAATTCTGTTCAATTATTTTCAATTCTATTCAGTTCTTTTCAATTTTAATGAATTCTATTCAATTCTATACAGTTTTATTCAATTCTATTCAATCCTTCTTAATTTTATTTAATTCTTTTTAATTCTGTTCAATTCTATTTAAGACAAATAAAATTCTATTTCATTTTTCTTTTAAACAAATCGAATTCTATTTCATTTTATTTAATTCTACTAAATTATATTCGATTTAATTTAACTTTTTTTAATTTATTTTCAATTTTATTCAATTCTATTCAATTCTATTGTATTTTAAAATCAATTGAATTACATTTTAATTAAATTGTATTAAATTATGTTGAATTTGTTTAAATTAAATTCAATAATATTTTCCTTTATTCAATTATATTCTATTTTAAAAAAATAATTCTTTCCATTTAGTTCTTTACAATTTTATCCAGTTTAATTTAATTTTATTCAATTCAATTGCATTTTTTTCAATTCAATTCTATTAAATTGCATTCAATTGCATTTTATTCAATTCAATTCTATTAAATTGCATTCAATTCCATTTTATTCAATTAAATTCTATTAAATTGCATTTAATTGCATTTTATTCAATTCAATTCAATTCGTATTTATTTAATTCCATTTCAATTTAATTTTAACCTTATTTAATTATTTTTGAATTTTAGTCAATTCCATTTTTCTTCAAATTTAATCAATTTTCTTTAATTCCAATGTTAGTCAAATCTAGTGTAATTTTTATAATTTTCATTTTATTTTAAAATTTTAAATTCATTTAATTTTGTTTTTTAAAATCATTTTCAATTTTTTTATTCTATTTCCCTATTTTTTATCAGATTTTTACTTTTTTCCGTTTGTCAACCTAATATTAAGTTAATCCACATGTTTATTTAGTTTACCAACAAATACAATTTATAATAGTTTTTAATTTTATGTATTAAATAAATGAATAAAAAAAAAATACCTTCTCATGTGATGAGAATGTAAAAATGATGAATATAATATATAATTATAATGAGGAATATTGTAATAATTACAATATTGTAATTATGGCAATGAATTTGTATGTATTTACAGCAGAAGCAGAAGCAGAAGCACTGTCAGTATATTGGAATTAGGAGGAGTAAAGTGTGAGCGCTCATTTATCATTATTATCTGCTCTACTTTTGGTCCACTTGCATCCGAAGAAGGGGAAATATCTAAAGGATACGGAGCAAGTTGCCAAGGTTACGCGAGCGTCATAACTACCCTGCAGGCCCAGCCTATTTGTTGTACACCCCCCCCCCCTCACCCCACCCTCCAATTCCTTTATATTTTCTTTTTCTTTTTCGTTTCTTTCTTTGTTCTAAAAATAAAATGAAATAAAATAAAATTTCCACTTTAATCAATCTGCCTAAATAACTAAATGTTTTTTCAAACTTCTTTAATGACATTTATTCGGCCCTCACGACTATCGCTATCACGTGCTTAATCATTTCTCCCTTGCCCTTTCGTTCGAACCTCTACTATTATTGATTCGCCGAATTAAGGACAGGAGGGCTCTTCAATTTTTTAACATACATTTATTTTTTATTTTTATTTTTTTTTCTATTTTTTATTTCTAATTTTTAATTTTTATTCTTACAGCAAGGAAATGATTATCTTCAAATTAACTTCAAACGTTTTTGTTTAAATGAATTTTTTGGACTTGTTTTTTTTTAACTTTTGTGTAAAAAAAATAAAAAAATTGGTAAAGTAAAAAATTTTAGAATAGTTAAAACATTGGTTCCGTAAATTTTAATCCTTTCTAATTCAATTCTATTTAAATCTACTTGAATCTATTCTATTTAATTCAATTCAATTCCATTGCATTCAATTTTATTCAAAGTTCAATTATTATTTGAATTTTATTAAAATTAGTTATGTTTATTTCAATTCTATTCAATTCTATTCAATTCTATTCAATTCTATTCAATTCTATTCAATTCTATTCAATTCTATTCAATTCTATTCAATTCTATTCAATTCTATTCAATTTTATTCAATTTTATTCAATTCTATTCAATTCTATTCAAGTTTATTCAATCCTATTTAATTTTATTCAATTCTATTTAATTTTATTCAATCCTATTTAATTTTATTCAATTCTATTCAATTCTATTCAGTTTTATTCAATTTTATTCAATTTTATTCAATTCCATTCAATTCCCTGTTGAAGTATTATTTGAAATGTATTACAATTTTTTATTTTTATTTTAATTCTATTTAGTTCGATTCATTTCTATTTAGGTCTACTTCAATATATTCTATTCTATTTAATTCTACTTAATTCTATTGAATTCGATTTCATTCATTATTATTCTCTTTTCAATTATTGTCTGAATTTTTTACAATTATTTATTTTTATCACAATTCTATTCAATTTTACTTAATTCCATTCAATTCTATTCAATTCCATTTCGTTCAATTTTATTTCCTGATGTCCAATTACTATTTAAATTTTGTTAATTATTATTTTTGATTAATTCAATTCTATTAAATTCTTTTCATTTTAATTCCATTGCATTCAATTTTATTCAAAGTTCAATTATTATTTAAATTTTATTACAATTAGTTAAGTTCATTTCATTTCTATTCAATTCTACTTAATTCAATTCAATTCTTTTTAATTCCATTTAATTCTATTTAATTCCGATTCATTGAATTTCATTTTCTGCAACAATTATTATTTAAATTTTGTTATTTTCTTTTGATTAATTCAATTCTATTCAATTATACACAATTCTATTCAATTCAAGTCTACTCTATTCAATTCTATTCAATTCTGTTCAATTCCATTTCATTCAATTTTATTCCCTGTTGAATTATTATTTGAAATTTAATACAATTATTTATTTTTATTTCCATTCTATTTAGTTTGATTCATTTCTATTTAAATCTACTTAAATCTATTCTATTCTATTTAATTCTACTCAATTCTATTCAATTCGATTTCATAAAAAATTATTCCCTTTTCAATTATTATTTGAATTTTTTACAATTATTTATATTTATTTCAATTCTATTAAATTCTATTCAATTCGATTTCATTCAATATCATTCCTTTTTCAATTATAATTTGAATTATTTACAATTATTTATTTTTATGTTAATACTATTTAATTCTACTTAATTAAATTCAATTCTATTCACTTCCATTTCATTCAATTTTATTCCTTGTTTAATTATTATTTAAATTTTATTAATTATTTTTAATTAATTCAATTCTATTCAATTCAATTCTACATAATACTGTTCAATTCTATTTAATTCTACTAGATTCTATTTAAATCTATTCAATTCGATTTCATTCAATATTATTCCTTTTTCAATTATTATTTACAATTATTTATTTTTATTTTTATTCCATTTCATTCTATTTTATTGCCTGTCAAATTATTATTCAAATTAACATGAATAAATCAAGTTTAATTCAATTTTATTTAATAAAATACACAAAAATAATATAAATTGAATAGAATTGAATAGAATTGAATAGAATTGAATAGAATTGAATAGAATTGAATAGAATTGAATAGAATTGAATAGAATTGAATAGAATTGAATAGAATTGAATAGAATTGAATAGAATTGAATAGAATTGAATAGAATTGAATAGAATTGAATAGAATTGAATAGAATTGAATAGAATAGAATTGAATTGAATAGAATTGAATAGATTCAATTAATCATATTTATTAAATCTATGGAATAGATTTAAACAAAATTAAATAAAATTTAACAGAAACAAACAGAATTGAAGAAAATTATAAAAATTGAAGTAGAATTGAATTAAACTTAAATTATCATGAATACAATTGGACAGAATTGAATAGAAATTAAAAAATGTTGATTAGACTTGAATGGAATTGAATAGCATTTAATAAGATTTAATAAAATTAAATACAATTTCATTAAAATTCAATTCAATTTGATTTAAAATAAAATATAGAACTGAATAGAATCGATATAATTAAATTGAATTGAATATAATTGAATACCACTGAGTAGAATTAGATAGAATTGAAAATAAATGAATAGATATGTACAGAATTGAAAAAATTGAATAAAAAGTTATTAGAATTGCATAGAATTGAATATAATTAAAAAAATTGAATTGAATTCTAATAACTTTTTATTCGATTTTATTCAATTCAATTCCTTTCAATTATATTCAATTATATTATATTCTAATCACTTTTTATTCAATTCTATTCAACTCTAATCACATTTTATTCAGTTTTTTCAATTTTGTACAAATCTATCCATTTTTATTCAATTTTAATAATTGAATCTAATAATTGAATTCAATAAAAAATTTATTAGAATTAAATATAATTAAATAGAATTGAATAGAATTGAATATAATTAAAAAGAATTGAATTGAATAAAAAGTTATTAGAATTGAATATAATTGAATAGAATTGAATATAATTGAATAGAATTGAATATAATTGAAAAAAATTGAATTGAATAAAAATTTATTAGAATTGAATATATTTGAATAGAATTAAATAAAAAGTTGTTAGAATTGAATAGAATTGAATAGAATAAAAAGTTATTTGAATTGAATATAATTGAATTGAATTGAATAAAATTGAATTAAATTGAATAAAATTGAATTAAATTTCAATATTCAATTCAATTTAAGTCAGTTTGTTTTAATTCGGTTTAATGCTCTTCAATTCAATTGAATTGTATTTTAATCTACGCAATTTTGTTCAGTATGAATAAATAAATTTTTTTTATTATTAATTTTTTCAAAATTTAATTCCATTTTATTCTGTTTTATTCTATTTAAAAAAAAATTTTTTTATTTAATTCTATTCGATTCTATTTATGTTACATTGTTACATTTCTGTTACACTATTACATATAAAAAAAAATATAAAAGAAGTTTTAATGTAACAATTCCGTTACACTTTCGTTACATCGTTACAATTCTGTTACATCGTTACATTTTTGTTACTTTGTTACATTGTTACAATTCTGTTACATTGTAACAAAACAGTTACATTGTAAGTTTACAAAGAACTGTTAATAGAAAATTTTCAATAAAAAACCGGTATGGTAAAATTTACCATACTCTCTAGCACGTTGTCCAAAATCACTTTCTCTCTAAATCCTCAAAAAAAAAACAAAAAACCAAATTTTTACATTTTGATTAAAAAAAAAAAAAAAAAAAAAAAAAAAATTACACAAAGAATAAAAATCTCGGGCGAATGTATAAAATATATTTTTCTAATTTGATAAGAGTGTTTAAAAAGGACGAAAGATGGAATTCAGCTGTAAAAGTAGCACGACTCTCGTAGCTGGGATACTGGATGAGGGAAGTCGGTCGATAGAGCTCCTAGAATCCCATCTCTCTTCTCTCGGGGAGCTCAGCATTCTATATTCCGTATTACGCAATTCTCTCTCTCCCTCTAACCCACCCACTCTTTTTTTTCTCTTCATCCCCCCTCTACTCTTTACTCCTGGCTTTGAAAATTATAATTAACATATATTCAAATTTGATAATACACTGGATTTTTTTCACCCCCCCCCTCTCACTTTTTTTCTATCGACCACCCTTCTTCATTTTTCACCCTCCACTTCCACTTTTATTTTTTTTTTGAAAGAAATAGATTTAAAAATAAAAAAGAGACTACAGTCTGTCATAAAGGAATTACGCACTATTTCTGTATAGAAAAATATTTTTGTTTTTCCCAATGGAAAAATTTATTGAATATTTAATTTTGTTTTAAAAAGAAATTTTGTTTATCATGATATTTGGATAATTTTAAATTGACAACAAATTTTAACAGTCGATATTTCAATAATTTTAGTTTAAGTTAAATTCAATTCAACTACATTTAACGCTATTTTATTCAAAATAACTCAATTTAATTCAATTCAATTATATTCAATTCAATTCTATTTAATTCTATGCAATTGTATTTAATTTCACTAAATTTTATTTAATTTTATTCAATTTTATTTAGTTCTATTCAATTCTATTCAATTCTATTCAATTCTATTCAATTCTATTCAATTCTATTCAATTCTATTCAATTCTATTCAATTCTACTAATTTTTATTCAATTCTAATGTATTCAATTTTATTCCATTCAATTATATTTAATTCTATTAAATTTTATTCAGTTCTATTTGATTCGATTCAATTCTATACAATTCTACTTATTTTCATTCAATTATATTCAATTTAATGCAACTCTATACAATTCTATTGTATTAAATTCTATACACTTCTATTATATTCTATTCAAATTCTACTCAATT